AGTGCAGTGTGCAGAAAATTCCTGCTGTGAATATAGCTTGCATTTTTGGGGGGAAGTTTCGGTTTGCAGTTAAAGATGACGCACAAACTGATTTTGTCCAATCAAACCCTCACTACATTTATTGATGTCTGAATCATCCTTGTTTGTTTACCCTGACATTTTTGTGCTTTTAGTGCTGGTGTTGGCAGAACCGGAGTCTTCATCACCCTTAGCATCGTCCTGGAGCGAATGCGCTACGAAGGCGTGGTTGATATCTTCCAGACAGTGAAGATGCTACGGACACAGAGGCCGGCCATGGTCCAGACTGAGGTCAGGAGACACACACAAAAGCAAACACAAAGAACATAAGCTGCTTGTAGATTACTAGTTTTCTAATTGATGATATTGTTTTGTAAGACTAGTCTTTCCCAGCAAGTACAGAAATGAGTCTTCTTCAAAAGTCGTCTGAAACTCTTGATCACATTATCATAGGAACCTTTGAAACCAGTGACATTTTTTTAATGTGTTGTTTATGTGTTTTTCTTCCCCTGCAGGATGAATACCAATTCTGCTATCATGCAGCTCTGGAGTATTTAGGAAGCTTTGATCACTATGCAACGTAAAAAGCCATCTTTTTCCCCCCAGAATCCTGTCGCCCCCTCTCAACAGTCTCCTGAGCCATAGAAACTTTGAAATTTGAAACAATGACAGCAGACGATGATAACCCCCAACGCTACTTCAGATGCACCAAACAGGATCCTATTGTAGATTTTTAGAAGAAGACGCCCAAGTAACAAGTCAAAGTGAAATTCCAATTCGACTAAGAGACCCTTCAGGAGGAAAATTGCCCTCAACAGGAAAAGAAACTCCTCGACCGGAGGGAAACAAGACATTGTGGCTCAAGCTGTGGGGTGGGAAATCGATCAAAGTGTCAGACTGCTTACCTTACCTCAAGTGTTTCAATGTGGAGGACATTGTAAACATTCGTGGACATTTCTCTTCTCAAAAATATCTTTGTGATACAACAGTAACGAGCGACAGAAAATGAAGGAGAAGGCAACAGCAAAAATCAACGAGAGGCAGATGGATGTAGCCAAGATGGCAAGACTTTCTTGCTTTTTTGATATGCCTTGGTGTAAAAGGGGGTTCAAGTATTTCTATGACCACATTTTTGTGAGTGGTATCCAGAGAAATGACCAAATTGTGGTTGCCTGTGTGAAGACAAATGGTTTTCCCCGAAACTCTGGTAAGACAAAAAAAAAAATCATAACAGTGGAAACATAACTGGCACGAGAACAATCCCATCTGGCATCACTGAAACCTGGAGGTTTTTTATACTAATGATATGCATAATTTGTGTGGAGGAGCTCTCAATTATAAAAGAATGCATCAGATTATTGCCTATACTCAAGCGCTCAGAGATTAGAGATGGCTCTATCAGTGGTCGGCAGGAAGTGAGCAGCACCACATATCTTAAGATTGGAGAAATTCATGTATTATGTGTAAAATCAGTATCTAAAGCCAGTGATCTTGAAAAAGCACCACAGTGTTTTGAAAAAGTGCCCCGGGAGTCGACAGAAAATCGGAGGGAAAATGTCTCAAGCAGCTGCAGCTTGGTCTTCTTCTTCTTCAGGTGGAAAAATTGCAACAGTGTCCCATGATTTTTTATAATCACTCCTCTCTCCTGGAACTGTTGCATCACGGTACTTCGGCGTTGACATCCACCATTTTGAACAAGGGATAAATCTGGTGGTTGAGAAGCTTTGGAACAAACAGAAACAACCAAACAAGGATCGCCATACAGCTTGGGCTTTCTTTGTGTACAGTGACCAACGCTCATCATCATTGTTTTGAACTTTTTTTGTCTTATAAGGATTAACCGTTTTTATCGTTTGTTTTTATTTTTCTGTCAAAACCAAACATGCTGCTTATCTCGTGTATGCTGTACGTGTGTGACTCTTGAGGGAAGTGGAAACTGACGAATAAAAGATGCCAGCTCTGCTAACCGCTCGTGCCCAGGCGGGCATGACTGAAAGTGCATCCACATGACAACATTGTCCACCAGTCTTTTCCCGCTCTCCTCCCTTTTTTTTTCTCGCCTCCTCTATAATCATCGTATAAGACACTCCAGAGTGGCAGAGGCCTGTTGCAGTGACAGAGCTGTATGTTTATGTGGTTGAAAATCTGGCCTTTAGTTCCACTGTTTGTGTTTGGTACCAGGTGAAAAACAAAGTCGTCGCTTTTGTTTTTCATCCTCTGTTTTATAGATGATGTCTCTGTGGGTGCCACAGCTGGACCAGGCGGCCATGTTGGATCTCAATGCCATGATGTGATGATGAAAATCTTTGGTACTCGCACATCCCTACGAAGAAAAGCAAAGAAACTTGAAACAAATACTCTAAAAACATCTGCAGGTTGGATCTGAGGCACTGGTGTACATGTGTCTGATAAAAAAGAAAAAAAAATCAAGCTTTTGAAATCACCAGGTTTTCACTCTGAGTTCAGTGCTGTGGTAGAGACGAGTGTGTGGATACTACGAAGGTTTCTAATGGGTGTGCACAAAAAACAAGAGGGATGGACAGAACTGTGTGTAATCTTTCTTATTTCCAAAAAAGCCTTATTATTGTTGTAACATTATGAAAACATTAATGTTGTATTATGATGACTTATTTTACATGACATAGTTTGACTTTTTTATTTTCTTTTGGTTTAGTTTTTTAACAGAGACGTTGTATCACCTTTTTTTAAAAAGTTAGCCGCAAGAGAAATGCTTATTTGTTCATATTACGTTCAAAGACATTCTATTTTTTCACTGTAGAAATGTTAAGTATAACATGTCTGTGTGAACGTGTGCAGATATGTATGTACGAATATACTGTATATACTGCACACTCACACATGCATTATATATTTAAATGCAGAATATAAAGATATATCCAAACACTTAGTATTAATTCAATTTTTCTCCTCATCATAATTTCTTTTTATACCAGCCAGTGCTCATGTTTCAAAAATATGACTTTTATTTGTTACCTTTTTTGTCGTGTGACCTGAGAAACCTCGTGTGTTTCTTGGGAAAAGCTGAGGCGATGTCAGCAGGACAAACTCTGACTAAATCCTCTGTGTCAACTCACAAATTAGGCTTCTGCCCTCGGGTAGATTTAGCGCTGATGAGGAGATGCCATTTTTAAACCTTGTTGAGATTCTTTATAACCATTTATTTGTAGTTTTCAGCATTCTTTTCTTTTTTTTTGAGCAACTGTTGAATGATGAACTGGTCTACTAAAGAACTAATTGATTGAAAAAAGTCACGACTGAACTTTTGTTACAATGTCAGCCCAACTTGACGTACTGTACCTTGTACGATCTTGTACAGACTCTGATCCTCCAGTTTTTAAGAAAATCTTTTCATTTCTTTCCTTTTTTTTTAAACTTTGATTATTTTCAGACATAATGAGGTCATTCATTTTGTTAGATATCCACTATGAACTAGAATATACCTGTAAATAAACAAATATATAGATTATATGTATTTGTATCATTTGACCCTTGAGATCTCATACTTTAAGTGGGAACAGAAAATTACAAAGATGGAGGTTTTGCTCATATTTGACTTCCTGGTGTGTAAAGCCTGTTTTCTCTCCTTCTGACATGTTCTTTCTCCAGCCCTGCTCCCCGCTCTTTAATTACCACTCACTTTTTTTCAGCCTTTAATTTCCCCTGCTAGCAGTTAAACTGGGAAACAAGCCAGTTCCTGTTCTCACACCTATAGCCTCAATGAGAGCACGAAATCTGCAACAGTGATCCACGGCTACAATTTAGCTGAGGATGGAGAGTTGGTTCATTCTACCAACTAACCATTTGAACTGGTAATTAACCATTAATTCAAGGTCTGGTTATATTCTCATTTTCAATGAACTGGCACTAGCACAGGCTGACTGTATGGAGTTTTTCTTTTTTGCAGCCATAAACCTTGAGTAGCTATAGGGTTTAAACCAATTCTGTTGAAATAATTGGACTTCAGATGACTCAAGTTACAACAAAAAGGACATTACAAAGGTACAATTTCCCTATAACACAGCATAATGTTCTCACTCTTTGCAGGTTCCCAGCTCTCTAAATGCCTAAAATACCAAAAATGTTGACATCGACTGACGGTGAACTGCAGCCGTTTAAGGCCACGAGTAGTACATTTGACATATGTTGATTTATTTTGCCCCTCGTTAATTTTGAAGCATTGTATGGAACCATACTTTGTGTTCTCTGTTCATCCATGTTTTCTTGTGGGATGCAGAAAGACATCAGGACTCCATGAAATAGCAGCGCAATGCAACCAAGGGAAGACCAAGACAACCAAAAATTTGCTGCAAATTCACATTTCCAGCACATCATTTCTGAACAGTGGGAACCTTGAGATGTTTCATAATGAACTGAAAGACTGAACTGAAGTGTTTGGCAACACACACACACACTCACACAAAAAAAGACTGTCACAATGGCCCCATGCCAAAACTGAAACCGTGGAAGTCTTTGGAAGCTTGTGCAATGTGTTACTCTTTTGACTTCATGTAAAGATCGTAGACTTTTGAAAAACAGCCACCAAATTTACTGGAATATGTTGCAGAATATTTGGGGGATGGGGCGGGAGACTAACAAAAAAACAACACTAACAAAAAATGACATCAAGAGGAATAGAACATATACAGAACATACCGACAAAAATGAAAAGAACCCGAACTCAGCAAAATAGTTTTTCCTTTATATGGAGGCCAAAAGCTATCACTTTCAAACTGTTACTTCTAACTGAAACAATAATTGGTTTAAAGCCACTGTGTATGTAGATATGTTGACTTTGTATTAAAGAAATGTTGTCTGAAAAACCAATCTGTGCATTCTTATTCAGTGATTTATTCAATATTTCATGTCTCCAGAGAACCCACTCACTGGGATATAATTCTTTGCAATGTACCGTATATAAAAAGTGGGCGTAATATTCCAATTTAGTGTTGAGAAATGAAGTAGGTGCTGAGTGCAAAGAAACTTCAGGTCTACTTGCTGCAGGATCTAACCCAAGAGGTCCACTATGCAGCAAGATTGAACATGTTTACAATTTAGGCGAAGGGATATGCGTAGATTGCATTATGAACTGCATTACAACAATATTGGTTCACATTCATTACTCTGCAAACTGCTGCAGATAAATCTGAGCTATAGGAGCGCGCAGGACAGACGATGAAGCACACAGATGGTGCACTTGGTTTGTTGATAGATGGCTTGATTAGTTTCCTGCTGTATTTGTCCACCAGACTCTCCACAAACAGATCCCCCAGCGTCCTTAAGCCCCTCTTCAAGCTTGATAAATGCCACCCAGACAGGCCGGTATTGGTGCAGCAGTAAACTTTCACCTGGTGCTATTTGCTCTCACATCTTTCCTGAAGTGAGCCTCCTCAGATATCTGATAACACAAATAGAATGATTGCAAACAAAAGAGAAGTGATGGTACAACGCTGCACTGTTTGCCTACTGCTAGCTTTAGATGACAGTCTGCAAACTGGAGTTTAACATGTAGTATATGGAATTTCAAATGAATTCAACTAAATACCTATAATAAGACAAACGTGTGAAAGAGGTAAAGGTGTCACTTTCTTATGAACTGCATTATAACAATATTGGTTAAGGTGTCACTTTCTTCTGCATACTCTTCTAGACATAAATTCATTAAATGTAGACACTGTGGGCTCTTTTTCTGTTCATGGACTTATGCTAACTGGACATTGTAGAGACTAAGTTTAATATCATTGAAATTATGGAGGCCTAATACATCCACTTTACCTAGACACAAATTACAGTGAAGTAGACTTATGTAGGTACTAAATTAATGCATGTCCTTTCAAGAGGACATTTTTAGAACAATTTTTTATCAGATCAATTAATTGGGACCAAACCAACACAGACAATCTTGTCTACCCAACTTGTGGGGACTTTTATGTGGACACACATTTGACAACACGGGGACATTGCATACATATATTGAATATATTGTGGGGACTCTTAACTGGACACACATTTGACAACACAGGGACATGGCGTATATATATTGAATACATTGTGGGGACTCTTATCTGGACACACGTTGGACATCATGGGGACATAGATTACATATATTAAATACATTGTGGGGACTCTTGTCCTGACACAAATTGGTCATCATGGGGACATACATTACATATATTGAATACATTGTGGGGACTTCATCTTGACACGCGTTGAACACCATGGGGACATAGAATACATATATTGAATACATTGTGGGGACTTCATCTTGACACACGTTGAACATCATGGGGACATAGATTACATATATTAAATACATTGTGGGGACTCTTGTCCTGACACAAATTGGTCATCATGGGGACATACATTACATATATTGAATACATTGTGGGGACTTCATCTTGACACACGTTGAACATCATGGGGACATAGATTACATATATTAAATACATTGTGGGGACTATTATCTTGACACACGTTAGACATCATGGGGACATAGCATACATATATTAAATACTTGTTGGGACTCTTATCTTGACATACATTGGACATCATGGGGACATAGCATACATATATTGAATACATTGTGGGGACACTTGTCCTGACACAAATTGGTCATCATGGGGACATACATATACATATATTGAATACATCGTGGGGACTTGACAAAAATGTTTAGTCAACTACGGCGACTCTATTGATACATTTTTGTTTAATGGCTATTTCAGTCGCTGTGGAATTAGAGTTAATAGGGTGGAAAATACAGCTCTTGTTAACCACTTTTCAAAGGTAATTACAGAGTATTTAATGGATTACATTTACAATTTTCATTTACAATTTTTTTTTTAAGATAAACTTGTTTGCATCTATTTACTCATGTCCTGGACACACTTATAAGAAAATAACTGCATAATATTTTATACCTTGTACTTTGTAGCCTGCATCCAGATTTTTACTCTCTAGTGTGGTTTCCCCTGCCTTTATCGTCGTGGCTGTTAAATTTTTGTGTGTATAGGGTGCACACAATGAGCTAAATAAGCGTCTTGTCACTTAAAAAAGCAATTTGTGAAACATTCTGCAAAGTCGCAGTAGTATTGTCATTGATTAAAGACTAATACTCGTAGAATGACAGCCTGTTTCAAGGATGACGTTACTAATTGTCTGCTCAGAGAGTGTGTTTCAGTCCATTCCTTTCTAATAGTGGCGAGCCAACAGAGCGAGTGTGAGGGCAGGCAAGGAAGTGAATTAGGGCGGTGATTATGCAGTGATTCAGACAGCAGCTCATTAGGACCCAGCTAAGCAAGCAATCAACGAATCGATGTGACAGTGGACCCAAAAGCCACAGAAATTTGTAATAAATGGCAAAGCGATAAATTGGATTATCCACAGCCCCGTGGCCAAGCTCCCTCTGCTGCAAATGACAAATCAATCCAATCATGCCACGAAAAGGAAAAAAAAAAGAGAAGCCAAAAGAACCAGAGAGAGTGGCCTCGTGTTGCACTGGCTGTGGAGGTGATCCATCTGAGATGTGCCTTGTTAGGGTTGTGGTTTTTCCAGAGGTCATTTCTGTATGATATTCAGGCCTCTAAAATATTCATGACAGACCATTAGCTGTTTATGGCCACCTTTTATAACAAGAGATTTACCGACATTTGAGCTCCAGCCAGAATACTAAAGGTGTCAGAGGAGTACCATGGCACATGCCTGCTGATTCACAGAGGAGAAAGCTGCTTTGCGCTGAGACAGTGATGATGCAAATGAGGCGCCGAGGAGCAATAATAAATAAATAAAAATGTCGAGACAGCAGGATCCCTTCTTACCTCAGGCTGCTCCGAGTGCAAGTGATGGATCTACTCCATTTGCCTGTCGAATCATGATCTCTGAATGTCACCAACATGACTGCTGAAGAGCTATCATAGGTGGATGAGAGAGGAGGTGACACTGATGGACAAAGATGAGGTGATAGATAGATAGATAGATAGATAGATAGATAGATAGATAGATAGATAGATAGATAGATAGATTTTTCACTTTCAGTCTTTTCTGTCTAAACTACGTTCTTTCTCTTCTCTTGGAGAAATCTGAGAGCTGTTCTCTTAAATGACTCTGCTGCCATCTGCAGGACATTAAATGTAATACCATCACTGTAATATCAAAATGAGGAGCATTTTCTATTCATCTAAATCAAAGTTAAACCTGCTTTAAATATTGTCTTCACTCCAAGCTCTTGTTTGATCATTTCTAAACATGAAATTTGCATATTATTGCTATACAGGAGTTTAGGATACATACATACATTTCATTGAAAAATTATATACATCGTCCTGTTTAATTGATGTATATAACCTTCATAGTATGGAGGCGTGCCTTGAGTGTTACATTTCTCTCCCTGCCTCTCCCGCAGACTGCCTGTTTGAGCATCTGCCAGCAGTAAACGTTGGCATTTTAAAACTGTGACTCCTGTGTTTATGCTGCCGTGCTGTTATTTCCCATCATCTGTTTTATGTTCCCTCCATCCTCTCCGTCTCTGTTTCCAGCCACAACTCCAGCACTGACTGATTGCTGCTGTAAAAACAGGTTCCTCTTGGAGGAGGAAGAAAGGCTCCCTCTTATTCCCACTCTTGCTCTCGGTCTCTTCACTCACTTGTCCTGTTTGTGTTTCATCTATTATTTTTATTTCTCTCTCTACACTATAAATGCTCCCTCCGTTTCTATTTGTAAAACTGCTGTACTAGTGGCCCTGCTCTGGTCACATCTGTGAGTACATATTCACAGCAATCAATTTCAAGTTTTCATTTTAAGGACACTTCTCTTAGAGTTTGAAAAACATTGGCAAGGTAAGTTTTATGTAAGAAAATCCAATTAAATTGTCTTAAAGGAAGGGTTCTCCCAGGAACGTGTGGGTGAACTGCATCTGTGTTTCTCTTTGCTTGTGTTGGATACGGGTTAATTCAATTCAAGGTGCTCAGCAGAATTCATTACTCTGATAACAAACTAGTTCAAACACAGCCCTTAACCGTCTGACATTGTTGGCTGTAGATTTCAGTCTGCTCCTTCATGGTCCATTTCTGGTTCTCTGTATTCAACTCTCTTTCTGTAAGTGATACATCTCTTGGGTACAAAACATCTTTGGAGTAATGCCTGTAGAAATTTATGCCACAAATGGATGCTGTCTCTGAGCCGGGTATAAACATTCACCTTTGGCTCAAACATTGATTCTCCTTAAAACAACAAAATACACACTCTCATACAGCCACTTTTTTACCTAAAGAAAAAAGCTTTATGTTGTTGCTGCAAAGATAAATACCTTTTGGAGTCAAGTCAATTTCCGCTGTTTGATTTGAAGTTTTTCTTGTAAGTAAGCAGCAGAAGCAAAAATGTTTTAAATAGACGTTTTTCTCCATGAACACTGCTGACAACTTCAAAGTGGTGGTAAACAATTTGAAGAAATAAAATGCAAAACTTCCTTCATCCCTCTCTGAGCTCCTCTAGAAGTTGATCCCCTCTTTTTAAATACCCTTTTCCCTCTCCTCTCCTTCACACTCTTCTTTCTATTAGCTTGTTTTGTACCACATCATTGTAGCCGATAGAGGTATTAAATTTTAATCATGAGCTGCCATAGCTCACAGCCTCTGCGCACTGACAAAAAATGACAGTACATCTACTTCTTGTTATTGTTGCCCTTATTGTTTCTTAGAAATCTAGTGAATAATTAAATCAAAGTGAGGCTTGTGCATTATTAATCAAGCCTTTGTTTCCCTTTGGCGATCTCAAGTACCTTTAAATAAAAGCCAATGTGTGCCCTTGGCTTTGCTTTTTCAGTATCAACTCCTCTCTGAATACAGTTTTGAAACACTGATTTTTTGCTATCTTAAAATTAGATGCTGCATATCAGAGAGTATTTCTTTGTGATTGCTCTTTGTCAAAGCTTTCTTGGATGAGGTGTTTGGCCAGCAACATCAAACGGGATGTTTTCTTGGCTCAGTGTTGGAAAATAAAGTCATATCTTTCTTGAGAGGGTCTCTATGTATGCCCCTAAAAGGACAAAGAATGAATGCCTCCTGTGAGAATCATCGTAAATAATGATGACCTGGCTTGGGTTTCAAGTCAGTCACCATTCACGGCCCACAAACTCTCTCAACCTTGTACAAAAGCTGGAAAGTCTTACATCACCTCAAAGCTGCTCTGCTGTGGTCATCCCTGAAAAACTCATTTGGACTTTAGTCTCGAATGTCAGCTAAAACACTGAGTTCATCACAAAAAAGGCTCAGTGCTGGGGGGGTAATGGCGCAGTAATGGGAAACAGAGCAACAGAATAATGGCAGAGGATAAAACCTTGCAGTGCTAACTCCTCTGTGAGGCTCTAGAGTGGATTTTACAGTAATGATTACGGATACATGAAACCATCAGCAGTGGAACCATTAAAGCCTCCCTGTAAACATGTCCATTTGAGCACAATTAAATACCAGAAGAGTGAGGGGTTTAAGATTGAGCTCTGACTAAAAAAATGATGGCAACAAATGTAACTCCTGGTTTACTAACAAAGGCTGACTCTTGAATCAGGGCTCTACCTGTTTGACCTTAAATCATGGTGTATCCATGCACTTATATTAATATAATAAATAATGAATAATGCTCAGTCTGCCATCATTGCTTGAACCAGAAAATATGAGCCCATTAAAGAGAGGGCGTTCACTAACCACTGCCTCCTCTGATGTTCACCACATAATGAAAAGAGCTCTCTGCCTGGGCTCTTTATGTTGATTTTATGGCTTTGGGAAGCAAAAGAAGTCCATGTTGCAAAAGTTATGACACTATGAGCTGAGCCACTCTGTATCTGTCTTTTGAATGTGGTGTGGGTATTTTCATTCACGATAGCATCTTGATTGGAGCTATTTGCAGCAATGCCAAGGCATGCACAGAGGCAATCTGGCAGGAGGAGCCGTGGGACCAGACACTGATGTATGTTGAGAGCACCAAGATGTTCCCTGTGGCCTGAGGGTCTATTTGGCCTTAAATGAGCGGTCAGTGAGTGAATAGACTGCTTTGAATGCATGCATCATCTCATGCAAGTGCATCTCTCACGGTGGGTTAATAGTGCTAATCTATCTGCCCTTGGGTTCCAGCCGCCGTTTGCAAAATATGATGTCATGACAAAGTGCCATGCAACATACATAACAATTGTCTACTCCCTGTTTCTGAACTGACATAAGGCAACATGATCACCATGGTGAAATGGAAAGGAGGGAAAAGAAGACAAGGAAATGGAGCAAAAAAAGAGAAAATTAGGAAGAAGAAAACCCTCGCCACAGACGCCACAAAATGGCTAAGCAGCCTTGCACAGAACAGCGTGGCAAAACATTATTAAATCCAAAGTCTATTTGGTCTTAATTTATGTCGCTGAGTTTTTATGTCTCTCAAAGTTGCACAGAAGGCAAGACTATCCTACAGATCACAGATGATCAATATTAAGCGACTGATTCAATTTTAAGTAAAAAAAAACAACATCTGTCTGCATGCATGGAAACTGTAAATGTGCCATATAAAACTGGTCAGTACGTGTCTATTGGTCTTAGTCTAACCCTAACCCTAACCCTAACCCTAACCCCTAACCCTAACCCTAACCCCTAACCCTAACCCTAACCCTAACCCTAGCTGCAACCCTAACCCTAACCCTAGCCTCAACCCTAACCCTAACCCTAGCTCCAACCCTAACCCTAACCCTAGCTACAACCCTAACCCTAACCCCAGCCTCAACCCTAACCCGTAACCCTAACCCTAGCTGCAACCCTAACCCTAACCCTAACTCCAACGCTAACCCTAACCCTAACCCAAGCTGCAACCCTAACGCTAACCCTAGCTCCAACCCTAAACCTATCCCTAGCTGCAACCCTAACCCTAACCTTAGCTGCAACCCTAACCCTAACCCTAACCCTAACCCTAACCCTAGCTCGAACCCTAACCCTAACCCTAACCCTGGCTCCTACCATAACCCTAACCCTAACCCTAACCCTAGCTTCAACCCTAACCCTAACCCTAGCTGCAACCCTAACCCTAACCCTAGCTCCAACCCTAACCCTAACCCTAGCTGCAACCCTAACCCTAACCCTAGCTCCAACCCTAACCCTAACCCTACCTGCAACCCAACCCTAACCCTAGCTCCAACCCTAACCCTAGCTGCAACCCTAACCCTAACCCTAGCTCCAACCCTAACCCTAACCCTAACCCTAGCTGCAACCCTAACCCTAACCCTAACCCTAGCTGCAACCCTAACCCTAACCCTAGCTCCAACCCTAACCCTAACCCTAACCCTAGCTGCAACCCTAACCCTAGCTCAAACCCTAACCCTTACCCTAACCCTAGCTGCAACCCTAACCCTAACCCTAACCCTAGCTGAAACCCTAACCCTAACCCTAACCCTAGCTGCAACCCTAACCCTAACCCTAACCCTAGCTGCAACCCTAACCCTAACCCTAGCTGCAACCCTAACCCTAACCCTAACCCTAACCCTAACCCTAGCTGCAACCCTAACCCTAGCTCAAACCCTTACCCTAACCCTAGCTGAAACCCTAACCCTAACCCTAACCCTAGCTGCAACCCTAACCCTAACCCTAACCCTAGCTGCAACCCTAACCCTAACCCTAACCCTAGCTCAAACCCTAACCCTAACCCTAGCTGCAACCCTGACCCTAACCCTAACCCTAGCTCCAACCCTAACCCTAACTCCAACCCTAACCCAAACCCTAGCTCCAACCCTAACCCTAACCATATCCCCAGCCTCAACCCTAACCCTAACCCTAGCTGCAACCCTAACCCTAACCCTAGCTCCAACCCTAACCCTAACTCCAACCCTAACCCTAACCCTAGCTCCAACCCTAACCCTAACCCTAACCCCAGCCTCAACCATAACCCTAACCCTAGCTGCAACCCTAACCCTAACTCCAACCCTAACCCTAACCCTAACCCTAGCTGCAACCCTAACCCTAACCCTAGCTCCAACCCTAACCCTAACCCTAACCCTAGCTGCAACCCTAACCCTAACCCTAACCCTAGCTCCAACCCTAACCCTAACCCTAGCTCCAACCATAACCCTAACCCTAACCCTAACCCTAGCTGCAACCCTAACCCTAGCTCCAACCCTAACCCTAACCCTAACCCTAGCTGCAAACCTAACCCTAACCCTAACCCTAGCTGCAACCCTAACCCTAACCCTAACCCTAGCTCCAACCCTAACCCTAACTCCAACCCTAACCCTAACCCTAGCTCCAACCCTAACCCTAATCATAACCCCAGCCTCAACCCTAACCCTAACCCTAGCTGCAACCCTAACCCTAACCCTAGCTGCAACCCTAACCCTAACCCTAACCCTAGCTGCAACCCTAACCCTAACCCTACCTGCAACCCTAACCCTAACCCTAACCCTAGCCTCAACCCTAACCCTAACCCTAACCCTAGCTGAAACCCTAACCCTAACCCTAACTCCAACGCTAACCCTAACCCTAACCCAAGCTGCAACCCTAACGCTAACCCTAGCTCCAACCCTAAACCTATCCCTAGCTGCAACCCTAACCCTAACCTTAGCTGCAACCCTAACCCTAACCCTAACCCTAACCCTAACCCTAGCTCGAACCCTAACCCTAACCCTAACCCTGGCTCCTACCATAACCCTAACCCTAACCCTAACCCTAGCTTCAACCCTAACCCTAACCCTAGCTGCAACCCTAACCCTAACCCTAGCTCCAACCCTAACCCTAACCCTAGCTGCAACCCTAACCCTAACCCTAGCTCCAACCCTAACCCTAACCCTACCTGCAACCCAAACCCTAACCCTAGCTCCAACCCTAACCCTAGCTGCAACCCTAACCCTAACCCTAGCTCCAACCCTAACCCTAACCCTAACCCTAGCTGCAACCCTAACCCTAACCCTAACCCTAGCTGCAACCCTAACCCTAACCCTAGCTCCAACCCTAACCCTAACCCTAACCCTAGCTGCAACCCTAACCCTAGCTCAAACCCTAACCCTTACCCTAACCCTAGCTGCAACCCTAACCCTAACCCTAACCCTAGCTGAAACCCTAACCCTAACCCTAACCCTAGCTGCAACCCTAACCCTAACCCTAACCCTAGCTGCAACCCTAACCCTAACCCTAGCTCCAACCCTAACCCTAACCCTAACCCTAACCCTAACCCTAGCTGCAACCCTAACCCTAGCTCAAACCCTTACCCTAACCCTAGCTGCAACCCTAACCCTAACCCTAACCCTAGCTGAAACCCTAACCCTAACCCTAACCCTAGCTGCAACCCTAACCCTAACCCTAACCCTAGCTGCAACCCTAACCCTAACCCTAACCCTAGCTCAAACCCTAACCCTAACCCTAGCTGCAACCCTGACCCTAACCCTAACCCTAGCTCCAACCCTAACCCTAACTCCAACCCTAACCCAAACCCTAGCTCCAACCCTAACCCTAACCATAACCCCAGCCTCAACCCTAACCCTAACCCTAGCTGCAACCCTAACCCTAACCCTAGCTCCAACCCTAACCCTAACTCCAACCCTAACCCTAACCCTAGCTCCAACCCTAACCCTAACCCTAACCCCAGCCTCAACCATTACCCTAACCCTAGCTGCAACCCTAACCCTAACTCCAACCCTAACCCTAACCCTAACCCTAGCTGCAACCCTAACCCTAACCCTAGCTCCAACCCTAACCCTAACCCTAACCCTAGCTGCAACCCTAACCCTAACCCTAACCCTAGCTCCAACCCTAACCCTAACCCTAGCTCCAACCATAACCCTAACCCTAACCCTAACCCTAGCTGCAACCCTAACCCTAGCTCCAACCCTAACCCTAACCCTAACCCTAGCTGCAAACCTAACCCTAACCCTAACCCTAGCTGCAACCCTAACCCTAACCCTAACCCTAGCTCCAACCCTAACCCTTACTCCAACCCTAACCCTAACCCTAGCTCCAACCCTAACCCTAATCATAACCCCAGCCTCAACCCTAACCCTAACCCTAGCTGCAACCCTAACCCTAACCCTAGCTGCAACCCTAACCCTAACCCTAACCCTAACCCTAGCTGCAACCCTAACCCTAACCCTACCTGCAACCCTAACCCTAACCCTAACCCTAGCCTCAACCCTAACCCTAACCCTAACCCTAGCTGCAACCCTAACCCTAACCCTAACTCCAACCCTAACCCTAACCCTAGCTCCAACCCTAACCCTAACCCTAGCTGCAACCCTAACCCTAACCCCAACCCCAGCCTCAACCCTAACCCTAACCCTAGCTGCAACCCTAACCCTAACCCCAACCCTAACCCTAAACCTAACCCTAGCTGCAACCCTAACCCTAACCCTAGCTCCAACCCTAACCCTAACCCTAGCTGCAACCCTAACCCTAACCCTAGCTAAAACCCTTACCCTAACCCTTGCTGCAACCCTAACCCTAGCTCCAACCCTAACCCTAACTCCAACCCTAACCCTAACCCTAGCTCCAACCCTAACCCTAACCCCAGCCTCAACCCTAACCCTAACTCAAACCCTAACCCTAACCCTAGCTGCAACCCTAACCCTAACCCTAGCGCCAACCCTAACCCTAACCCTAACTCAAACCCTAACCCTAACCCTAGCTCCAACCATAACCCTAACCCTAACCCTGACCCTAGCTGCAACCCTAACCCTAACCCTAACCCTAGCTCCAACCCTAACCCTAACCCAAACCCTAGCTGCAACACTAACCCTAACCCTAACCCTAGCTCAAACCCTAACCCTAACCCTAGCTCCAACCCTAACCCTAACCCTAACCCTAGCTGCAAACCTAACCCTAACCATAACCCTAGCTGCAACCCTAACCCTAACCCTAACCCTAACCCTAGCTTCAACCCTGACCCTAACCCTAACCCTAGCTCCAACCCTAACCCTAGCTCAAACCCTAACCCTAGCTCCAACCCTAACCCTAACCCTAACCCTAGCTGCAAACCTAACCCTAACCCTAACCCTAGCTGCAACCCTAACCCTAACCCTAACCCTAGCTTCAACACTAACCCTAACCCTAACCCTAGCTCAAACCCTAACCCTAACCCTAGCTCCAACCCTAACCCTAACCCTAACCCTAGCTGCAAACCTAACCCTAACCCTAACCCTAGCTGCAACCCTAACCCTAACCCTAACCCTAACTCTAGCTTCAACCCTGACCCTAACCCTAACCCTAGCTCCAACCCTAACCCTAACTCCAACCCTAACCCTAACCCTAGCTCCAACCCTAACCCTAACCATAACCCCAGCCTCAACCCTAACCCTAACCCTAGCTGCAACCCTAACCCTAACCCTAACCCTAGCTGCAACCCTAACCCTAACCCTAACCCTAGCTGCAACCCTAACCCTAACCCTAACCCTAACCCTAACCCTAGCTCAAACCCTAACCCTAACCCTAGCTCCAACCCTAACCCTAACCCTAACCCTAGCGGCAAACCTAACCCTAACCCTAACCCTAGCTGCAACCCTAACCCTAACCCTAACCCTAACCCTAGCTTCAACCCTGACCCTAACCCTAACCCTAGCTCCAACCCTAACCCTAACCCTAGCTCAAACCCTAACCCTAACCCTAGCTCCAACCCTAACCCTAACCCTAACCCTAGCTGCAAACCTAACCCTAACCCTAACCCTAGCTGCAACCCTAACCCTAGCTGAACCCTAACCCTAACCCTAGCTGCAACCTAACCCTAACCCTAACCCTAGCTCCCTAACCAACCCTAACCCTAACCCTAACCCTAACCCTAACCTAACCTAACCCTAACCCTACCAACAACCCTAACCCTAACCCTAACCCTAGCTCAACCTACCCAACCCTAACCCTAGCAACCCTAACCCTAGCTCAACCCAACCCTAACCCTAACCCTAACCCTAGCTGCAACCTAACCCTAACTAACCCAGCTCAACCCTAACCCTAACCCTAGCTCAACCCTAACCCTAACTCCTAACCCTAGCTCCAACCCTAACCCTAACTCCAACCCTAACCCTAACCCTAGCTCCAACCTAACCCTAATCACCCCCCAGCCTCAACCCTAACCCTAACCCTAGCTGCAACCCTAACCCTAACCCTAGCTGCAACCCTAACCCTAACCCTAACCCTAACCCTAACCCTAGCTGCAACCCTAACCCTAACCCTAACCCTAGCAAACCCTAACCCTAACTCCAACCCTAACCCTAAACCCTAACCCTAGCTGCAACCCTAACCCTAACCCTAGCTCCAACCCTAACCCTAACCCTAGCCTGCAACCCTAACCCTAACCCTAACCCTAACCCTAACCCTTGCACCCTAACCCTCTGCAACCCTAACCCTAACGCCAACCCTAGCTCGCAACCCTAACCCTAACCCTAACCCTAGCTCCAACCCTAACCGTAACCCTAGCTCAAACCCTAACACTAACCCTAACCCTAGCTCAAACCCTAACCCTAACTCCAACCCTAACCCTAACCCTAGCTGCAACCCTAACCCTAACCCTAGCTCCAACCCTAACCCTAACCCTAACCCTAGCTACAACCCTAACCCTAGCTCCAACCATAACCCTAACCCTAACCCTAACCCTAGCTGCAACCCTAACCCTAACCCTAACCCTAGCTCCAACCCTAACCCTAACCCTATCCAACCCTAACTGCAACACTAACCCTAACCCTAACCCTAGCTTAAACCCTAACCCTAGCTCCAACCATAACCCTAACCCTAGCTGCAACCCTAACCCTAACCCTAACCCTAGCTCGAACCCTAACCCTAACCCTAGCGCCAACCCTAGCTGCAACCCTAACCCTAGCCCTAGCTCCAACCCTAACCCTAACCCTAACCCTAGCTCCAACCCTAACCCCAACCGTAGCTACAACCCTAACCCTAAACCTAGCTGCAACCCTAACCCTAACCCTAGCTGCAACCTAACCCTAACCCTAACCCTAACCCTAGCTGCAACCCTAACCCTAACCCTCCAACCCTAACCCTAACCCTAACCCTAGCTGCAAACCCTAACCCTAACCCTAACCCTAGCTGCAACCCTAACCCTAACCCTAACCCTAGCTCAACCCTAACCCTAACCCTAGCTGCAACCCTGACCCTAACTCAAACCCTAGCCCAACCCTAACCCTACTCCAACCCTAACCCTAACCCTAGCTCCAACCCTAACCCTAACCCTCTAACCCTAGCCTCTCACCCTAACCCTAACCCTAGCTGCCCTAACCCTAACCCTAGCTGCAACCCTAACCCTAACCTCAACCCTAACCCTAACCCTAACCCTCTCAACCCTAACCCTAACCCTACCTGCAACCCTAACCCTAACCCTAACCCTAGCCTCAACCCTAACCCTAACCCTAACCCTAGCTGCAACCCTAACCCTAACCCTAACTCCAACCCTAACCCTAACCCTAGCTCCAACCCTAACCCTAATCCTAGCTGCAACCCTAACCCTAACCCCAACCCCAGCCTCAACCCTAACCCTAACCCTAGCTGCAACCCTAACCCTAACTCCAACCCTAACCCTAAACCTAACCCTAGCTGCAACCCTAACCCTAACCCTAGCTCCAACCCTAACCCTAACCCTAGCTGCACCCTAACCCTAACCCTAGCTAAAACCCTACCCTAACCCTTGCTGCAACCCTAACCCTAGCTCCAACCCTAACCCTAGCTCCAACCCTAACCCTAACCCTAACCCTAGCTCAACCCTATCCATAACCCTAACCCTAGCTCCAACCTTAACCCTAACCCTAACCCTAGCTGCAACACTAACCCTAACCCTAACCCTAGCTCAAACCCTACCCCTAGCTCCAACCATAACCCTAACCCTAACCCTAGCTGCAACCCTTACCCTAACCCTAACCCTAGCTCGAACCCTAACCCTAACCCTAGCGCCAACCCTAGCTGCAACCCTAACCCTAACCCTAACCATGGCTCCAACCCTAAACCTAACCCTAACCCTAACCCTAACCCTAGCTACAACCCTAATCCTAGCTCCAACCTTAACCCTAACCCTATCCCTAACCCTAGCTGCAACCCTAACCCTAACCCTAACCCTAGCTCCAGCCCTAACCCTAACCCTAACCCTAACTCCAACCCTAACCCTAACCGTAGCTCCAACCCTAACCCTAACCCTAGCTCCAACCCTAACCCTAACCCTAGCTCCAACCCTAACCCTAACCCTAACCCTAGCTGCAACCCTAACCCTAACCCTAGCTCCAACCCTAACCCTAACCCTAACCCTAGCTGCAACCCTAACCCTAACCCTAACCCTAGCTCAACCCTAACCCTAACCCTACCCTGCTAACCCTAACCCTAACCCTAACCCTAACCCTAGCTGCAACCCTAACCCTAGCTCCAACCCTAACCCTAACCCTAACCCTAACCCTAGCTGCAACCCTAACCCTAGCTGCAACCCTAACCCTAACCCTAACCCTAGCTGCAACCCTAACCCTAACCCTAACCCTAGCTGCAACCCTAACCCTAACCCTAACCCTAGCTCCAACCCTAACCCTAACCCTAGCTCAAACCCTAACCCTAACCCTAACCCTAGCTCCAACCCTAACCCTAACTCCAACCCTAACCCTAACCCTAGCTGCAACCCTAATCCTAACCCTAGCTCCAACCCTAACCCTAACCCTAACCCTAGCTCCAACCCTAACCCTAGCTCCAACCTTAACCCTAACCCTAACCCTAACCCTAGCTGCAACCCTAACCCTAACCCTAACTCCAACCCTAACCCTAACCCTAGCTGCAACCCTAACCCTAACCCTAACCCTAGCTCCAACCCTAACCCTAACCCTAGCTGCAACCTAACCCTAACCCTAACCCTAGCTCAAACCCCCTAACCCTAGCTCCAACCCTAACCCTAACCCTAGCTGCAACCCTAACCCTAACCCTAACCCTAGCTCAACCCTAACCCTAACCCTAGCTCCAACCCTAGCTGCAACCCTAACCCTAATACCCTAGCTGCAACCCTAACCCTAACCCTAGCTCCAACCCTAACCCTAACCCTAGCTCCAACCCTAGCTGCAACCCTAACCCTAACCCTAACCCTAGCTGCAACCCAACCCTAACCCTAACCCTAGCTCCAACCATAACCTAACCCTAACCCTAACCTAGCTGCAACCCTAACCCTAACCCTAGCTCCAACCCTAACCCTAACCCTAGCTCCAACCCTAACCCTAACCCTAACCTAGCTCAACCCTAACCCTAACCCTAACTCCAACCCTAACCCTAACCCTAGCTGCAACCCTAACCCTAACCCTAGCTCCAACCCTAACCCTAACCCTAACCATAGCTCCAACCCTAACCCTAACCCTAGCTCAAACCTAACCCTAACCCTAACCCTAGCTGCAAACCCTAACCCTAACCCTAACCCTAGCTGCAACCCTAACCCTAACCCTAGCTCAACAACCCTAACCCTAACCCTAGCTGCAAACCCTAACCCTAACCCTAACCCTAGCTCCAACCATAACCCTAACCCAACCCTAACCCTAGCTCCAACCCTAACCCTAACCCTAGCTCCAACCCTAACCCTAACCCTAACTCCAACCCTAGCTGCAACCCTAACCCTAACACTACCCTAACTCCAACCCTAACCCCCTACCCTAACCCTAGCTCCAACCCTAACCCTAACCCTAAACCCTAACCCTAACCCTAGCTGCAACCCTAACCCTAACCCTAGCTCAACCCTAACCCTAACCCTAGCTGCAACACTAACCCTAACCCTAGCTCCAACCATAACCCTAACCCTAACCCTAGCTGCAACCCTAACCCTAACCCTAGCTCCAACCCTAACCCTAACCCTAGCTGCAACACTAACCCTAACCCTAACCCTAGCTGCAACCCTAACCCTAACCCTAACCCTAGCACCAACCCTAACCCTAACCCTAACTCCAACCCTAACCCTAACCCTAGCTCCAACCCTAACCCTAACCCTAACTCCAACCCTAACCCTAACCCTAGCTCAAACCCTAAACCTAACCCTAACCCTAGCTGCAAACCTAACCCTAACCCTAACCCTAGCTGCAACCCTAACCCTAACCCTAGCTCTTACCCTAACCCTAACCCTAGCTGCAACCCTAACCCTAACCCTAACCCTAGCTCCACTCGAACCCTAACCCTAACCCTAACCCTAGCTCCAACCCTAACCTTAACCCTAGCTCCAACCCTAACCCTAACCCTTTCCTCAACCCCAACCCTAACCCTAGCTGCAACCCTAACCCTACCCTCAACCCTAAACCTAACCCTAACCCTAGCTGCAACCCTAACCCTAACCCAAACTCCAACCCTAACCCTAACCCTAGCTCCAACCATAACCCTAACCCTAACCCTAGCTGCAACCCTAACCCTAACCCTAACCCTAGCTGCAAACCTAACCCTAACCTTAACCCTAGCTGCAACCCTAACCCTAACCCTAACCCTAGCTTTAACCCTAACCCTAACTCCAACCCTAACCCTAACCCTAGCTCCAACCCTAACCCTAACCCTAGCTGCAACCCTAACCCTAACCCCAACCCCAGCCTCAACCCTAACCCTAACCCTAGCTGCAACCCTAACCCTAACCCTAGCTCAACCCTAACCCTAACCCTAGCTGCAACCCTAACCCTAACCCTAGCTCCAACCCTAACCCTAACCCTAGCTGCAACCCAACCCTAACCCTAGCTCAAACCCTTACCCTAACCCTAGCTGCAACCCTAACCCTAACCCTAGCTCCAACCCTAACCCTAACTCCAACCCTAACCCTAACCCTAGCTCCAACCCTAACCCTAACCCCAGCCTCAACCCTAACCCTAACCCTTACTCCAACCCTAAACCTAACCCTAGCTGCAACCCTAACCCTAACCCTGGCTCCAACCCTAACCCTAACCCTAACCCTAGCTACAACCCTAACCCTAACCCTAACCCTAGCTCCAACCATAACCCTAACCCTAACCCTAACCCTAGCTGCAACCCTAACCCTAACCCTAACTCTAACCCTAACCCTAACCCTAGTTGCAACACTAACCCTAACCCTAACCCTAGCTCAAACCCTAACCCTAACCCTAGCTGCAACCCTAACCCTAACCCTAACCCTAGCTCCAACCCTAACCCTAACCCTAGCTCCAACCCTAACCCTAACCCTAACCCTAGCTCCAACCCTAACCCTAACCCTAACCCTAGCTCCAACCATAACTCTAACCCTAACCCTAACCCTAGCTGCAACCCTAACCCTAACCCTAGCTCCAACCCTAACCCTAACCCTAACTCCAACCCTAACCCTAACCCTAGCTCCAACCCTAACCCTAACCCTAGCTGCAACCCTAACCCTAACCCTCGCTCCAACCATAACCCTAACCCTAGCTGCAACCCTAACCCTAACCCTAGCTCCAACCCTAACCCTAACCCTAGCTGCAACACTAACCATAACCCTAACCCTAGCTGCAACCCTAACCCTAACCCTTACCCGAGCTCCAACCCTAACCCTAACCCTAACTCCAACCCTAACCCTAACCCTAACCCTAGCTGCAACCCTAACCCTAACCCTAGCTCCAACCCTAACCCTAACCCTAACCCTTGCTACAACCCTAACCCTAACCCCAACCCTAGCTCAAACCTTAACCCTAACCCTAACCCTAACCCTAGCTGCAACCCTAACCCTAACCCTAACCCTAGCTCCAACCCTAACCCTAACCCTAACCCTAGCTGCAACCCTAACCCTAACCCTAACCCTAGCTCAAACCCTAACCCTAACCCCAGCCTCAACCCTAACCCTAACCCTTACTCCAACCCTAACCCTAACCCTAGCTGCAACCCTAACCCTAACCCTGGCTCCAACCCTAACCCTAACCCTAACCCTAACCCTAGCTACAACCCTAACCCTAACCCTAGCTCCAACCATAACCCTAACCCTAACCCTAGCTGCAACCCTAACCCTAACCCTAACCCTAGCTCCAACCCTAACCCTAACCCTAACCCTAGCTGCAACACTAACCCTAACCCTAACCCTAACCCTAGCTCAAACCCTAACCCTAACCCTAGCTCCAACCCTAACCCTAACCCTAACCCTAACCCTAGCTGCAACCCTAACCCTAACCCTAACCCTAGCTGCAACACTAACCCTAACCCTAACCCTAGCTCAAAACCCTAACCCTAGCTCCAACCATAACCCTAACCCTAACCCTAACCCTAGCTGCAACCCTAACCCTAACCCTAGCTCCAACCCTAACCCTAACCCTAACCCTAGCTGCAACCCTAACCCTAACCCTAACTCCAACCCTAACCCTAACCCTAACCCTAACCCTAGCTGCAACCCTAACCCTAACCCTAGCTCCAACCCTAACCCTAACCCTAACCCTAGCTCCAACCCTAACCCTAACCCTAGCTCCAACCCTAACCCTAACCCTAGCTCCAACCCTAACCCTAGCCCTAACCCTAACCCTAACCCTAACCCTAGCTGCAACCCTAACCCTAACCCTAACCCTAGCTCCAACCCTAACCCTAACCCTAACCCTAGCTCCAACCCTAACCCTAACCCTAGCTCCAACCCTAACCCTAACCCTAGCTCCAACCCTAACCCTAACCCTAGCTGCAACCCTAACCCTAACCCTAGCTCCAACCATAACCATAACCCTAACCCTAGCTGCAACCCAAACCCTAACCCTAAACCTAGCTCCAACCCTAACCCTTACCCTAGCTGCAACACTAACCCTAACCCTAACCCTAGCTGCAACCCTAACCCTAACCCTTACCCTAGCACCAACCCTAACCCTAACCCTAACTCCAACCCTAACCCTAACCCTAGCTCAACCCTAACCCTAACCCTAGCTCCAACCCTAACCCTAACCCTAGCTCCAACCATAACCCTAACCCTAACCCTAACCCTAGCTGCAACCCTAACCCTAACCCTAGCTGCAACCCTAACCCTAACCCTAGCTCCAACCTTAACCCTAACCCTATCTGCAACACTAACCCTAACCCTAGCTCCAACCCTAACCCTAACCCTAGCTGCAACCCAACCCTAACCCTAGCTCAAACCCTTACCCTAACCCTAGCTGCAACCCTAACCCTAACCCTAGCTCAAACCCTAACCCTAACTCCAACCCTAACCCTAACCCTAGCTCCAACCCTAACCCTAACCCCAGCCTCAACCCTAACCCTAACCCTAACTCCAACCCTATCCCTAACCCTAGCTGCAACCCTACCCTAACCCTAGCTCCAACCCTAACCCTAACCCTAACCGTAGCTACAACCCTAACCCTAACCCTAACCCTAGCTCCAACCATAACCCTAACCCTAACCCTAACCCTAGCTGCAACCCTAACCCTAACCCTAACCCTAGCTCCAACCCTAACCCTAACCCTAACCCTAGCTGCAACCCTAACCCTAACCCTAACTCCAAAACTAACCCTAACCCTAACCCTAGCTGCAACCCTAACCCTAACCCTAGCTCCAACCCTAACCCTAACCCTAACCCTAGCTCCAACCCTAACCCTAACCGTAGCTCCAACCCTAACCCTAACCCTAGCTCCAACCCTAACCATAACCCTAACCCTAACCCTAGCTCCAACCCTAACCCTAACCCTAGCTGCAACACTAACCCTAACCCTAACCCTAGCTGCAACCCTAACCCTAACCCTTACCCTAGCACCAACCCTAACCCTAACCCTAGCTGCAACCCTAACCCTAACCCTAACTCCAACCCTAACCCTAACCCTAACCCTAGCTGCAACCCTAACCCTAACCCTAGCTCCAACCCTAACCCTAACCCTAACCCTAGCTGCAACCCTGACCCTAACCCTAACCCTAGCTCCAACCCTAACCCTAACTCCAACCCTAACCCTAACCCTAGCTCCAACCCTAACCCTAACCCTAACCCTAGCTCCAACCCTAACTCTAACCCTAACTCCAACCCTAACCCTAACCCGAACCCCAGCCTCAACCCTTACCCTAACCCTAACCCTAACCCTAACCCTAGCTGCAACCCTAACCCTAACCCTAACCCTAGCTCCGTCCCTAACCCTAACCCTAGCTCCAACCATAACCCTAACCCTAACCCTAACCCTAGCTGCAACCGTAACCCTAGCTCCAACCATAACCCTAACCCTAACCCTAGCTGCAACCCTAACCCTAGCTGCAACCCTAACCCTAACCTTAACCCTAGCTGCAACCCTAACCCTAACCCTAACCCTAGCTTCAACCCTAACCCTAACCCTAACCCTAGCTGCAACCCTAACCCTAACCCTAGCTCAAACCCTAACCCTAACCCTAACCCTAGCTCCAACCCTAACCCTAACCCTAGCTCCAACCCTAACCCTAACCCTAACCCTAGCTACAACCCTAACCCTAGCTCCAACCTTAACCCTAACCCTAACCCTAACCCTAGCTGCAACCCTAACCCTAACCCTAACCCTAACCCTAGCTCCAACCCTAACCCTAACCCTAACCCTAGCTGCAACCCTAACCCTAACCCTAACCCTAGCTCCAACCCTAACCCTAACCCTAACCCTAGCTGCAACACTAACCCTAACCCTAACCCTAGCTCAAACCCTAACCCTAGCTCCAACCATAACCCTAACCCTAGCTGCAACCCTAACCCTAACCCTAACCCTAACCCTAACCCTAGCTCCAACCCTAACCCTAACCCAACCCTAACCCTAACCCTAGCTGCAACCCTAACCCTAACCCTAACCCTAGCTCCAACCCTAACCCTAACCCTAACTCCAACCCTAACCCTAACCCGAACCCCAGCCTCAACCCTTAACCCTAACCCTAACCCTAACCCTAACCCTAGCTGCAACCCTAACCCTAACCCTAACCCTAGCTCCGTCCCTAACCCTAACCCTAGCTCCAACCATAACCCTAACCCTAACCCTAACCCTAGCTGCAACCGTAACCCTAGCTCCAACCATAACCCTAACCCTAACCCTAGCTGCAACCCTAACCCTAGCTGCAACCCTAACCCTAACCCTAACCCTAGCTGCAACCCTAACCCTAACCCTAACCCTAGCTGCAACCCTAACCCTAACCCTAACCCTAGCTGCAACCCTAACCCTAACCCTAGCTCAAACCCTAACCCTAACCCTAACCCTAGCTGCAACCCTAACCCTAACCCTAGCTCCAACCCTAACCCTAACCCTAACCCTAGCTACAACCCTAACCCTAGCTCCAACCTTAACCCTAACCCTAACCCTAACCCTAGCTGCAACCCTAACCCTAACCCTAACCCTAACCCTAGCTCCAACCCTAACCCTAACCCTAACCCTAGCTGCAACCCTAACCCTAACCCTAACCCTAGCTCCAACCCTAACCCTAACCCTAACCCTAGCTGCAACACTAACCCTAACCCTAACCCTAGCTCAAACCCTAACCCTAGCTCCAACCATAACCCTAGCCCTAGCTGCAACCCTAACCCTAACCCTAGCTCCAACCCTAACCCTAACCCTAGCTCAAACCCTAACCCTAACCCTAACCCTAGCTCCAACCCTAACCCTAACCCTAGCTGCAACACTAACCCTAACCCTAACCCTAGCTGCAACCCTAACCCTAACCCTAACCCTAGCACCAACCCTAACCCTAACCCTAACTCCAACCCTAACCCTAACCCTAGCTCCAACCCTAACCCTACCTAGCTGCAACCCTAACCCTAACCCTAGCTCAAACCATAACCCTAACCCTAACCCTAGCTGCAAACCTAACCCTAACTCTAACCCTAGCTGCAACCCTAACCCTAACCCTAGCTCCAACCCTAACCCTAACCCTAGCTGCAACCCTAACCCTAACCCTAACCCTAGCTCCGACTCGAACCATAACTCCAACCCTAACCCTAGCTCCAACCATAACCCTAACCCTAGCTCCAACCCTAACCCTAACCCTTTCCTCAACCCCAAACCTAACCCTAGCTGCAACCCTCACCCTACCCTCAACCCTAAACCTAACCCTAACCCTAGCTGCAACCCTAACCCTAACCCAAACTCCAACCCTAACCCTAACCCTAGCTCCAACCATAACCATAACCATAACCCTAGCTGCAACCCTAACCATAACCCTAACCCTAACCCTAGCTGCAACCCTAACCCTAACCCTAACCCTAGCTCGAACCCTAACCCTAACCCTAGCGCCAACCCTAGCTGCAACCCTAACCCTAACCCTAACCCTAGCTCCAACCCTAACCCTAACCCTAACCCCAACCCTAACCCTAACCGTAGCTCCAACACTAACCCTAACACTAGCTCCAACCATAACCATAACCCTAACCCTAGCTGCAACCCAAACCCTAACCCTAACCCTAGCTCCAACCCTAACCCTAACCCTAGCTGCAACACTAACCCTAACCCTAACCCTAGCTGCAAACCTAACCCTAACCCTTACCCTAGCACCAACCCTAACCCTAACCCTAACTCCAACCCTAACCCTAACCCTAGCTCCAACCCTAACCCTAACCCTAACTCCAACCCTAACCCTAACCCTAGCTCAAACCATAACCCTAACCCTAACCCTAGCTGCAAACCTAACCCTAACCCTAACCCTAGCTGCAACCCTAACCCTAACCCTAGCTCCAACCCTAACCCTACCTAGCTGCAACCCTAACCCTAACCCTAACCCTAGCTCCGACTCGAACCATAACTCCAACCCTAACCCTAGCTGCAACCATAACCCTAACCCTAACCCTAACCCTAGCTGCAACCGTAACCCTAGCTCCACCCATAACCCTAACCCTAACCCTAACCCTAGCTGCAACCCTAACCCTAGCTGCAACCCTAACCCTAACCTTAACCCTAGCTGCAACCCTAACCCTAACCCTAACCCTAACTGCAACCTAACCCTAACCCTAACCCTAGCTCCAACCCTAACCCTAACCCTAGCTCAAACCCTAACCCTAACCCTAACCCTAGCTCCAACCCTAACCCTAACTCAAACCCTAACCCTAACCCTAGCTGCAACCCTAACCCTAACCCTAGCTCCAACCCTAACCTTAACCCTAACCCTAGCTACAACCCTAACCCTAGCTCCAACCTTAACCCTAACCCTAACCCTAACCCTAGCTGCAACCCTAACCCTAACCCTAACCCTAGCTCCAACCCTAACCCTAACCCTAACCCTAGCTGCAACCCTAACCCTAACCCTAACACTAGCTCCAACCTTAACCCTAACCCTAACCCTAGCTGCAACACTAACCCTAACCCTAACCCTAGCTCAAACCCTAACCCTAGCTCCAACCATAACCCTAACCCTAACCCTAACCCTAGCTGCAACCCTAACCCTAACCCTAACCCTAGCTCGAACCCTAACCCTAACCCTAGCGCCAACCCTAGCTGCAACCCTAACCCTAACCCAACCCTAGCTCCAACCCTAACCCTAACCCTAACCCTAACCCTAACCCTAGCTCCAACCCTAACCCTAACCCTAACCCTAGCTGCAACCCTAACCCTAACCCTAACCCTAGCTCCAACCCTAACCCTAACCCTAGCTGCAACCCTAACCCTAGCTGCAACCCTAACCCTAACCTTAACCCTAGCTGCAACCCTAACCCTAACCCTAACCCTAGCTGCAACCCTAACCCTAACCCTAACCCTAGCTCCAACCCTAACCCTAACCCTAGCTCAAACCCTAACCCTAACCCTAACCCTAGCTCCAACCCTAACCCTAACTCCAACCCTAACCCTAACCCTAGCTGCAACCCTAACCCTAACCCTAGCTCCAACCCTAACCCTAACCCTACCTACAACCCTAACCCTAGCTCCAACCTTAACCCTAACCCTAACCCTAACCCTAGCTGCAACCCTCACCCTAACCCTAACCCTAGCTCCAACCCTAACCCTAACCCTAACCCTAGCTGCAACCCTATCCATAACCCTAACCCTAGCTCCAACCTTAACCCTAACCCTAACCCTAGCTGCAACACTAACCCTAACCCTAACCCTAGCTCAAACCCTACCCCTAGCTCCAACCATAACCCTAACCCTAACCCTAGCTGCAACCCTTACCCTAACCCTAACCCTAGCTCGAACCCTAACCCTAACCCTAGCGCCAACCCTAGCTGCAACCCTAACCCTAACCCTAACCCTAACCCTAGCTCCAACCCTAAACCTAACCCTAACCCTAACCCTAACCCTAGCTACAACCCTAACCCTAGCTCCAACCTTAACCCTAACCCTATCCCTAACCCTAGCTGCAACCCTAACCCTAACCCTAACCCTAGCTCCAACCCTAACCCTAACCCTAGCTCCAACCCTAACCCTAACCGTAGCTCCAACCCTAACCCTAACCCTAGCTCCAACCCTAACCCTAACCCTAGCTCCAACCCTAACCCTAACCCTAACCCTAGCTGCAACCCTAACCCTAACCCTAGCTCCAACCCTAACCCTAACCCTAACCCTAGCTGCAACCCTAACCCTAACCCTAACCCTAGCTCCAACCCTAACCCTAACCCTTGCTCCAACCATAACCCTAACCCTAACCCTAGCTGCAACCCTAACCCTAGCTGCAACCCTAACCCTAACCTTAACCCTAGCTGCAACCCTAACCCTAACCCTAACCCTAGCTGCAACCCTAACCCTAACCCTAACCCTAGCTCCAACCCTAACCGTAACCCTAGCTCAAACCCTAACACTAACCCTAACCCTAGCTCCAACCCTAACCCTAACTCCAACCCTAACCCTAACCCTAGCTGCAACCCTAATCCTAACCCTAGCTCCAACCCTAACCCTAACCCTAACCCTAGCTACAACCCTAACCCTAGCTCCAACCTTAACCCTAACCCTAACCCTAACCCTAGCTGCAACCCTAACCCTAACCCTAACTCCAACCATAACCCTAACCCTAGCTGCAACCCTAACCCTAACCCTAGCTCCAACCCTAACTGCAACACTAACCCTAACCCTAACCCTAGCTTAAACCCTAACCCTAGCTCCAACCATAACCCTAACCCTAGCTGCAACCCTAACCCTAACCCTAACCCTAGCTCGAACCCTAACCCTAACCCTAGCGCCAACCCTAGCTGCAACCCTAACCCTAACCCTAGCTCCAACCCTAACCCTAACCCTAACCCTAGCTCCAACCCTAACCCCAACCGTAGCTACAACCCTAACCCTAAACCTAGCTCCAACCCTAACCCTAACCCTAGCTGCAACACTAACCCTAACCCTAGCTCCAACCCTAACCCTAACCCTAACCCTAGCTGCAACCCTAACCCTAACCCTAACCCTAGCTCCAACCCTAACCCTAACCCTAACCCTAGCTGCAACCCTAACCCTAACCCTAACTCCAACACTAACCCTAACCCTAACCCTAGCTGCAACCCTAACCCTAACCCTAGCTCCAACCCTAACCCTAACCCTAACCCTAGCTCCAACCCTAACCCTAACCGTAGCTCCAACCCTAACCCTAACCCTAGCTCCAACCCTAACCCTAGCTCAAACCCTAACCCTAACCCTAACCCTAACCCTAACCCTAGCTGCAACCCTAACCCTAACCCTAACCCTAGCTCCAACCCTAACCCTAACCCTAACCCTAGCTCCAACCCTAACCCTAACCGTAGCTCCAACCCTAACCCTAACCCTAGCTCCAACCCTAACCCTAACCCTAGCTGCAACCGTAACCCTAACCTTAACCCTAGCTGCAACCCTAACCCTAACCCTAACCCTAGCTGCAACCTAACCCTAAACCTAACCCTAGCTCCAACCCTAACCCTAACCCTAGCTCAAACCCTAACCCTAACCCTAACCCTAGCTCCAACCCTAACCCTAACTCCAACCCTAACCCTAACCCTAGCTGCAACCCTAACCCTAACCCTAGCTCCAACCCTAACCCTAGCTACAACCCTAACCCTAGCTCCAACCTTAACCCTAACCCTAACCCTAACCCTAGCTGCAACCCTAACCCTAACCCTAACCCTAGCTCCAACCCTAACCCTAACCCTAACCCTAGCTGCAACCCTATCCATAACCCTAACCCTAGCTCCAACCTTAACCCTAACCCTAACCCTAGCTGCAACACTAACCCTAACCCTAACCCTAGCTCAAACCCTAACCCTAGCTCCAACCATAACCCTAACCCTAACCCTAGCTGCAACCCTTACCCTAACCCTAACCCTAGCTCGAACCCTAACCCTAACCCTAGCGCCAACCCTAGCTGCAACCCTAACCCTAACCCTAACCATGGCTCCAACCCTAAACCTAACCCTAACCCTAACCCTAACCCTAGCTACAACCCTAATCCTAGCTCCAACCTTAACCCTAACCCTATCCCTAACCCTAGCTGCAACCCTAACCCTAACCCTAACCCTAGCTCCAGCCCTAACCCTAACCCTAACCCTAACTCCAACCCTAACCCTAACCGTAGCTCCAACCCTAACCCTAACCCTAGCTCCAACCCTAACCCTAACCCTAGCTCCAACCCTAACCCTAACCCTAACCCTAGCTGCAACCCTAACCCTAACCCTAGCTCCAACCCTAACCCTAACCCTAACCCTAGCTGCAACCCTAACCCTAACCCTAACCCTAGCTCCAACCCTAACCCTAACCCTTGCTCCAACCATAACCCTAACCCTAACCCTAACCCTAGCTGCAACCGTAACCCTAGCTCCAACCATAACCCTAACCCTAACCCTAGCTGCAACCCTAACCCTAGCTGCAACCCTAACCCTAACCTTAACCCTAGCTGCAACCCTAACCCTAACCCTAACCCTAGCTGCAACCCTAACCCTAACCCTAACCCTAGCTCCAACCCTAACCCTAACCCTAGCTCAAACCCTAACCCTAACCCTAACCCTAGCTCCAACCCTAACCCTAACTCCAACCCTAACCCTAACCCTAGCTGCAACCCTAACCCTAACCCTAGCTCCAACCCTAACCCTAACCCTAACCCTAGCTCCAACCCTAACCCTAGCTCCAACCTTAACCCTAACCCTAACCCTAACCCTAGCTGCAACCCTAACCCTAACCCTAGCTCCAACCCTAACCCTAACCCTAGCTGCAACCCTAACCCTAACCCTAACCCTAGCTCCAACCCTAACCCTAACCCTAGCTGCAACACTAACCCTACCCCTAACCCTAGCTTAAACCCTAACCCTAGCTCCAACCATAACCCTAACCCTAGCTGCAACCCTAACCCTAACCCTAACCCTAGCTCGAACCCTAACCCTAACCCTAGCGCCAACCCTAGCTGCAACCCTAACCCTAACCCTAGCCCTAGCTCCAACCCTAACCCTAACCCTAACCCTAGCTCCAACCCTAACCCCAACCGTAGCTACAACCCTAACCCTAAACCTAGCTCCAACCCTAACCCTAACCCTAGCTGCAACACTAACCCTAACCCTAGCTCCAACCATAACCCTAACCCTAACCCTAGCTGCAACCCAAACCCTAACCCTAACCCTAGCTCCAACCCTAACCCTAACCCTAGCTGCAACACTAACCCTAACCCTAACCCTAGCTGCAACCCTAACCCTAACCCTTACCCTAGCACCAACCCTAACCCTAACCCTGACTCCAACCCTTACCCTAACCCTAGCTCCGACCCTAACCCTAACCCTAACTCCAACCCTAACCCTAACCCTAGCTCAAACCATAACCCTAACCCTAACCCTAGCTGCAAACCTAACCCTAACCCTAACCCTAGCTGCAACCCTAACCCTAACCCTAGCTCCAACCCTAACCCTACCTAGCTGCAAACCTAACCCTAACCCTAACCCTAGCTCCAACTCGAACCATAACTCCAACCCTAACCCTAGCTCCAACCATAACCTTAACCCTAGCTCCAACCCTAACCCTAACCCTTTCCTCAACCCCAACCCTAACCCTAGCTGCAACCCTCACCCTACCCTCAACACTAAACCTAACCCTAACCCTAACCCCTAACCCTGACCCTAAACCTAGCTCGCACCCTAACCCTAACCCTAACCCTAGCTCCAACCCTAACCCTAACCGTAGCTCCAACCCTAACCCTAACTCTAGCTTCAACCCTAACCCTAACCCTAGCTGCAACACTAACCCTAACCCTAGCTCCAACCATAACCATTACCCTAACCCTAGCTGCAACCCAAACCCTAACCCTAACCCTAGCTCCAACCCTAACCCTAACCCTAGCTGCAACACTAACCCTAACCCTAACCCTAGCTGCAACCCTAACCCTAACCCTTACCCTAGCACCAACCCTAACCCTAACCCTAACTCCAACCCTAACCCTAACCCTAGCTCCGACCCTAACCCTAACCCTAACTCCAACCCTAACCCTAACCCTAGCTCAAACCCTAAACCTAACCCTAACCCTAGCTGCAAACCTAACCCTAACCGTAACCCTAGCTGCAACCCTAACCCTAACCCTAGCTCCAACCCTAACCCTAACCCTACCTAGCTGCAACCCTAACCCTAACCCTAACCCTAGCTCCGACTCGAACCATAACTCCAACCCTAACCCTAGCTCATACCATAACCCTAACCCTAGCTCCAACCCTAACCCTAATCCTTGCCTCAACCCCAACCCTAACCCTAGCTGCAACCCTAACCCTACCCTCAACCCTAAACCTAACCCTAACCCTAGCTGCAACCCTAACCCTAGCCCAAACTCCAACCCTAACCCTAACCCTAGCTCCAACCATAACCATAACCCTAACCCTAGCTGCAACCCTAACCCTAACCCTAACCCTAGCTGCAACCCTAACCCTAACCCTAACCCTAGCCTCAACCCTAACCCTAACCCTAACCCTAGCTTTAACCCTAACCCTAACTCCAACCCTAACCCTAACCCTAGCTCCAACCCTAACCCTAACCCTAGCTGCAACCCTAACCCTAACCCCAACCCCAGCCTCAACCCTAACCCTAAACCTAGCTCCAACCCTAACCCTAACCCTAGCTGCAACCCTAACCCTAACCCTAGCTGCAACCCTAACCCTAACCCTAGCTCCAACCCTAACCCTAAAGCTAGCTGCAACCCTAACCCTAACCCTAGCTCAAACCCTTACCCTAACCCTAGCTGCAACCCTAACCCTTACCCTAGCTCAAACCCTAACCCTAACTCCAACCCTAACCCTAACCCTAGCTCCAACCCTAACCCTAACCCCAGCCTCAACCCTAACCCTAACCCTAACTCCAACCCTATCCCTAACCCTAGCTGCAACCCTAACCCTAACCCTAGCTCCAACCCTAACCCTAACCCTAACCCTAGCTACAACCCTAACCCTAACCCTAACCCTAGCTCCAACCATAACCCTAACCCTAACCCTAACCCTAGCTGCAACCCTCACCCTAACCCTAGCTCCAACCCTAACCCTAACCCTAACCCTAGCTGCAACACTAACCCTAACCCTAACCCTAGCTCAAACCCTAACCCTAACCCTAGCTGCAACCCTAACCCCACACCTAACCGTAGCTCCAACCCTAACCCTAACCCTAGCTCCAACCCTAACCCTAACCCTAACCCTAGCTCCAACCCTAACCCTAACCCTAACCCTAGCTCCAACCATAACTCTAACCCTAACCCTAAACCTAGCTGCAACCCTAACCCTAACCCTAGCTCCAACCCTAACCCTAACCCTAACTCCAACCCTAACCCTAACCCTAGCTCCAACCCTAACCCTAACCCTAGCTGCAACACTAACCCTAACCCTAGCTCCAACCATAACCCTAACCCTAGCTGCAACCCTAACCCTAACCCTAGCTCCAACCCTAACCCTAACCCTAGCTGCAACACTAACCATAACCCTAACCCTAGCTGCAACCGTAACCCTAACCCTTACCCGAGCTCCAACCTTAACCCTAACCCTAACTCCAACCCTAACCCTAACCCTAACCCTAGCTGCAACCCTAACCCTAACCCTAGCTCCAACCCTAACCTTAACCCTAACCCTTGCTACAACCCTAACCCTAACCCCAACCCTAGCTCAAACCTTAACCCTAACCCTAACCCTAACCCTAGCTGCAACCCTAACCCTAACCCTAACCCTAGCTCCAACCCTAACCCTAACCCTAACCCTAGCTGCAACACTAACCCTAACCCTAACCCTAGATCAAACCCTATCCCTAACCCTAGCCTCAACCCTAACCCTAACCCTAACTCCAACCCTATCCCTAACCCTAGCTGCAACCCTAACCCTAACCCTAGCTCCAACCCTAACCCTAACCCTAACCCTAGCTACAACCCTAACCCTAACCATAGCTCCAACCATAACCCTAACGCTAACCCTAGCTGCAACCCTGACCCTAACCCTAACCCTAGCTCCAACCCTAACCCTAACCCTAACCCTAGCTGCAACACTAACCCTAACCCTAACCCTAACCCTAGCTCAAACCCTAACCCTAACCCTAGCTCCAACCATAACCCTAACCCTAACCCTAACCCTAGCTGCAACCCTAACCCTAACCCTAATCCTAGCTGCAACCCTAACCCTAACCCTAGCTCCAACCCTAACCCTAACCCTATCTGCAACCCTAACCCTAACCCTAGCTCCAACCCTAACCCTAACCCTAACCATAGCTCCAACCCTAACCCTAACCCTAACTCCAACCCTAACCCTAACCCTTGCTCCAACCCTAACCCTAACCCTAACCCTAGCTGCAACACTAACCCTAACCCTAGCTCCAACCATAACCATAACCCTAACCCTAGATGCAACCCTAACCCTAACCCTAACTCCAACCCTAACCCTAACCCTAGCTGCAACACTAACCATAACCCTAACCCTAGCTGCAACCCTAACCCTAACCCTTACCCGATCTCCAACCTTAACCTCAACCCTAACTCCAACCCTAACCCTAACCCCAGCCTCAACCCTAACCCTAACCCTAACTCCAACCCTATCCCTAACCCTAGCTGCAACCCTAACCCTAACCCTAGCTCCAACCCTAACCCTAACCCTAACCCTAGCTACAACCCTAACCCTAACCCTAACCCTAGCTCCAACCATAACCCTAACCCTAACCCTAACCCTAGCTGCAACCCTAACCCTAACCCTAACCCTAGCTCCAACCCTAACCCTAACCCTAGCTGCAACACTAACCCTAACCCTAGCTCCAACCCTAACCCTAACCCTAACCCTAGCTGCAATCCTAACCCTAACCCTAACCCTAGCTGCAATGGGACAAATAGAGTAGAGGCCAGTTACTCAAGGTGATCAGTGTGAGTCATACCAGTCATAATTCATGGTTCAAGGTGGTGAGACCTTGTCAAGAAAATCTCTGTACAAGAGGTACCTCTTCAATAACCAAAACCTCAAAGTCAAAGCTCTGTGTTGATGATGGGTTCAGTCTGGTTTTTAAAAGGTGGCGTCAGATAAAATGTGTGTCAATGGGAATGTTGGACATTATTGACTCTTCCTTTTTGTGGACGGATACTAAAAAATCAAGACAGACAATCAAGGTTCAACTCAAATGCTTAGATGCTTTACTAGATTTAATACACATTAGAGTTTGAGTATGCATGACTGTAGAATTGCTTAGGTCGAATAAGCAGGATTTACTAACATAAATTTGCACACAGCAGCTAGCTAGCACCTGCTTGCTAACTGAAGCTAATGCTAGCCCAAGAACAACAACACATTTGCTGATCTTTTTTTAGAGTGAAATACACTATTCAAATTGCCCTGAGGCTGTTTCCCATCATGCAGCTCAACTACAGCTAAGCCACCAGGGCCAAAAGAGCACACTGATCAAAGTGCCAATTTCAAGACAGCCCTAAAATAAATAAATAAATGTTTCTAAATTTTAGTAGAATAGTCCTGCATAAGAATAATAGCTATGTTACAAGGTGTTGGTGAGAGATTTATTCATTTATGTAGGTATGGAAAAAAAAGTCCCCATCTAAATTCGGTCAATAGTGAATTTAATTAACTTTACAGTACCAGCCAAGCATGTCAGTAATACAGCTGAGGGGGGACTATTTTGGTTAGATGTTGAGATGTTAATGAGGTATGAAGTACAAAATAACAGATTCCAGCACATTAATGTAATATTTTCTTTATTTTTTTGGTTTGTAAGCGGACATGACAGCTATCCATCAGCAGTGAAGAAGTGTGAAATGTGTGTCACTAGCATCAGGGTAAGTATTTATCTATGGCACACACATCAATGTGTAAAATAAATCAAGGTAAACACACTGACAAATATAGCAGAGAGGCAGGTTATAGGGATGTGAGTGAAGGTGGAAGTGTCACTGATGTGTGTGAAAAGTAAACAGGGTAAGCATTCATGCTCATGTGCTAAAAGATTGTGTTAGGATAGATAAAAGGCTTGGGTGTCTGTTGTCCTTCTGTCCCATTATGATCAGGCTTGATTCTGCAAAATGTTCATGAAAACACTCTGAAGCCTTTTAAGGTGTTTGCCATGAGTGGAGTGTAATGCCAATTACAAGAATATGGCCTGTTTACACACACACACACACACACACACACACACACACACACACACACACACACACACACACACACACACACAGAGAGGGGGGATGTGAGTAGGTGAGCTACAAAGAGAACAGTAGAGCAGAGATGCTCATTTGTACTGTGGACAGAATTGCAGGAAATGATGCATACAGACAAAGTACCAATGTTAATGGAGTCTCAGGCTAATCTGTGGTTAAATGTTGGATCCAATATTCAGGTTATGATTACAGAAAGAAGGTAATAAAGACTGTTATAAGAACAAAAGAGGTTAAGTTGCTGGCTCACAATCACAAAAGCACAGTATGCTTCAAAGGGTCTCATTATACTGTTGTCAACTTAATGTTCTTTCGAATGTGCCTGTTTTCTCCATTACCACATGTGCAGCTTCCTTAGGAAATAAAAACAAAGTGTCCTAAATCAACAGAAGAAGAGAAAGGCATAAATGAAGGTGATTTAACATTTCCAGCAAACAGCAAATACTGTACATATAGTGTTTTCATTCCTGTTAGAGATCTAACTCGTAAGTTTCCTCTCAAGTCTTAACAAAGAAATCCACTATGTTACATTTGGTCCAGACAGTTTTTTTTCCTTTAGCCATGGTAAAACAGAGCAGTTTATTGCATCCAACTGCACGGCATCAGGGTTTGGGCTTTCCTGATTTCAGCTTGGTTTCCTCGTTTTGGCTGGAGGTTTTGTTCACCGAGCTTCCTCTTGACTGGATTGACACTTTCTTCATAAAGCGTTTATTTGTAGAGACTTCCATAAAGTGTTACTGTGGAATTTGGGATGGAAAGTTTTTGGTCTGGGAAGGATTTTATTTTGGGAGTGTTTCAGAGGAAATCTGCTCAGTCTGTGGGGTACAGCTTTGTCTATGCAACTATGGAAATTCTTTGGTAATCGGAGAAAGTGAGACACTGTGTGGAACAACTTTTCAGCTTAGTTTCTGCAATATTGGTCTCAGAAACCCAGAGGAAAGAAGCTCCTCTTGTGAAATTCTGGTATAGTTTGGTTGCATGTAATCCCCAAGTGTGCAGCTGTGTTTTCAGAGTGTAGCAGGTTTAATGACCTGTATGTCTGGACCACAATTACAAAAAGAGAGAGCACTTGACAGATGACCTAGTTTTTACTCAGCTCCACAGTATTAAGTATTTGTAGTTTCCAGATACAGTTGTAAGACTGGCACATCAATGATTGAGATGTCCAAACTTTTTTTAACTAATCCAGCCTTTAATGAGTATTTTCAAATAGATAGATAGATAAATAGATAGACTTTATTGATCCCAAACTGGGAAATTAACAAGAGAAAGACTTTTGCACTGTCAGGAGTGGGATTTGAACCCACGCCTCCATTTGGAGACCAGAAATCTCTGTACTCAGGAAGGAGCAACCCTTGAGTCTGGCGCCTTGGACCACTCGGCCATCCTGACTGCTAAGGTTTCTTCAAGGGTTACTACAAGACCGTAATGGAAAAAAAGGAATTTCACACATAGAATATATGATTAGAGTGATTTTATTTTGTTATCATTTCTATTTCTTCAGTTGTGTGATTTAAATATTCTAAACCAACATCTAAATGTGTTCACTGTCAAGAAGAAACATCCCGATAGCAATATTATAGTAATGATAAAGCTTACAATCTGTATTTAGATTGTAGCTTTGTCTTACCCCAGCGTTTTACTTCAGTGACTCAAACTTGGTAGATTCATCCTCTGTTGGTGCATGAGCAGTCAAACTAGTGCAGGTGTGTTTTTCATTTGCATTTGTTTTGTCTTTTTTGTGCAAAGCCCAAGGCTTCCAGGACCACCACTTGTGTTTGTCCAACCATCATCCGGACAGTGTTTGATCAGGCATATGACAAAGATTTGGAAGTTCCCCTTAAAACATGAGGTAGATATTAGAAGTTTTTAACTCTCTCAGAATCATTGTATTTCAGTCGAGAGGGGAAATGGTGAAAACAGAATGTTAATTTAAAAAATGTAAAAAAAATCCTGCAAGTTGGACCAAAAACATTAGAACAACTAAGTGAGTTTATGTGTGAAGCTAAAGGTATATCAGCAGACATCATATAATATACACATTATACCCTAGTGATCCACCTATTGCTTCATAGAGAGCTTTTTGTCTTCATCATGAAAAAATCCAGTTTCTCTAGCATTTTAGTTGGCTTAAAACCTCCTAAAATTAGACTCAAATATTTATATATATTTACATTTATAGACCAAAAGTAAGTATCTTTCGATGAATCTATATATAAACAGTTTTCCAAAAAGGACTCTACTTCACCCTCTCTCTGCCAAATTCCTCCTGGAGCTTTTTTCCAGGGTAAGCTTGGTCGAGTGTTTTTCTGCCACGAGCCACAGCTGCACTGCATGTGTCTGTCTGGATACGTCCGTCAGCTATGTAAACTGTTAAAAGACAGATTCTGCATAAAACCCAACACCAGAAATCAAAAAAACAACATCTGCAAATGGCATGTCTAGCTTTTTAAACTTGCTCCACTTTAATTTCATCCATGTGTGTTCATGAAAAAAAGTTAGTTTTGACCTATTTTTAGAGCCAATCCTGCAGTATTTAGGAACAACTTTATCAATCTATGTCTGTCTATGTATATTTCTTTCTTCTGCATTTTTCTCTTACTTAGCAGCTGACTTTTTACGACTTTTCTGTTCATTCCCCTGCAATAAATACCATGTAGTGTCCTCTCAGAGCTCCTCCTCTTTCTCTTCCTGGGAGGGGTGAAGTGAGCAAAACTAAGAGCGTCTGGAGGGAAAAAGACTAGTATCTGAGCTGTTACAGAAGAGGCAAGGGGGGAGGGAGCAGAGATGTTCATGGGTTACAGTTAAATACCCACAGTGGGATTTTATCTACATCACATGGTGTATGAAACATCACCCACCTCTTCCTTTTTGTAGACCTTGTCTTGATAGTTTTTCAACTCAGGCACGCCAACTTCTCAACAGAGACACAACTTGATCTTTCAGAGAACTTCTGCTGTGGTAAGACAAATTTTGATTAAGACTTTTAACTTGAATGCACAACTTTTGTTAACATGAATCTTGAACAAAAATGTCATTTATTCGACAAATTCAATTCTCACTTACAAAAGCAAGCAATTAAATGGTGCCTGGAAATGATCTGTTCCTAAAACTTCAGTTTGTTTTCCTTTTTTCCTTTTTTTTTCTTTTTCAATTTTTTGTTGTTGTTGTTGTTGGCCTACACTCATTCTGTGCATTTATTTAAAAATAATACTTAAGTATGTCAGTGTGAACAAGATTAATTTGGTATTTTGTCAGATCAGTTTGTTAAAGTTCTAAAGTTCTATAATTTGGGGGTTTAATAAAAGAGACAGTCTGTGTTTTTTTTAAGTTTTGTCAATATTGAATTCCATATCACCCTATCTGTTAAGTAGTTTTCATGATAAGTTTAAAAAGTTAGCATCTTATCTTCCCCAGTTTTGACATGGGACATCTTATCACGATTCTTACCATGCTTTGAAGAGATGCTTCAAGTTCCCAAACATTTATTACTGTGCACCAAATTAAGTGCTGAACATAGACAGACACAACCTTGAGTGTCTTACTATGTTTAAAAATAGACATTTAAAAAAATATATTTATAAAGCTATCTTCCAAACTCTTCTATTTTCTCTCACTTGGACTTTCAATGAACTACCCCTGGTATTGCCGGTGTGGTCTTTAATGAAGTCAGGGGTAAACCAACATTGGCCAGACTCCATCTTTAACTGGTACTGCACAAGTCTGGTTGAACAAAGATCAACCGCAATGGGAGAAATGTTTGCCAGAAACTGAAACCTTTGACACTGGGCTTTTGCAAACTACAGAGCTCCTTCTTTTTGTGAAGATAAAGAACACGCACACTCACACTCACACACACACGCACACACAGTAGCAGGCAGCGTGCATCTACTGTATGCCCTTTGACCTGGCCTCTGCAAAAACGTTTCCCTTGAATTTAATAAGCTCTCTGCATTACTCCTCAATCATAATCGTGAAATGTTTGTATAAAAAGAAAAGAAAGCTCAGTGTTGTTGAAAATGGAAAGAGAAAGTTCAAACAACCTCACAGTCCACTTTCTCTCCACAGAAGGTGGAAAAACTCACATAAAATTAGCATACCAATATTTTTTTCAGGGCTTGACAATCTTTGCCTGTCCCACGGTTCCTCTACTGATAGGATCATAAAGCACAAAGGCTTCAGTGATAGCAGCGCTGACATGCTTAATCTTTCAGCTTGAAATGATCAACTGTGAGTGGATTTAGTTAAAATCAGCAGGCTTTGAAGTCACTGTTTTATTTGTTTGCTTTACTCAGAGCACAATGCCTGCAACACTTTATTGGCCATAAAGTCTGGGTTTATGACATCTGAAGGCATTTTCTCATTTACAAGGGGTTTATTAATAAAGTGGAAGCCATGTAATTAATCATTTTGTTTAACAGAAACGTGCATTTGTGCATGCTGCTTTGATGGCAACTTAATATTTAAAATCAGCCTGAAATGCAAAGCCTTTAATTTATTGATCATATACAGCACTGATGCTTGGGTGTGATACTGGATGCAGAACAGGCTGCTGCCAAGCAACCGCATGCAAAGTGTATTACACACCCTACTCTATGTGCGGCATCATGGTCACACAGCCACACACAAATTATGTTGCACATACTCTGCATTCCCCATGCATTCCTGAACCTACATCTCATTATAGGTTTCTGTGGTTTCCTATTAGATTCAGTGGGAAACATTTTGGCTGCCTTGTTGAAGCGGTTTTGCATATGGCATATTGATTTTTTTGATGCTAACAAGCACTAATGGCACTTTCAAAGGCTCTCAGGGTCGCACAAAAGCTGGCGCCAAGAACTGTTTGCCCATCCCAGAATCCTCTAGGGGGCTGAAAAAGACCTGATGATAGTGTAGTCAGCTTTTAGTGAGACATCCAAAGGTTTCCTTCAATTCATGTATCTTCCTGTTTTCAGCCCTCAGGGAAATGTGTCAATTAGACAGATGAAAGAAAGTTGTATAACTGTAGACTGTAAATAATTTGATTGCAAAATCTACCTTTAGAGAAAAGCACACAGAACATCACAGCTCATTAAAATGGATTTAAAAATAAGTGGATTTATATAAGTGAGTCGATTACAAATCATCTCCACCTTGTTCAAGTAAGAAATGCATGTTTATAGAATTGAATGTATGTCTGATGTAAGCCCCAAATAAGCCCTAAAAACTACTAAGACTTTTACCAGATGTGGTGTAAATCTGCCATGGTGCCATGATGTGAAGTAAAATAATGGCAAAGTTTGTTTTACACATGAAACCAACACTAATTTGTCTTCAATTGTGTGTTATCTCAGTTTGTTTTACGTAACACGTGTACACATTCCAAACAAGCCTGGGACCAACATTAAGTCCTCACAGCTGTAACACTAGGTCCATGTGAGTAAGACTCAAAGTGCACGATTAAACAAAAGAACTAATTGTTTTTAAGGTAACATGAGACACTTTCAACCAGCTTGACGTAATTTGAAGAAACAAAAAACAACCAACCACACTGTGAGTTGATTTTCATTTCTTCCTGTCTACGTGTAAACACAAGTGTGTAACAGGCTTTGTTGTGGTGCAGTTAAGCCCTCAGATGCAGTTTGTCTACTTCTGGAAAACAACCAGGCCTTTGAAAATGTGCCGAACAGCAACGCACAAATGCATTTTCACACAACATTGTGCATTGCTCTGAGTATATTTGTTCATTTTCAGTTTGTTTCTCAGTATCTTAAAGTTTAATAAGAAGTTAATGATAATACAGGGGATTGAAAGAGTAATAATGAAGGCTTTGACTTGATACATAGAGCCAAACCACATTGAGGCTGCATATTTGGCTCAAAAATGAATGTCCTGCCCTGCATGTGCATCCACTAAAGTACTCCTACTTCCCATTTTTTTTTACACTGTACACTTCAGTTTGCAGGACAAACAATGACAGGAAACTTGCTAGAAAAATGACAAAAATGTCTTTGTATGCAGGACCATCCCATGAAAATTTATCTTGTACTGTTTCAGTTTTGATTTCTCTCCAGCAAATGAGTGGATTGCTGAAGGGGAGTTTTGAGGCTAATGATGGCAGCCACCACAATGGAAATATTGACTCTACATGCAAAACTTGTGAAATTTTCATGATATCTTGATGTAATGGAAACTAAAATGACCTTAAATCCAGTGTTTGACAGAGAAATGAGCTATTCAGACTAAAACACTTTCTGTACCAGACTTCAAACATTATTCTTGCTGTAAAGATTGGCATTTTAGAATGGGTGTGTATGTGGTTTTCTGAGTTTTTAAAGACAGCCTCAAGTGGACACTCAAGTGAACTGCAATCTTAAACTCCTCCTTACATAAAGCCTTCATAGTCTCTGTGCACTCATAAAAAAGGGAAGTTTGAAAAGCAATACCTAATTTAATCAGTGTTATTGATACATTGATCCACTTACTTGTGGTTATCTAGTGGTTCATTTACTGGACAAAGGGCAAAATCATAACTGGAGTATCAGGAATCCTATAAACCTTTTTAGATTACATTTATTTTCCCTGTTTATCCCACTATAACAACATGATACACTCATGGTAATCCCATTAAATCCATCAATATCCCACTTTGCTGGAAGCAAGTCAAAAACAGTATGACGGGACGTGCAAAGTATTAAGGACAGGCCTCTTGGGACAGCATCTTAGCCTAGTGGAGACAACATGTGTATACTTCCTGTTAGTGTCTCTGTCAGTGCTCTTCACATAACTGCACTTCCTGCCAGGATGAGCCAGATCTCTCTGTCTATTTCTGTTTCAGTGTCAGTCTCTCCATCTCTGCCCCATGCTGTCACTGTCTGTTTGTGTGGGTGTTATATACGTGATGTATCTGAGCTGTTACATTCACGTCATATGTTCTACATGGCCATCCTAAAAACACACTTATTAAACCTTAAACTGCTTTGCATTGAAACAGCAAAGGATTATGGCGGTTTATTAGCATATAAGTCTCATTTTGGTAACTGCTAAGTAATAAATGATAAGATTAGCTCGAGGCAGCCTCGCTTGACTCTAAATAGAAATGCACATATAGAAAATGGATGGGTGAATAGAGACCAATTTTCAGCACCAGTGGTTTCTCAACATTCTCAGTCTGAAAAGGGTTTTATAAGAACCATTTAGCTTTGTAGTAGGTGAAGTAAAAAGTATATTGACTGGGTTATTCCTAGGGTTAGGTTGAGCTGAGGTTGGGAGGTTTGGTTTGGTTTGGGTTTAAGTTTGAGTTTAGGCCGTTAGTTTCTTTTGGAGTGCGGTTAAGATAAGGGTTGGGTGACATAGTGTGTTAGAATTTGTGTTTTTCCTTTTCTCTTTGCACAATATGCTTTGATGCAGTTCAATATTTAAGTGTTCTTAAACACACAAACACCCTGTTATGAGGACTATCTCTAAATGTACCTCTCCTCTCTTTTTACTTTTCAGGATGAAGAAAAAAATGAATCGCCCCACTCTGGCATTGCCTTTCCATTTCTGATTCATCTGGAATAAATGACCTCACACCAACTGACCATGATGAATGCCTCAGCCAAGCCCCCAACCAACTACACCCCTCTGTGCTACTCCATCAACAACCCTCCATTCAAACTCCCGCCCACCATTGCCTCAGCCTACTTTTCATCCATTTTCGGCACTCTGGGACTCACCTCTAATCTCATTGCCTTTGTTGTTCTTCTCAAGTCCTTCCGAAAGACCCATAGCCGCTCTCGCTCCTCCTTCCTGATCTTCCTGGGTGGCCTGGTCATCACAGACTTCATGGGTCTGCTGGTCACCAGCTCTATTGTGATCCCCTTCCATCTCACACACTTTAACTGGCGCAAATTAGATCCAGACTGCCATTTCTGCAACTTTATGGGTATGTCCATGGTCTTCTATGGTCTGTGCCCACTCCTGCTTGGTGCCACCATGGCAGTGGAGCGCTTCATTGGCATCAACCATCCATTCGCTCGCTCCACCAGCATGCCAAAGAGCCGCACAGTCTCCATGGTGCTGATGGTGTGGTTTACTGCTGGTTGCATAGCTTTGCTGCCTATCACAGGTGTTGGGAGCTACCATATACAGATGCCAGGTTCCTGGTGTTTCTTAAACATCAGCTCAGAGGGAAATGACCTGATCTTCTCCTTGCTCTTCTCTCTGGTGGGGTTGATAAGCCTCGCAGTGTCCTTTATACTGAACACTGTGAGCGTGGTGACACTGATCAAGGTGTGCTGTGGACAGGACGGTTCCCAGCGTCGCAGAGACCACGAAATAGAGATGATGGCTCAGCTTATCCTCATCATGGTCATTGCTTCAATCTGCTGGTGCCCTCTCTTGGTATGTTTCCTTTTTTGACTCAGTGTGTCCTGTCCTGAAATTCCTGTTCTCTAAGCTGCATTTACAAACTTTACATACAATCATTCATGACTAAGATCAAAGCAAAGGACCCAAGCGTCTGTGAAATTATGACTTTCTAAATTATCTGAGAGCACTCAACCCTGTCCCCCATCTAGTTCAATCCACTATCAGCATTGCTCTACAACTCTTTGAACCATACCATTGCATCACGAGGCCCTTTCCTTTCTGTTTCCTGATGATATGCCTCATTTCTTCTCAGAAATGCAGCTTCCTTATTCGCTCATCTGAAAGATTTCTGGTCTTACTCTGGATCAGAGGGCCTCTTAATGCCTTATGGTTCATTGAGATGAAGCATCAGCTTTACAAAGTGGTTGGAATCAATGCCTTAATAGGAAATATCCATCTTGTTTTAAAGCAAATTTCACTTTTGTCAGATATTGGTTTTGTTGTTTTTCAAATTACATTTTTTGAGGAAATTGCTGGAATTGCAACATGATCAGGTCCAACAGGGCAACAGACAAGAGTGGTCATATGCCATTTAAAACTAAATCCCAGATAGCTTCACGTAAGATTAAACTTTAAGCTATAGCTTTCAATCCTAAACCTGTTCTTAGACCCAGTTTACTGATTTTCAGATTAATCTTTTATTCACAAACAGTAAAACTCTCTGACTATTTGTTCATTGTCCCATTGGCCATAATTTTAGGATGTAGCTTTTTATGCGTTATGACCAAAATACAAGCCAAAAAGAAAATAAAGAAAAAGGTATTAAGTACTGTTTTCCTTCAAATCAACATTAGCTGACTAAGTTTGAGAGTTATTATAAAGCCTAAAACTAATGAAGCAAAATGAAGAATTAAATACTACCTTCTTACTCTAGATTAATGACACCTCCTTATTTATCTATTGTGTCTTAGTTATAATTATGTTTTTTTCATGGATTAAGATTAAATTCCCTTTTATGTTTTCAGTTCTTTTTCTTCTAGTACCTTGTAGTCTATGTGTTGCTTTCGCCTTTGCCACCTTTAACACTGTCAGCTTTGTCAGCATCTCTTCTTGGGGATAACCAAGAGTTTAATTTTCTGATCACAGAGGCTTTCGGATTTAGGAATAGAGGGTGGCCCATGTTTTCCTGCAGATCTGTCTAATCTCAGTTGTGTGACACTGTACAGATTTATATTCTGGTGAACGTGGCGACTGCTGCTCCTGTCACCGCTGAATTTCTTTTGTTCGCCATACGAATGGCCACCTGCAATCAGATTCTTGACCCCTGGATTTACATCATGTGTCAAGTGTCCCGACTAAGGCGAGTAAAAAGTAAATCAAAAAGACCTATAAAGTTTTTAACAATCACACAGCTCCCCATAGTAACTGCTAACTTTGTGCTGTGGTTGGCCGGCTACCTCAGCCTGTTCCAAACATCTGCCAACGACATTCCTGGAAAGAATCATTTGCACATCACAGTCCATCCCCTGAGCTTCCAAAACATTAACCTTGAGCTAAAATTACCATATGGGAAATGCCTCACAGTGCGGACGGAGTCCCATCTTGGTTTGGCTGCTGCTACATTCACTCTATTCCATTTACTGTCAAGTAACATTTCATTAGATACTTTCAGCCCTTTGTTGTGTTTGTATTTTCCTCTTGTGCTGGCTTTCAATCCTCTTTAACCAACGTAGATTCTTACTCCTCTTAACACTGATGTGTAATCTGAAGATTGTGGAGTTGCTTGGTTACTCGAACATTTCTTTAAGGCAGAGCTGCAAGAAATCTTCACCACTAAGAGTTAAATCTAGAGAAATAGGCTGTGGCCTGTAAGATACAGCCACAGTAACTTATCTACTTTCAGCCTGAAATATTTTTTTCTCTCTTAAAGTGAGAATAAATGCTTCCCTCTGTGAAAGGGGAAGATAACAATGAAGCCAACTCGCATCTTGGAAAACTCTTTAGTTGTCACAGTCCCTGGAGCACCTCTGCCTCTGAGAAAAGTCTGCCTAATTAAAACAAAGGCTTTGCACTTCATCATAACACTTGCATGCAACAGTTTTATCACATTTCAGGATTGAGGATTCTGTCTTCCTTGCGCATGCAATTTTTGGATGTTAACCACAAGAGAAGAGCGTCTGAGATAATTCAAATTTGGATCAGAGACAACAATAAGCCAATTTGTCATTCCTAAAGGAGCTTGTTAGCATGTGTTGCCCCCTCAAGAGACTGTTGGGCTAATAAGGCTATGCCTCATGTAATATTCCCAGCTTTGCTAAAATAGGGGGATAATTGTGTTGCTGTTGCCACTGCCTCATGAGGGACACAGAAAATTAGCCATTCTCTCAATGGACTATACAAATGTGTGTGTGTATGCGCATATTGGCCAATTGGAATATTAACCAATTTTGTCTGTTCTCACTTGTTTCTGATTCCTAATCTTTCGTTTCTACTGGTTTAACTTTAAACTGTGGTCACTTTTCTAATTGACTTCCTCTCTTCTTTCCTCATTTTTCCCCATCGCACTTTTCTCCATTTTCATTTCTTTCCTTTTTTCCTCTTTGCACTCTATCCCTGTCCCTTTCTCCATCCCATGACCTCCAGGTCTTTATTGCACAAACTGTGCTGTCAGGAGGTCCTCTTCAGGTCCGGTACCTACTGCTGTGGCTACGCTTCGCCACCTGGAACCAGATCCTGGACCCCTGGGTATACATATTGTTCCGAAGGGCAGTTCTCAAGAAGATCTACCCGCGCTTTGACTGGTCTCGGGGCTCCATCATGAGTTTGTACCCATCCCTGGGTGAGACAGTCCGCAGGTTCACTCGTGCTTCACTTGGGAACGTCCTGAGCTCCGATGACACAGCAGAAGAAGAGAAATCAAATGCAACAGGGACTTCTGCTTTGAAGCTTCCTTCTCCTTCCCAGTGATTGTTGGACTTGAGTTGCGGAATGAGGGAAATTATTTGGATGATGGATTGTGTTCAAAAGGCAATTTTTCATTTAATCTGTGACTAAGACAAGAAGCAGTATTGCACTTATATTTTTACAGTTTAAATGGCGTATTATTGATTTTTAAGCAGTATTAGCTGGCACTTAAACATGCAGTCTTTTTAGTGGCTTTACAGAACACTGCAGAAAATTAGACTGCTAAAAGTGTTCTCTATTAAAAACTTTCATGTTTGGTTTTATTCAAACAGCCTGTGCTGATACAGGCACATTTTTAAATGTGATTCTTTATTGTGGTGAAAAACAAATAGGCCTTTGAGCACATGTTGCCTCTGCTCTGATGCTCCAGAAGGAATACAGCTGTGTTTCCAGTCACATAGAAAGTATTGTTCCCTCCTTTCTAAAAAATGTCTTTCCTACAATACTTTGGACAGTCTATCTGTAATCTTTAAAACATGCTCTTCTAAATCCAGACTGATCCTAACCTTGTGTAGGTGCTGCTGTGAAAATGCAATGACTTGAGTGAGATGTTGCTTATGCTGCCAGAAGCTTGCAGCTTCCATTTCAAAATGTAAATATGCAACAGGTTACAATGCACGTAATTTCTAAATCTTTCTATGATCAAATTTTTCAAACTTGATCAGTTTAACTTTTGACACTTCTAGGTTTGTCAGAAGAAAAATGTTGTGAAAAGTAGATTAACATTTTCAATTGTTAAGATCAGAAACTCTCCAAAGATTATTCTATCTGAGATTCGTTGTACTGCATGAAAGGTCAAACTATTTGCACAAAGTTTGAATTCACTGGCTGAGAAATGATGGTAGACTTTCTACTGCAGGCCAATGAAAATGTCATTGTTACGTGAGGGTTTAAGCTTCCTGTCATCTTGGTAAGTGTTATGAATCATACAACTTACATCAACACAAACATGTCATATTATCATTATTTATTCTACATCATGTTACAACATCTATGCCTGATCAGTGTACCAGATATTTATGTCGCTCTTTTATTTTCTGCCTTAAACTGCCCACTCATCCAAGGTTTTGAAAATTAAAGAAATTCAGAGATATTAAAATATATCAAAAATATTTGCAGGTATTTAAAGACTAAATTAAGTGATAAAAGTTGTGCAGATGTTGACAGCCTGAGAAATACAAACAGTGTTGAATTATCCTTCGTTGAACGGTTGTTCTAAACAAAGTTTCAGCTAACCTTTCCTCTGCGCCTCTGTTCAGTGTTAGCCACATTGTTTTAACTGCTGTTTGAAGCAGATCTGTTTCTTAGATATGTTTAACTAACACTGCACTGCTAGGAAGGTGTTTATAGGAAAATGACACTGTAGCTCATTATAAATTTAACTGTTAAAGTCTGACCATTTGAGGAGTTTCATGCAACTATTCCAGCAAGAAGATTATTCTGAGATGCTGTCAATGTAGTGAAATTGATCTGATAAGGTAAAAGTCTCTCTTTAACCACTGGTTGCTTGGTAACCCAGATGTCACTCTATTTGTCTTATCACTCAGATCAGAGTGCCACTCTAAACCGATCAAAAACCCGATCACTGATACATGGATGAGATGTGTCTCGCTTTAGCTCCAACGGTATATGGGACAAAGTGTAAAGTGAATATACTTTTCTGAAATGCTTTGTAAGTATACATAAACTGTGAATAAAGGAACAGTATGGGCTTTTCTGTTACAGAAAAACAGGCTTGACAGTTATTTTTTGATCTTTTTGCTTACTGTTTATTAATGTCAGATGGTCTGAATTCATCAAGAGAAGCAATCATATACAAAGTGTTACAAACAAAACATTACTTTCAGATATTGCGCAGCCAGAATGGAAAAAGAAGGTGGAGCCAAACAGCATTTAGTGAGTCAGGGTTTCCTATTTAAATATCACTTAGTTAGTGACCTTTTGAGAGCGTGAAAAACTCAAGTGCAGCAACAGAAAGAAAGATAGAAAGGCTGATTCAAGCTAAAACAAACTTTCCCATGATACATATACAAAGGTATTAAGCAAGGAAACGGGAACTGATCAGGAATTTATGTACATGTAGCCTGCTTTTTATTTTTGTCCTGGAATGTCAATGGTTTGGTTTCTGTTTGACACTGTGGGGAAAATAAGGGTCTTAGAGCAGAAAATTTCAGCCGAAGATTGTCCCCCTGAGGTTTTGCTACAGCAGATTTCTTTTTTGGATGTTTGTTTTTTGTCATGTTTTGAAACAGATTTTTTCATGTTTGATTTTATGCAAGCCGGTTATCAGAGCTACATAGATCTGTTGTTTAATGACCTACATCTGAAAGGTTTAGTTTCTCTAAGGCCAAATGGTAAACTCACTCTGTGACAATCTGCATGCACATATTTCAAAACTTTAAAATCAAGTGTTGCTCTTGAACTCTACAAACAAGCTATAAAAGATTGTAATGACACATTCCGACTTAGAGGTGACCCAGAAATGTCCCCTTGTCCCCTTCCTGTTTTTCCCATTGGGATTTCATCAGAGAACAAAGGTTACTGGTGCTTATCTTGCTTCCTTGATTCCTAGATGTCTGGCTGAGTGCTTTGCATCTATGTTCCTTACACACTGTTCAGATATCTTAATGATGAAGGGAGCCCCAAAACCTTGCATAACATATGTGAGACCAATTGTTTTCCACCTGGAACGTACAGCATCAAAAAGAGGCATACAACAGCCTGAACATCTTCATTAGGAGAAAAAATTGCTTTTTTGCAAATTCAAAATTAAATACAACCCAAAAGCAAAAACCTTATGCAAAATATTTCTTAACCTTAGATTTGTGCATTGCATTATTTAGATACTTAATGCACCTGTGCTTCCAATTCATATGATTTTGTTTGTTGCAGCAAGATTATTTTCTCCTTCCAATGTTTCTGTCTTTATATTATGTATGGATTTGTTTATGTGCTTTTAAAGTGGCCTTGTTGCTTAGGGTTGCAGTATGCTGAAAGTCCATTCTTATTTAATTTGTTTGGGCTGTTGCAGAGCCTCTTTAACTTTAGATTAGTGTGTTTGCAGACATTTAACATCAAGACTAATGATCAACTTGTGGGCAAATTGCTTTTATCTGAGTGTTTAAAGGGGAAATTATTGGAAGAAATGTAGTGCCTATTAGGATTTTAAATAATTAGTTAAAGATGTTTGGAGGAACTGATAATGCAGCTTCGAAAGTTGGACCAGTTTTTTCTCTCTGGTTTGGTGAGCCTGAAAACAGAGCTCCATCTTTATGTGCTCGTGAATATGTTTGATGTCTACATTCTCCCATTCTTGACGTCTCCAATAGCCCCCCATACATCAAACAAAAACACATCAGGAAAGGCAAAATCTCCCAGAACGGAGTCCAAGGCCTCTGCAAAGTCATCGGGGTTCTTCTTGTCTTTACCTGCCTCAACAATGGTGGTTGCTGCAGAATACAAAACATGGGACAGATGTGAAGAAATCCCATTTTTTTAACCACAATGTACTGACAAATAAAAGAACTGTGGCTGTGACTCATAAATTGAGTATCAAAAAGTCATTTTCAAGTCGTAATCCTGCCTTTTCTTAAAAAACAAACAAAAAAGTTCTTGAATTACAAGTCAGAATACATATTTTCTTAAAATCCCCAATTCTTCATGAAGAATTAATCACATTGTGTTTTCATTGTGTTGTAGGTTTGCTTTGAAGCTTTTCAAATGAAAAAAAACGGACATGTAAAGGGATTTTAAAATGCATATACTCAAATTTGCATCATTTCAGCCAGAAAAAAACTAGATATTTTGACCATATTTTAAGTATCGTTTAAGATACAGTGCAAATAAGTTTATCATCTAGAACATTCAAATGTAATCCAAAGTGTAATGCACCAACACACTATTATAAGTCACCCTGCCAAAGCAGTCTCAGCATTTCATCAAACAGGTCCTAGTTAAAAACAGAAAGTTGAAAATAGTTTGTTTCTGATGTTTGGATTCTACATCCAAAAATAGTAAAATAATTCAGTGAAAAGTAAACAGCTGAGATTTGTTTCCAGCTTTGGCAGTGAGTGGAATGGATATTTTTCATCACCCTTTCCTCGCAGTCATTTTGATAATCCTCACTTCAGCAAAATAATACTTCCATGCCAATCAAAGAGAGACAAGCAGAAGGAGAAATCACTGACCTAATATGAAATACGGTCTGAATTTTTAAGGAAATACATTCTTGAAAATCAGGCCATCGACCCCGAGGGTCTGGGAAAATCTCCTATTAGAAGTAACATTGCAATCATCCCTCTCAAACTTTTGACCCTTACAAGGACACTTGGCAAACTGAGACCTCCCCGAGGGGTTAAAAAAAAAAAAAAAAGAAAGAAAATGATTCTGTGCAATTCTGTTCTGGTTTAAATATTCAGCAGGGACGCATAAAAAAATAAGTGTATGCGTGTGTGTTTAATTTTGGTGTCATTATTGGGGGCAACAGTTTTTTTTTTTTTTAAGCAAATAAAGTTCTACAAGAAAAAAAAAGAGAGAGAGAAAGAAAGAGAGAGGGTTATAAGAGGATACTTCTGTGTATGGTCTTACCCAGCTCTAGATCTCTGATTCCCATGTAGCTCTCCAACAAGTCATCCACCCTTCTGGTCGCCCGTTCCTCAAACTCATTCTGCTGTAAGTGCAAAAAAAAATACAGAAGCTTGAGTGGGAAAGTAGTGCTGTTCAAGCTCTAAATATGGTAAAACAAACTTCACAAGCTCATTCTAATCATTGAAAGAGCCAAGAATATCATAAGCTATTGTTTCTAACATTTTTGTTGCATGAAAACATCAGAAGTTTGATGGTCTTTTAACGCTGAATCACACAAACTGCGTATTGCCGGTAAATGCTAGTAAATGTGTGTTTATCAAGTGTTTTTCTTTTCTCGAGGGTTGCAGAACCCGCTAACAGAGTGAAGTGTGGGAAGTTGGTCACTTTGTCAGTCAAAAGGGTCACTTCCTTGGAAGTAATAAGCATTGTTTTAAAAAAAAAGTCACATCTTTGCAAGGTTAGACAAAGAAAAAGACCCATATGCAGGATGAAAAAAGGATTTATTTAAAGAGAACTAAATAAGAAGCAACAAAAACTTACTTAAAAAGTCCAACTTAAAAAATCTCCAAAACACAGGAAGCAAAATCCAAGGAACAAAAAAAATTCACTGACAACTCACTGGGGGGGACACGTACACACTGACAAAGATACACACAATGAACCAACCAAGAAACAGGGGAAGACAAGGACTATATATGCACAGGCAAACGAGCAACGAGAGGCAGGTGAGACACCGAGACACAGGTGCAGACAATTACAGAGGAGGGAAAACACAGGAAGTAAAGCAAGACTAGAAACACAGGGAATAAACTACTACAAAATAAAACAGGAAACACTGAGAACATGAGGGGAACAGGGTCAGACACAAACTGAAAACTCACAAGACAAGACTACAGGGGAACAGGAACAATATGGAACAGAAACACGAGGTAAAATAACAAAGAAAATACGTTTAAATCACAAAACCAGGGAAAAACTAAACACAGAACATATCTGGACAGAAACTTTAGTAGTCATGTAAAAGAGTGGGGGTTGATTTATCCAGCTGTGAGTTTTGTGGTTTACATGGGGTCATTTCAGTTCCCCAGAATCCTTCTTGGGAACTCTGTGATGTAGTGTTTTTATGTCTTAGAGTGAACTTCATGGGTTACTGACTAAGAAAACTGAGAGTACACAGGAAGCAATGTCATTGTCCTACAGAGCGTGTGAAACTCACCACTTCTTGAACCGTAGCAGTGCCCTTGGAGCGCAGACGTAGGGTCTCTCTCCCGTTCACCATCTTGCCCTCATTAGATTTTGGTGCTCGGGTCCTCATTCCAATCATGTCTGACCGGACATATAAACACAAACAAGCGGTTAAGCATTGACCACATTTTATAGATGAAACAGACATCCTGTTGGATCTGTATTTACTTATATAGGTTTGGCATTTTTTACAGTGAGACTAGTGATCAATCAATATCAGTTTGTCGATGGCCAGTGCCAATACTGATAATGAGAGAGCAGGTTAGCTGATACTCAATGCTGATATTATCACTTTGTCAGTGGCAGGGGTCGGTTTCATCCTTTTCAGATTTGACAGCAGATGATTTCCAGATATAAATAAACTTTATCTTCATGTTAGCATTGCTGAAAGTGCTGCTCTGGTTCAGATAAAGAGAAGCTACGAGATGCCAAAGAACAGTTTATACTGCAAGATTTATAACTCCAAAACTGGGTTCTGGTTTGATTAAATCCCTTTTTTTCTTATTTTGAGGTCCCCCAGAAACAACACATGCAGTGTGTGTAATGCCCATTACACTGGGCTGTTATCTTTTATTGTGACTATTCATTCTTTACCTCAAACACAGCAGTTTGTACTAAATCAGAATTAGAAAGCATCTACAGATCTATGGCAACCAGAAGTACACAATCTGTTGGGCCCAGCTCGTTCATGCCACTTAATGGGCTCTTAGTTGCTATTGTCTCATAACAACATTGAGCACGGTAACAAAATACTGTCCATGATTGTTAACAGGATGTTAGCCATTGACCATGGATCTAGTTTCCTGCCTGATAACAAGGTTCTGATGACAGTTTTTCTCCATCCCAGTCTGTTATATCCACTTAGAAATGCAGACTTCCTCTTTCCCTTGTTGTGTTCTGACCCAGATATCATCAATGAGCCACTAAATTTACTGTTAAAGAGGAAAAACATTTCCCAGAGGGGGGGGAAAAAGGTGTGGAGGGTTTCTCAATGATAAATACAGTCCTAAATTAAAGTCTAAGGGAAAAGTGCAGGAAATTTTGCTCGCATTAATAAAAGTCGAACATGTCAGAGCAGGAGGTCACGTCAGAGTCCTGTCTGGGGCTTGGCTTAGAGCAAGACTAATTAATTGTTCGTGCATTTTTACTCATGACAGATAAATGCCTGATATTAAAGTGCCACTTTGGTTCCCTCGCAAAAGGGAAAGTACCGCTCGTACATCATGATCAAATGTTTACAGTTTCTCCAGCACAGACAGTTGTGTAAATGCAGAGAGTCTGGTAAACTTGAACCATGTGTTCTCCCTCCATCCCTCTCTTTCTGCATTTATGTTTACATGTACTTTTTGCATGCTGGTATTTCAATGACTTTGACCTACAAATATAAATATAACGTGACTTCGATCCACTTACGTTAGACCATCTATTTTCGGTGAAGGGGTTCAATATTAGGGTAAGAAATGTAGCAGTAAGAAGGGCTGGATATTTATCCGTTTAATTATGTACAGTTTGGTAGTTATCACGTGAATCCTAATCTTAATCATATGTTAGAAATTTAATTATTTTACCATAAAGAGCTTATTATGTTTGACCTGTTTTTTTTAAGTGAAATGTGCCTTTAAAAAGAGCATCATAGCAGCAGCTGAAGTGACAACTTGAAGGTGAAGGAAGTAGTATTTGGTGGCATGAGGAAGAGCAGACGTTACAGAAGTTAAATATAATAGGTCAACATTTTGTAGTACCCACCAAAGGCTTTCTTGGGCCCCACCAGGCGCAGAGTGAACGGTATTCCTCTGGGTTGTTCTTTCAGCATCTTAGCTACCTCGTAGTGTCGACACCCCACAATGCTCTGGTCATTGATGGCCTCAATGTGATCACCAACGCACACTGTCTTCAGCCGGTCTATGGTGCTGCCTTCCTTTATCCTCTGACAGAAACATATCAAATATATTCACATGCAGCAGTCTTCTATACTGTTAGTTGACAGGGATTTCATCACAAACTGTAAAAGTTCATTTAGGAGTATAAAAATCAAACTATCTTTGACAAAAATATCTAAAATAAGTCAGAGATGCCCACCTTGATGAAAGCATATCCAGCTCCATTGTCTGTAATAGTGAGGCCCAGAGCATCCTCTGTCTTTGTAACCTCCACCTCTTTAGTTTCTCCTCTGATGTGGGCAAAGATGAAGTCCTCCAGCCCTATCTGTCCCCCCAGGAGCTTCTGCATGTCTACTTTGTGGGAGTTTAAGGTGCAGAACAGGATCTGAAAGGGGGACACACAAAGTAGTTTAAATTAATAAAACAAACAGTTGATACAAACTGAGATTCATTGAGATACAGTTCTCTGAATAAAGAGGCAGAAAAGGTATGTTGTCCATATTTTTCATCAGTATGCTTTTCGTATGAGGTCAATAATTGATCAGCATTTACCATCAGCAGTTCACCTACATTTACATATTGAGCTCCCTTGTATCTTTTATTAGATACTGTCAGAAGAGAGGGAGAGTATACAATCTGTGTTATGGTTTTGCTTTGTAATCTTTGCAAACTAGTTTCTTTTGATGTAAAGTTTTGAGAAAAGATGATACTTTATTGATCTCCATGAGGAAATTTTTGGAAAATGGTGCTAATTTTTTTTCTAGTTCATTGTTAATGGATTTTTCGTGTTGTTGTTGTTGTTATTTTGCCCTCCTTTGTCATTTCATTGCGTCCTTTTTTACAACCCAAGCTAACAAACCAAATGAAGCTATTTGGTTTTCAGCCGTGCTGCATAAAATTTAACAGCAGAGGGCAGTAGAGCCAAATCATTTGGTTTTGCATTTGTGGCCATTTTGTAGTCAGCAATGGATGTATCAAGAAGAAAAAGTTTGTAACCAAATGATTGGGGTAGTTTGCAGTTTTAACAACGATGAAAACTTCTCAGAAAGTCCTTAGATCTCACTGAAGTTATGAAGTGAAGGAGAAAATTTTCCTTAGATCAGCATTTGCATGTTGACATTGCTGCTCTGACCACATGACCCTTGTGTTACAGCTCTTTGAACTGTGGCCAATCTTCGCCAATCTCTTCCTAACAAGAAATGTAATCTCTGAAAAAATGCTTTGATTTTCATTCACCCTCAACGCCTTGATTTTGTTTTTCTTAGAGGTTGAAGTTCAAGTTTGACTTGATAATACAAAGCGGAAATCTGAGATAACCTCTCTGAACTGTTATCTAACTCAGAGCTGTTCCCGTAAGATATTACTCGCAGTAATTCCTCTGGCAAATGGAACAGTCTGACTGCAGTCCAAGGTCTCCCCTTGCATCTTGTTGTACGGTAACTTTATGCTGCTGCTGTTCAGTCCTCAAGGGTTCAAGGAAACTGTTGTACATCCCACTATCACCACCTAACTGCCTGATATTTACCACTGACAAAACTATATCTAGAAGTCCGATTGCTGTTCAAGGCTACATTGATATACGCCCCATATGATCAATTATTATCCTACATAAGGCCTTTTTAAAAAAAAAAATTAAAAAAAAAATTTCCCCCATGGGGGATCAATAAAGGAATATTCTATTCTTCTATTCTATTCTATTAAGTTTTTTTTTTTTAACAAACCAATTCAGTTACTGAGTGATAAACTGATTGAAAAGCAAAGCATTCAATAACAGTTTCTAATGATTATTGTTATTGTTGAGCAGGCTGTCACCCTCACATTGTTTTCTATTAAATGTCTCCTGTTTGGCTGATAGTCTTGCAGATTACTGAAGCATTTATAAAAGACATTCAATGGAACTTAATGTTTCTTACATTTGCACCTAAGGGTTATAACAGCAAAAACTTCTTAAGCCTAAACTTCTTCCTCATAGAGAAATTAAGCTTCAAGCAACAGGCCAGCATTTTTTAGTGGCCTGATTTGATCTTCACAGTCCATATTCCATCTCCAATCATCCAACAAGTGATATGCAGATAGGAAAAACCTTCAAGGTGGCCTTCAAAACAAAACTGATAATTACGAGATAAGATGGATAGTTGCTGTAGTTACGTTTGTTGCTGCAGAACTGCTGCAGACAGAAGACCTCATCCCCGCTTCATAACCTATAAAATTGAATATTTTTAAGCCTTTGTTTTTAATATTGAAATGTATTAACACTGAGATATTATTTGAGTTGATTTCAGCAAACAATAGGTGCACAAGCTTCCACACCCAGAGCCACACTTCTTTTTATTGTTGACTATCACCCTTTCTTACTCTCATCTCTCTGTTGTATTCCTCCCACCTTGAATTAAAGTCATTGAAATGCCTATCTTGAATACAAATGTGAATTAAATCAGAATTGATAAAGGAAGTTTTGTCTGATATCAGCATGGGAGTTTTGGTCACAGCCTGTGGTCTTCTGTTGTGTCGAACACTGAGAGCGGTACAAGGCCGCAGAGGGATTTGGTTAACCATGACCCACTAAAGATAGTTGACTTCACATCTTTCAAGGATTCTGGCCTTGTGAGTGACTATTATCTGCATCTTAACTGATAATCAAACTTTTGATCACCTTCATTGTTTATTGTTCTACGATGCTGTTGGATCATTCTGGCATTGAAATTTTGAATGAGGTATCACATATTCACAGACAGTTAATGCATTTCTTGCAGATATGAAGTGGTTAGTAAGAATAGTGAGTCTTTATGTAGGGATGTTTTAAAACGGAAAGTCCACAATATCCAAACCCACAGTTAGCGCACACATCATGTGTTATGATTATTAAACTGAAACAGCTGAGTTTTTAATGTCTTATGTGACCCCAGAGAAACTTTGCCAAGTGTGACAAAATACGACTAATGTCATCACACGGGGAGTCATCACAGGAATTCCATGATATCAAAGAAAGTCTGTGTTTCAAACCAAGTTAGATGATGCAAGCATGGCAGGACTTTCCATCTGAAAGTGTGTGACTTTTGCAGGAATGAAAATTGATTCACGGCAGGGATTTTTCTCCTCTCTAACACTTATGAGCAAGTTTTGAACAATTTTCTGTTAACCTTATACGATGCAGCAAAATAGGTACATCATTTCCTAAAATTGCCAAATAATAGAGTCATTTGTCTGTAATTCAACCGTGGCTCTTTGTTAAAAACACTCGCTCTGAACTCACTCCTGTTACTGTAAGTTGTTTTGTTTAAGCACGTGTGTGTAGTCTATTGACTACAGAATGTTATCTTGTTATTTGTTTCCATTATTGATCCTGGTTGAGGCCCCGACAAGTGCAAAGTCTGGCAGACAGCATGAGCCAAATGGTCTTCAATAGTGCATCATGGAAAAAAGCCGAGAGTGGAAACCTTACACCTAATAGCAGCAGGCCTGACAAACCAACAGTACAAGAAAGGAAATGCAGTTCTTCTTTTACCAGAATTATCTTCCTCAAACTTTAAATATATGAAACTATCCTGATCATATTTAACACACATGTTTGTGTTGGTTTGGTACCTCTGAGGGGGAGATGTTGAACACTTCAGCAATCTTGGCGTAGAGCTCCTTGACGTTGGTGAATCCGTGGATGCGGCCTGTTGGGCTTCCATGAGCCAGCTGGGTGTGGAAAATGAGCCTGGGTCTTGGATACTCTGGCGGCCCTGGTGGCGGCGGGGAAGGAGGAGGAGGAAGAGGAGGCGCTGTGGGTTCAACACAGGCATGGTTCTGGCTCTGGTTTGGGGCTTTCTGGTCCTCCATGGCCTCTGCGCCTGCTGCCTCTGACTCCTGCGGGCTCATAGCCTCCCCGTTCTGCATCGGGCCGCAGGTACAGTCTCCTTCTGGAAGCCCTGATGGTTCACTGCTCAAGAAACCTCATCCTTCCCCCTCTGCTTAGCTGACCAGCCACCAGACCAACCAACCAGCCAGAGCCTTGGGTTGAAGATGAATTAGTGATGAGAGTAACCTGGTAACCATAGCTGGAAGAGGCCAGCCAGACCCCGCTGCTCGAAACCCAACACCCTTTGAGTTGAGGCCTGAATGTGTTACACCTGAGCCTTTGGCAGCTCACGCACAGAGGACACAAACAAAATACATCAGGTAGGCCTAAAGCTTTCTTCACACAAGAAACAGGGTCAATTCCTAATATCAGTCTGGCTTCAAGACATGGTGCAGCACACGTACATACGACCCTGAAACAATGAGAATTCCTATGAGTGCGCATCTCTGCAAAAGGATGGCCACAAAACAACATCTCAGCGTCACATGTAAGGTGATCTCACTGTGTGGCGAGTGAGGTGCTCCCCCTTCACTGGCCTCATTGAAAGAAACTGGCTGTTGTCGTGGTGAATCCTTATTATTGCACTGACCTTTGTGACCCCGTGTAAAGAAGATAACTTCAACACTGACACGTTTTGTTTTCACCGCAGCTTGTAAACACTTTTGTCCTCATTTTTCAACATTTCAATTTTTTTTTAAGATGTGCACTTTTTCTGAAGAGGCATTACATTGCAAACTAACTATCAGTCTGCTATGATTAATTTAGGGTGACACAGAAACCCTTTATCTTGTACCTGAAACAGATAAAACAAGTAAAACATTTGAGTGGTGTCAATGATATTTCAACTCAATTCCCTATCAGCTCAAAATAATGTTTTAAATTCTTTAATTTCAGATTATGCCAAAATTACATCAAGATATTCCCATTTTTGTTCCACTCAGATGATCTCTGGGCCTTCGAAATTGTATTTGTCTCACTTGGCCCCTTGTGATGCGTTACTCATGCAAAATTCAAGGAAGCGTTCATGTCAGAACACAAAAAGCTATTTATCTCGCTCTTTCTGAATGTGGAAATTCCACAAAAATCACATTTGCGAATGCCTGCTGGGAATGTGTCACCAGCATTGTGATCCCATTGTGAATCCCCATGGACAGAGACTCTTTGCCATACAGGTATTCTTACTATGCATGTAACATGGGTTTTACATGCTCATGTGGTTAACAAACACATTTTTTAAATGCGTGCAGCTGCATTCTTCCATATGTCTACTTCTTTCATATTTTGTTCAAAAACTTACTTGTTTTTTTCATTCCTATAAAATAATAAGTTGTCTCTATTTTTTTATGTGTTTACAGAATTTTTTGCAACTGTTCACAAAATTTACAATGCATATTATTATCAATACTAATATTGTGGGCATTAGTGAAAATGGGAAGTACTTTTTTGTTACTTTTCCTCAGCCGGTACATACAATTCACCCTGCACACTGAGGGGCACAGCCTGAAACTCACTTCTTCATCCTGCTTCGTAAGCATTCCTGCACACCTGTCCTCATTGTGCATGGTTGCAGCTGTCTTTGCGTCATAGCCACAATTATCCAGGCCAAGGTGTTGCTTTCCTACCAAGGACAGAGCGTTTACTCAGGCAGCTGATAGTGAGGGTCTCATAAGCAAAACTACGGTTTGAAGTGTAGATAACAGTCAGTCCTCCATGCAAAGGACATCTAACTTTCTCTTCCTGTAGAGCCTTACATGATAACCTCTATTCTTATTTAAAGCAAACAGATGGTTGATTGAGGCAACAAAAGAGATAACAGACTGGCTCTCCAGACAGGTAACTCTTGCTGAAACTCAGCAATCAATAGGAATATATTAGATAATCTTGATTTTATTTTCAAGTTAAACAGACCTGCAATTTAAGCTGCAGCAAAATTTGCAAGATTAAAACCAACAGTCAATTAAAGCCTCCTGACTTTAGTATTATAAGAAATTGCAAAACGAAAAGGTAGTCAGAGACAGTAAATGACAGCTCAAAGAAAACATTTGTAGAGTTTGCATTTGCACATTTGGGATGTGACTTTCTTGCACAACTCTCAGCTGATTGGCTATGAATAGGTGGGGTGTTTTTCTCATTAGTAGTGAAGTCCATAACAAATATTGACTAGAACAAGGGTGATCGAGTCAGCCTTCGTGACTCAAACTATTTGTATATGCAAAATATGTGGTCTTACACAACTGAGTGAACTGGTTCTTTTGTTCCATTTTCTTCCTTTTTTTTTAACTCCTATCTGGAAACACGTTTTTTATTCATCACTTAATGCCATTATACTGTGTTGAATTAGAATTTCACATCAATTTCATCTCTCACAGACAACATGGTGAAAAACAGGGCCTGAAGAAAATTGGAATTAATCAGATGACCTCAAACCAACTGACACACCGATGAGGGCTGGATCCTTACGTAGTTCCCCACACAACCAAAGTATTGATCCAGCCGTCACTCTAATGAAGCACCACAGAAAGGCTGGTTCCTGCTTACGCTGCTTCAACACCCCCTCGTTGCATCACAGACATCCTTATGTAGCGTGATTTCCTCTCTCTCTCCCTCTCTCTGCTTTGTCTCTGGATGTGGAGGCGGAAGGAAAGACCATGGGCCGGCTGGTGTAGGCCAGACTGTGTGAGGGTGGTGTGTGGTTGCTGTGTCATGTGGCAGCACACTGCCTCGTCTGTTAAGGTGGCGTGGCAGCACATGAGCTGCCCACTGAAAGAAAGGGGGTTTAGTGCTAAGGTTTGTGTGGATTTGTCTAAGCTTCAATGGGATAATGATTGGTTTTCTTTTCTTTATGTGTTCAAGGCCTACACCGACAGAGCGGTGATATTCACTGGTGAAAGCTGTACTGACAGTGAACCGAGTTTCAGTAGTAACTGGATATAAAAAGGTTGTAAAAATTTTGAACCTCATCATTCAGACATGATATCAAGAGCAACACTGTGACTTTTGTTTTGGGGCTGTTTTGCGGCTAGGCCTCATGTGGAAGTAAAATGTCAGCCACAAGACACTTTCATTCCTTAAAATCTCATTGCAAGTGGTCCAAACAATTTCCTCATTTAAAGATCGTGTCATTAAGTTCAATCATGCAATATATTCCCTTTTTATTACATTTCCCACATGCAAAAATCCAGTGTGACTCCAGTATAACCCAGCTGACACACTCAAGCTTTGCTTTCATGGTTTTGGGCTTCTGATTGCACTGAAGGTGTGTGACTGCCATTTGTTGGTGCAGTTGTTTTTTCTTGGCTGAAGGGGGGAGGTGTTAGATTTGGCCCTTCAGTATCTGCACACACCATGCCTTGCTGGTATGAACTGTTTCATGCTGTGGTTTCACAATAGAAGCTAACAGCTGAGAAACTGACCAGTCTTTTGGGTCACTGGCATCCACTTCAAGAGAATACATTGGATTTTTTTTTTCAAGATTTGTGGGATTAAAGTGATTTCAGTTTTTAATGTAATAGATTATGTTAGACCTTGTAACTCAGGGACAAAAACGTAGGCCTACTGCAGTTTCCCTTTATGAAAAATGCAGTTTAGACACTAACATAGAGGAGCCACAGCATACATTCTTCGGTAATGCAGTTTTCTGTTATAATTAAGTGTCGACACTAATATATGTAGTGTAGACACTAATATGGAGTAGCTATGTTCTCATGTCGGCACAGTCACAATCAAAGTGTTAAAGTAGTCATTTGTTTTCATCAAAAATATTTAGAATCAGCTTTATTGGCAACGTATGTCACACACACAAAAAAATGAGTCTGTTAGACCATATCACTGTACATAAGTAAGTAAGTAAATCTTATCTATACAGCACTTTTCATAGATAAAATCACGTGTTTTATAACAAGGATAAAATGCAACAGAATACAGAGAAACACAATACATGTAATAGCACAGATACAAGTACTTCACAGAGGCCCCACAGCATCAACATCAGTTAAAAGCCTGCCTAAAAAAATAGGTTTTAAGTTCTTTCTTAAAACTTTCAGTAGACTCTATGCTGTGTAAGGTCAATGGTAGTGCATTCCAGAGGCGAGGCGCACTGGCCTGGAAAAGCAGTCATCTCATGTTTTTAAACGGGTGCAAGGGACCATCAAGAGTTTGTGGTCTGATGACCTTAATAAACGTGAGGGGGAATAGAGTCTCAGTAGCTCAGTGATGTACATTCCTAGATAATGTTATAATTGATATTAAGGTAAAACATTTTATCCAGAGAGAAAGTGTATCCTCACAGGCAGCTAAAAAGATTACAGCTTTAGTTTGAGGTTTTACTGTGAAGCACTATGTAATCAGTAACCTATGGCAAGAGCCCCACCCTATATAAGCTCAGATATTGTGCCTATCAGATTAAAACGAACGTGATTTGACATGAGTAAGGGTTGCTGTATATGTTCCCCATGTTATTCCCACGTGAAATTCTGATTTCACATGTAAATTATTGATAAGAAGAGTCCACACCAGCACAATAACAACACAGGCCTTCTCTTTAAAGTCCAGAGAAAGGGACCGCCCGGATTCCATATAAGGAAATAGGCGTTCCTCACAAGCCAACTACCTCGTTCTGATTGGCCCATCGGTCTGACATGACCGTTTTTTCCCAAGTCGTCGCCGAAGCTGATTGGTCGGCTGACTTGGTCCGATTTAGGCTCATTATCTTAATCAGCCGTGGATGAAGTGAGGAAAGAAAAAAGCAGAAGCCAAACAAGAACGGTGGAGTTTGGCGTGGAAGCGTCGTTTCTTCACGAACCGACGACCACCGGCTGAGGGAAGGATGCTTGAAAATAAGAGGGAGAGATTGAAAACCTTCCTAAGGAAGATCGACGAGAAGGCCATAGTCAGAATCAAACACTTCATGAAAGAGAGGTGAGTGGAATGAACGCTAGCTAGCTGCGGGACCGCTATAATCGCCGGTGAGCCGCACTAACGGGAAGGATGCTAACGGTTATATGTGTTCAATGACGGTAAACTCTCCGAGGAAAAACAGTCAAATTTATCTCAATGTGCTGTTATATTTGACGCTAAGTGGGTAATAAGTGCAAGGTTTGTTTCTTTTTTGATAAACTGTGTTGTAGGTGGAGCTACCCCATGCTAGCAGGCTAACGGAGACGTGTGTGTATTTAAATCCAATGAAGCTGATATTACACTGACAGTCGCTTATGCCGGAATTACACATTAAAAACTGCTGTTGATATGATGACAAAAGCATCATTTTAGGCTTTAGCTGTTGTGTGTTTCGTTACCACATCCTCCGTGTGAAGCGCAGCAGCAGCCCTGTTTGTTGGCTAAGCTGATGTTAGTCATTGATTGAACTGCTGATGACCTAAGTCGAACACCTGACATCGATGACACAGCACGGAGTAAAACAGATTTGGATTAACCTTTAGAGAATTGCTTCCCATGAATTACCTTAATTACTTTACATTAATTGGTTGCAATCGATCCTCGGAGGAAGTTGATCAATCTGACCCGCTAAGTTTGATGTTTGGCTCTTTTTAAATTCATTGTATGGACCTTCAAATATCCAGTGATTGACCTACAAAGTATGTAGTGTTTATGTCTTATAAAGTCGAGACAGCTTTAAGAAATGAATCTTTTAACAGTGTGTAAATATGAACAGGAACTCCTTCCAGGGCTCCCTGAAGGGCGTCCTCCTCAGAAGTGACTTCCCTATGTCAACTTCTCTATCATGGTTGGAGAAGCATCCCTTTTTTTTTTTTTGCTGCCATGAATATGTCTGATCCTGCCCTTTAAGATCCAGAGCAGACCAGTCAAGGCTTTAGCACATCTATACACAAGCATGCATACTATATTGTGTTTCTTATTGCCCCCAGGGAAACACACACGTATCCCACATGAGACGACCCAGCGTACACTTTCTGAGAAAACTCTATTTTTAGCTCCCATGAGTCCACCACAGGTGGTATATGGTGTTATATAAATGCTCCCTGGTTTCAGTGTTAGTACTCCTTGTCCCCCGGGCCTCGCTGTCCAGCTTCCTCCCCATAGATAGCCATTCGCAGGGATACCAAACTCCAGCCAATCAGACTTGGCCTCTTGTTTATCAGCAGAGCTATGTTGTGTCTCTAACATGGTATGTGGGCTGATTATCCATTTCCATAGTACACACACACAGACAGACACCCATGCAAAATAATGTGAACATGTTTTGTTCCGGCTCAGGGATCCTTTGTGGTCATTTAAATCTTTCCGTTGATACATTTCATGCACTTAAAACCTCCTCCTGACGAGGTAAATGCAAAAAGTTGTGTTTGCATAACCTGAAATGAGCAAATACACATCTCAACACAGATATTTTGGCAGTATTATTTGAATAGTCATATTTTGATAAGAAAGAACCTGGTGTAGCTGCAGATCTCTTTGAGATGGAGGATCCTGGAATAGTCTGGGTGGGGCTGCTTTGCAGGCGTTCTGTTGGCTCCAGGAAGATGTGCCCGGGACGGAGCTTGTATGCCGCTGTGGGCAGAGAAGCCTGCGTAAGTCCAAATTATGAGACGTGCTGCAGAGGGAGAGCCCAAGTTAGAAGACAAAAACCACATCTGCAAGACTGTTGATCACTTAATGAAGGGTTTCATACTCACCAGCTGGTCAGGGTTGTAGTCATGTGCCGCCTCTGTCAGGGTAGTGCTAATGACCAGTCTTCTGCTCTTGTCGCAATGCCAAAAAAAGGGCTATATTCTTCTCAGCTGTTTCACCTTTTGGTAGTCGCAGTAGCTTGGTGAATTCTACCTTAGGTGGTTGTTGGCGGCCAGTCTAATTTTGGATGCATGTGGCTTTTTCAAGACTTACCTCGAAACTATTAAGGGACGAGAACGTGCATTCATTGTTTGTGAAAGAATGCAAGTCAGCTTTCCTCCCATTATCTTGATTTCGAGATAAGCCTGGTACTTTGAAAAGTGGGAACACCCTGATTTGACATCACTGTGTCTAAGTTGCATCTTAGCGCGAGTGTATCTGTAGGAAAATCAGCTGGGAAAAAATGCAAGAAAAAGACCCAGGAGAACGCTCATCTGGACCCCACTGTAATTCATTAGCCTCTTGTCTTTTCACATGAGAAATGCTATGGAGTTCTTGTACTTTCCATACACAGTAAAAAATAAACTCAGTTCTCAAGACCTTTTAATATAAAAATGAGTCCATTGATTGAACATTGCAGGGAGGGTAATTATCAGGGAATTCTTAATCAGTGGAATCACATGCTGTAGATTCTGTAATGAGATCTAAAATGACTGCTCTGTGCAATTCAGGATATTTTTAGTTCAAAGGCAAATGTATTTCACTGTTCAATCAATGTTTACAACAAATTTATGAAAGATAACTTAACTGTGTCTACTTAAAGTGTTCAAGTGTGTACGTGACTGTTCAAGTCATGTAGCTCTTGTGAGAAGCTGAGATCAACAAAACCTCTCTGTAGATGAAGTATACAAGCCTTCCTTGTGTACACAGAGTGGCCTACTTTCTTTTTAACAAATTTAAAGTCAGGTGGGAGTTTTCCAGCCGCAACCTCACCACACCACCGCAGCACGCCACCCCTAATCCCCCCCCCCCCCCCCCAGCCCTGCCACTCACATGCCCAGTCATTTTGAGCAGCGAGTCGCCTGGAAGAAAGACCCTCTGTGTGCAGGCCCAGAGGAAGTGGAGAGAGATGCAGCACACAAGGCCGCATGACTCCCAAATCACATACGCACACACACACACACACTCTCATACTGTAGCACGTTTACACAGACACACTCCGTTCTAGTTGGCATGCACAGACACACACATGCCGTTTTCCTGCACACTGAGGCTTGGCAGGGTGCCACACTCTGCATGTTACTCTGCCATGACCACTGGCTCCCTGCCCTGCCCTGTCTGACTGCTCTTTTGGAGCCCACACACACATGAGCAGACACACATACCCTCTACCCTGTCCATAGGCAGTACATTGTGTTGTCTGTAATGAGCTCATTTTGACAATTATTTGTTCGATTCATTCGTGATTCAGACTCGGTTATTGTAAATAGGCCAGATTTAAACCCCGCTGAATGGTAACAGTTGTGGCGCACTGTGCTAACACTAGATTAACACAGATTAGGGCTCTGCGATGCTTTCACGTGTGCCGTTTAAATAAGAGGTCGGGTTTGCAAAAAAAAATTCTACTTCTCATCCGTCCCATTTGGATCAGTGAAGCACAGCTGCAACAGTCTGCTGCTTTTCTTTTCAGAAGAAAAAAATCAGCTTTTGATTGGATGATGTGGAATCAGCTGTTCTCATGACAAAGATGAACTCTTGCTCTCCAGGAGATGGTGCTCTCACGCTATACGGTTCTGTAAATTTTCAGCTGATTTTATACAGATTATGTGACTGATTAACCTTTTTGTCGGACTCACACGTTGTCCTTAAGGAACTGGTGTCCTTGGCCATGGGAAAACTCTGATATAAAAATCCTCTGCAGAAGCAGTTTTGTCTTGGGGGCACAGGCATTGCAGACCAGCTGATGTAATGCTGACGTGTGCAGCCAGACCTCTGGGATCATCTGTCTCGTCTCAAATGAAGGCTTCCTTACTCCATACCCTGAGGAGTTCTTCTGTCGGCTGGAAGCTCATATGCTGAGCGTATACGATCATAGTTTATATAACTATTCTTAACAAGCAATAGAACCTTTTTGTTAAGACTGAAAGATCCATTGTACGGATTGTACACATGCGTTTTAAACTGTGAAAATCAGTTTCCTCAAACCGTCAGGAAAACAATCCACAACTATATGTCATACTACATAACAAACCACAAGTTTCCAATCACACTGTTGGGAGCAAGTCCTGTATATTAATATTCAAGTAGTAAAGTTAGTTGCGCAAACCGGACAAAGAGACATTTTTTAAGGGGGAAATCAGATATTTTGTAAAAAGTTATGACTCTTCTTAAAAAGCGTTTTACTATCAGGATTTTTACAGTTTTTCTGGCTGAGCAAGAACTGTTGCCGGCACTTCATACTTGTGCAAAGGGGTGTTCATGTCGCTGTGCAGCACTCTGTCTGAATGCAAATCTGCAAATTTCCATGCTAATCATTTGACCAGTTTGGGTTTTATTTTTGAGAGGTGGCGCTGATAAATGCGAAGCTGCAGTTTATCTTACTGTGTAAAAACACTTTGTATGTCGAGGTCTGTGTGTTCAGGTTGCCATGCAAGCCTTAATGTTGCGTCACATTTGACATGCAAGTATTAATCAAGCTTAACTTGAGGTAGAATGAAGAGTGACTGTCAGAAAAATACATCTGACTTGCAGCCAGCTGAGAAGAACGACAGAGAGTGTGGTCTTCTTTTTCTTCAATATCTTTTACTAGCAGCTTTCAAGAAAGGCATCTTCCTCTGACTGAAGAGTAATAACTTTTCACAAGTGGCGTGACATTACAACACTATCCGAATATGGTGCCTAAAAGCTGCAGCTGTGGTCTGTACAGGGAAGACAAAGACTGCTTAGTTCATCAGCAGGTTTCTGCTTAGCAGCTCAATCCCACACTGTTGGGGAAACAACCTGTGAGTGAAACTGTCGCATTTATCTAGTTGCATGGCTTCAAAAGAAACAGATATAAACCCTGCAAACATTCACACCAATTGATTTTCAGCAAATGATGATTAACATACTCATATAATGATAAAATACACACGTGATAGCATACACACACAATTTTTTTTTTCAGTGACAAACACGAGGGTTGAAAGTTTTGTGTTTACACAGGCAGCGTCTGTTGATTTTATTGAGTAGGTGAGTAAGGAAGTGTCTATTTATCCTTATTGAGGATTTTATTTTTGACCAGCTCAGATATAAAAGTATAAAAGGAAGCAACAATGATGTCATGGTTGTGACTTTTTGCCCTTAATTGTAAAAGCCTGTGTTGTGTTGTTTTGATTTGTAGTACTTTCCCTAAAGAGATCGAGGAAGTCACCTTACGCAATCTGGGTAACATGGTTAAGGGATAAACGGGCGGCCAGTTGAACTTTTGACATAAAGGGAAATCCTTATAACCTTCTAACGCAGCACGCAGAGTTCATCCTCTAAATGCAGGACAATTGTTTCGGTTGTAAGAAAGCAGGAGGTTCACTGTGCCATCTTCATGATGGAAAATGTATTTATAACACGGCGTTCATCCCTTGACTTGGCCACAGGAAGTTCACAGTAAAACATGGCAGGTGGTGGAGGTGGGGAGTGATCCGTGGTGGCTAAATTAGGACTGATGTCACGGGTGCAGTTTGACTTTATCAGTGTGCCTTTCAGCGGCGGTGAGGTGAGGTCATAGTTATAGGAAGAGAGGAGATAAAACCGAAGCTCTTAGCTGAGGTTTGTGAATGAAATAAGTGCCACATTAGGGGCGCAATACATCATCCTATTGACTGCTCTGTTTTTCAGTGTGTGCTCCTCTCAGTCTCCTCTCAGTCAGATGCTCTAATGTGTAATGGCTCCATTAACATTATCCACAAAGACTCATTGGCCGTGCATTGTCATGCAGGTTGTACTGGCTGCTTTGAAGCCGCCTCCTCGTTGTTATTGAGAATGAGCTGTGGGAAGTTGTTGTTTGGCTATTTAAACTGAGAAAGGCCTGGAAATGTTCCCTCAACCCCCCCCCCCTTGTCTCCCCAATCCCCCCTTCTCACTGTTATAGCCGTTTCCATGACAACTCATGCTAAGCCTTAAAAAAAGTACAAAGCTTGTGAGGCTCGAACCCCAACCAGCCTTGTTTTTCTTCTTTGTTCTGTTCTTTTCACCCTCTGCATTCCTGTTCTCATTCCCGTGATGTTTCTGGGACTGACTTCACGCTGAGCTCCCGGGTGCTTTCAAACTTTACGGAGAGACAGACCTTTACTCTCTTTAGATTTGGCTGGCACCGCTTGGGTCTAAGTGCAAAAGGTGCAGCCGAAGCATTCAGTCATTCAGTCAGCTGCCTCGACCAGCGGCGGCTGCAGGGTTTTTAGAGATTGTGAAAATTGTGAAGGGGAGCTTTGTTGGTCATGGAGAAAGGGAGAAACTCTCACTGCTCCGAGGATCCGGGAAGGTAAGGCAAACAAACAAATATATCCAGTCTCACGTTTTAGCCAGAACTTCTCAGTTTTTCTCGGATAAGACACACACGGCTGACTAATGCAGCGCTGGGTTTCCTAGCTTTATTTTTAAACCCAGGCAGGCTATGTTTTTCCCACTGTCACATGGGAGGAGAATTAAATTTGTTAAAGCTTTCGCCATAGTCTTATCATGAGGTCATCAGTCTCATCTCTTTTCCTGAAATAAAACGTTTTTTTCCTGAGAAACGGTTCAGCGTGCAAAACAAGTTACGCTTTTGGTCGCCAGCTTATTACTGTCAAGACCATGCAATATCAGTCTCATGAGATGTCACCGGAGCAGATAGAAGAAATAAATCAAACTGTTATTTAATCTGTATTACCAGAGCATGCCATCATGTGAGCTCGCTGTGTGTTCTGTAGATCCCCCCCCTCACCATAACAAACAGTTCTGCACTGTATCCAGATAAACACAGCCCATAACATCATGCTTTTTCATTATAATCGGCTGCTGCAGAGAATTTGATAAGCCTGCGCTCGTTTTCAAACTCTGGGCATGCTCGGCTCTACATTGATTTTCGTCAGGTGGTGTGACACAGTGCTCCGACAAGGAAGTAGGTCAGGGGTCGAGGCCTGTGTCGGATCATTGTACACTTCTTTCAGGTAGGCCAACTCCTGCATGGTAAACACCAAACGGACAATAAGGAGTGAATTTATCGTTCTGTTTTTTTCCGCTCAGGACGTTTTTCTATTTACCTTTACTCTCGTAATTGTCCCACAGTCGTTCAACCGTAATGGCTTTAGCCTTGAACCTTTTTATAGACCATCAGCATGACTCAGTTTGACTCAGTTGCCATTGAAGGTTTTTTTTTTTTCCCCCTCTATGTGCTATCAATGATTAAAAAGTCTCGTTATTACACATCAGCCTGCAAGTATAAAGAAGTATGTTGATAACCTTAGCAAAAATGACCCCAGGTAGAAAGGAGTTTGTGTATTGACAAACTGAAAGTGCATGCATGTGTCCTGTCATTTTTACAAAGAGACACTTTTCAAACAATTTTACCTGTTAAATGCTTGAACAATCAGCCGCCAGGGAAAATTTGTGGTTCGGAGTTTTTTTTGAAGTAAACATGAACTACCAAAGAAAAAGGAGCTGCTTTCCTGCGTCTTCCAGGAAGTGGCTTCGAAATAGATTTGTTAATGGTTACGGTTAGACCTGAGCAAAAAGAGGAAGTCGTTGAGAAATCCAAACAGACGATGGTCTTTTGACCGTCGGGTGTATTGCCCTTCCACTGCAAACCTCACTGGCTTGTGGAAATAGGTCAGATGAGCATGTTTGAACACAGACAGAAGCCTGGTCAATAGCTCAAGGCTAGTTCTAACATGGTCACTGCTGTGTTTCTCTTGACTGCGCAACAGTCAGAGAAAGTGTTTCATCTTGGATTTCACTGAATTTCTTGGATATCATCTTTTTAAAGATTATGTTTCGAAAGATTTGTCAAGTTTGACCACTTCCCATACGTGATGACTGTTAAACCACAAGCCATGGCGAAATTTGGGACTGTTTTAGAAAGTATAGCACAGAACAAGAGTTAAAACTAATAACACTGATAAATATTACATTGCAGAGGTACTTTTTTTGCCTTATTCTAGATGAGGATTTAATATGTGTCTATTTTTATGAATATTTTACATTAATAAAAAAGTGACCGTTTTCTTGAAACTCTCAACAACAAATCCTCTGCATCAAAAAATAAATAAAGTTTTTGAAAAGTAAAACTGTTTGATTGGATACATCATCCCTGAATAGGCTGTAAAAGCCTGTATTATTTCATTATTAACGGTGTAGGAATCTTGCTAAATGTATGTTCAATGTTTGTCCTTTCATTCATGACCTTTCCTCCAATAACTCTGGTGACACACCTGAAAAAATGCTATTAGGTAGCGTTAGGGAAAGAAAAAAAAAACCTTATGCAATCTCCTTTATCAAGAGGTGTATCTTTAATCAGTGTAGAAGTTGAAGTGGTAAAGCAGCATATGTGCCGAGGTTTTGCTCAAAGTAATATTTATCTCCTGTCTGTCGTTAAAAATTGTTCCTTCTGTCAGTCATCTGACTCCTTTGATTGACAGTTAGGACATACTGTGTCGGGATCTGTATGGTTCTCTTACTGTTAATCTGTCTTTTTTAATGCCTGAGGGTGAGACGCAGATAATGCACCACTCCTAGATCAGGCCAGTCTGAGCACCTCACAAGTATTTCACTCGCACACACACACAGCACTTTTGGAAGAGTCTGTGATCCTGCTTTGCCCCTCTTGAACAAATCCCAACAGGACAGGATTTCTTAGTTGGACTCGAGTTTGTCAGTGGAAGATTTTATGGGAAGAGGGTTTGTTTTCACAAACATGCCAGTGCCTGTGTTGTGCTCTGTCGACTCTGTGTGTGTGTGTGTGTGTGTGTGTGTTGGAGAGGGATTGAGTGTGTACGTTAGTCTCTTTCATGCTTGTTTGGCTCTGGGGGAGTGGTTGGGTTTGACGTCACTCACTACGAAGTGTCACACCATTCTCAACACAAACTGACTTCCTCCTTACCAGCACATTCAAACAGCTGTACACAGCGACAGCTTTTTCTGGCAGGATGTGGTGAGAGACCCGGAGTTAAAGGACAGCTACTCTTGGAACATATCTTTAACATAAACAAAACTTTTTATCATCTTGATCAACTTATTTTTTTTCACTTCTTGACTTTCATGGCGTGAGGCTGTTCAGTGGATCCTCCAGATTATAGATTTTTTCAGACAGAAACAAAAGGAAATGCCTACAGTTAGTAGGTATATGAGTTTTCGTTCATCAAAGAGATTTAAAATAACCGGGTAAGGGTGTCTTTGTTTTGTTTTTGTTGTTTTAGAGTCATTTTGTTGCTTTTGTTTTGAGTGAGTCAGGTGGTCTTGGTGTTTGTACAGCTTGTCAGCCATCTCATTGACCTCCGTAAATCTTGTGTCCTCGCTTCTTTTTACAGTTTATTGGAATTGACTGTTTACAAAAGCGTTGTAACTTTTTAAAGAGCATATCAGAGCCTACATGGAGCAGTTTGTAGAGGTGTTTTTTTTTTTTTTTTGTACAGCCGCAGCGCTGACACAACCCTTTAACAATAAAAAACTTACTGGAAAAGTGTAACCCTTCTCAGCATCCCATCGTAAAGATAAGCGGGTTGTTTGCCCGATGGCAGCGCAGTCATGATACAGCTTTGTGTTTTAGTAGGGTTTTAATGAGCATCATTTTAGGATATGAGATTTTGTTACACCTTGGGGTCAAATGTTGGCCAGTATGTGGAATTGGGAAGGGCAGCTTATCTTGCTGTGTTTCATCGTGTGTTTCTACAAGATGAAAACTTTGATTTTGAGTGCTTCAATACATACCATTCCTGCTCTTACCTTTAACACTCTTCCCTGCATGTACTCAAAATCTCTTTTTTTTTTCTCTGTGTATCCAGCAGCTACCCAGTAGAGAGCAGCGGTGGCGGGCTGCCAGCCAAAGTGAAGAAAAGCAAGAGCACCTTGAGCAATGGCAGCGTCAAGAAGGTGGAGACGAGGAAAGCCTTGAGTTTGGATGCAGCCCAGCTGGAGATCCAGCAGCAGCACAAAACCCTCACCAGACAAGTGGCAGTCAGGTGAGACCGATGGAAAAAGAGGGGGAAATAAACAGTATGCCTTTAAAATATAGGCCAAGCCACAGTCCTACTTTCATGCTTGACACCACCGCAAAGTTTCCATTAACGATCTAAAAGCCTAAGAAATGCAGACGGCAGAATTCCTATCGATGTGGCGATAATTTAATTTCACTCTTGAAATGCATAAAATACTATAAACGGTGGAGACTTGCAGCTTTTCTGATGCATCACGAGACCGAGCGTAACTCTGAGCAGCTGCCAAGTCGTGATACACACATGACCACACAGCCGTCTCAAACCCACTGTGTTTTCACATGATTCAGACGTAGGGGGGTAGATATAGGATATTTATTGGTGTGAAGAACAAACTCCTACACGACTGTGTGGCTCCCCAGCAGCCCTGAACATGTATCATTTTACACCGGTACTTCAGCATGAAGCAGAGTTCATCGAATAAATTCTATATTATATAAGCATACAAGAAGAAAGCGTCTGTCAGTACGAGACAAAACCCTAAAAAAAAAAAAAATAAATAAATCAATAAAAAGAAATGGGATCCTTGTGTTGTATCTAAGGTGACTCAGTTGTTCAGTTTTCATCTGTTGTGGCCACAAACATCAGGAAAAGTGCCTGTGAGAACAAACACAATGGCTAAGTCATTAATATGCATCTCCATATAGAGATGTTGTAAATATTGAATCCCCAACATCTACCATCAGTATACTCGAATTCAACCACTGATCCAAGATGATTTTGTTCTGTCGTGCACTCAGCTGCATGAATGTTTCTCAGAGGCAAACAGATCCTGACACTCAAAGTTTTGCAACGCTTCAGTCATTTCAGGAATCAAGAAGTATTCGTGACTATTTCTGAAATATTTTTGAATCTGATCTTTCCTGTTCTGTGGCATTTTGTCATAGCTGAGGTGGCTTTCTTTTGCTTGTGACTGCATATCCTTAAAGTGATCCTCTCACGTTAACTGAGACCTGCTGAAGCCGCATACTTTCTCTAACTTGCCCTCTTTATTTTTACTGCCACAGGTCGGAGACTTTTGAAGTCGACAGCAAAGGCTTCGAGCGGACAGAGGGCACCGGCACACAAAGTGTAAGGCCTACATTTGAACTTATGGTGTAAATACAGACCTGAATCATACTTTCAGTGGACTGTAATAATGAAGGGAAAGTTCTCACTTTGTTTTCTTCTCGTCACTTTTAGAGTTTCATGAAGCACAATAAAACATTCCACAAGTTGTTCCCAGACATTCCTAAGAGTGAAGACTTAATACACGGTAGGTACCTTAGAGCAAGAGAGAGATTTATGTTCTCGTTTGATGTGGTCCGCTCATTTGTTGTTTCCACCTCTTTCTTCTTCAGCTTACATCTGCGCCCTGCAGAAGGAAGTGCCCTACCATGGTCGGCTGTACGTCACTGACACTCATGCCTGTTTCTACTCCTCAGTTTTACTCAAAGACACAAAGGTACCCCAGCCTCTCCTTTCACTCCTGTCGGTGTTTAAAATGTTTCCCACCAAACCAAATATCTCACCCTCTCTTTTCTTCTGTCTCTCTTACAGTTAGTTATTCCAGTTTCCAGCATCCACTTAGTGAAGAAGCAGAACACAGCTTTACTCGTACCCAATGCCTTGTCCATCCGCACCACAGCAGGAGACAAGGTCAGTTTCTCCCTCTCAAAGGGCTTATTTTGTCACTAGATGTACACACACATCTTTTAAATCATTCACCTAGTGTATTTATTCTTACAGTTTGCTCGTAGGTCACACAGCTAATACTCTTGAATGTTCTTGTTTTCCCTTTTTAGTTCCTGTTTGTGTCTCTGAGGAACAGGGAATCGTGTTTTCAGCTGCTGCGTTCAGTCTGTCCTCAGTTTGAGGTGAGTTGATCGAAATGGGTTTGTTGTCTTTGATAGTAAAGAAGTAGATCGACACGTGAGCAATCTCTAATGCCTCTAAGGTCATGATCTAGCTTTTAGTACAATACTGTCACTGCAAAAGAAAAAGTGATTACAGATAGTACTTCATGTCCTTAACTGTTATTGTGAAAATATTGCAACATGGTAAATTTGCTTATTGCAGAAACTGGTGATCTTTTGAGTTGTATAATTCAGCAGAGAGAGAGCAGCAATCCTTCCTCTTGAACACTTTGTATTTAGATTTACTGCACTGACTTTTTAAGAGTGCGGCCTCTGACATCTATTTGAAGAGCCGCCTCTATGATAAGACTGTTCAAATAGTCGTTACCTTCAAGATATTTGGTTTTCATTCTTAAATTTTTCTCTTTTTGTGTTTGCAGGAGGGAAGCACAAATAGTAGCCCGGTCTTCTCCTCAGCTGAGAACAGCTTTGATAAGAGCAAACTCGTGGTAAGAAACACTTTCTCACTATTGTCCTCTGAAAATGTCATGAGGTTTTGCTGCCGTAGGGTTTAATAATGAGATTTTTCCAGAACATGATTAACTTGTTCTAAAATTTCCTAGAACAGAGATGATATGATTTAAAAAGTCAAGCTTGTGACGGTAATCCTCATCTTCTTTTGTTTCGTTGCCACAGAACTCAAGTCAATCCAGTCTAGATGACAGCTTTGACCACTTTGATGGCTCTGAGTCACAGTCTTTACAAGACCAGCCCGTGCACAGACCACACAGAGGTAAGGGTTAGGTTCCTTTTTTGTTTTTTTTTGTGAGTACAAATTAATACTAATCTCCTCTTGACAGACAATCATGTTTATAAGAACAAAAACCTATTGACAGTGCACTCATCTTTTGTCTCCGTCTCTGGTCTAGCCAGTTTACACACAAAGTCGGAAAGGTCTGATAGCTGACTAACATTGATTTTTTCTTGTCTTCCCCTCCCTCCTCTCTCCTCGCCCTCCTTCCTTCTTCTTCAGAAGCAGTGCCTAATAGAGCCAGCTCAGCTTTCAGGAACCTTCACATGCAGCCAAGTGAAAGCTCATCCTCAGAGGAGCTGTCAGTTTCAGGTCAGAGGAAAACTTGAACTGTGGTGTGCAACACAGAGGGTGTGCAACAAAAAAAAGGGTCTTTTCGATCAATAGCGGGGGGGCAAATACTGATAAAGATGTTCAACTTTGTGTCGTATAAAGTGTGATTTTGGAGATATCTATGTTTAAAAATTAAGTTATAGATAAATACAGTCTCTTTTTTAAAATGATAATTGAATCATGATAACTGTAGCTGGTTTTGTTTTTAATTTCATTTTTTATTTACTGTCTGCCACCACCTATAAATGCAGAACCCACAAGTTCTTGCACAACGACATTCTTGTAATGCTGAATTAATTACAAGCCACCTACATCAGCGCTTTGGTATTCACGTGATGTGTCCATTTCCTTCTCCAGGCTCAGGTGGATCGTGGGTTTGGAACGTGACAGAAAAGGCCAAGTCCCTGCTGGTTCAGAGAGAGGCCAGCACCCTCAACACTCTACTCTTCATTTACTTGATTCTGTGAGTAGCTCTTTCTCTCCTTACCTACTCTCCCTACCTCCTTCTGTTTGCCCTTTTCATCCCCGTACCTTATCTTCTATTGTGCTAATCCAAACCTGCCTCTCGCCGTCGATGTCACACCTGCCCTGGTGGGTGGACTTAATGGTCTTATAGGATCTCATTACATAAGGAGGAGCTTGCCAACTTTTCAGTTTTTTTGGCAGGCAGGTTTTTGCTAGGATAAGAATTTTCTTCTGGTACTAGCACACTCTATTCCAAGTGTGATTTTCAGTCCTTAAACCTCCCCATTAAAAATGTCACAAACTTAGCAGTTAAACTTTTCTGGCACTTTGAATAAAGAGGGTGTTAAAAGAAAAAAAGGCTTTAAATTTGACGTGTCGTGTCTCGACTGTTCCAGGGTTGTGCTGCTGCTGCTGTCTTCCGGCTACATTGGTTTACGTATCGTGGCTCTGGAGGAACAGCTGACATCCCTGGGGGCTCTACCTGAGTTCACCTTACAGAGCGGGTAAGCAGACCTCCTTTTCACTGCAGCTTCTTCTCCTCTATGGCTGTCTTTGTCTTTGTGTGAACCTATATAAACACCTCCTATAGAGTTGTTACCACAGTATTAGTCCATATGTTAGATTAATCTATATTTCCACAAAAAATTGAACATTTCCTGATCATTTCAAAGCTCTATTAAAACTAATTTTGAAGTGCACAGAAACTACGTAAGGAAATTTTTATGTATTTGGAAATGAAGCCAGAAAAGTTGTTTTTGTTTTTGGTACATATGCTGAATAAGATACTCCATGTCTGTTTACTCTGTTATATAACTGGATTTACTGGCTATAAAGGAAACGGCATATTAATTCCGGTTAGAGGTGTTGCCTTGCTGCACAGTTACTAAATGTTTGAGTATTTTTAGGTGTGTATTGAAATACGACTCTCAACTAGTTCCCTTCTGTCTTTTTCCAGGTACCGCCAAGACACATAACACTCAGCAACTGAAGGAGAGATTGATTGACTCATGACTGGAGGATTAATATCACATTATGGGCCTCTTCTGGCAGAACACAGCAGGAGAAGTTTTCACTCACTCTGACTGTGCTCCCGAACACGCCTGGTGCTGTTCGCCAGAGGACAAAATGAACAGCCAACCTGTGCAATGTCAGAGACTATTTGTTAACTCGAAGGGCTATACTTCCTCCTAGCGCAGTAGACAAATGGACACGCCACGACTTAGTCCCGCAGAGCCGAGCCAAAACGCATCCACACGCTGCCTGGTTGCAGCGTGTCTGTCGTTCAAACCAAAGCCACACGGCTCTAACTTTGCAAACGTGCCACACTAGCCAAGTCTGACGGGCGCTTTTTACTGACAGAAACTGTTCCACATCTGTGAATTTCTGTTATCCATTGTCTTTTCTATACAGAACCTTCTCCCTGAGCATGCAGTCTGAACAGGGCTATACCGATCAGCATTAGACCACTGTAGTGCTTATTATTGCACCTCAACACCGGGGGAGGTAGCGCTATGCTTAGCCAAAGACGCACTCGGTGCACGTCTTTTGCATGAGTGCACCTAGATGACTTTTAAGTGATTCTTCGATCTCAGATTTTCCCTTTTTCATCTAACAGCGGTTTATACAAATGTGTCTCTCTCCTCTAACTCAGTATCTGTTGGGGTATTTCTCTTTGAATGGTTCTGTAATCAGCTGTGGGTTGAAATGATGATCGCTGAAATCTCCAAATCAGATCAGCCCATAGAGGCTCGTCTTTCTCCTGATGGTCTTTCTCTTATCTCTCTTTCTTCACGTAGCTATGATTGCAGTATTACTTTCCTCGTCTTTGGCATGACTTAAATCAGTTTAATGATCAATGCTCCGAGGTCATGTTGCTCTTGAGCAGTCTCGGCTGGATGAATGCATCATCAATGCACAAATATTTAGTACATTAGGACACCAGGAGGTTGTCTCAGAGGCGTTAAGTGTTTGTTTGCCTAAAGATAAGATTTAAAGTGTGGATGTACGGTCAAGCAGGAAAGAAGTACAAACCTCTCTCTGTGACATGCCAAAGTGGCATTTCTAGAATCTTCAGGTTATTTAAAGTAGCACCAATAATGTATTTCTGTTGTTTCTATATGTGTCAGCAATATGGACACTTGACTGATACTGTACACGCATTCTCGCTCTCGTAAACCAGGGCGGAGATTTGCTACCACGCTTGCTGTGAGGTCCAGAATTTTCAACAGCAAAACTTTTGAGTGGTCCCAAAAAGAAATTTCAATATGCAAGAAATTATTATGCATGGCAAAAAGTGTAATTTATCTTTGTGTGCTGTTTTTAAATGGAGATCGATGTTTGTGGAGAAGATAATGTGTCGGGTGAAAAGAAATACAAAGAAAGATGTGAATGAAAGAACAGCTCGAGTGAGCTAGCGCACTTTAAAAAAAATGTGTTGTGCCTGTCACAATCCGAGACACAAGGTTTTGGATTGAGAGGAAATGGCAAAGCTAGCGATCTGTGGTATCTGATGGTGCTAATGACTATTTTTTTTAAATTAGTTTTCACTCAGGGGTGGTGGGCACTACCTGCCACATGGTTTTTAGGTTGTCATCTCTTTCTTGGTCATTTCAAAGTGTTGTGCGTGTGATGGGGTTCACATTTTGTACATCTTGGCTTTGGTGGTTTCCTCAAATGTCCTTTTGAGAAAAAAACACTACTTTCATTGAGATTCATTTGACTGTCTGTGTTTGGCTTCTCAAAATTGCTTTTTCCCCCTTTTCCCGCTCCTAGGACCCTTTTTAAACTAACCTTATCATGCATATCCACACCACAGCTCAAAGACTCAACATCTCCACCCTTGTTGGGCTCATTTCAGGAGTCGTAGAAAGATAACTTTGACCAAATCGTGTTTGGATGGTCAGATTCTCATGTTTGGCTGAAGTTTTTGTCTACGTCATATACAGTACTGTTAGTTCTTATAATCCTCCACCAGGGGGCAGCACACACATCCACTGTCCTTGAACGGACTAAATGCAAGAATCTCAATGAAGAGGGCAGTATTTGTGTGGTTTTGCACTATTCAAAGTGTTGTAAATAATTTTGTATTGATTGTTAATGTCCTTAATTCTACTATGGTCCTATATATATAAATATATATTTATTTGCATTCTGTGTAATTCAAAGTAGTCTCTGTGAGATGGCTTTGCTATTGTTCAAAATAAATCAAAAGTTGCGAAGTAAATAATAAACTGTGTCTTTTCAATAACTCACTGTTTGTACACAAGAATTGTTCAAGAACAAGATATCAGATTTCAATCAAAGTAAATATGTCCAGAAACATCCAACATGTTTTCATTTAAAGCTTGTTGAAGTAATGCAAGAAGAAAGTAACAAAATACTTGTCATGTAAAACGCTGAAATATTAATTGGAACAAACAGAAACTTATTTCTTTTTAAAAGAAATCTTGGGGTGGCAAATAATGCAAATCATGATTGTTACACAGGCTCCATTTCCAGCAGCACCTATTATATATGATATCAGATCGCCATCTAGTGGAGAATCTTATGTACACCCACAGAAACGAGAAAGAAAATTAGTTTTAAAATGTATGCTTGAATTCTCATTCAAGACCTCAACACCAAACACAGCTCACCCAAAGGATTTCAGAAAAACAGTCCCTGACAGCCATGATTATTCAAGTCTGGGATTATGACATTAAAAGTAAAAAATAAGTATGATGGTCTGAATTTGGTAACTGTCATAAATCGTAAGGGTCTGCATGTTTGTTGTTGAAAAACCTTATTGGAAGTATAAATATCTGGTGTTTTCTGATGGTTGGAGTCAAAGTAGAAGAAGACTGTAGTCACTCAAACCACACCGGTTTCCATGATTTCTATTTATTCCATTCTAGATACTCAAAAGCAGCAGTGGAATATATAGCAACAGTCTGCGAGCTCATAGCTGAGCTCACGTTCAGCTGTCGGGATTGTTTGAAGGAGTAGGTTCTGCAGTGGTCCGCTGGTAAGCACAGAGCTGAAACACACCTGAAAAAAAACGCACAGAGGAAAAAGTGTTTATTTCTCAGACAGTCAGGAACCACAGAAATCTGTACAACAAATGCAAATATGAATTATTGTCAAAGTATAAAAAAAGAACATTTTATCAGTGTAGAAGTTGATATTGATGCCCCTGAGTGGCTATAAAATCACCTGACCACCCTCAGATGCTCTTAAACAAGCTGCCGTTTCTGCATAACTAATTTCAACACATTTTCAAAGATTGTATGAAAACTGTAATACCTGCTGCAAAAGCCAAAATGATAGCCACCCAGCCGATGATGTAGGACCAGGAGAAGCGCCAGTCCAGGAAGCGTTTGCCAAAGAAAGTGACAGTCACTCCGGTGTAAATGGCCAAAGCCAGCAGGGCAAGAAAACCTGAGAGTGAAAGAGAGATTACAAAAATGTATGTAAGTAATCATGAAAACAGATTTGGTTGATATTCAAAACATGCATGTTTTCACTGAATTTGTGTGCATTCTCTGCATCTGATCTCACACTGGAATAAGAATTGTAGAGTCTCTGGTATAAAGTGCAAAGTTTAATATTCAACCTGTACGTTTTTAAGCTTATATTTAAAGTGCTGAATATTGTACCCATCCACAGAGATCCATTGGATTTATCCATGCTTTTTAACCCTGGGTATAATCTACTACTGTGAGCCAATTACAAAAAGTCCAAGACAAGTTTTGTGGACTAAACCCTGCCTCAAATATAACATAATATTCCAATTACATGAGCTTACTGTTCTGAACAAAACCAGAGGGAAGTTTGTGCAAAACTCTTTGGGTTTTTACCTGACAGGACAAGAGCTATGCCCCCTGTGCGGACCCTCCTGTTCTTGGTGCCGTTAGTGAACGCGCTCAGGCCAAGCACCACCCCTGCAAAGCAGCTCAGCACAGCCAGCAGCATGAAGGCTCGAGTGGCATCCCAGAAAGCTGGACATTAGGAGCCGGGGCAGAGACATAGATTGTGTCAGATGTATTTTTATTTCGCTTTAGAGGCAAATTAATGTTCATGAAACTTTCTCTCTTTTTTTTTGCATTTGGTTTGTTTTACTGAATTTTTTCTCTCTGAACCCTTTTAGTCACACTCATAACTTTTTTTTGGTATAAACCTGATAAAAAGTATACATAATATATTATCTGTTGTATGAAAAATGATCTAATTTAGTACCCCAGCAAAAAAAAGTCCAGAAAATCTGGTTGAAGTGTTCCCCACTGAAGGACTCACCTACTGTGATAGTGTGGGCGTGGCATTTGTGATTGATACAAAACCTCCAAAGCCCCTGGTTAGCTGAGCTACCCGAGTATCGATACTGCATCCAGAAGTCTGTTGCTGTGGAGACGATGAGAAGCACAAGGGCAGCCACACCGCAGAGTGTGCCTCCTCCTGCCAAAGTATACAGCATCGTGAGGAATTGCTGTCCCTCTGAACATTCAGCAACTGAACAGCAAAGAGAGAGAAAACATGATTGGAAAAGAGACAGGCTACAATTAAAAGAGTCAAATATTCATTGTGTATCTTGATAAACAGAATAACAACACTGAGACTTTTGACTTTGGGATCACTCTGCTTCAGATGAAACAATGAACAGGTACCTCAGTATCACACAGAGCAGCAGCCCACTGACTTTTACATTACATTATTTATTTGAATCATCTAATCTGCAGAAACACATCAACATTCTCACAAATGTTAAAGTTCTGTACATTTTTCAGAAACAGGCAGTCAATTTGTGGAACTGTGAAACTGTGTTGGTGTTGGTTAGCGAAACAATTATCAGGTTTTGCATATATATTTCACATGAAGTAGTCCTGTTATACTTAATATCAGCACAACAAATCGTCATCCATATTATATGACTTAGCCACAGCTGTCCTGATACTGATCATACATACATCAGCTCTCAATAACCAGGGTCAGGCTACTACTGTCCCAACGCTAATGAACCCAACTATCCATCTGCATTAAAGTAAGCCCTATGTGTCTTTTCATGACCACTGTAGTTTTAAAGCAGACAGGATATATGTTCACGTCCAGTACAGAGAACTCAACCCACAAGAAAGAAAAAATGTTGTTGAGGGGTATTACCATCTGAAATGGACTTTTCTGCCAAACATGCATACATTTAATTTCAAACAAAGTGATTTATCGTCCTGTAACACGGTTTAAAACTGGCCATAGCCCAGCGAAGCACTTGAGCCAAACTGCTGTATGACAATAAGCCTGCCTATCAGGCAGTTCAGACCCATTGTTCTCCACTAATTCCCCTCCGTGCAGCACAAACCGATCTGTTAGTGCTGAGCAGCTGAACTGTCAGCATTGTTACTCTCTGTCACACAGCCAGCAAACCAGAGCTATCCAACACCTGGACTCACATATGGTCCTTCGACAAACATCAAACTCCACCAAAGTTAAACAAAAGTCAGACCTCTACATTTCAATGACAAATGTGTCTCAAAATTTGCAGAGTGATACGAACAACCAGAGGGTACCAGCCCTGATAAAGTTAGTGGTGATGATCTAGGTAAAAATCTTTCCCCAAGCAAAGGCCTCCAAACATCATCTTCTGTGGGTATTTCCTCTTACTCTCCAGCAGCAGCAGCAGCTTTTAAGCGCAGAGAAAGAAGCGTATCCTCAAAAAAAAAAAGACTTTAAAAATACAAGTTTTTCTGATACCTGTGTTGGCTGGTGTCTCCACAGGGTTGCTGGCTGTAACAGTGTGCCTATCCTTTTTAAGCCCTGTACCCCTGGCTCGAATTGTCCAGCTCACAAAAGAGGGAATGATCGAGTGTAGCATGTGAGTGATGCTAAATCCCCCCTCGCTTCTCTCTGCACCCACCTCCCTCCCTCTGTCATCCCTCTATCTAACCTGTTGCACTTTCTCCGTCTTTTTGAACCACTCCTCGGATCACTTTACCTTTCATTCACTGAAAAACGCAGGATAATATAAAGACACAGAAATGTATACATGTGTTTTGTTCATGTCAGTCCACAATAACTCCATAAACATCAGTGTGAATGCACTTAGTGTCTTTATTTCATCAGTTAACTCACAACTTCAAAAAAATCTTTATTCAAAAGCAAGGAGAACATGTGGTAACAGCCAGCAACTTTTTTTTTTCACAGTTTGAACCACACTGACCTCTTGGCAGCCCCATTGTCATATATTTGTCTGCACCAACAGTTTCAAAACCACACAAGTTTCAAATGTAAAACAACATTACAAGCTTTGGGCAGTGCAAAATATAACAAACAAATACAAAACGAATGACATTCCTCCTCTTTTTCACCCCTTTTCTCTCTCATTTAATCAGGTTTCTGCATAGATGATCGTTAAAAGTAAATAAAAACATCAGGTCCTATCTGTGAAAAATGAAGATGTGACCAGATTTGTTGTTTGACGATGTGCAACCCAACAGCATTCACATTTAAAGTGCCTCATTACCATTGTCTTCACATTTCTGTCATTACACAATCCCTGTTTATAACTTCTGAACCACACTAAATCCACAATATATGTGTACAAACCAAATGTGCTTATGAGAGGATCTTGAAAAATGGCTTTAAAACTTCACTACAACATTTACATGTTCCCATTCTGCAGCTCATCTGTTTACTTCTTTGGAAAAACAATCCTGAAAGTTTTTTTTTTGTCACGTTTACAACAATATTTGTGTACAGATACAGAAGGAAAACCACTTTTTACATTTTCTGCATTACAAGGATTTAAAAATGGGAAATGGGATAATACCAAAATAAAGCTGCAAATAAATATATTCGTCTATCGCTCCGTTACTCAACAAATCTCAAAATCTCTACAAAAAGGCACATTATGATATGTGTAACCAAATGTGGCTTCTTTTCACAACATAAAAAGGTGCCACTAACCATCCCTTACAGTGACACTCATGTTTTGTATCAATGACAAAAACATAGTCTGACATCGTGAGGAGAAAATAAAGAAAATACGTGCCTGTGTGTGCTCGCAGTGAACCTGCTCGTGCCCTTCAAGTGCAGGCGTTATCAGCCATCTCTCCAACTACATCTCTGTGCTTACAAAAAGCCAAAGCAGAAAGGGGTTTGGTGAAAACACACAGATACCTTTACGAGGTTCTGACTATCACATGAATTAAAAAGATTTGACTTTGAACACACGTCTCATTTTTAAGACATTTGCCAATTTTCTAAGTAGAGTCCTTTAGTTTGTTTTATTTAAATCACACTCAAACTGCAAAGCCAAAATCATTTTAGGGTTGCTGTTTGCTAGGACACACTCACAAAGACAGACACACACACACACACACACACACACACACACACACACACACACACACACACACACACACACACACACATACAACTCTGACTTCAAAGTGACATAAGTTACCCTTCAAAAACACTTCTTTTCCACACACAAACCGAACACACATACAGTTTACTCCAGACTGAGCAGCGTATAAGCTGCCTACTGTATGTGGTCAACAGTACAGTTATACACACACACACACAAACACACACATACACCCCAACAGTCATTGATCCCATGCTGTGACTCTGTGTTGTGCCTCTTGTTAACAACAAGTGTTTGTCCAGATAAAAGCTCAGGGGCCAGGCGCCCAGAGGACCACAGTTCGATCTGCAGATGAGGACAGGAAGGTCCGGTCATGAGGGTGCCACCTGCACTGGATCACTTTGTCCCAGTGCTCCCCCGCCACCGTCTGAGGGAGGGGCTTTGTGAGGTCACCTGGGGTCAGAGGTATTACATTTTAATGTCTTAATGATAAAAACATAAAGCCTATAATGGCGAGTCTAGATCTCTTCCTCAAGTGTTTAATGAAACACTAATCCTACCTTGTAGGTCACTGATGATGATTTTGTTGTCGTAGGAGCCAGTGAGGAGATGATGAGCTCCTGGTGAGAAGCGCACAGAGCGAATGTCGCTGCCGTGTGGGCGGTACGTCTGCACTATGCGGCCTCCTTTGATGTCGTACAACATGCAGGTACTGTCCTCCTGACCTGTGGCCAGCAGGCGGCCACTGGGATCCACGGCCACAGAAGCAACTGCACTTCCTGCGTGAGACCGATAAGGTAAAAACGTTTGCTGCAATGAGCTGTTGTTTTAAAATAGGGGAGAGTGGGGTAAGATGAGCCATTTTTCATATTTTGGATCACTACATCAAGACAATCATAGTTTTGTCTCTAACTAGTGTATCTGCATATATTTCAGGATGTTGTTCATCCCTGCAAACCAACAGAATGAGTGTAAACATGATAATATAGCATGCCAAAAAAAAGTGGTCTCCTATGGTCAACTTACCACGTGTATGGGGTAAGTTGACCATACCCTTTGGCTCAACTTACCCCACTCTCCCCTACCTGTCTTTTGTTTGTTTGTTTGTTTGTTTTTTTAGGATGTCACTCACCAGAGCCATGCAGAGTTGTGCCCACCACCCGGACACAGCTGGGCACCCGCAGGTCCCAGAAGCGGACTGTCTTGTCTTGGGAGCCTGACGCAATCATCCAGCCTCCCCACGTGTACAGAGTCAGAATATGACCTGTCCAAATGAAACAGGGACGGTCTTAAATATCATACATGCTATGACCAAACAAAGGATCCCTCATCTGTGTTTGTTGAGCAAGTTTAATAAGGCCCAGAACCTTATCTTTTAGTTTCTAGATCAAAATACCCCCAACATTTGTGCCAGTTTCTTTTGCTCCTTTTGTTGCACTAGAAGGGAAAGTGCCACTGCTAACAAACCTGTGTGTCCACTCAAGGCGTGGAGACCCTGTCCTCTCTGACAGTCCGTTGTGTAGATATTACAGTCCCCAGCTCCAGCACTGATTAAGATGGATCCTCCACTCTCTGGGCCCTCCATGAAGGCCAGATCTCTGATTGTCCCATCATGCATGCTGAACTCCAGGTCTGGGCCTGAGTCAGAGATGTATGTTAGTAAACACACTGAATGGAAAAACGATGTAGTCCCTGCTTCCTGTTTTCTAGACAAAATAGTACCTGTGGCATTGCAAGCGTCTGCATTAAACGGCAGGACCTTGACGTATTTATCATTGGACCCGGTGGCAAGAAGTTGTCCACAGTGACTCCAGGCGACACAATAGATCGAACCCTTGTGGTGTTTGTTCCTCCTGAAGCGCACCGCCGGCTGTTTAATCGCACCAGAAATGCTAACATAGAAAGACACACAAATAAACACATGCAAAGGAAAACATGGCTTCTGAAATGGTGTGTATCAGCTACAGTTGCTCTGGAAGACTAACCACTAAATAAGTGAAAACACACTGGTACAGTTTTTCCTCATGCAGATTCTTAAATGTGTCCTACCTGGCACTCAGCGTCTCTGGGTACGCACAGACTCTCAGGGTTTTGGAGTTGGAGCCGACAGCGTAGAGCGCTCCAGCAGGATGGAAAGCCACCGCTCGCACTGCCTGTGTGTCCTCCAGCTGGCTCACTCTAACAAACTGAGTTTTGGGCTTCCCTGGCTGTAGAGGAGGTGAGGAAAATCATCTTTTAAATGATGATTTATGTGTGCATTGGAACGGCTTTAGAAACACGATACGCTTTCATCAATCATTTAGAAAACAGTTCAGAGATATTTCAGAGCATTTATTTTGACCAGCTGATGAAGTTAAAAAACCGCAGTACTCAAGGGAAGCACTGAAGGATCTATGACTGGTTTTAATTTCATACTTTGACAGTTTGTGGGCAGTGTGCTCTACCTCTTGTGAGTTACGTGTGCCGGAGCTGGAAGAGTCACCTTGGCCGGTTGGACAGGATCCTCTGATCTTCTCAGCGCTGAAAATTCAACACACACGCATAAACACATGCACACAGTCAGTTATGTTCTTTGCATTCAGCAGATGGAGACAGTGAGAACCTGGTAGTTGTGGTCAAACTCGACACAGCACTCTGACCTTTTACTTGCAGGAACTGGGGACTCGCTGAGGGAAGGCAACCCATGACTCCCAGTCCCTAATGGGGTGCTGCTGACCCACCCACCGGGCTTGTCCCTCGGCAGCCCCGTGTCTGGAGTGTGCCGGGTGTTGTTGGTTCTAGGACTGGAGGTGCTGGTGTTCCCTGGGAGCCCATTCCTCTGCTGGCCTAGATGTGATATCACCTCGTCTGCTCTGTGATCGATGCCAACGTTCATCTCCTCTAATTTCTGAATGGATCTAGACAGAGAACATATTTACATCAACAGAACAGAAGTAAGATTTAACATAAAAGTTATTCTGAGAACTGTTTCAGTAGTTATTTTTCATTTGAACAAAAACAGAAACAACAAAACACTGTGAAAAATCCACATTTTCTTATACTGTCAGAACAACTTCAGAAAAATCATGATATATAACCTATACCTTTATATTCTGGGGGTCTTTATTTAAAGGCATCACCTCCTTTTCTGCAACAATTTGGGTCCATTTTTCCCCATTTAATTTAATGTTTCCTCTCTCAGCTCTATGAGAACCAGTTTTTCTCCAAAACTAAAATTTCTTTGAGTTTTTCTTATATAATCGGCTTCAGTTTTGCTGCGTTCTAGTTATCTCAGAAGTCAGAAGTCGGAGCTGAAAATGACGTCACGCTCGAGTTACCAAGTCGGAAAAAAGCAAAATCGGAGGCAGAAACAAGGTGGCTGCATCTATGAAAGTTATCTTAGAGCTTGCCTTGTCCTTGCTTTAGTCTGACATTTTCATTTTCAGCTTCGACATCTGACTTCCAAGGAAACTTGAACGCAGCAATAGACCCCAATATCATCACAGATTCCTCATTCAATATCCCCATATCTCTAAGAGAACTAAATATGAATTCCTACAAATGTTTGAAAATGTGTCAAAAAAAGATCAGGCGTAAATGTTGCCTCTTTGAGCTTTTGTTGTAAATTCATTTCACAGTTTTTTTTTTTAATATCTCTATTTCTACCTGCTAAGGAAGGTCTCAGTGAGGTTGTTTTGGGTCCCGTCCTGCGGCTTTACGCCTCCCTCCAGCAGCATCTGCTGGTAAAGCTGCCTCTGCTGCTGCTTCTGCTCCAGGTGCTGCTGCACCCGCAGACGCTGCCTGTAATACTCCTGGATTTGCTCTGTGGAGTCCAGACGCTGCACAAACACAGAAACAGAAATCAAACAGATAAACAAGCTTTGGCTGAAATCAAGAGTCATAATCTGACAGGATTTATTTCTCATGAACAGGCCCTGCAACCTGAATGACAGAATATTTATCATTGCAGTTCAGTTTTCTCTTCAACCTTTGGCAGTGCTCATTGCCACTAAACACACACACACACACATGCATGAGCACACACACACACACACACACATGAGCACACACACACACACACATCACATTATAATAGACAAACTCTCTTCCAAGAGCCAACACTGACAACTCTTCAACTCCCAAGGCCTCGTCCTCCATCATCAGTTCCATAAAAAAAGTTTTCAAGGACCTCATCATATCCGGCGGGTCTACAGTATACGCATACACACACACGCTCGCGCACACACACAATCCAATCTCAAGCTCCTTCGCTCCCCTCGATGGGACCTGGGATGCATAAAGATGAGCGATGATGGAAGCAGCAGGCCATATTGGGTGTGACCGCACATCAAACCAGATTATCTGACGGCAGTGTCCCTGACCCTCGCCATCCTCGCTGAGACAGGGGGCAGGGGGGTGCTGGTGCCCCCCTCAGACGGGTGAGGTGGAGAATTAGGGGAGGATTTATGAGGCAGTGGAGGTGTGGAAATGATGTGGCTTAGGGGTTCAGGGGGAAACTATTCTAAATCTCTTAAATCTGGAGTAATGGCTGTGGAGGGGGGACAGACTGAAATCTTACTACCACTTTGACTCAAGTGACCAGACAGACACTGGGGCTGTTTTTCTTTTTTACTACTTTGACAAAAGTCATAAAAACAGTTTGTCAGAGTGCGCTCTATAAAGTACCACACAAAAAACACAAAAGACACTTGTTACGGCCTAAAATTTCTTTCCTATTCTGTTTCCTTTGGTTATTACCTCATTTGTTTCAGCGCTGCTGGGTGGTCCACCATCTTTTCCAGGAGTTAGAGGCGTGCGCATGGTGTTGGGTCCATCAAGCCCTTGCCGATGCTTCCTAAGGACAGGGAATGAAAACAATGAATTCAACAGGGAGAAGGAGGTATGACAATGAAACGCAAGATGAACAAGAACAGAAAGTAAAGAGTAAAATTGCAAACTACTGATTATGCTGCAGTGTTATTTTTTGTCAGCACAGCATAGAGATCAATAACCTGAACCAAACAAGATATTTGTATATTAGAGTCATTTCTTTCAAATAAGGATGTCAAACCAATTCCTGCTCCAGATGAACAACACCTCAATTTGAGTTTAAAATAAGTCATACTGTATGTTTGAGGTTGCGCTTCACCTTGTGCCAAATGTGCACATCAACTGCATCCAGCAGGTGGAGCCAGAGCAAACCTGTCACGGTCCAACACTCTGACTGTGCTGAGTGTAAAGCAGTCTTAACATTTGATCCTCACAGGCTCTTCCTAATCCGTAACTTTCATTGCTGTCATTTATTGCTGTGCACCAACACCTGCGCTGGCTTTTGTAGATCTTCGGCATGCTTACAATTGGGTCCAAGATCAGCTTCGGCAGCTGCAACTTGTGCTTAATGTGGAGAAAACTAAACTCATGTTGTTTTCATCCACAAGAGCATCACAAAAAACACTGTCAGAGAAAATTGTTAATATTAACGGTCAAGAAATTGAGCTTGTGTCTTCTTTTAGGTACCTGGGGTTTTTACTGGATGAAAATGTGTCTTTTAAAGAACATATTCAGCATGTTGTTAGAAAGCTGTTTTTGAAAGTTTTACTCGGCTTTTACTATAGAAACAAATCCCGTTTCTCTTTTAATGTTAAAAAAAAACTTACGGAGTCCACATTCTTACCTCTTATTGATTATGGGGATGTTTTATACATGAATGCCTCTGCCCAGAGTCTGCAAATGTTGGACAGTGTTTACCATGGAGCTCTGAGATTTATAACAAATTGTGGATTTTTAACTCATAGCTGTACTTTATACTCCAGAGTCAGTTGGACTTCTTTAAGTACTCGTCGGCTTGGTCATTGGTACATTTTCATTTACAAAGGCATTCTTGGAAAAATTCCAGACTACCTCTCCTCCTTATTGATCTTAAAGGACGGATTACACAACCTGAGATCATTGAGATTTGTACAGTTTGTTGTCCCCAGAGTCTGTGTGACTGTTTGTTGTAACTATGTATTGCTGCCATTCTTGGTCAGGTCTCCCTTGCAAATGAGATCCTCAGATCTCAATGGGACAAACCTAGATAAATAAAAGTTAAATGAAATAAAATAAATAACTTGGGGGTGAAACATTTTCATTTTCAGTAATTTGACATACTCGGTTTTTAGTGTTTCTCTAGCAACTGTAAAAGCACTAAGCTCTACTGGCTTATTTTCATGTGGCTGAAAATGTGAAAAAAAAAACACACAAAAGCTAAAACACAAAGTAATTTCCTCTTTTCATAAATGCACTTTTAAAAGTCAAAGTTTGTGGTAATGAGTAAATTTGAAGTCACCATTTTTTGGCACAGCGGAGGACCTGACTTGCAGGGAATAGAGAGTGATGTTGTGTCTGACATTCTCAACTGGCTGTGAACCCTGAAGGCTCAGTGGAGACCAAATAGATCATGGAGACTCTAATAAAACCAGTTAAAAGTGGATTACACCTGATCTTAAGCACATTACAGTCCAAAATATCTGAGCTGAGGAAATGTAACTATAATCTACAGCCCAATTAGATACAAGGCCCAGTTGTGAGCATTATGAGTCTTTAGTTGAAGATTTAGATTATATTACATCAATCAACGCCCAGTGGTAGTTGAGTACACTTTGTGAAGCACTGCAGGAGACAACAGATGAGGCAGTACATCTCTTTTAAAGCAGAGTTAATGAGATTAATGAAGCCGCAGATTGTGTCGCCCAACAAGATCTACCGCTGGGTTTAATCGAGGGTTGAACAAGCACATGCTGGAGGAAAGAGCTTTGGAGGAACTCTTCTGTTGATCACAACTGAAAGGATGGCCTGACGAATTCATTCCTATTTAGCATGTGGATCGTTTTATTATTTTTACTGGTGTGAGATTAAACTAATTACCCTGAATTACTTTTCCAATCCATACCGAAAGAATGCATAAACACAAACAAACTCGAACTCCAGGTGTGCCTAACTTTTCATCCTTACCTCTCGGGTGAATCGTCCTCCTGATGCACATTATTCTCCACCAGACTCCGACTGAGAGCAGACTTCACATTCGCCTCCATGCCTCTTTTTCCCTGGGATGCCAGACCGTGTGAGAGACCATCTAAAGCTGGGTTAAGGGATCTCGACATGTAGGTGTCAGCTGAATGAGGCCTCTGGCGAAAGGGGGAAGCAGGGCAGGGTGACAGACGGTTGATTAAAGGGGTGAGGAGATCTGCGTGGCCGGCCTTGCTGGGTTTCACCAGACGGTCTACGTGGATATTTAGGGTTTTTTGCTCAAAGGCGCAGGAGAAGGCACTCGGGGTGAGGTTCTGCAGCCAGGACAGCAGCGACAAGTCCAGTTCGTCACAGCCGTTCCCGCAGAGCAAATCCACACCGAGCAAAACCTCTCCCTCTGTGATCTCCTCACCTGTAGCTTTACTCTACAAAACAGAAAGAGAAAGGGTCTCAAATGATGAAATAGTGAGACCTTCTCATTTTCAAACTTATCTAAACTTTCTTAGATTCAAAATGGAGCTACGATGTCCAGATTTAATGGAGCTCACAAATGAAATATTCACTGATTCAAAGACATTTTTGACTTTTTCTGTTTGGTATTACCTGGCAGAACTCGACACAACACTCATAAAGGATCCCTTTGATGAGCAGCTGAAAGAGGCGGTTCCCGCTCGCTCTGAAGCCCGCCTCGCTCAGCTTCCTGTCCGCAGGGATGAACTCGGCTACCATGGCGCAGGCCTCCTCGAAGCAGTGGACGCGTGCCGTACTCGGGTTCCAGTCTTTGAACTCTGCGTGGTGGGTGAGACGTGGCAAGGTGAGGAGCAGGCACAGTTTGCTGTAGTCCTCTTTGGTCGGGCAGACCTCCTCCAGGCTGTTTAGGCACTTCACCGCCTGCTGCATGGTGAGCTCCAGCTGGAAATGAAGAAAGGACAAGGGAGCATGTGGCTGTGAAGATACAGATGATAACATTTTGATTCCCAGCTGGTGGTCCAACCCTCGTACTTTCCTGATTCCACATTTACTTACATTCTGGGGGTCCTCGGTGGCAGACATCGCATTATTCACACACAGAGCCTCCAGAAACTTCTGCTTTAGTATGATATAGCGGAACCTGAAAAACAAAATTTTGTTTTAATAAATAAATTTTTCTAGATTAGGTGTTTATAAAACCTTTTGTGACAAATCCTGGCTTTTTTAAGGATGTTTTATGGCGAGGATGGTGAAAGAGAGACTGTCAGTAATATGACATGATCATGCCACTGTTGTACTCGGACTTGACCTAATTTAGCTCCCAAGGCTACTGGTCTCTTGCTTTACTGGTGAGTCCAACTCAGTCACAAAAGAAGCACCAAATAACATCGAGATACTACAACTCCTACACTGACAAGCAAATAAAATCACCATACTTAAATAAATCTAATTCACAGCTGCAGGGATCAGACAAATCTCTGTTTAAAATACCTTACTCTCTAAATGATGCCTTAAAAATTTAATTCTTAAAAAGGTCAGGCTTTGTCATTGACTGTGTTTTATGAACAGCATGCCTCAATCTTCTCTCACTGTAAGAAGCAGGGTTGCAAAATTCCAGGAATTTTCAAAGTTGGAAACTTTCCATGAGAATTAACAGGAATAATTCTGAAATTTACAAAATTAAAGATTGGTCCTCAATAGGGAACTTAAATATAGTTGGAGGAAATATATAATAGTATTAATATTTAACTTGCAAAAAATTAAATAAAAATAGGTGCTTAATGTAAGCTATTTTTCATTTCATTGACCATTTAAGGGGCTAGCTTCTTATGGTGGTGGTAGCAACCAAAATGTGATGCTGTTTCTTTTGACTCCTGCAAGACGGTTTTCTGCAACCATATAATAATTTGTACATCAACTGTCAAACATTTTGAAGACCATTTTTAGCATCAAATTAACTAATCAAAAGTTTAGGGGAGATGGCCGGTAAAAGCTTTATGTAAATTATAAAATATGATTTTGTGCATCAGGTTTCAACATTCCCACACTTTTTCTTTCTCTTACCTTTTCTTGTCAAACTTCTCCATTCCTTCTAGAGGTTGAATAAACTGCATCACTTCCTCCCACTGACCATCCAGGATTAATTGCCTGTTCAAAGCAGCAAATTAACACTGTTCACATCACAGTGGAGCGGTCAATCCTACACAATCTAACATAAAATCACCTGCAGAGATTCAGAAACTGTTTCCTCATCCTAAAGTCTACTATTTGTGTTTATGACACAGTGTTTTGCAACAGAATGTTACCTGAGGAACAGCATGTCATCAGAGTAGAGTCCGTTGATGACACCGCTCTCCTTCTCTAAGGCCAGCATGCTGATATGCAGCTTCCTGGAGTTGAGAAAGTCCAGGATCACCTTGATCACCTCGGCCTCCTTGATGCTGATTGTCTCCTCAGCTGTCATGATTATACGTCTGTGGCGGCCACTTCCAGCAGGCTGGAACACAGACGGAGAGTGGAAGAGGACATGTTGTTGACAATGTGGCTGACAGGAAGAACAACGCTTCACTTTGGCATATCCCCATTTGAAGGGAAAATATAACCATTTCTTTAGCCTGCCATTATTTGATCACTTTTTTGAACCAATAAAATTACATCAAGTGTCTCGTATCTCTTTATAGCACTGAGACAATGCTAGCAAGAGTGAATACGATTCTGCTCCTGGGTTCAGAGAGAGGACGTCTCCTAATACTTGTCCTGAAGGATAATGCAAATTTTCACACAATTGACCATCACATCCTGTTACAGAGACTAGAACACTTAATTGGCATTACAGGAACTGCATTAAGCTGCTTTAAAGCCTATTTATCAAATTGATCTCAATTTGTTCTCATTACGGTTTAGCCCCCTCAGCACACCAACTTTACGATAAGTAACTTAAACGTCTGCACCAACTTGATTCACCTTACAGCTTTCTTTGGGTACCACCATCAGGAAACACCAGGTTATCTGAAGTCAGATAACCTGGATAAAAACATTTTTTAACTGCTTTACACAAATAAAGCTTCAGTTTTTTTCCCCAACCCTTAAACACCTTAGAGACTGTAGGACTATAAAGAATCTGGGATTTCTATTTGATCCAGATTTGTCTTCTCACTCTTGCATAAAACAAATGTCAAAAAATCCTTTTTTTCCTTCGCCATGACATTGCAAAAAAACCCCAGACACATCCTTTCTCAAAACTATGTTAAAAATGGACAATGCATGCTTTTAATCTTGTCTTGATTAATTCAATTCCCTCTTACAAAGTCTGCTAAGATGCTGAAAGGAAAATAGATCATATCTCTTCTAGTGTTGGCTTGTCTCCATCCACTCCCTGGAAATCTGAAATAAAATTCTCAATCCTTCTGATGTGCAAAGCTCTTAATTATCAGGCACTGACATGTAATGAACTCATAGTGCCATATTACCTCTCCTGAACATTGTGATACTATAAGTCAGGCCTGTTTGTGCTTCTTTTTGGCGGCAGACATGACTGCTATTCTTACAAGGTTGGCCTTAAAACTTTGTGATCAAGCTTACAGTAAAGGCTAGGTCAGGCTCGGACCAGTCTTTATTTTTGTAAAGCATCTTTGAGCACCCGTAAAAACGCGTTTTATATATATATATATATATATTTTGTTTAAGGAATTTTTTGTTCATGAATGCCTAATTTCAGTTTTTCTGTTGCATTCTTATATGGTCCCCTCATGGCACTTTCCCCCCTCCCTTTGAACATTACACAGTTAAAAATAAAAGAAAACTACTTTAATTTGTCATGTTTTGTCCTATTTTGATATATTTTGACGACAAGTGCTTTTTATTGGGTATATTATTTTAGGTAAAAATCACCTGGCGATACTGATGGTGTTACTACGTTCAGTGATAGTGTTTTAGGGTTAAAAAGCACAACAAGATTCAATGTTTACATAGTTCTCGGGTTCCAGCTGTAAAGGGTTAACCATGGTAGCATCACATAAGCTGCAAAGACCAGGCACAAAGAGGGGTCTTTCATTTTGCATGATCTACACTCCCTATCTCCATCCATATAAGAGCAGGGAGAGGCTGGGGGGAGCAATGATGCCCCTGGGTGTCTGTGTTGAAGGCAGAGCAGCCGGTGACACCGCCCTGTTCCCTCCATCTATCTCGACCTGGTCCAGGATGTGACAGCAGCAGGTCTGCGGCCCAAACCTGACAGCCTCAGCACTTTATCCGCGCTAACGCTCACCTTGTTTACTTGCGCAGACGACAACACATTGCGCACACTCACACACCCGTTCAGTGTAGCGGCATGCAGACACACAGAAGCGACTAATGTCTCTACAAATCCCTCTTAACATGCAGGATATGGTGAAATAACAGTACACCGGTGTTTCGGGCTAACACGCCACCGTGAATCTGTGCCAACAACTCCTCACCTGTCAGTCTGCAGCAACAACACACCGCATTCAAGCCGCTCCACTCCGTCTGTAGCCGCCAAATTTCAACGTGTGGACAAAAATACGAGGACCAAAAAGGATGTTTGGATGTAAGAGCTCCTGCTAGCGTCTCCAGAACATGTCCCTCTGGCTGTCTTTCTGGTACACAGCTCACGGTTGCCATGCGGACCGACGCAGCCGCAAAGCACCAATCAACTGTGGCGAAGACGCCCTGTGGTCACACCTACAAGAACACGGCAGGGACACGGAGAACTTTGAAGTAGGAGAAATTCACCTTCTCCTCTGCTACCAACTACGAAATGTGACTGAAAGAGTGTAAAAAACGAAGCAGAAAATTGCATTCCCTGTACTGACCTGTCTCCAGACCACTAGTTAACTATTGGGTGTATTATTTGTTTGGTAAATAAAGTTGAGCTCAACTGGGGCTCTGTCAGCTGCTCGTGAGTTTTTAGTTTAGATTAGGTCAAATCTGGCAAAATAACCCCAAAACAATCGAATTGACATACACTTTTGGCTACTAACATCATAAAAATTACCTTTAGTAACAAACATAAAAAATGTAAAATCAAGTATTTTTTGATTATTTACTCTGCCCTTGTATTAAATAGGTTGGGTATTAAAATGTTTTTTTTTCAAGCATATTTTGGGCCTTTTACTCAGAGAGGAATGGACAGCAGAGAAAGCAGGAAACCAGGATAGAGATTAGGAATTAACTCCAGGCTGCCTACCTGTGGACTAAAGCCTCTATACATGGGGCACAAGACTCAAAGGTATAAATTTGATCCATGTATCTATTCACATGAGATGTCTTATGTATTATGTGACCAAACAGGAATTTAAAACAGCACAAATACCCTGAAATTTTATTCAACAGTAAATACCACATCAATGCTGAGGCCATGCTTAATTTTATTAAATGCAAAAAAGAGGAAACAAAAACAAAACAAAAAGAAAAACATGTCCAGCAATATTTTTGAATGACAGCACAGCGTCTCACAAACAAAAATGAAAGTCATCATAGTGAATAGGAATGAGCTCACATGAACACACTGTACAATATCATTACAATTTAAATTATCATTAATCTTGACTGGAAGCAGCCAAGAGCAGGTGGAAGGATTCAACGCGGGCAAATCCATCCAAAAACACCGCAGAGAAACACCGCTCCAGATTACATTTTCAAAGACATGTACATGCTCTCTTTTGGTTGTAAATACACCCCCTCCCTCCCTCCCTCCCCCACCGTAAATTGGAAACAAAGCACCAATTCAACTGATTTGTTATTTGATGGAAATACCTGCAGATAATATTGATCTCATACTCAGTGGAAAACAAACACAATACTGACACCCATGAAACTCTGGCGAGTCTCTACCCGTATGCAGCAACGAGGATCTGCCCAATTCTGTCTGCCTTCATGTTTATTAATTTTCTTAAGACTAGACAGAAAAAAATCTAATCTGAGATTATTACTGTATTTCTGCCCTAATAAGGACATAATGTATCTACAGACAAGGACAAATATGCTGCGTATGCTTAATTTTGACCCAATACTTTTATTGGGTTAATGCTGTTTATGATGTGTAAGAGTTATAGATGCAAAGGCATGTTTTAAGTTATACAACCATACTAACAGAGAGTGAAGTATGACTACTTTTTGGAAACTAAAAAGCAACCAATATTGATCTAATCAGCAGTCTTACCTTTGTCTATGTACTATTCTGTATACTGACTAAATTTGGTGTTGAGTGGATGCTTTTTCAGTGCCCTGGATTATCTTGTTTTATCCAAGTGTGCATGTTTATTATCACTTTCTGTCAGAAGGTACTCAGCGTGTGTCTCGTGTCTTGGTAATCAGTCATAATTCTGGCAGAGTGGGTGAGTGTCTACTGTAACAAACCGCTACGATCCTACATGGTATAGCAGCAGAAAATTAAAATGAAAACACTGAGCTGTTAAATTTGTTGACAGCATCTTTCATTCTTTAAAACTTTGCTTTGTTGAGCAGAACACACAAGTACTGTGCGGCTAACACTAGCTGTATGCATTTACTTTTTGGCCCTTTGTAGTTTTACATACCATAATATACATGTACAAACTGCTTTACCCACACATGAAGAAAAAAGTGTCCTTTCAAATACTAAAAAAAACCCTCCATATATATACGCTGTTATACAATCACCTCATTGCACTCTCACGCTAAAACAAAAAGCGCATAAGGCCACACATCAACAAAGTAATGCAAACAAAATGTATCTGTACATGAATTAAAAACATTCAGTGCTTCAGTGTACCCATTAAAATGTCCTAGCATTCATACTGTCCCTTTTTTGACATTTGGCACATAGAGAACAAAAATCAACACTCGCACATGCCTTCATACAAGGACTCAAACATGACTCTAAAAAGGTAATATGCATTAACATTATTCTCCAACAGTGGCATACATTCCAGTTGATCATAATCTTTGAGTGCTATCACGTCCAGGTCAGGGTTAATAGGAAAACACAAGGACAGGAATGAGAGAGGACAAACAGACAAACATAAAAAAAGACAAATATGCATTCATCTAACTGGCATTGCAGGTGCTTGAATCTTTTATGGATATGTACAGTGAAGTGCAAATTGAAATGGGTTTCTTCCACTTGAAGGGGAAATGAGATGTCGGGTGTCAAGTTCCATTAGGACTGAGCAGGCACTACTTTTTTCGGGGTCGCTGGCTTCTTGGTTTGCCAGAGATGGTTGTGAATCGTCACAGCATCCACGCTGGCTGACATGGTCTTGGCTGGTATCTGGCTGAACTGCTTCTTGTCCGAGTTATACTTGTAGAGGCCGTCAATCATCTTGCGTGTGATGCTCTTGGGGCCGATGCCTGCCAGCTTGTTGATCTCCTCCATCTCAGGGCAGTAAGTGTAGAGGGAGCGGAACTGACAGCCGGCGTCTCGGAACAAAACCAAGAAGTTGTTGGCCTCTGATTTTTCCATTTCCTTTAAAGAACAGAGAAGAACAGAGAGAAAAGCTCACTAGGTGCGAGTAAGAAGTGTTTTTCTATTATAGAAAAGCTCTGAGGGGAAAGGGGGGCTTTTATTGGGAAATAGCTTCTGGATTACTTCAATACATGCTGTTGATAGAAAATGTGTAGTATTTGTCTTTTGGGGGGTTATGCTTTTTTTTCTCAGACAAGCAAAAACAATAAAACAGAAAGAAACACTATATTTATAAAGTTGAAGGAAGGCTTCTGGGATCATCAACCAAATCCCTGCATGTGCATTCAACACTATCTTAAAATCTTCAAGCTGTTACCTCCAAGATCTTGTTCTTTTGCCCCTCATTAACCTTCCCTGCCAGGCAGCAGTGGGCCAGAGCGTTCTGGATGATGTGCTTGTTGGATTTGGCACTGGGCTCCTTGTACAGCTTTGGTCCTGAATGAGGACAGAAGAGAAGAACATTCGGATGAGACTGTTGTCATGGCAACTCCTCCAGTTATGTCAAAGAAAAAAACTTCCCTCCCTATTTTTACTCTCTTTTCATAAATAATTTATGGAGATTTCTACTGGTAGCTTATCCACAAGTTAGTGGGTGGACTGCCAGAGGAATCATTTAATATGGCACTAAACTCTACCTAGAAGGAAGTGATATACATAAGAGGATGACCTTGAAAACATGAAAAGACTCAGAAAAATGTCATTTTTGATAATGTCAGCTGCACAGGATACAAGTTGGTCTAAATTAAACTTTTCTACGAATTGATGTTGAGGTATTTTGGTATTTCAAAGCTTTTTTGTGATGCTATCTATCTTTCTTGTACATATGTTTTGTTATTTCAGGTTGTTTACTAAAAACGTAGTTACAAATGACACCTAGTTGCTGTAGGAGATGTGCACGTGTATGTTATTCTACCTGTGTACTCTGTGTTTGATGTCACAGAGGAGGTCGTGGATGCATTTTCCCAATCCTTTTCTCCATTCCGGCTGCTGGAGCGACTTGGAGACAGGAAGCCGTCAGCAGAATCCGGCCTAAGACACACAAACACGGACAGTATCGGATGACTGTTCTCAATAGAAACATTCCTGCACAGCCGGCTAATTCCACTAATCAAAGGCAGCGGTCTACTAAATATTCTAATATACGATGAGAAGTCGGTATCTACAAATCAAAAGCATTACACTGATGACTAATATGATATTTTACTCAAACTAAATAATGATAGGAGAGATTTTTCTCCAACTGTGGACAAAACAGCAGCAAACACTTTGGTTTAGTGGTGTGCTTTTGTGGTTTCTGGTAAAGTAGCAAAGCTTGCAAGCACAGGCAGTGAGAGCAGTGATGTGAGCAGTCTGGTGCATTCAGGGTCAATAAAAGAGGTCAGTCAATTACACTGCAGCATTTGGAAATTACTCGCTTTTTTTTCCAGACTGCAAATGCATTATATACCGTCACGGTATATTGAGTGAAAAGTGCTGATTCCATTTGTAGTGTTACATTTATAAAGCTTTGTATCCTGCCTCTGCAAGAACCAACAAGTGCAAATTAACAAGCACAACAACTATGTAGTAAGAGCAGCTAAGTTGTGTTTGTTGTGCTTTTTGTAGACATTAACATCACATGTTAAGTCATTTTTCTTACATTTCTTTGCAAGCCGAATCCCCCCTGGATTTAATTTCACTTCTGATGTTTTTAAAAAGCATTAGGGTTAGATAGCTTGATCAGATGGGTATTTGATGCAGAGGCTGAACAAAACTCAACAATTCAGTTCGATTTTCTGTCAGATGTGAAAAAGCCAGAGCTGGAGTGTAGATTGGTGAGGGAGGCAAAGCAGAAAATAAAGTAAAATAAGATAAGTAATTGTTTTTTGGTGAAAATGCTACTTAAAGTGAAGCTTATGTTGCTATTCTTTTTGGATTTACTTTTATCAATCCCTGCTAAAAACCAGGCATGCAGACAGAGTTTTTTTTGCAGGATTGTGCTCAGAATACGGTTTGAAGTGCCTCAAGGTTTAACTGCCAAGCGGCGACTAACCTTCTCCTTCTTAGTTTAGGAGAGCTCAGAAAGTAGAAGAGACCGCCAGAGGCTAAACTAGCACTTCTGGTATGTGTGAAACAGCAGGAAAAACAGTCGTTACAGGAGGAAAGATAGTCAAGAAAACAGCAATGTTTGAAAAAGTTAGCCTGAGAAGTCTGGCTTTGAAAGCTGTGAGAAATACATTTTTCTGAGACATACATAAGCTAGATATTTAAAAAAGTCAAAGTTGCTCTGAAATTTAGTTTTCTATCAAGCATGAGAAAACACATTTAGGGTAGCAATGTCACTGAAAATGTTGTGAATCAGCCGGTAATGCAAAACACTTATTATTAGACTTTGAGAATTCGATGTAAAGACAGCACCCCAAATTTCTGCACTCTTTAATCTGCTTCGCTAAAAATAACTCTAGTCTTTGTGTACGAATAATTATGCACCAGAAGTCTGAATCACACATGCAGAAATAAACTTGTAAATATTTCACCTTGGCGTCCTCTTCTTAGAGTGAACACTGTCGTTGTCTCCCAGGGTGAGGGAAGCCAGGGACAAGCTGGAGACTGAAAAGACACGCTGTCGTGAACCTGAATGTTGGATGAGATGTGGTACAGCACAACACAGTTACGCAAACACCACCACAAACAACAACAACACAGACTGTCCACTGTGGTTTGTGCCATCTCATAGAGTCACAGAGCGATGTGTTCTCAGTGTTCGAGCTCCACACTGACATGCAGACATGAACACAAAATACACGGATATGTACTTTAATGTAGGCATAAATAACATTAATGCAGCAAGATTTAACAGGCAAAAAAATAGATATACATACAAACACGCAGTAACGCATCGCTCCAACACTTTATAATGTTTGATTGAAGTCATTTATTTTTTCATTTCTAATTAGTTAATAGTTGTAAATGTAAAATCATTAAATCCAATCTGAGAAATATTTTCACATTTCTACAACTACGTTTGATAAAAATGACTTTTTTCAAGAGACACTGGGGATGTAGTAAATTGTGGCACAAAGCAACAGTGTGACACACACTCGACAGATGGATTGATCATGACCTCTCAGTTAGAGCGGTTTCCATGGTTACCTGTGGCAGCTCTGACTGGGGTTTTCGGGGAGTCCATGCTGTCACGATGGATGGACTTGGGTCGCCCCCGCCTTTGCTTGGCTCCTGTGACTGGTCGAGCTTTAATGACGGTGTCCATGTCCTCCATGAGTTTCAGCTGTTTCCTCCGGAGATACTCCTGCTTGATGAACTCCTTCCTCGCCTTGTCTTCTTCCTTCCTTATGCGCTCCTCCTCTGCTTTCAGTCTGTGCAGGGATAACATAAGAGAGGGTAGAGGTCAGCGTTGACAAATACTGGTAAGAATTTCCAAGGAAACATCGGTTATAAACTGCAAAAGCATGGACAAAACATAAGTAAAATTAAAAAACCTAAATCTTACACTTCTTAGAAACCTTTTGCATCAATTCCCTTAATATTTTGGGTAAACGCATGTCTTGTTAAAAGAAAAAAATTAACAAACCAGGGAAAAGAAATCCTCTAAAAAGTTCACATCAACTAAATAATCTAAAAGCAAGGGACTTTTGACAAATGCTTAACATTTTACAGGGTTTTTAATGGGTGTAAACTCTTTCTTTCATGTGTATTGACTTGTTTTCTATATGTGTCAACAGACCGAGCTTCCTTCTTCTTCTGCTCCAACTCTGCCTCCAGCTGCATCTTCCTCTGCTGGGTCTCCTTCTCCCTCCTCTGTCTTTTCTCCAGCAGCGCGGCTCTCTTCTGAGCCATGTTCTCCTCTGCCTTTCCGTCCTCCTACAACACAAATAAACAAAGACAGTCTGAATTTATCTGTAGATGTGACACAGATCAAGATGTAATAAAACCATGAAACCATCATTTCCATAATAGTATAGATATTGACAACATCTCACTGCAATAAAGAGAGATTACATTAAAACGGCACTAAAGCTTTGTGAGTAGAGGACTGTTGAGGGTTAGTCTTATCTAATAAAGGTCCAGCCTTCTACATGATGTGTTTACTATAATAAAAGTGTTTCTACAACTACATTTCTAAATTGAGAAATTCAATCTACTGTATAGGCACAGCAGGCTTTAATTTGATGTGAACATCCTTTGCTTGTCCTCCACAATCTTTGTTCACAATCTATTCAGTCCTCCTTCAACCCCACATTTCCACAGATGTGCCTGAATTATTCACAACAGCCCCAGTTTTATGACCTACATTGAGGCACAGACTACAGCTCGAGAGCTATCTTACAACTTGACAGTGGGAAGACGACAGTGCTCCCAGATGGCGTGTTTTTCTGAACCATTCATGATTTCGTCTCAGGAAGGAGAGGAGTTCATCGTAAGAAAACATGGCTGACTTAAGTTCAGATGCATTGCAGATTTTCAGGCGCAATCTGGTTGTGACTAAGAGTGTGTATGTGATGGAGCCCATCCAAATGATCACAATCGAAAGACTACGTCCAAGTAGAAAACAGTTCGTCTTTTCAATCTTCATTATTGAAAGAGTTTCATTGTTTCCTTGTCTATGCTCTTTCAGTGATGCCCCTGTCAGTCACGTTTCATAGCAGTGCAGAAAAAAACAAGTGACCTTAAGACACTACAGTTTTTCTACTGGCTTCTTGTCGTGCTGGGGTGACAGTCAGGGCACGCTGCCTGACAGAGCATGAACCTGTCAGGGCCTGGGTGTCAGTGGGTGTGGGTAGCTTTCAATCATTAGTCGATTAGTTTGCTACACTTTCAAAGCACAAAAGTAGCTGATTCAAAAAAGTATTATGTACATTCGGGGTAGGAGGAGGATTGTTTTATCTGTCTCATCTGCAGTGTAAGCGAGGCTTTGCGAAAGGACATTTTACCTCACTAAGACAACTCTACAAATCTAGAAAATCTGAGTTTCAAGGGTCAGTTTGCAACACAACAGCCACTTTTAGCAAAGCCTGACACCAAGGCAATAAGGCTGCAAAGACTGCGTCAGTAAAACCTATGGCTCCCCATCCAAACTATCAACTGTAGATGTGTGCACGTTTGCATTGCTGAAATTGGACTGGTAGATCTGGGCGAACTGGTGGAAAAAAAGGTTGGGCACCCTTGATGTATTCTCTAGTTTCCATGGTTTATGCATGTGCTTGTTTCGTGACATGTTTCTTATGACCTCCTGCCTTATTGCTTGTATTATACTGAAAGTTTGGCTTTCAGGATCATCCTGCAAAGCATATACATCATATGATGTGCAATTCTTCGTGTAACAACAAATAATCATCATACCTTGAAGAAGAAACCATGACACATCTTCTGATCATAGTCCGAGCCTTCCGCAGTATTCTGATGTGTCTCCAAATCATCATCAAGCGTCAGATCCTCCAGCGGCTTCACAACTGACAGAGGAACCTCAATCAAGCTGCTCTTCACTTGGCCCGGGGCTTCTGACTGGGGAGGAATCTCTGTTGGTGTCACCACAAAGGTTTCTACCACAGGGTGGGCCAGAACCTCAGGAAATGATGACCCAATGGTAGGTTTGAGATCTGTCGTAACTTTCTGACTGGTTGTGTCCATGTCAGTCGATTGACTGGGTGCTTCTGTTTCCTGGGATTTGATCTTGGACTCTACGTCTGTTTGTTTCCTTTTGTTCTGCAGTTTAGGGGAGCTAGGAGGTGTATGTGCTATACATGTACTAGTAAGCTCGCCCTCTGGGGATAGATGTGACTCTGTCTCCTTGTTTTTATCTTCAGTTGAGGCTGCAGTTGCTGGTTTCTCCCCCATGTAAACAAGGGAACTCGCCAAAGGCTGGCACGGAGAAAATCGGCGTAACCTTGGGATGCTGTCGACCGATTGGGGGGCAGTAAGGACCCGACTGTAGGGGGCAAGCTTCAATTCGTTAGGACGAGCAGTGCGAGGATTACGTGAGTGGAAGGAGGCCGATTTTCGTTTGATGCTGGTTGGCGATCGGTGGGTGGAACGAGGGGAGTCAGCTGGAGAAGAGGGTCCTGAGGATCGTGTGACAGCTACAGCTCGTCCATGTTTCTGTGGTGATGGGTTTGTATGCGGGGGAGGGATGACCCACGCTTGCTGATGTTGCTGCTCCCTCATGGCCATGATCACCTCCTGTTGCTGGGCCAGCCGCTGCATTTCAGTCTGAAGGAAGGCTAGCGAGTGGTTGAGTTTGTCTATAGAACGAGTGTACTCGGTGAGGTCGACCTCAGTTGGCTGGATATGGCTTTGCCCACCTTCCTCTCCTGTGCCAGGAGACTTTGTCCAGCAGGAGGCTGAGCTGCTTTGCTCTGCCCCATCAGGTGTGTCTGCCTTACTCCTCCCAAACTTGAAGGTGGGGCTTGTACTCGCTGCCTTACCCTCTCCATCACCTTTCCCTCCTTCTTCTCCACTGGCAGCTCCATCTCCTTTCCGCTTTACAACATTAAGGAAAGCTGAGTGGCCCATCTTTTGACGATGCCTTGTGAAAGCAGCCTCTACTTTCTTCTTCTGTGCTTCAATGGCTTTGCGTTTCTCCTCCAGTCTCATCCTCAGCTGTACCATTTCTGTAGCCATGACCTGGGCGGGGTCATTGGGTGGCAGTTGCACAGGTGTGGGCGAAGCTTTAGCAGTGAGGGGTGGTGTGGTTTGTTGATGGATGGGGCTGTGCTCAGGAGTTGGGGCCCAAGAGACGGATAATGGGAGGCAAAACTCAGAGCCTTCGGGAGTGGTCTTCAGGGAGCTGCTGCTGCATCTCCCCGAATCTGGTGCTGATGGATTGTGCTTTCTCAACTTCTGTTCGGCAAAGCTGGTCATCTTTACCCCTGAGGGAGATTTGCTCTGATTGCTCGGACAGGGACTTGGTGTGTCCATATCAAGGTCCATGTTCACAGAGCAGTCTTTCAGAGAGGAGTCCTCATCCAGCATGTCTTCTGTTCGGATGTGGATGCCAGTGTCGACCTCGGTTGTGTCTGTGGTGCTCAGGGGTCCTTTGGAGTCTGACTCTGATACTGGCTCCAAGCCACCAACAGCAGCCCTGTGGTCTTGACTGTGTAGAAAGAAACCGTTGTTGATGCCCTCCACCAGGGGCCGGGTTGGGCTGTGGATAATCTGGAGGGCTTCCTCAATGGATGGAGTTGTCGCCATAACACTTCCATGCCCGTTGGGGAACGCTCGCCTGCCGGGCTCCATACCAGCCAGACTGTCAGGGCAGCCCTCCTCCTCAATGCCGACACTCTGACCATTCACCGGCTGGAAAGACAAGTTACGCTTCATTCCTCTGGGCAGGTGCTGGACCCTAAAGCCAGAACCATCATCAGTGCTGACGGATCTAACCATGCCACGTGTGGATGACAAAGAAGTGGGAGCAGAGTCATCTTTGTCAAAGGGAATGTCAAAAGAAACTCCGTAAGGCCCAGACCTAAATAGTAAAACAAAAAGAAAACCTTAGAATCACCACACTCTTGTCTTTCTTATCGATTCTTTTGAAGAAGACAAGAGCTAACCTTTTCTCTTTGGGCCAGGTGCCAAGATTGCCATCGACAAAGGACATTGAGGTTGACCTTTTGATCTCTCCTGGATGACAAACAAAGGCAAAGTAAAAATTAAAAACAGAGATATTCAAACTAGCTGGTATTTCATAATGTTAATTTTACCTGGCAAAATAAATTACCTGAGTTTCGAGGCTGTGGTCGTAGGGGCAAACTAAAAAGAGAAGAACAAGATAACTGAGGTGAAAGGGCACACATGGAGAAATGTAGGACTTCACATCTTTTTGGCTTTAGGTCTTTTGTACGAGGAGATTCTGTATGTCAATCATGCATTTTTAAATCTGAGACTAATCAACCAGCAGTAACTACAGCAAGAGTTTAAGAGCAGGCACATTAAGCTTGAAGTAAAATAATTCACTATTTCAAAAATGAAATCATTGCTGATGCACATATATTTTAAAATTGGTCTCCAGTGTTTCATTCTCTGTGTCTTGGCTTGGAGTAGCATACCTGGGTCTCTCAGGACTTGGGGGTCTTTCCATAAAGCTCCTCTTGGTTGCTTTGGAGATTGGGATGGCTGGAATATTCTTCAACACGGATGAGGACTCTAAAGTAGTACACCAGAGAGAAACAGTTAAACTGAAGGCAACACAAAACTGTAAATCATTTCATCTGGGTTTGTCACAGTTAAATCACACTTTAAGATACCTCTGGTTCTGACAGTTACAAGCGATTATAGGATTTTACAATCCACCCTACAGTAAACAAATGTATCTGTAAGTGCTATGTATAGTCTGACTTGCCTGTGCCGTCATTGTCCAGCATTCGTGGTTTCACAAAAGACGGCTTGACCACCTCAAACCACCAGAAGAGCTCTGCCATGAACACCAGGTAATTATTCTGAGGAAGAAATCAAACGAGACAAAAAATTAAGAACCTGGGTGCCAGAAAATCCTTCATAAAACTAAGAAAACAATGCAAACTTCAAAAGACAATTTATCCACCATACTATTCACCGTACAACTACATTTTATCTCTTTGTCCAGCAGGTGTCTCTGTTAACCCTTCAAGAGAGCCCAAGATGATGAGTATGACTTCTATCCCTCTGTCTGCATTTGAATAATCCACCAGTGGGAGCTGCATTTAACAGAGTGACAAAGGATGCTTCAAAGTACAACAAAGTGTGGATTTATTTGCCAAGTAATATACCTTCATTCTCTCTCATCGAGATATTTTCACCTGTGGTTGTAGAGAGGAGTAGTAAAGGCATTAACCTAATTCATAAAATAGAGGTCAGTTAATTTTTGCTCGTCTCAATCACTGGCATGCAACCCAGAGGCAAAGATGAATGTGATTGGCTATGACATTTTGAAGCGATCTTTGCCCCTCCTTAGCCAGGTCAGGGCCACTTCAAAATCAGGTCAACATACAGTAGGTGGTCAAACTGCTTGGTGACAAATAGCCTTTGAATACAGGTCTTCTCATGGTGTTGGATTTTTATACAAAAGAACAAATTTATTAGTTATTTGCAAAACATGAAGCCATGACCAGATATTTCTAATTAAATATCAAAGGATGTTAACACATTTTCACATTCTTACAAAAACAAGTCTAATCAATAATCACACCATTTTCAAGTTTTCAAGCATTAAGCACGCCTGTACTCATTTATAAGCACACATGTGCATACATATGCAAAATGAGTGCAGTGAAGCAGGGACGACCTTGAGAAAACACGCCCCCTCGCCGCCCTCTGTCCATGCTTCCCAGACAAAGACAATGCTGCACGGCACAGCTCTAAAGATACCTGATTCACCCCATCAGCAACATTTCGCTCTACCACGCATACACCAGCCTGCACATACACATCATACTTAAATCACTTAAGCCCCCCCACCAGCTGCAGCCCAAAAGCACACCAGGAGGGGCAGAGGCAATTAACAGCAGAAGCAGTGGTTTCCCTTGGGTGCTACTGCACCATTTTCCACTTTTTTGTCTTTTCTTTTGTTTTGCAGCACACCCAAGAAGATAGTAGCATGATAATACATCAGCGGCTACAAATGCACGTGGTTACAAAGTGATTTTAGTAGAACATAAAGTGATCAATCCAGCATTTTTACAAGCATGGAGAACAGCTGCTCCCTGCAGGTAGAGCTCTTCAAACATTAGTAAATTATTTTTATTCACAAACTTCAATGTCAAACTGTTATGAGCTTTATTTTCATTTAGCCATGATCTTAGAGTAAAAGCATTAAATTCCCATCACAAGGCTAATAAAGTACCAAAGTGTCTGTTACCTTAACATCATGCAGCATATGAAGTATTCCTCTACTGGTATAGAAAAGAAGAAAGATTCCCAAAGAAAAATAAGAAGATAAAAAAAGAAAAAGGAAGAGAAAATAGATCTCCTGTCGACTGGCAAAGCTGGTGGCAGAGAGCCCAACCTGACTTCCCTCGTCCCATCTGTCCCACCGACTACTACACACATACCAGGTGTGCGCCTGATCGCTTAATACCCCCAGTCAGCAGTCGCACATAGGCGCACAGATCTCTGCACACCCAACCACAGCCCCACTGCTACGCTGACCTTCCTGCTGACTGGCATTACTACCCTCTGCAGGATCTGCAGAGGTGCCAGATCTGGCTGTTTGGGGATTTGCGTGTGCCAGTCTTGGGATGAAGACTGAAACCTGGTTGGCGATTACAAGAGAGAGATCTAGAGGCTGAGGGAGGTTGCATTGTAGGGAGATAGTCTATTGTATGGGGTCCTGGATATCCAGCCCATGGGCACACCCTCATACCTAGAATGAGTGGGTTTAAATACATTACTATCTTTTACGTCCTGCATAAAATCACAGAAATTATGTCAGCAAGTCTAGCAGGACACAAGCTGAGCATTCACTGGGCATTAATGTCAACAACGATTGGGCTAGAGGGTTGATTAAAGGATCGAGGTCCGGCAGTCTGCCAGACAGACTTGCTCCAATCTGGGAAACCGTACTCTTGATTCACCACCAAGTCGGTCAGACTAGCTTAAGTCGCTCTAAGAAAATCTTGGTACGAAAAAAATCTGAAGAACAAAACATTAACAGTTCTTCCTGAAGTGATAAACAGTCATGGTTCAGACCTTTAGGGCAAAAATTGTTCAAAGGACATTTTAAGGACTTAAAGTCACGTGATCCTCTTAACCTGCTGGGGGTCTGAGAAGTGAGGCTTTCCCCAGAGCAAGAATCACTGCAAATCACTGGCAGCTAACGTCTTGAATACAAAGCAACTCAATCAAACAGAGACAAGTGTGTGTTAGTTATTGTCACAGGCCTTTTTTTGGACCCACTTTGAAGCAGTTCCCTACAATAATTCCCTCAATGCTTATTTAATGGTGAAAACTGTAGAGAAATGTGGCAGATTTTCAGTTACAATCAGTGAATCCTCTTTCTTAGGGCAACATCAGCATATCTGCTTCAAACCTCCTTGTAAAGAAATCAGTGAAGAAGAAAAAATCACTGGCAAAAACCCAAAGCTGGTGTGTTTTGTTCCCCCTCCTGGTTCCACAGATGGTTATTCAGATGTGCTTTGAATTAATTAAATGAAGAGCTGCTAAATGGGAGTGGGTTGACGTGATTTACTAGCCTGGTGTCCATTAGGAAAGGATGGCCCTAGGTAATGTGTGTATTCCATTGCTTTGGGGGGTTGGGCTCTGCGGGTTATTGTAAGTCAGACTCAAACACACAAATATATTCTGTGCAGATTTTTATGTTGAGTTTTGTGAAACCTTGAGAGGAAAGGAAACAGATGCTTGGCTGTTGGTTTTATGTGCGGTCCTCTACACTCTCAGGCACAAAGGAATCTAACATAGAGGTGCTAGGCTGACTGGTGTCGGTGTCTGAGTGTCTAAGCGGCATGATAATACTCACTCAGCTGTCAAATGTTCGGGCTGTGAATCTTCATGCTCAATCCCAATTTCCGGGGAATACAGGCTAGCCTCTCCGGCTGACTGATAACATCTATTAAAGTGGAAGAACCACATCAGCTGGAGTCGAGCTCACATGTTTGAACTAGATTGAGGTATTTTAAAGGTTATTCTGACTCTGAAGATCATTGGATGGGACAAAAAGATACTTAAAACAATAAATATTACATCCAGCGTTTTTCTGATATAACTAAAGCCTGGTAACTTTTTTTTCAATTAAAGGTGAATTTTGTGTAATTTTCCATTATAGTTGAGAAATTATACCACAGAAAGTTTTATATTCTGCCTTCTTAACAATCCTCAGGCCTAATCCCATTTGATGGAGAGATTGACAAATGAACACTCTCACTTAAGTGTGATATTAAGATGTACTTTGTGCGTCTGTGTGAATGCTGTAATGACGGACATGTCTAAACACATCATCAGGTCCTTCTTTCTCTCTATTCACCTCTCCGTCTCTTCTACCCTCTTTCTCTTTTCAGCTCTCTGCTGGTGTTAAGTGTTATCACCCCTCCTCGTCTCATCCCTCCTGTTTCAATTTTCTCCCGCATCGACGCCTCTCTCTCGTCCCCGCTCCGCTACATGTCCCAGCTCCATCTCTATAATAAGGTCTCCATTAGTATGACAGGCCACGACATACACAACAGACTGCCTGGAAAGTGGGTCAAGGTTACTGAATCTAACTGGTTCTGTTCGCAGTTCTGGCTGCACCGCTGCGATAACTCTGCGATGCTGGGGTTTTATTTCATCCTTGGTGAAATCAGTGTCAGCAGAATAGTGCTGGCACAGGCTGGTTCATGAGGGTCAATTATGTTTTTTGAGGCCGTGTGCTGAGTTGAAATGTGTGGACTTTGGCACAGAGCGCTTTAACCCTGATAGCGGTATATTTTCACACATATAACTGTGATATTTATACAAATTTGATTGCTGCTCCTGCTAGAAAGTAAGGCATGTTTTTTTTCTATATCTTTGCTCTCAACTGCACCAACTCCACCTAAAAAGCCCCTATTTTTAAACCAGGGCGGCTTCTATGTTGCTGTTTAGTCAGTCTCTTGTTGTTTGTCCTTTCTGTAACCCGTGTGCAGACTGTGCTGAGAACAACACTTCTCCATCAGAGGACATGCTGAGGCAGAGTCAAAGTCATTCACATCATCTTTTTTTTTTTCCCCTCTCCTGCTTATGCGGCTCTCAGGCAAAGCACAGAGAGACGGACACACCAAGGACAAATATAAACACTGCACAGACGGAAAGTTACACTAAACCACCAGACGAGTCGCAGTAAACTGTCTTTGTGGTTTTGTTGTGCCTTTTGTGCGGCGAGGTAGTGACAGTTGCTGTTTTGGGATGTTGTGGGATTTGTGGATTCCAGCTGCTGCTGCAGCTTTTGAATGAAAAGCTTTTCTACACGGACAGAAAAAGGACATGAACACAGCCAGAATTATATGTTGCAAGGCCAACATAGTAGGTCCTTTTCCTTATAGACACCAATAAAATAAATGAATGAAGCATAAACCCAGAGAAAACACTGGATTAAGCAAAAACAGAGCAAAGGGTAAGTTTAAAACTACAACAATGAGCTGCTGGGAACCAAAAATCAGCTGTGACAAAGACAAAAACTCAAATCTACAGGCACATGGAAGATAAATACAAAAAAAAGGGTAGAGTACTACTAATACAAGGCGTGTTGTGCAGCATATTTATTAGATACATGCGCTTTTAGATGTTTTCTGATAGTGGAGGGAAGAAAACTAGGCCAAGGACTTAGTTTTAAGTGGGAAACAACCCTCTCCAAACTATTTCTATGACAGAGGCATTTCAGCAGCTTCACACACACACAAAAAAAACAAGAATTTACAATCAATCTTTTTCCCATCAGCAGCAGACAAGCAGAGGCGACAGTGACATCAGAAGTGAGAGATCAGAACTGAGGACACGTACAGTAAACCAAGAGAAGTGGGTTAGTGAGAGACGCAGAGAGACGGGATGATGACTGACTGACTTAGCGAGACAAAGACTGCAGAAAGAAAGACAGAAAGAGGAGTAAGAATGAAGAAGGAAACAGAGGAGAGAGGACAAAGACAGATGAAGTTACAGAAGGATATTGAAAAAGGAAATTACAGGGGAAAAAAAGAAGAGACGAAAATTAATAGAGAAAGTAAATGAAAGAGGCTTTAATGAAGACAGGAAAAGCACATACAGGCATGTAATGACAGGAGGCCTGGTGCAGCTCGAAGCTTGTGGTAGTGGAGACGGATAGTTTGGATTGAATGGTTTTTCCACAGCATGACTCACCACGCCGACCTACAGAGCTGCTCATTTCTCCTTTCTCACTGGATCCCACAGCATATGCTTTTCTAATCTGTTTCATCCAAAACCCCATGAATGAATGACCACACAGTAGATCTGGAAACAAGCCTTACCATAAGTACAACTTCACATCTCTATTAATCTTTAATTTGGTGAAAGTAAAAACCAAGAGCTGACACTGCTCCCTCGTTTGTAAAAGAAGTGTGATTAGATTAGAAATCACACAGAGTCACACGTTTTCAGATTGTGTTTTTCTTCTTTCTACAAATTGACATTTCTTCTTTCTGCTGGCACATACCGGACATATTTACAACGCTTTGTTTCCCAAAGTCAGCAGTTCAGCAGTTTTCTATTCTGAGAGAAATTCCCTTAAGAATTGAACAACTCTCCAACAGCGACTGTAAAAGCAATTTACAGAGGGCAGAACTGTTCTGCAGAGGGAGGCTTTGGACACCAAACAAACGGGGTCAGTGTCCCAACAGAGTCATCAAGTTACTTCTTGAAATGTTAAGGCTGAATTAATTAGACCACTCTTAAACACAAATTTCCCAGCAACGAAACAAATAGAAAAGAAAAGCCAGACAATAGCCGACACAAAACTTAACCGGCCATTATAACTATCTGATCCAGAAGCAAGGATCTAATTATCTTCATATGTAATAGTGGTTATCGACTTGTGTGTGACCCTTGTTGCTGAATGCAGTTAGGTGTGAGCCGTACCTTGATAGTTGAAGAGGCGTACAGCATGTCCTCCAGGCTGAAATGGCAGCAGCTGCTCAGGTTGTCTTTGCAGAAGTCTTGAATGAGCTGCAGGTTGTAGAGCCGGTCGGCCAGCGTCATGTTCTCCTTCAGGCAGACATCTGGGAGGGAAGAGGGAGCCATTGGGCGTCAGGGTCAGACTGACATCAGTGTGAGTTTGACGGCTGAAATGTTACAGGTTATAACGACACACCACTTTGATTTGCTGGTGTTTTTTGTATTGGTAAAAATCAAAGATGTGTTGAGGACGACATTGAAGATGGGTTGGTGAGAAACGGCTTTATAAGCACAGGAGTCTGTGACTGACTAATGGCTGGTCCTGATTGCATGTTATCAATCTGTGGGTGGAGCCGCATGTAAAGAGTAAACAGCGTGATTGATCTTTTGTCCTGCTGAATGTTCTATTGAGTGATTGTGTTTGAGCGTGTGTGCTATCACGTTTCTTGAACAAAGTGATGTGATTATGTTGCAGCTGATGTTTGTGGCTGATCTTTGATACGTTGAGTGATACACTCAGGGACAGAGGACAAAATGAGACAAATAAATCCCCACACAATGTTAGAGGTGTGTAAATACAATCCACCAGGTTAGAAATTAGGGGGGAATAATAATAAATGAGAAATTTACTGTGTTTAGAGGACTGTAAGACATCTGTGCTCCAAAAACAGATCTTTTCTGCTGCAGTTTTCAAGCGCAGTACCTCAAAAGTTGCAGAACTTCTTGGCCTGAAACCTGCATACAGATCTCTCCTTACCTTCGAAAGGTAGCAGCTGAGGGCAGTAGAAGTGCAGCAGAGCACCCAGAGCAGAGCCGTCTGTGCTGTCTTTCAGCAGGTTGTCCACAGGGGGGATCCAGGGAAGCTGCTGAGTTGACGTCTGCTCCTTTCTGTATCGAGCCTGCAAAACATGAAATACGTAACAATTAATCACATGCAATCGATGACGTTACCCTCTCTGCCTGTAAGTCTGACCTTTCCTGTTGTTGCTTTTTTAAATCATTCAATGTGAATCACTGCATGACAGCTGTACCAGCTACTTTAGAAGAAATCAAGGCTTCAGTAGCTTTGCTTATATGTATTGAGAAACGGAGTCATCTTAGAGCCTTAAAGCATAAGTAGTAACATGTTTCAATCATTGAAAAGAAAGAGGAGGGGAATTAATCCTTTAACGTTACATATACAGTTCTCAGCATAAATGAGTACACCCCTTCAGAGTTGTCAGAAAACCTTTAGTTTCCTTTCAAAATCAACATTTCTGTCAGATTATACAACAAAATACTTCCCCAAATGAAGGCTATTGATTGCAAACATGATTTTTTAAGTTTCATACAAAAAAGTATTTTTCAATTTAAAAGTAGGATGCAAAAATGAGTACACCCCAAGCAAAGTTCTGGGAGCAAAGCTAAGTTTAAGTCACCATATCACCCTTATTTTCATCTTCTGGTACATAAAATGTTAAATGTTAAACTCAGCTTTGTCAAAACTTTGGAAATTGTACTTTTGCTCATCTAGATATTGAATACATTACTTTTAATAGGGCGTGTACTGACTTATGCTGGGCACTGTAAGTGCTGCACAAAAACTAATCAAAATGGTGAGTATTTACTTTAAAATGTGTGGAGATTGTAGAGAGTGTTGGTGGTTTTTTCAAACTTCAATCCAAAAGAAATATATTAAAATCCATATATCAATAGGCGTGATTGAGGGAGTACAAAAACCTTGATAGCAGGCTGGTGGTAAAAGGTAAGACAGAACTTTCCACTAAAACACCCCAGTGTTACAAAAAGGCTCACAGTGAGAACTGGCCCATCGTCTCTGAAACAATTTCATGCCAAATGCTCCCAGACATCCAATCTTTGAAATTAAATCCTAATAAAATCAAGTTTTAGCTAAACCCCTGAGACTCCTTTATAAATTCCCCAAGGGTGTCTACTTCTATTGTTAAAAGCTTTCACAAATACAAGGACGTCTGTAAGACAAAAGTGCATGTCTGGTTACCACTGATTTCAATTAACATAACCTCTCATGTGACACTGGAATTTGAACAGACTGTTGAAAATTAAGGACGATTAATTTAATTCACAAACCAAATTATTTCAATTATGGCTACATTTCCAAGGTTTCTTGTCATGTTTTGACTCAGCTGTGAACCACATCAGGGAAGGAAGATTAAAGCAGTGGTTATGTCATGGATAAGTCACAGATTGATGCACACGTGGTGAAATGATGACAATAAACACAGAGAGATGCAGAAGGGAGGAGAGACGGTCACTATGGAGACATAGATGAAAGAGCAGAGCACTGATTAGTTGACTTACAGGCACAAGCTTCATGTACCACTTGGTTGGAGACTGCAGCAGCACGAGGAGAAACAGACAAAAAACAACAGCGACATAGACATACCTGTTAGTGAGATTAGTTTGTAATGCGATTAGTTATAAAAGGAAAGACATGACAGCAGCTGTGGGATCAAAGGAAGGGAACCCTGTGTGTTATTGAGCGGGCAAGAAAAGCAGCCCACGCAACCCCAATAAGCCTGAAATTCTGTCCGTCTCAGGCTTTTCCTGCTTATTCATCCGCAGCATAAGAGTTTAGTCACCAATAGACCAAATGTAGGCCACTGTGGGGTCACAGTTTCTCTCCAGAATAAAAACAGAACTGTAACTGAATAATAAGCATAATGAAAGAAACACTTAAACATTTAAACCACTGGTATTTTTTTTATGTTAGTTTTAATTCTCCCTTTTCTTTTTTAATGCATATTAAGTTACACTAGGGCTGGGCGATAAACCGAAAATTTACCAATACCGAAATTTACGACAATAACCAACGTCATTTTGCCCATATCGGTGTAGGCCTGAGCAATTTGGTAAAAAGATGATCACAATATATTTTGTCATATCGTCCGATCTCGATTTTTATTCGATTCTTTAAAATTTTCTTTCAAACTGCTAGTTTTGATGCATCCGTACTAAAAACTGAAGAAACTAGAGATTAGTTCAACATTTTATTATTATACAAAGTAAATAACAAAGCAAATTAAATAACATAAATAGAAAAAATATAAAAAACATTTTTACTCAAAAATCCATCCATGTTGATAAATATTAAATTATAAATCTACTAAACAGTCCTGACCCAAAATAAACAAATCCCCCCCTCAGGGATAATGAAGACGCCTAAATGTACACATCAGATGATATGATTGAAAAAGCTTGTTTTGGATTTGTGTAGGTAGGCTATAGTCTCATGTCCCTTTAAGACGCTGTCCTATGTCAGAGATGTGACTCCACCCCATCCAGTCCATAACAAAGACGGAAAGACAGGCGAGGAGATGGAGGACGGTTCAGAAGTTGTGGCGGCTGACGTAGACTAAGTTAATATGGGAGGGGGTGAGCAGCTTGTGGAGTAGTTATCGTCCATTTATCGTTATCAAGGTGAACTGCTCAATATATCGTGAAATTGATTTGAGGCCATATCACCCAGCCCTACATTACACTCTCCAAATTCCCTCCAGTGCCTGTTTATCAACACATACATGTGGACTGAAAATTAAGCAGAGAAAGTAACCCACACTTCAGGGTATTAAGAACATCTCAAAATGTATCCCATTCTCACTAAAAACAAAGTCTGTGGCTAAGAAACCTTGAAGGAAAACAGAAAACAATCCAAACCGCATAAGTGAATCCAACCTGTCAGCTCTCTACTGACAATGTAAGCTGTCTGGAAAAGAAGAGAGGCTTGCCTCAGTTAACAGATAATTCTCACACTACCTAGAGAGGCATCAAAGAGCCAAATGTGAGTGCTGCTCAAAGTGGCTCGTAAGTGCTCGACTTCAAAGGGCCACGACTGCTGAGAAAATACAGCGAACGAAACTCTGAAAAATAAATAATCAAAACGGGAAGAAGAAAAAAGAAGAGGGTGTGACTTCTTCAGGGAGATTCCTGATGTGATTAACGATGCTGCCCTCTGGATGTTAATCTGAGTCACAGGTTGGAATTTGATTCTATCAGAGAAACACACCTGATCTAATCTGATTTATGACACGAGTTCATCAGTTTTATCTGTTTGTCTGTGAATGGATGGCTTATGTAATACTGCTGAAAAGAGAAAGAAAAGATAAGTTGGGGAATCATTTTAAAGTCAGAAATAGCAGGAAAATTGATCAACCACATCATAGTGGACTGCAGGAATCATCTATCACTAAAACAGTCCATATTTTGTGTAAATTATTAATAATATTTAGTAAAGAAAAGTGTTTTTGAACCACTTTAAAAACTGAACCATCGATCTCAAAGATTTTAAAGCAGTTTATTTTGCCATACATTTATTGATCTAACAAAAACAGGTGTCATGTTTCTGACATTTTCACTCAGACACTCCTTTTTGAACAATATTCCTGTCTTGAAATCCCTCGTTGCAGCGATATCACAAAGCATATTTGTTGGCAGAGAAGGAAACAAACTCTGTCCTCACTTTGTCTCTCCAGGCCATGCAAGCGCTCCCCAAAACATGACCTCATAAAGTCACACAGACGAACTGGCAGAGTCGAACATTTGGTTGACAGGAGGGGTGCACAACATGAGACAGAGCCAGGGTGGATCAGACGAAATGTTCTGGTTATATCACAAATCAGTGTACCAAAGAAGTCGATTTGAATCAAACACAGAGAAGTATCGTTACTTTAACGCTGAAATAAGCTTTCACCTCTAGAATATAAACTCTGCCAGCGTCAGGATAAGATGAAGGAGATGAAGGCTGTCTGCATCTTAACTGATGATCCCAGACTGTAGGCTAAGCAGGGTCAAGCAGAGTCTAAAATCTGTTATAACCACCAACCTAACCCCAAGGGAGAGGCGTCTCCATCCATCATCGCCTTACAGAGGACACACCCACAAACACACACTTACATATTACGGTTCTGTCTGTATCCCCACACTATTACACCCCACCCATTTCCACTTCAATCATCCTACGACTCTCCCTTTGCCCATCAGCGCTCAACCCTGTGAAGCCAGACATGTCCGGTTGATCTTCTGCTTAGCTTTGAAACTTAAAAGGATTAGTCGTCTCTCTCTCTTCTCTGTCCTGACATCGCCTTTGCAGTCCCTCTCCCCACCCCACCCTGCCTTCCCCTTCCCCCCTCGGGTGAAGTACAGTAAGCGAAAATAAAAACAAACTGTTGACCCGGTGAGCTCTCCGGTGTTGTCCCAGGAGGGTTAAACATCTCTCTGAGTCTGTCTGAGACACAGCCTGCCTGTGTGACTCACACTGCAGTCATACTGCAAAGACACAAAGGGGGAAGGTCTGGGCAGGTGGGGAGTAATGGAGAGGAAGATAGGACCAGAAGAAAAGAGCACGTTTTTGGACTATTAGTGCAGTTTTATTTAAACCTTGTTTAGCTTTCTTTCTTCAACCTTTTGAAGGCAAACTAACTCAATTTTTTGTCAGGCTGATGTTTTTAAATGCTTCAAGCACATTTTGGACACTTTCGCTAAGGCTTTGTTTTGCCTGAGCAAGAGGGGAATAAATGAGTGAACTTCTCTGAGTCAGAGGGACAACTCAGAACATGAACATATGCTTCTATTTCTCTCATAAAGTACTGCGACTGTCTGCCAGTTTGGCAACTAAACAATGATGTTTTTATCTGTTTTTATGCTTGCAAAGGCAAAAGAAGTAAAGAGAAATCAACCACTTTCTCCTTACCACTCTGGTAGTTTCATGACCAGCCAGTTGCAACCGTTCTTTACAGAGTATATCATGCAATATAACTGATAGAAATGTGAAAATAATACAGATGCTATTTTAAAAAGACTCTAAGATTAGGTGCAAAGTCATTCTTATGATCTAACAGCTAAGAGTCTAAGCAATTGTTATACAATGTCTCTTGTCTATCACAGCGACCTAGAAGTTAAATATAAACTGGAGAAGGGCTGGGCGATGAAACGATAATGATATATATCAAAAATCAATTTCCCTCAATATCGATATAAAACATGGTTAGTATGCTTTTCCATAGTTTGCATTCTGCCATGTTTTGGTAGACTATACGAATAGCCAATGAAATGGGGGGTTGCTCTGGGTCCGCTTCGTGCTGAACCAATCATGCTGAATAAGAACCAAGTAGCAAACAACTGCGTAGTAGCAGACTCCAGCTACACGCAACCATAGAATTTTAACACGTGACGCTGACAGCACTGTGAGTGAGAAAATAAGAAAATGAGCGCTACCCCCGGCAGAAATGCAGATGACAACTTAACAGATGATGACATCGTCAACAACACTGGCATAAAAACATTGGTGGTGTGGAGGTATTTTGGTGTTTTTAGGTCAGACATGAAGCAGAGTAACGTGCACTGCAAATTATGTCGAGTATATGTTGTCACAACGTCGGGGAATACCTCAAATCTCTTTCACCACCTGACCCTGCTTATTATATCGTGATATATATCGATATCAACTGATATAAAAAAATATATCGTGATAGCTTTTTTCTCATATCGCCCAGCCCTAAACTGAGGTATAAAAACTGAACAAATAGTGTGGAAAGTTGTATGAAAATAGCCAATGACATTAATTTTTTATTCATTATTAAATTAACTCACATTTCCCCATCATGCAATTTACAAGCTGTTCTTTTAAATAGGGATAACTTTGGGAGTGAGATAAACAAGGACAGAAGCAGGATCTGTTTCAGCAGCTACAGGCAGACGAACTGTCCGACTCAAATGTTCCTTAATTAATCTGAAGAGTAAAACCGCATTAACCAGTGACCGAAACAATGTCAGCTACAAGCAAAAGGCGAGTCACCATAAGGACACACAAACACCCTTGGCGGCTCACACATCCATCGTGTGAGCCGCCAAGGGTGAGGTGATGATACTGAAGGGCCAACACTGAAAGGCCTGGGGGCCAAACAAACAGACACGGTAACACTTCATGAGCAGCCGTGCCCTCACTCTCTTAGTGACAAAGTGACAAGGAGGGCACGTCGTAGCTCCAGTCAATCAGTTCAGGGGAAAGTTTTCTGGTTCAACAAGCGTTATAAAAGTCTGATGATGAAATGATGTGATATTACTTTTTTCTGTGATGCAACTGTGTATTCATGAGGGATAGCTGAGGCATGCAGTGCCGCGTCTGCACACTGACTGGTCGAATCAGCATCAAGCACACAAGTCTGTGTGAACAACACACATGCACACACACACGCAAACTCACACTGCTGCTTGATTTCAACCCTCTGCAGGCTGAAACACAAGGGACAGAGCTTGTGATACTGTCCCTTAGGTAACTTGTCTGACTCTCTGAACATCTCTACAGAGCAGCATCACTGGCAGGGGAGTGTCATGGTGTGTGGACTGTGATGGAGAGGAGGCTAGGAAAGGAGCCATGACCCAGGAAGAGGAGGAGGGGGGAGTGTCTGAGAGGAGACGAAGGGCAGAGAAAATGTAGAAAAGAGAAGATAATGAGATGCACAAACTAGTGTTGATGAATGTGAGCTGAAAACTTTCATGGTTACCTCGTGTGTTGAGGAGATACATGACTTTCAAACTTGCTCACACCACATCAGTTGAAAACAAACAATGGTCAACAGTAACAATAGCTAGAGGTGGGGGACAGACTCCAACAAAGCATTACTGGTGAGGCTGGAGGTGGATGACATTCACCTGCTCCTTCACTCTCTTTTCTGATCACCACTCTGCTGTGTCAGGATGATAAGAAGCTGATATAAACCTTTAATTTTTCTTCTCTAAGTATTATTTTTGTTTACATGCCGGATTTAAAGGTGAGGAGAGGAGCTTATGTGATTGGCGAAAAAAGGTCTCGGCTGTGTTAAACCCACTCCACGCCTTATCCCCTCCCTCTTTACGACTTACGCCGCTGGGAGGAGCTGAGTTAGGGAGGGGGGATACTTACGCCGGGCTGAGCCGCTCATCAAAACACCAAAATGTGCTTTGGCACGCCTTGTCGGTGCAGCGGATTTGACTTACACCACACCTACACCACGCCACCGGCGAGGCACGAAAATAGAGCCCCAAATCTTTTTGAATGATTATCCATGATTGGTAAAGCAACCTTCAAGTCGAGATGAGAGGACAAACCTAAAGGCTGTCTTTCAACGAGTAAGAGAATGATCAAGACTTTTGGAGATCTGAATATCTTTGCAAAACCCTAATAAAAAGTCTCTTTTATATCTTTGAACCAGCATTTCTGAATCCAAACATAAATGGTTTCTATTTGGTGTAAAATTTTAGACTAAAAGTTTCATTGTATGTAATATTTTATGTAACTTGAATCACTTGCTACAGTATTTCTTTGCAACCACGTCTCTATACAGACAGACAAATATGGAACTGTGCATGTAATTCACAAACGGCAATACAAACTTAAAATTGGTATACTTTTTTTAATCACACTCAAAATATTTCCACCATTTTCAGAATAACTGATCAACAGATTAATGGTGTTTTGACCAAATTGACATCACATTGCATTGTCCCTCATACAACTGATTTCACGATTATCTTTTCTCCAGTTAAAAAGGCTTTTTTTTTCATCACTTGTCAACAGCATATCAAACCTAAAACAGTCACTGACTTGTGTTTTTATTTCAATTGCTGGACAGAAATCCAAAAGTCCCTCCCAAGCCAATTAATATACCATTCAAGTTTGTTTGATAAAATTTTTACTCATGCCCAATTATTTTGTTTTCCATTGGAATAATTGAATTATTGTTTTTTTAATGCAAAAACAAAAACACTAATCTACATTGTATATCATGCATATGCCAGCCTGCTCTCTCATAATCAATATTGGCATCAGCCGATCGACCATTAGTACAGATACAGTGTAAGCACAGACTGCTCCAGTTACTCAAATACACAGTACAATGCATACACAGATGAACATGAGCTGTAGAAAAAGACTTAAATATGCAGTCAGTGGAAGTCAGTGTTGATACTAGAGTCAGTTATACAACAGTATGGGCTGTGGGCAACACTCTGCACACTCATGGGTGACCTCACATTAAATGACAGCCCGCCTAATTAGACAAGACCCGCCGGTTGAAGCTTAAATGAAGAGAGTGAGGCTTGTATATTTGTCAGGGTTGATAAACTGGCTGTGATGTAAGGATGTGTCCTGGCATTTTCCTCCTTTCTTGTTAAGTAAACACAGATGATGCTTAATCCAAAGCTTTAACATATGTGACTGAGTTTCCTCCTTGATAGAGACCTCAAGGGTTTAAAGTTTGTCAAGGAAACTGGCCCCAGATTTTGCAGTGACATCTGTAAAAATTACATCAAGTGTAGCCAAAGGTTTCATTCCTCTTGTGTAAACAGTTTTTAAAACTAGTTACATGATCTGTATGTGATCATTCATAGTTAGTAAACTGTCGGGAAAGGAAAGAACAAGAAAGAAAAAAACCTGAGGACTTACAGAGGGCTCATTACTCTGTGTCTCCTTCTTCCTCTGCTCCTGAGCCAGGAAGTCTTTTAAGTACTCGTTCACCTGCATGAGGGGGTATGAGAAAAGAAAAGGTTTAAATTTACAGAGTCAGCAGAGTTAATGAGCCAAATTTATTTTAGGAACACAGAATGACTTATAATTCATGATGTTTATTACCATCATCCAAGTTCAATCATGAATTTGTTTTTTGTTTGACCTTGTGATAGTATTGCTTTTTGGATTATGGGAAAGTGAAAAAAAAACTATCATGGTGTTTTGTGTTCTGAGTCAATTCAATGTCATCTGACTGAAGCTGAGTCTGGAGGAGTTGATTTGATCTGACTGAAATCTTACTTGATTTCTTCACCTCAGACCACTTACTTGTAAAGTATGTCACCTGAGGTCCATGTGGATCAACTTAAGGCAGGAATCAGCTAGTAAGTAGGTGAATTTAGGACCTTTGGAGCACAAAGAGGCTCCAGCAGAGAGCCATATGTGTGACCAGCAGGACTCCATGACCACACCTGTTAGCCATTGTGAGTGAGTGTGTGTGTAAAGCTTAGAGTTGGCATCAGCCCAGTGTTCCTAGCAGAGGAATGTAAACACACAGGACCCTGCAGCATTGTATGAATGAGCCAGGACCATGTGCACATGAAGGCCATTAAGACAACCATCTATAATTACAATTTAATAAGCATGTACAGTGCGCTTAGACTAATATGCACTACAGTGATGTATTATGTGGGATGTGAGACTTTACAAACTTCAGCATTTTTGAGAAGATCTGTCATGTTGTAAGAATATAACTCAACCAAATATGTAGCAAATGTTCAACGTTTCTTTCCATTTTGATATAAAACTCTTTTACAAAGGTTGCTGACAGAGTAAACTCCAAAAATGGTGCAATCACACCTTCTTCTTTTACTCCAGAAGGATGTTTTCTTGCTGTGAGTTCACCTGTACATGTCATATGGTATAACCTTGGGGCATGAGAACAAAGTGTGACACGTATAATGGATTTGATGGTATTTAGGTCACTGTTTTTCACTGTAATAACTTGCAACCCTGCTGAGCACAGTAGAATTTCAGAGTTTATGCTCCATGTGCCTGACATGACGTAAATGGCCCTGAGCCAGAGTGTCTTCTACTGTATATCTTATGGATTGTACAAATAGCAGCCAGGTCTTTGAGTGGAGACTTACTTTGAATTTCTCATGTGAAACAAAATAGAAAACTACAGGCTGATGAAGTTCAATTATTTTTGACAAACACACCAAACAATACCCACCTTGTTAATCCAGGTTGTCACTGCATCCTCTGTGTCATAAGGCGTTTCCACCTCAGGGTCAGAGGATGAATACTGACGAATGCAGGACATCACCTTCTCCCCGCTCACTGTCTCCACTGTGTATGCCATCATCAAGGTGTCGATCATGGCCAGGTGAGCGCTCTGAAACAGAAAAAAAACAGGGAGAGATCTTCTTAGTTATAGCTGACTGAGAGTAAATCAAAAACACCAGTAAAGACCGACAGTTCTGCAACTTCAGATCAAACAAAACTGGAGGAGAAAGAAATTAATGGTAACAAGAGCGGGGACAGAGATATCTGAGAAGAAAGTCTTAGTTTGTTTCCATGACACTGAATCCATATAATAAAAACAGATCATACTACTCTTGCTCTTGGAGAAATTGGACCATAGCAGCTCTATAATCTTAGTAACAGATGGAGCCGTTGCAAAAAAAGATGACTATAACAGCAATCAAGATAACACATATGCACAAAAATTGCACGACCTGCATTATATTGATAGGTTTAACCTGTCAGGTCCTCTGAGGGAAAAAAAAACAAGCAATAAACAAGCCAAGAAGAAATAACTGGGTGAGTGCGGTACAACTTTCCTATCTAATATAACTATTTCAAGATAATGCATATGCATAAAGAAAGTATGTTCTGCGTTTTACTGATCACAAACAAAACCTGTCAGGTCCTGAAATAAACCAAGAAGACTGAAAACAGGCATTTGAACAGTCGTGAGTGGTTGCTAACTCTTAAAAACTGTAGCTAGGAGAGAAAATGCACAATCAGCCTGCCACAAAAAGGACACACTTTAAACTTCAAAATCAACTCTTTGGCTTAATACAGTGGTTCTCAAGTCCAGTCCACGAGCCCCCTACTGTCCTGCATGTTTTAGATGTTTCGCTGCTCCAACACACCTGATTCAAATGATCAGCTCGTTATCAAGCTCTGGAATGGCTTAATAACGAGCTAATCATTTGAATCAGGTGTGTTGGAGCAGGGAAACATCCAAAACATGCAGGACAGTGGGGGGCTCGAGGACTGGAGCCTCAAAAGTCTGATTTTCTCAGGAATATAAAGTAAAGACATGTCATTTTTATTTAGTTCCATATTATCCTGAAAGTCTCTATTGAATTTACATTTCAATAAAAGAAAAAGTTTGAAGATATTCTGCCTGAATGGTCAGCAAAGCACTTTAAAATCAGGTCTTTACACTCTTGCCTAACATTCCCTCATGGCTGTTGCCTTGGAAACAAGTACATTCATCCCTGGTTACAAGACCCACTTTGCTCACTGAGATTGCTGATCTCTGAGACGCCTGAATAAGACATCTCCCCGACAGTACAGTCTGATTAATAGAGTTTGGGTCAATTACAGGCTGTTCTGCTCATCCGCAAGACTGATTGAAGAGTTTATTTTTGGAAAAACTATGAATATTGATCCATATAACCATGAGCTGGGTCATAAGTGTGCATACTGTGAAGAGTTTTAACCAGCTTGAGTGTTCTACTCTTAGTGGATTTGGACATATTGTTTTCTTCGTTGTCAGTAAGACAGCAAACATATTGGCTGACTTTTCAGAAGAGGACGTTTATAGTTTTCTTAAACGGCTGTAACCGAAGCTGAGTGTCTGTTCTTGTGCTAAATTTTAGATACCTGATCTGCATGGATATTCGATATATCCTCACAGAGCTGTAACAAGTCTTAGGGAGGAGGTTGTGGTGCTGGATGAGATTACAGAGACACCAGAGACAGTTGTTCAACCGTCTTTGAAGACTGACTGCTAATTAGTCCAAGCTAACTAGCAATGTTACATCATGAAACAGCTGCTATGTTATGAAAAAGAAGTTCAAAGCTGGAAAAAATAATTTAGGATATGCATAAATATTTTTCTAGGTCGCAAAGTTTATAAAATCAACAAATCTAGATAACTCTTATAGTCATATTAAGACACTGTCACTCTATTGACTAGGGGTGTCCCGATACAACTTTTTTTTACCTCTGATATGATACCGATAATGTAGCCTTCAATATTGGCTGATAGATATTGATCCGATATTGGCACAAACTTGTGCATGACAAGTTTTGCACTCAGCTGCAACGGACTTAAATGAAAAATACTGCCACAGGGCCGACATAACTCTTACTCCTTGATACTTTGTTAGTACCTTAGTACACTGTTGTTGTGATTACGTGGGCTCTACATGCTGGATCTGGTTGCTGCTAGATAAAGGTGCTGGAGTGGAGTCTGGAATGGACTGCTTTTGTCGGAGTGCTGATATCTGAGATTTTAGATGGAGGCCGATATAATCCGATATCCGATTTTTTGCTGATATGAATGTCGTACCGGGACACCCCTAGTATTGACATCCATCCATTTCCATGACATCCGCTTATTCCCGTTCCCGGGGTTGCAGGAGGGCTGGAGCCTATCCCAGCATCTTTAGGCGAAGGCAGGGACCACCCTGGACAAGTCGCCAGTTCATCGCAGGGCTGACATATAGAGACAAACAACCATCCACGCTCACATTCACACCTACGGGCAATTTGAAAGTGACCAATTAACCTAACCCCACTTAGGCATGCTTTTGGGCTGTGGGAGGAAACTGTAGTACCCAGAGTAAACCCACGCAGACACAGGGAGAACATGCAAACTCCACACAGAAACGCCCTGAGCCGGATTCGAATCCTGGACCTTCTTGCTGTGAGGCGACAGTGCTAACCACTACACAACTGTGCCGCCCCCTAGTATTGACATGTAATACATAATTTTGATTTGTAATACTGATTGAGAAAGCTTAAATATACCATTATCTTCCTCCAGACCTGCACCAACCCAGGTTACATCAGTGCATTTGAATTCTTGGTTCTTCTTACCTTCCTTCAGTCTACACAATAGAGAGAATCAAAGCTCCAAATATTTACACTTGAGCAGCTGCTTTTCCATGAGCTCAACCAATTAATCAGCACTAAAGTTTGAGTGCCTCTTGAAGATGTGCAGCAGAGTCACAGGAGAGAGAAAGAGAGTGCTAAAACATCAGTCAAGTGTTTAATGTTGGAAGTGATGCTGAAGAGTTTACTCTGTTTTTAGAAAGCCGTTTCATGCCTGTGATGAATTGGGAGAAAAAAAAAAAGAGGTCTGTTTATGGCTGGATTCCCGTTTGGTGTGCTCGTGTTGAATAAAAGATCCCTTTCTCACAACAAAACAGAGTTAGTACCTTTTTTGTGCAACAGCTGGTGGAGCTTTGTGAGATGGTAGCTAGAAAATTCCACTTTAATGCTATAGAGACTTTCCTTCCTGGAGATGTAAAATTATGTAAATGTTTAATCTATATAATCTTGACAAAGTGATTTTTGCTGTCTAGTTAGCTGCTAAAAGAACAGTTTTAGCTCTTAGATGAATTTCTTGTGTGAAATTGCATTAACTAAATGCTTAATTTCCTCTATCTCCGATCTGGCACCCCCGCAGCTAACCAATTTCAGTTAATAATACACTGCCAAGATGTTTCCTTTTGGTCTGCATTTAGTCTGTCCAAACAGAGCACAACATTATCCCAATGACACATGAGCATCCAAACACAAACATCCTGTTATCAGTTTGTGCAGCAGCAACAAATCTGGCATGTGCTCCGACAACAAATGATCAACTCAGAGCAAAAGCAATTTCAAAAAGGCCAAGGGACCGACATCAATCCTCAAGGCCTGCACTTCTGCTGAGCAATTTAAGAATATTGATTAGCATCCACTAAGGTCTGATGGGATGAAATGACAACAAGGAAAGCTAATCCTGTTTACAAGATCAGAGACCTGCAGGTTCTAGTCATATTGAATGAGGCCAGTCCAATGTGTTTAAAGACAAGGTTATTTTGCACTTTTTGAACATGAATAAAAGCTACTTCATTCTGCGCTTTAAAGTCAAAGATGTTTGCAAGAGGTAGCTTTTCAGACATAAAACCTCGTTATTAATGTTTTAACATGTAAACATGGGTTACATCTCTGCCCCAATTTCACGACAACGATTTTGCTTTTTAGATCAAGATTTCTAATCTGATCTATTGTTATGATGCAAGTCTCTAAAAGCAGCTCTCTGTTTATTAGCTGACCTTAAAATAAAGCTTTTGTGTTTCCCTGCTAAATCAAAACAGATGCCACCATCATCCTCTATGTGAGTAAGGAAAAATGTCTCTTTAAAGGTCCCCTGAAGTCAGTGTTCATAAATCGTGCATAAAAGCCAGATAGTGTACCGCAACTGAAACGTTCAGCAGACGGTCAGGATCAGCTGACCGTGTTTAAATGTCAGCTGAAGGCTGGAGGAAGGCGAGGCGGAGTGGGCGAAGAAGAGAGAGCGAGGCAGAAGAGAGGAAGATCCTTCACTGCCCAAAGATAGAGTCAGCCTTTCTCATTAGAGCAGAGCTGCCTGACGATTGTTACGAGGTTGTTTCTATGTGAGATCCTATTACGTCATGTTTTCTAACCTTTCAGACATATGCTTTCTTTCAGCATCTCTTTGCTTCTAGTTCATGCAGCAGCATGTTTCCATACCTTAAAGCTGCCAGTGCAGCCTCTCATCTTCCACTGTTGGCTACTGAGCAGCTCCACTAGAGCATTCAGGGATCAAATGCCTCGCTTGGGGCAACATAGGCTGCTACAAGAGGGGAAAATCTTGCTACTTAACTCCATTAGATTATGCTCCTCAGAATCAAAATGCATGCTTTTGCTTCCCTTACCCTTGGTTCATGCTTCCCCCTAGATACTGCCTGACTATTGCTGATTTTTAAAACTGCATTAAGTTACTTTAATCAAATGTTAATGAATAAATGTGCATTCGCAGTACTGTGAGACACTCTGAAGCCACAAAAACGAACATACGCACACAGACGGAAGCAATTTCTACCTTCTCGTCTGCGCTGATTACATTACACAAATCCATAAATCTTGTTTTAATTTCTCTTGAGCAAAGAAGAAACCGCTTCACGGTCAATATCCTGTTTTCATTGCATTGCTTCTCTGAAGCTCATCTGTATTCCCACCAAGAGATATGAGGGCAAACACTGTTCATTTGTAATACAGCTGCTCCGCGAAACAGCAGAGATGAAAATCTGCTGTAGGAGGCTGATATAAAATCACACCAAATAACAAAAACAAATACCACCAATTTATGAAATATAAGGTGCGGTGTATTTCAACTATTCATTCTTTCTGTTTTCCATGAACCTTAGTCTTTACTGTGAGCGGCATGTTGTGGTTCAAACCAAGTCTACAATCTTCCATCTAAAACAACAACATATTTTGTTCTAGATTGATCAAGCCGGTAATGTCTTACACAGAGCTTACAGTAAAAGACTGGAGTGCCTTCAGTGGCTCATGATTACTGATCAGTTTCTGCCTGTTTTCACTTATTTCTTTCTGCGTCCTTCATCATTTTTCAAAAAAAGAATTACATAAGGGAAGAACAGAGGGAGAAAATGACTTTACCAAACAAATTCAAACTTCTTATACTGCAGTCTCCTGGACCTCCTCAGGACAAAAGGCTTCCACGCATAAAGAAATTCAAAATAAACAGGGGGTGATGTAATGTTGAAATGCAGCCTGTTTTTAGTTTTGAGACTCTCCTGTCCAGCCTCAGAGGCTCCATGCTGCGGTATGATGTCTAAAAATGAATGTGTGAAGCTGCAGGTAAGTTTGCGCCAACTCAGCTGGACATGGAAAACCTCTTAGCTGTGCTCCATGATGGTTTCTGTTCAAGGTCAGCACAAGTACAGTAGAGCTGAAAAAAAGTCAAGGCTCCTCTAATCGTTTCTGTACAAATATGGTCTTTGCTTTAGAGTAAAAAAAAAAGTTTAATTGCAGAGATTTGAACGCTTACATCCTCAACTAGTTGGCTGATGAATTTATTTTAGTAAATGTAGAGCATGCTATATAAGAGCCAACATTGTGTTTATTTGAAAATTACAAAAGAAGGAAATTAATGAGAGAATGAAATGCAGAACAGAGACCTCCATAAGAAATCAGAACAAATGGTAACATTTTAATTTGATCACATTCACATAACTGCATCTCTGGACTGTTCCAACAAATTCTCCCCTTGTCTAAAAATCCTTTCCTCTGTCTTGTTTTTCACTGCAGTCTTTCATATTTGCTGAGAAGACAGCCCAATAACAGCTTGCCTAAATTGCAGCAGAAATACAAAAGCTCTCTCTCTCTCTTACACACACACTTTCACACATGCCCATGTACACTTTTGGCTGCACAAAATGCCAAAAAAAAAAAAAAGGAGAGGTCTGGCATCAGTTGTGGGAGTGGAGCTTTTTAAGCAGCATACCTTCCTCCTCCATATGCTCCAAACCCCAAACCAGCAATTATATGGAAACCTCAAAGCTAACCTAAGAGCTCTATCTGGGGATACCATGGATACCAGCCAGGGTGGACTTGCCTGGAGATATGCCTGCGCTCTCTCAAATCCCTCTGCTGTGTTTGAAAGGCCCGCTGGTTTCATGAGAAGCAAGTGATTAAAAAAATGGGTAACACTTAACTTGACGCCTATCTCTGTAATGCATTATAAATATATGTATAATGCGTTATAATCACGTTATAGCACTGTATAACTATAGTTATAAACACACATAAATGATCATAATGCTTTATAGCAATAATCATAAGACATTATAAAGCATTTTATCATGACTTACAAAGTCAGGTATTATAATGTGTTGTTATAACTGTTAACAACAGTTGCATTACATTATCTATGTTGGCATTGTCAGTGAGTTGTTAACAGTTAAACAGTGAGTTGTAAACAGTTATATATTGCTATAACGTGATTACAACACATTATAAATATATTTATAATGTGTTATAGAGATAGGTGTCAAATAAAGTGTTACCAAAATATGAATTTAAAGGGAAGTACCACTCAATTTACACAGTCATGATGATAATTTACACCTGTGCTCAGTTTAATGAGAATGCAGGTAGAATTTTCAAGAGCTTCTTTGTCCATTAAACTTGCTTTTCTCTTACTTTATTGTCTCAGTTTTATGCTGCACCAGCTCTCCATGCACGCACCCTAAAGATGAGTCTGACAAAAAAAAAGAAACACAGCGCTGCAGATTAACTGTAGAGTGTTTCCAGAGTTTAACAGCTATTGTTCAGGATTGAGGCTCTCTGTCTGGCTGCATGCACAGTGTTCAAACTTAATATCTACTTATGCTGAGAGAAAGGACAAATTAATTTCTGTATTGTTAGTTTTGGTGGGTCTCTATGAGCAGATTTATGCACAAAGCCTATTGTTGCTGCAGTATTGTGTGAAACTCCTATTAACCAGTCAGAGCGTTTCAAAAATGAAGTGATGCTTCATTCATCAGCAGCAATAAAAATTCTGGTACATCAGTGTAATCAATAAATATGCTTGTTTGATTTAATCTCAGGTTAATGGATTCATCTGTAAAGCTCTGCTAACAGCTAAATCTGGAACTGCATCAATTCATTTACAGATTAAGTGCTACAGCAGCTGTTGTTCAGTTCTTACATGTGTAATAAAGAAAATGAGTATATTTTTTTCCACAATTGCAGATTAAGAGAGAATTTGCCAGTTCAAATCCCCCTCTCGACATTCTTAAGAGAAAATGACACAGTTTCTCTCCATCAGTATAATGAGCTTACTGTAGTACCAAACCAGAACAGATGATGTTTCATTAGATGTTACAATGGTCTAAATTTTGCGGAGGAATGTTTTTTTTGTGTGTGTGGAAAAAAAAGTCAATTACAAAAAGTGTATGTGAAAACAAAAGAGAAAAAGAGTGGACTTTTTAAACGTAGTTAAAGAATAATGAGAATAAGAATAAGTAGAACGTTAAAGGGAAATTCAGTTATCTGTTGTCTCACATAATATGTCTCTAAAAGTTATCTATTATTTGCACAAAAAAATCTAACAAAAATTACAAAAATTACTGATATTACGGAGAGACCAGACTAGCAGCAACCTCTTGGTTCAAGTGAGAGTAGCCATAGAACATAGCCATAACCAAGAAGAGGATATCTAAGCTGAAACACACCTTTATTTCTACTGCATTACCTTGTGAGTGTCAGAGCAATACACAGGCCGCACCTGATGTCTGCTGTTGTGAAGGTAAAGACCGCAACAGAGCAGAATGTTAATACAGTACATATCGGTCTAAAACAGAATCTAAATCCAGCCAGAACGAAAAAGACGCTCTGGACTCAGGACATCACATGTCATCACACAGTGTGCTCACTGCCCACCCATCCATACTGTGCTGCCTGGGAGTAGCCTCTGGCATTGAGCTCAACACACTGGCTGTGACTTCACTGGGGCCCACGAGCACAGAAAGTACTTGGATGGGCTTCCCTTCCACCCTGCTGCTTCAGCTCCTCTTTGTTCGTAAGATCAAGCACAGAGGAAGCTAGTTTGATGTGAAGATTTTTTGTGTCTGGTGCTCAGGTTAGCTTTCTATACTTCACCTTATGTGTGTGTCTGTATGTGTCTCTGTGTGTGTGTGCATCCTTCTGTGAGCTACAGTGCTGTAGAAATGTCGTCTGCTTGCTCAGATCTAGCGTGCAGTTTTCTCTGCCTCACAAATGTGGCGGAGCTCTCATAGTACACGGCTGCACACACAAGCACACACTGTGCATACGCCATATGCAGGAATATGCACCCCCCACTCCCCACCTACACACACACTGACACACACCCTGCCTGCTGGAGGGTAACCATGGAAACCGAGCGCCTGCCCGACAGGGGATGTGATGGAAGGAGCAGAGGAGAGGGACATAAACAGGAGGAAGTGCATTCACGTTGATTCATCCGCGGTGAACGAGTTGATGAATCAATTTGTTGCATAGAGATCTGACAATCATCTTATAATTATATCAGAATAATAACAGACTGAACATGCCCTGAATTTTAGTCACGATTTCACTTATTCAACACTCATCAGGAACATCTACACAAGAAATTCAAGAGCTTTTCTTTTCTTTATACATTGAAAATCTTCTTTACCTTAAACTAGAGTTAATCAAATGTGACCAGTCATGAGCATCCGAGAGGATTTTCCTTTTCCCATACAAACTAAACAATGCATCTGAAATCATCTTCTCTCTAGAGCAGTCTGAGAACTGAAAGGTGAGTCTCGTATGAAATGTACAAAACATTTATAAGTACATTTTCCATTGAGTCTAGGACTCTGTAGTCTGGAAGCTGCTCTAATTAGCAGATCCTGCATAGCCAATAATGCGACTCAGACACCATATCAGGTGACCCGATAGTCACAGCACACAGCCACATTAGAGTCTGACTTAAACAGCACATTAATAACTCTTGGCAGCAACGTGACCTATTTACCACAGCTTTGTTAAATAGTAATAGCTGTGACATCCAAGGTTCAGCAGCTTGGAGGAGCTCAACACAATGACAAGGAGAGTGGAATTTCTCCATTCACATGTTTGAGGATCTTAAAGTTATTATGCTTTGGTTGACATTCACCTTTTTTCACTGAGAAATCCTACACAGCTTCAGTTTGCTGGATTACAAACTTCAGAATAGCTGCCTCAGTAATAATATTGGAGACTTTTAATTGAATTGCTAATATGCTGTGATAAGTAAACAGGAGTGATTTAAATTTTTCATATGATTTCAGTGAATGTTAGGAACTCATCTTTTCAATGATGTTCTAATGTGGGCCCATATTCTGTTTTCTTTATGGATTCACTGGACTGAACATACATGCAGAACACTTGAGCGTATGCACAGGTGTGGACAGAGACACAAACAATCTATTTATATTCATTTATCAGGCTTTGAGATACCAGAACATACACAGAACACTTGAGCGTATGCACACGTGTGGACAGAGACACAAACAATCTATCTATATTCATTTATCACATGGATTCTTTCGCTCTTTTGCATCTTGATGCAATTCACATCTCACTTGTTTCATCATTTCAACATTATGGTCCCCATCTGTGGAACAGTCTACCTGCAGACCTGACAGCGACACCTAATGTTCATATTTTTGAAAGTAAACTCAAGACCGACCTTTTTAGTATCTGGCTTTTAGTTGAATTCTGTTTTAATCTTTTCATCTGCATTTTGTGATTTCACGCTATTTCAGTCCTAGAGTTATTATTCTGTGTTTTATTACCTCTTTTTTTTTTACTTACTTTCTTTTAATGTTTGATTTTAAGACTGTTATTTAATGAACTTTTAATGTTTTATCACATTTATTATATTTTTATCATGGTTTTATCATTTTAGGGGACATTTTATCTCAAATTTCATTTTCCCTGCATGTTTCTTCTTCTCACATAAAAAAAGCACTTTAAAAAGAACACAACAGAGAAACTACAGCAATTAAACCTCTTGATAATGAATTTTGGCTATTGTCATGCCAACAGCTGTGCTTCAAGAGAGCTGTAATCAGTAATGCTAGAATCATATTCTCAGCCCTCCTCCACATCTCTCTCTCTCTCTCTCTCTCTCTCTCTCTCTCTGAGCACTACAGGTGGAGGAGATTGTCGATGATGCAGAATGCATGTAGGCGACCGTGTGGGCGATGACGGCAATTCAGATCCTCACATGTGGGAATCCATCACATGGCAGAAGACAGAGGGATGAGTGGGCAGAACGGTGACAGAAGAAGAAAAAAAGTGGGTTTGGCAGCGAAAGGAAAATGTCAGTAAAAGTGCTCAGTTATGGCATCTGTCAGACTCAACATCGGCAGCATCAAACTCTGCCGCTCACTGACCTACTAAAACTCCCCTGAACATCTCCTTTAAGTTGCTTATTCTGAATTTCTCATGCAAACTGCTGACTAAAATAAAAAAGCTTAGCACAAAATGCCATGAAACAGCATTTATTAGCAGTGCTGGGGCTTTTAAGCAAAGCAGCATTTGGATATTACTGCATCTGGATGCTCAGCTTCTTCCTCTTCTCTAGTCTGCTTGAGGAGGAAACCCAGTGAGGACACTTTATCAAAGCATAAAACAAACTTTCAAAAATGGCGATTCTCCTCGTCTTTCAAGGCTCAGTCTGGACATCTTCTGGTCAACTTGTCATCGCTTCGTTAGATGTGGGAGCAGAGTCTGAATAATAGATGATCCCCCATCTGAGCTGTCATTCCACAGTACAGCGGGTTCTTCATATGAACTCTATCTACTGTGCATGTCCTTAGAGGAAACATCACCAAGTATAGCTGCTTGGAGCAAACACATCTTTCACCCCGTGAGGAAACGATTGCAGATCTTATTTTAAAATCAAATGAAGGAGAAGTTTCAATCAGTGCGCTGCATTTTAAGTCCTAGGAATTAATTAATGACCTGCAAAATGTGAAGAGTAGTTTTGTTCACGCTCTGGCATTGAGAGCTAATAGTAGTGCGGGGAGTAAAGAAGGAAAAGGAAAGGTTGATTAGGGAGATGGGAATGGAAATTGACTGAGCAAGCAAAAGTAAAGAAGAGAGGCAAAACAGAACTTAAACAAAAGAACAAGAAGAAAAGGGAGCGAAAAAATGGAAGGTAGATATAGGAATAAAGTCAATTCAATGTGACAAAAAAGGTTAGGTGGAAGAAGGATGTACTGGGGGATTTACTAAGGTTAGAGAACCAAGGTGGGAGGAAGAACAGATGGATGAAAGAGGAAACAAAGAGAGAATGGTTTTAAGGTGTAGCAAAGGTGGAAGGAGTGAAATACGTGTGCAGGATTAAAGGATTAGACACAGAAAATAGATGAAAGGGGGGGAAGAGGGACTGTACCTTGGCAGAAGGTGTTTTCGCACTTGTCGTCTTACAGCTCATTTTCACATTACCAACAACCTGCTCAGTCATACACACACCAAAACACACTCTGAGGTTTCCTGGCCAACCATTAGTAAAACCCTCAACCAGAGAAAAATCACTGATCCTGAAAACATGCCAAACATAAACAAAGTAAATCTACACACATTTAACTGCACTCATGTCCTCAGTCATAATTTGTGATTTAAAGTTGTAATAATTACTAGTTGTCTTTACAGAAATGTAAACCCCAACAAAGCTTAAATAACTATTGAATTAGCATTGGAGGGAAATTAAAAAACAGCAAGACTCTACAAACAGACTGCAGGCAAACTGTGAGCTAATCGTGTCTCAATTGCAATTCACTGAAGCAATAAAGCCTCCTATTGAGAGTTTGCCCGACAAATAATGAGGATCTCTCATTCTCACTCACAAAGTCATCTCAACGCTGAGCTCCGACGGGGACGGAAACAAGCGATGGAGGCAGACAGAGAGATGACAGAAACACACCGGGCGGAGGATGCCTCGAGGTCACAGTCAGCTTGTACTGCTGTTTCTTGTTGCTTTGGATCCCCAGACTGTATTAAAACTCAGGATGGAGGTTGTGAGAAATAACACCCTCTCGGCTCTTTTGCACATTTCAACAGTTTAGCAGTTATTGCTTTGTGCATTGGCTTGATGTGCATTTAATGGGTAGTGGTGGTTTTGTGAAACCTTATTGATCAAACGTGGGTTGTGAAATATGTTTTTATCAGAAATTATTACAACCATCACGAGACAATGAAATTCCCACACTTCTTAAGCGACCTCTTTTTTCACAGTCTGCCAAATTAAAATTGAAGGAAAATTAGTTCCAGCATTCCCAGTGGTAAGCCACTTGTAACTGCACTGATTACTATCAGAGGTAAGTCTGAAGGTCAAGTTATTACATATCATTGATTTATTTTCTACATACATTTATCATATTCTTTATGAAAACAATAACAAATAAGAAAACCAACAAAACAGCAAAAAAACTGAACGACTTCCATGGGAAACCTGTGAGTGTTCACCATAGATTCTTTGTGCAGAAACACAGGATTGTTGTACATACAGGAACAATTTGTGCACAGGTTCATGCAAGATAAGCATTCAAATAGGGGTAGTGCTTAATGTTCTTGTACTTTGCCTCTCAAGAATGTGCTCTTTCCTGATTTACTCAAGTTCAAAAAGGCACTTGATGGACGGGTGGAATGAGGAACGAGGATATTAACAAAAAATCTACCTCAGAGCCTGAGGAAAGGAAAGCTGTGATGTAAGTTCACAGACATGATACATAGTATTAATAAGCCTCTCTTACCATCTGAATTGGCCTCTTTCGCAGGTCTCTCTCGGTGACCAGTCGCTCCTGGTCAGTGACATAGAGTCCACGTTGAGCGAGTGCCTGAATGACGGCATCGTGGCCCAGCAGGGGTTTGGCAGCGTCGCTCTTCAGGATGAGGCTGCCGGCTCTGCAGTAGAGGTCTGCAGACAGAAGGAGGCTGGCCACAGGAGGCTTTAGGTGCTCCTGTTCATACTGGTCTGTGTAGAAGGGCTCCTTTAAGTCTGATGGGATGCTGTCTGTATTGTGGTAAAACAGAAAAAGGGAGTCTGATGATTCGGTATAACGCAGCACTTAAAATGACTCCTTATAGTCCAAATCAGCAAAACAATAATAGAGTGAAAGAAATATTCAAAGGTGCAAAAAGATAACAGGTCATACGCTGTTAAAACTGTTCAAACTGAACTGAGTTTTTTTTGTATATTGTAATGGCAGCGTATTCGTAATCTTCATTACTTAGTTATATTTGCAAACATTACTAGCCGTGCACTGATTCTCTACCATGTTGTTTATCATTTTTTTAAATTTATTGTGACGCTTCGACAATATCTTGATGGCGTATGAGTGGATAGACCTCAGTGTTGCTATAGCAACTGCGGAAGGAGTGAAACCGGATCGATTCATCTATCCTGTATCTCTGCAGCTTCAGCTCCCTAGGAACACCCCTCTCACTGTCTGCCTCATCAAAGAGAGAGCCTGAACGTGTGTGTGTGTGTGTGTGTGTGTGTGTGTGTGTGTGTGTGTGCCTCTAGCTAGTCCAAGCAAAGGGGATAGTCTTCAAATTATACGAAAACTCTCCATTTTCTCTATGCTTTTGTCTACTTTCGTCCTCCCCCATGTTTTGGCTATTTTGGGTTTTCTGAATCTGAACAAGACATTGAGATGAAGCTGCTGTGTTGAAGCACAAAAACATCTGCTCACTCTCCAGATGCAGAGCCTATCACTGTGTCAGCTGCAGGAGAAAAGGTGTAAAATTTGATAGCTGCTTGATATATGCAGAGGAAAACGTGGCACGTGTTGTGACCGCTTTGGACTGCCCATCCTCCAACTCACCCAAACCCACACACACACACGCAATGACGGTCAATAAATCACCTGCTTAGCTGGACCATTATCACAAGGTCATCGACTGAGTGACTCAGTACTATGGGACAGGGATGCAGACTGAGGCAGTAGCAGGTATCTACATTAAATGCATTTCCTGAATGCTCAGGTTATTGATCCCAACAAAGACATTTATCTTTTCCCCAGACCTCCCCCTCTGTTTTCCTCCACAGGGAGGTCAGAGGTCAGGCTAAGCTTCAGGGAAAGATCCTGGAGCTGGCAATGTGTCAGCATTTTGCTAAAAAAATGTAACAACACACCAAACAATGCATTATTAGCACATTAATTAAGCCCATCTATAAGGCTTTATAACAAACCTGGTAACACTTTACTTGACGCCTATCTCTATAACATTATAAATATGTATACTGCAATATAATCACGTTATAGCACATTATAACTATAGTAATAAACACTCATAGATGATCATAATGCTTTATAGCAACAATCACAAGACATTATAAAGCAGTTTATCATGACTTACAAGGTAAGGTATTATAATGTGTTATGCTTATTGTTATGAAGCCTTATGATAATAACATAATGCATTATCTATGTGGGCATTGTCAGTGAGTTGTTAACAGTTATAACACATTATAATACCTGACCTCGTAAGTCATGATAAAATGATTTATAATCTGTTATGATTGTTGCTATAAAACATTATGATCATTTATGAGCGTTTATAACTATAGTTATACAGTCCTATTATGTGATTATAACGCATTATACAAATATCTATAATTCGTTATAGAGATAGGCATCAATTAAAGTGTTACCACAAATCTCATGAGTGTTAATGGGCATTCATTACAGCTTATGCAGAGGTATGGTTTTACAGTATACCTTTTTTTGCATGACACTCACTTACAGCCACAAAATACTGCTAATACATTCTTATTAAGGAGTTAAACAAACATACAAATGTAAATAACATGAACAATGCTATCACTCTACCTAAACCCAAAGTTAAGTGAGTGTTCTAATGTGTTAAGAAATCCAGAATGCAAAAGACTTTGATGTTAGTTTTGCATTTAAGTATAATAACTGTATCAGGCATTATGCTCACTGTTTATAACACACCATAAACATTTAAGCTGCCATGCTTATAATCACATAAGCATTGTGATGAAGGTTTATAGATGCATTTATAAAACAATCCCACTAACAAGCTAAAACACCTGTAAATAACTGTTATAGCATTGCTAGTTATCAACTCACTGTCATCACTGCAGACAGATACAAGATGTGCAATCATTTTACCAGATTCATGTTGGACTAAACAATTCAATATGTTGCAGTTTGACCTGAAATGCACTACAAAACAGCAGGGGATCAAATCTATCAACTGCCACTGCAACATTTAATTAAGCGCTGAGACAGAACAGCTCTGCTTATGAATCGGAGTTGTGCTGTGCATGAAATATTGGTTTCAGCTGGTTCTGTCTGACAGTATTTGAGCAAACCTTCTAACAGCAGATGATGCGTTGTACAGGTTGCATCTACCAGACTTCATATTCTTCATACACTGCTGCATTGGTGTAATGAGGCAGATGCATGGAGAGTATACAGAGCAGCGTAGGCAGAGACCTGGAGATGAGCCTGCTCTCTCTCTCTCGCTCTCTCTCTCTCTCTGGAGGGCTGTATTTTTGGAATCAGCCCATTTCTTTCAGGCCTGATTCAAAATACACAGTGGATCTGCAAGGAATCTCATGTTTATTGGGCTATTACAACACACTGCAAGGTATAATCTGTGGCTTCAGCAGAAAAAGAAAGCCTTTTTTCTGCACTTTTCAGACTCACAGAGTTGATGTGTTTATGTCTATGGGGAACCAAGCAGATAATGTTGTATTAATCACACAAAGACACAACAAAACAATGATAACAAAAGAACAAACAGGTAATAATGGACAAACAGACTGTCTTGGGTCTAGTTTATGTTGTACATTAGACAAAAATATCTCCATTAATCAGAATTTAGCATGTGCAGGGGGTTTTCCACAGGAGCAGGACCCTCTGAAACTTCTCTACCTGAGGAAAACGTGTCTTTAAATGATTCTTGTATGGCGAAATGTTTATAAAAACCAAATGATTCATACAGAATATTTTTGCAGATCTCACATAAGCTGTCAAAACCCCATGTAGGGATGAAATATGGCTAATGCTCACTCATGCATTATCATTTTGCTCTCTTTATTACAGGCGCTTTTCAAAGTGCTCTCCCTCAGCTACTCCTGAGCTAAGATTTTCTAAAAACTCAGCTTCAGAGCAAAATTATTATCAGGTCAGTGTCAGCAAATAGAGCAAGCTCTCAGCCATAAATCAGATACAGAGATCTTGGTATGTGTTTCTGTGCAGTAAATTCACCTGATTGGTCCTTACTCTGTCACTTGTCATAGCAGGAATACCATAAGCATGTATTTAAAAGCTGTACTGTACAAGAACTGTCTGCACCAGTTCCAACTTGAGCCTTTTTTAAAAAATGCTTAAGGGTGAAAAATGAAGCTGTTAACATGTGTCAAAAGACACAGTTTAGCACATCTCCACTATGATGACAGCAAATGTGACTCAAATAGGGCGTCAGTAATTTACCAGCAAGTCACATGGTTATAATGATATGAGGTTGGTTGCTGAAATAGATTAGTTACTGTCATTGTAAACCAGTGTTGTTGTAATTCCAAGTGATGGACAACAGAGGGTGACGATAATTTATACATCAATAGAAAATACCTGACATGACTGAGCCTCTAGGCCGTCATGTACACCCCTAATATCGGTCCTTGTATTGTCAATTTAGCCTGACACTCAGACTCAAATGCCATCATGTTTTGGCTTTCACATTAAAAATGTAAGTGGTATTCAAAGGTGAAGAGCCAGGCTGTGTCCACACATGTACTGCAGTAATAGAGAGATCTTGATTCAGTCAAAGAAATTACTGAACAGTGTAGTCATTGTTTGGTGAAGGCAATTCTGACTCCTTTCAAACTGCAAAACCATTGAATGTGATACACCTTAGATTCATCCACAATACTATGAACCTAGAAAGAGATTTGAGGAGCAGGACAAACAAGAAAGAAAGGGGCAAATCAAGGGAAGCATCACATCTATAAGTATCTACTCGTGGGTTTTAAACCTTTTGTTCTGCCCCTTCCTCACTTCTGGCAAATACAGTCTCTGTGTATTGCAAAATCTGTTGAATATAAATGAAGAAGTCTCATTTTTTCTACTTTTGGATGCTGTAACCTGAATGCAACATCATCCAAAACCCATTTAGAGGCTTAAGATGTTCTCTTTTCATTTAGTGGGACAACATAGTCTGTTTTGACCACTGGGGAGACAGGTTTTATCTGGCCTCTTGGAGTGATGTTTATTGTCTGCACCAAAAAGGTTTGACTTGTATGGAAAATCACTGTGGTATATCTCGCCTATGGGATTTCTGTTAGACAATACTGCCTCAGGTAATCAATGATGAGTCCATGGTGGATTATTAGACCCTGCAATGTCTCTATAGTACAGGTTTAGTATTGGATTTCACGGCTGTTTTGGCGTCACAGACATATAAAATCTATCAAACATGAATTCCTTTCACATCTAGGCTGAAAATAATGATCTACAGTTACATTTGGAAAACATTAGACATTCATGCAGCGTTCAGGTGCAGGTACAGTAAAGCAGCTCTTACCTGTCCCGTATGCTTTGGCCACCAACCATGTGAGGCTACAACAGATCTTTGCTCTTGAGAAGTCATAGTGCTCAAAAGACTTGATTGTAGGAGCAACGAAGGTCTTCTTCGCATCCCTGACGTCCTGAACTTCACCCATATTTCTCCAGCTTCAATGTATTCTACACAGACACACAACGTGAACGCATCCTACTAATGAAATTTAGTTGAAAACAGTAAAAAGCGGTAAAGTGGTGAAATACGGTGCCTATCCGGATGCTTTTCATAGGGTTTTTCAGTCATAAAATGCCCAACTGATAAAAGGATTTCGTGTAATATAGTCACGTTCACACAATGAGTCGATGGTCTTGGTGTTTTTCATCCATCCTGCCGTTCACCGTTTAAAATTGGCTTCGTTGGAACCAGCTCGGGAGGTCTCCTTGGATTTCAGAGGTAAAAGCGCTCTTGTGCCGAATTAAAATCATGGTAAAATCCATTCCTTTGGTTCTTTGGGAGCAGGCAGTTTCTCCCTTTTATGTCCATGTATCATTGTGTAGATAACCTAACTGTTAAGCATTCCCTCCCCTCTCCAGACTCCGGGTGCCGTGGTGCAGTTTTCCTGCCGCACTGAGGCACTCCAAGCCCGATACCTTTGGTGCACAATGCGCATGCGCACAGGTTGCCTTCAAGTACTGTCCGGAAAATTTGTATTTCTAAACCGTTTATCGTTTTTTCTAATTTATATTATCACAGTGCGCCGTAAACCATGTCTGTAAATACTCTTAATTTTACAAAGAGCCAATTTTCAACTTATCATTAGGCACCTTGACATAACACATCGAAATTATCCCTCTTCACGGATAGTTTCCGAGTTTCCGATGAGCATTTGAAGGCATAGCTACACTACAGTAGGCATCCAATTTACAAAATAAACCGGGTTGCTTAAAAACTAGTGATGGGCATGACAGTTCTTTTAGATGTACTGAATCACTAGAGTCAGTTCACTAAAAAGATTCGTTCACCAACTTACCGAATCAGTAGCGGGAGAAGCCTGCGACTCCGACCTCTTGAACTTGTACACAGCTAAACAGTTCAGGATTCAGTTCAATTCATAGCTTCTGAGACTAGGAGACGAGAGTGTTTGGCTGTGTTGCTTTGGCAAACAGATTTGTAAAAATGAACTTATTTGTAAGTCATGATGTTTTAAGTGTACTGTCCTATGGTATGGTATTTATCATGTCTGCTCAGTAAATTGAGCTCAGTGAGTGATTCGTTCACTGAACATTTAGAAGTATTCACACTGAACATGAGCCGTTTCCTCACGAACCGCTGCAATGATAGGATGCTGCAGGTTTTGTGCGCTACTTGTAACATGCTGTCTTGTTGTATGCAAGTTGTTGTGATGGCAATTTAGCGATAAAAAAAAGTTAGTTTTGTCCGACAAAAATTATTCCAGAGAGTGCAGCCAGTTCAGTGCGTTATTTGTTTACCAAGTGATTCAGGCATCAGTGCATGCGGTCCCTCGTCTAACAATGCTGTGTGTTATAGCAACTGCGCTGCTGACAGCTCAACTGAAGTGAGAAACGAACGAATCACCTGAAGAAATTATTCGGTTCAGCGTGTTCACTTAAAGATTCGGCTCCTTTAAACGAATCGTTCGCGAACGAAACAACACTTTAGATTTACAGTAGGCGTCCGATTTTTCAAATAAACCGAGTTACTTAAAAACGCAACTTGTTCTCAACAGGCATCTCTCTCTTTAAGTTGCTCCCTACTGCAGGAGTTTCACTGACCTAACTTGACGACCAAGCTCAGTTCTAAACAGAAAAAAACGCCACAATTCAAAATAAGAAACATCCTCGGATAGAAGAGTTTGAACTGCGAGGAAATACACGCCGAGAGACTATTACACGCCGATTTCACAGAGGAAAGTCGATTAGGTCTTCAATTATGAAGGCTGCCTGGTTGTAAGCAAGACTATACGGTCTACTAGCCATAGTGATCCATGGCGTTTCATGAACTACATCTCCCAAAATCCGAAGTCGAGGTTGTTACGTCATCAGTCGGCGTCGGTAAATGTTGCTAACGGTTGGATTACGATGCGTGGAGGTAAAAATGAATAATGTTTACATTTTTTTCTGCAAATAAACATCACGTCCTGGGTGGTATTGTTGCCTGGCTTTTATTTGATAGTTCGTTTAAAATGCAAGATATGTAAAGGCTTCAGACGTGTTTACAGAAACAGTGAGGAGAAAAGTTGGTATTGAACAGAAGGACTTGGTGTTGGTTTTTACCTTATGGAAATTTGACTGAGGCTTTTATGATGACTTTTTGTGTGACTTTAACAGAAAACTGCGCCCCCATAAACCCCCTATGTTGTGTTTTCATGTGCCTTTCTTATGTTTGCAGGTTGATAACCTATAAAGATGTTTGTGCCCAGAGCTCTTAAAGTGAAGAGACCTGTTCGGACTTCAAGTGATGTATTGACTAAGAAAAGCAAAGTAGAGCAGGAGGAGGGAAAGGATGGAGGTCATTCGGTTGCACCTGTTCAAAAGGAGGAAGTGTGTGAAGACCTCAAATCACAAGATGGAGTAATACCAACGGGAGGAGACCCTGCTGGTCTGACACAGACTCCAGAAGGTGAAGATGTTCCCAAGTCAACCTCAGGTGATTCAGAGGATGATGCAGAGGAAGAGGAGCCAGTCAAATCTTTCAAAAAGAACCAAAGATGGCCAGAGCCAGGAGAGCCTGTCTGTGTAATGTGTGGTCGCTACGGGGAGTACATTTGTGACAGCACCGACAATGATGTCTGTAGTCTTGAGTGCAAAGCCAAGCATTTGGCCCAAATGGGTATGGGGACTGGGGCTGATGTGTTTGACCGTAAGGACACAAAAGGAAATGAGAGGACTAAATCTCAGCTGCCAGGTGACCCTGGTGGAGAGGGCATTAGTGCAGTGAGCTACTCTTATAGGGAAGATTCATTCATATCAGGCCTGACAGAAGAGCAGGTGCTGCGGATCAAGCAGGAGCTGGGCATCCAAACAGAGGGAAGAGACGTCAGGAGACCTATAGTTGAGTTTGATCACTGCGGCTTCCCCGGGACGCTGAAGAGTAACCTGAAAAAGGCCGGCTATGAGGCGCCCACACCTGTCCAGATGCAGATGGTGCCTGTTGGACTCACAGGCAGGGATGTAATTGCCAGTGCTGATACAGGCTCAGGAAAGACAGTAGGCTTTCTCCTACCAGTGGTAGTGAGGGCACTGGAGGTAAATGACTCATATTTATATCAAGGTGAAGCTATTTTTAGGGTACGAGAAACTTCAGCTATTTCATCTAGATGTAACTAATTTTGTAAATAGAAAAAAAAAATTGGCTGGTTCAATAAATGTATTACTATGCGAAAGAATAACAAAACAAAGTTAAAATTCAGCAAATAAGAGGAATTGGCCTGTGAAAATAATTCAATCAGTCTGAAGCTATAAACTGAAATATAACTTGTGATAAACTAACAATTGATAAAGTGTAAAAGCTTTTAATTACTAGCTCCTAAACCCACTAGCATTTTTGTAGTTGTCATTAGTATGGAACTACTAACACAACTAAGCAAAAATGAGCTTTGTTACATTATTGGTGTACATTTTCTAGATTTGTTTTTGCTTGTATGTGGATTCAGTTACTGTATTCCTATGCTCTTTCTTTTTTTAGAAACCAGCACCTAGTGTGAGCAGCCCAGTGGCTCTCATCCTGACCCCCACCAGAGAGCTGGCCATTCAGATTGAGAGACAGGCCAAGGAGCTGGTCATGGGTCTTCCTAACATGAGAACTGCACTGCTGGTGGGAGGCATGCCACTACCGCCTCAGCTCCATCGCCTGAAAAGCAGCATCAAAGTGCAGTCTCTGTTTTTACAGTTATTATTTCTTAACCATAATGAGAAAACCTCTTTAAGATCTTAACTCTCCACTATGTCATTTTCTTCTTTTGTTTATCTATCTAGATAATCATAGCCACCCCTGGTCGACTGCTTGAAATCTTAAAGCAGAAAGCTGTACAGCTGGATAATGTGAAGGTTGTGGTAGTTGATGAGGTATGAGAACTCTGTGAATCAGATTTTGCTTATTTTGGGGATTCATAAAATTAATACTAAGAATTCATAAAAGTCTGACATGAATATTTACACAAAACCTGTTTTGTCTGTGATGTATCCCACAGGTGGACACTATGTTGAAGATGGGCTTCCAGCAGCAGGTTCTGGAGGTTTTGGAGCAAGTTCCTGAAGAACACCAGACTCTACTGGTGTCAGCCACCATTCCAAAGGGGACAGAGGAGCTGGCGACTCGATTAGTTCGCGACCCTGTCCGTATTCTCATTGGGGAAAAGAACCAACCCTGTGCCAATGTGAGACAGATCCTGCTCTGGGTAGAGGAACCCTCCAAGAAGAAAAAGCTGTTTGAAATTGTCAATGTAAGCCCTACATTTCTGACTTTTAAAGTGAATTAGAGAGACTGTCTTTTAAAGCACAGGCCCTTTTTTTCTCTGTGTTTCTGGCTCTTTGAGTTTTGGGTGGAGTATCACAAGATCATTTTATATTTTCTTTAAGACGTCAGCAGTTTTCTTTTTTAGTGTAAGAGTGGGTTTAATTGTTCTCTCGAGAACCAGACAGAGCTTTGGTAAGCACAGAAAAAAGGTGGGTTATTATCTTAATTTTAGTTTATAGTGGCTTTTTTGTTGGATACGCACTGGTACCAGCTTGGTATTTCATTTACTGGCTGTATAAAGGTGGTAATTCCTTACACTGCAAGTCCCAGTCTCCTCACTACACCATATTTAGACAGCCATTGCTGTAGGCCTGGCCCCAGTCTGGAGGAAATGGGTGGGCCCTTATCCATGGCTCCCCTCCAAGAATCCTAGCAATGGCTTTCACCGTTTACTCAGGGAGAGACAGGAAGGGTCTGCTTTAGTTTACTGGGTGAAGAAGTGCTGCTGGACCATTGAGTGAGTAGTGGGAGATGCTTCTTTTTGTAAAGGATCCAAAATTCAGGCAACTTTATTTATCCCAGTAGAGTAATTCGGTTGCAGCCTACCCATAAAACAACTAAATACACAGGCAAACATGGTCAACTGCAGCGTTAAGGCACGCCATTGGAAACAGATCTTTTGTAAGGAGGGAAGCTACACAATAACTTCATAAGAAGGAAATAAAACTCTAAAATGAAGACTTTTTTTCAGTTAGATGTCTGATTAGAACAGACTCTCTGAAGGGTCAATCACTGCTATCAGCATTTAGTAGAAATTCCAAAAGAGTTTTCAGAAGGAGTGGATGGAGACTGGCAAACCATTGACACATGAAAAGATCAAAACCCAGAAAAGGACTTAGAACAGAGCTAGAACAGCTGTTTCTTATGAGACAACTCTTAGGGCATAATAAATTTAACAGAAGTCAACATATGGATTGTCTGGGGAATTTTAGCAAGAAGAAAAGACCTAGAGTTGTTTATTTTATTTGGTTTAATTTACTTCTTTTATTTATCCTATGTACAACACTTTGAATGACTGCTGTCTTCTTAAAGGTGCTTGATAAATAAACCTTGACTTGACTTTAGCCACCACTATACATTGTAATTCCCACATGTTGCTGTTATTGGCTGGGCTGTCTTGGCTGCCATCTGCTGGAGCTGACTGCTGCTTAAAGCCAATTCATAAATCTGAGTAAACAGCCAGTGACAGTACAAATAGTGAATTAATCCTTTTAAAGATTTACTTAAAGTCCTGGATGTAAGAATGTATAGATGTTACTTATAATTAAAAAATAAAATCTCATCCTGTTCTTGTTTGTCTCGGCTTTTTAGGACAGTAAGCTGTACCAGCCTCCAGTGGTGGTGTTTGTCGACTGTAAACTGGGGGCTGATTTGCTATGTGAGGCGGTCGCCAAGGTGACAGGGCTTAATACTGTGGCAATCCACTCTGACAAGAGCCAGTGGGAACGCAACCGCATCCTCAGGGTGAGGCCTGACGCTGCCAGAGCAGTCACACAGTGAAGTGCTCAACAATGTGTATCATCACATTATAAAGCTTATTTCACATAGCTGAGAGTCTGTAGTTTCCATGAGCTGGGACTTAACACTTTTTGTAGATGTATGAAAAAGAAGGGTATTCTCCGTTTCCATCTCCTCACATTACTGTAGTTTTATCTGCATTAAGGGGTTGTAAAAGTTGGATTGTATTTTAGATATATTCTGTATATCTTTACAATGGTTTCTCATACTCTAATACTCTGCTATTATTTTTAGTCATTGTCTGACAGTGTCATTTTTCCTTTTATTTTTTAGGGTCTTCTGGATGGAGACTTTGAAGTGGTGATCAGTACAGGTGTGCTGGGCAGAGGTCTAGACTTGGTCAATGTGAGGCTGGTGGTTAACTTTGATATGCCAAACACAATGGATGAATATGTACATCAGGTTAGTAATATCCAAGTTGGCTCTAAGTTTAAAGTTAGATGTTTATGTTGGTCTGCATTATTGTCTCCCACAATTGTTTTATTCCTGAATTTGTCTCCATCCAGGTGGGCAGAGCAGGGCGGCTAGGACACAGAGGAACAGCCATCACCTTTCTCAACAACAACAACAAGCGTCTCTTCCTGGAGGTGGTAAACCGGGTCAAACCCACAGGCTCGATTCTTCCTCCTCAGCTCTTGAACTCACCACACCTTCATGAGCAGCAGAGGAGGCAGAAACAGAAAGCCAAGCAGGGGGCTGATGATGTGCTGGTCACCAAGAGCAATCTACTTGACATCATAAAGAAACATGACCGTCGGAAAAAGTAGAACATTTGTTTAATATCTCCCGTAATTGTACTTTGTATTTAATGAGTAACTACTACGTTTTTACTTTGTATGTTCTTTTCTTTTTCATTTGAATGTTTTCCAAATAAATGTCTTGTGTTATCATGTTTGACAGCTTATTAGTGGCTTTCCCACTGAAAGACAATCTTTCCAGGATTCACTCGTGTCTTTACTGAATCCATCCTTTAAAAAAAGATCTCTAATGAGTGATTAAACTCTATTTCATACTTTGCATTCCCCCTTTAGGTCAGGAGAGTAACATTTTTAGTGATTTCGGTTAACTTTGGTTGTTTCTTTTCCAACAGAAACTTAAATTCACTGGAAAACTTTACTTCATGAGTTTGTACTGTCTTTTTGCCAGGTGTGTACTCCAGTAAAAATACTGTTACTGCAATTTTGCTTCGATAGTAATAAAATTACCAGCCTGTCAATCTACTCAAGTAAAGGTAAAAAAGGACTTAATGTAATGTATGTTTTCCACCCCAGCATTAAAAGTAAAGTTAATGAGATTTTTTTAAGCCTTTTTTTGCCGACGTACTTTGTGGATGGTCCCTTCACAATGAGAACTGGCTTTGCAGTGAGGTATTACAAACCAAAAATGAGGACCTCATTGATTGTACTTTCTAAAAATGACTTGCCAGTACAACAAATACTATATGTTGCATTCACAAGTGTACAAATTCAGCTTGTTGTCATGCAGCTAAGACAGTTTGCATGTTAAACTAATACTTTTTTTACTCAGCAGCTGATGCTATAAATATTAAGAGAAGTAGAAATTTCCTGCAGAAAATTAAAAGTACAAAAAAGTGCTAATTTTAAAATGTCTCAAAAAATACGAGAGAAAGTAAATTAATTTTCCACCACTGCTTGTCACAGTCAACTTCTTCACCTGGTTGAGTTTGAGATGTCTGTTTTTCTTCAACCCTAACAGTTTGCGTCCGTTTTTCAACCGTAAAGGATATTTTTAGAAAGGAAAATATGAGTAACACTGGCTCTCTGCTCGGACTTAACGACTGACCCGGGCTCTGTTGAATACAGAGACTGTATGGACGAATAACATGTACTCTGCTGCCACCTAGTGCCAGTCTGTTATGCACATAGATATGTATATAAACGCTAGCTGGATTACTCACGCTGTTCCCAATGGAGACCGTCGTCCGCGCATGGCGGCCATTTTGCTGCGGGATGCTCGCCCACTCATAACATTACAGTCTATGGTGCATGTAGTATTTAAATAACCATAGCTTGCTTAATTTTAAACCGATTTTCACACGGTTTGGTTTGTAACAAACCTCAGAGTTTAAGTTATGTTTCTGCATACTCAAGAATAATTTTAACCATGGATTTTCATAAATAAACATTAAGCAGATAGGTAGAGCAATAGCTACAGGCCTACACACACAAATATAAAATCATTTATATATAAAACATTTAATCATTCCATGTATGTTATATTAGTAATATTTCTATTATAGGTATAACTATAAAAACATATAGCAATAACGTATATAAATATTTGTTTTCAATGTAAATTTCTGCCCCATGTATCAACATTTTAGATGTTTTCAACAAACCAAACAGCTTGGAAATCATGTTCTACTGAAGTTATGTTGAATCGAAAGAGCATTTCTGCCTCTTCAACTAATGTAAAATTGCTGGGTCAACTTTGTAATACGTACTTGGTCTCACTCACAGCAACTCTGTTAGCCAAGTTAGCCAAGCTGATAAACACAAGCACATCCACAAAGGCTGTCACTTAGACAAAAAATATATGCTGTCATACAAAAGATTAAAATCTCGATTGTGGTCTCAGCCTTAACAACTCTGCTGCACAATTAAGTTATTTTTTCTCAAAGAAAAGCTGACATTTCAATATGTCCAAGCATCCCGACTCATAGCCACGTTTTTATGGTCTGTAACAAACAAAACCATTTGTAAATCTATCAAGATTTCAGCGAGTTAGGTGTGTTTGTGATCATGCTGATTACTCATTTCCGTCAGCTACCATAGAGCGTACAGGAATGGTATACTGGAGTAAGATGGCCGCCGTGTAGGTACGCCGGTGACTCCGCCTCGAGTCATCTAGCCTTTCTAATAGATATCTATGGACACCGATTTCTTGCCAGTCGCGTGACGTCAGCATAGACGGAAATCCAGCCAATCGGCTGCTTCGGACGCAGACGGTTTGAAATTCGGGCGGGCGAAGGCGGAAGAGGCGAGAGGACGAAAATAAAAACAGTGGGAGCTGTGCTTGCCTGAATACCGAATATGTCTCACTGGAATTGAGTTTTATTAGCTTTTAATTGACTTATCGAGCTGCAGTGACGCCTTTTTGTCAAAACTTTTGTTTTTTTGTTGGAAGTCAAGAAACCGAGTCGTCTCGCTGACCTTAAAGTTCATTTTAACGTGTTTGTTTTTAGCAAAAAGGTGTCATGTCGTTGTTTAGTGTACAAGCGAGAAAGCACACAGCTTATTATGATCACTTGATGTCAATATCGACCACCAGAACACCGGGCAGAGAGCACCCGGCAGAGCGGAAAGCCACGGCGGACACAATGTTGGGTAGAAGTGAGATAACATCCGGAGACAGTGCTTGTGAAGACAGCAGGTCATCTGATAAAAGCCGGCAGGTGAACAGGACATATGTCATATCTGCGGCGTCAAAGAGAGTCAGTGGGCAGCACACCCCTTACCGAGCCCGACTCACTCTGCAGAGAAGGTCCCGGAGGAAAACCGGGTCAGAGTCCGCGGAGAAAACCATGGTCGATAGCAGCCAGAACACCACCACACCGGCCCCGGAGAAGAGACTGACCCTCCAACGCAGGACGAGGACTCCCTCTGTGGATAAAAACTCGCTCCGCCAACGTGGGGTTAGCGGCACCGGCCTGCAGCAGACACACAAAGTACTGAGTGAACCAAACGGTAGGACACCGAGTGTATTCAGGTCTACAAGTTTAAGAGAAACTCCATTAAAGAGCAGAGGAGGAGATACTGCTTCTCAGGTGGACACTCGGGGGAGACCGACGCACTCCAAAACGCCCTCCTCTGCAGGTAGGCCTCTCGACGACCAGGCCCAAACCTTTAAAACCCCCACCAAGAAGACCCCGTTTGAGAAAATCGCAGCCAAGAGAGATGTGTTTGAGAGACTGGCGAGCAAAGAAGCTCCCAAACCAGTGGTGGTCAAACTTAGAAGTCTAGAGACTACAAAAACCAGACCGATGCAGTCAGAGGATCCAAAGCCTGTCCCGGCTCCTCGGGTCAGCAAAGCATCTGCAGGTGTGCTCAGACCCAACGCTGCTCAGCAGGTGAGGAAGGCATCTACCTCGACCCAAAGAGCAGACCTGACACAAACAAGGACCTCCACTCTTGTCCTGGCACCCACAGAGGTGACAGTATCCCGTCCTAGTGAGGCCCTAAAGCAGCAGGATTCATTAAAGATGGAAAACAGTGCAGTGACTGTAGCTGTTCGTGTACGCCCATTCAATGCCAGGTAGGTAAAGCCAATGCACCTGAAGTGCACAGGTTAGTTGTGGAGGAGAAAATAATGTCTGCAAGTAATATGGGATCTGCCAGATTTAACCCAACAATAATGACACACCCTTTAGAAAGTAATCAACCACAGGACCATGGGAGGTTTCAGTGCTGTTCAACAGGCTCACTATGACCCAAATTTTAGTCTATGATGGTTTTCAAATGTGCTGCAGCAGTTGTTGTGAATGAAATTGCAATCCGTTACAATCACCTTTGCAGCCTGACGAAGTGGACATTTTTGACCAAATAATTTATCAGTAAAGGACATTTGAGGCTAAGTAGCCACACTCATAATATGCTTTAATTTCTGTCTTTCTGAATGTTTCTGCTCTTTTTGTAGGGAGAAAGCAGAGAAGGCATTACAGGTCATCTTTATGAGCGGTCAGGAGACTGTCGTCCAGCACCCTGACTCCAAACAGAGCTACTCCTTCGCCTATGACTTCTCTTTCTGTTCGGTGGATGAGAGTGACGCCTCATTTGCCAGCCAGCAGACAGTGTACGAGACTCTTGCCAAACCTCTGCTGCTGAGGGCTTTCGAAGGGTTCAACACCTGCCTGTTTGCATATGGTCAAACAGGCTCTGGGAAGTCCTACACGTGAGTTGACGCTGCGGGGTGTCTTCCCCTCAAATTCCTTCCTTTTCTTAATTAACGTTTTGGGTAATTTGAATATAAGCGATGAGTTAACTGTCTGTATAATTAGTTTGAAATGATTGTTTAGGATGATGGGCTTTGGAGAAGAAGAAGAAGGGGTCATACCACGATTCTGCCAGGAGCTTTTTGCAAGATTGACATCCATGGAAAACGAGGAGGTAAATGACCCAAAAACTTGTGTATGCTCACGAATGATCATTTTACTTTTGTAACTTATCAACTGCCTCTCTTGGGTTACTTCATGTCAGGTCAAATGTCACGTAGAGATGAGCTACTTTGAAGTGTACAATGAGAAGATCCATGACCTGCTGGTGACCAGAGATGAGCCAAACCAGAGAAGAATGCCTGTAAGTAGTTTCCAAAAGTACAGGATGCAAAGAAATAAAATAAAGTCCTGGATTGTTGTGAAAATTGAAATCTGCTGCTGGGCCTACATAATGGATCTTGGATTCAGTGTGTCCTGATATTTAAAGTTTTCTATACATGCCCTCTTTCACATTACGCCTTGAGAAAGTTTTTGAAGTCTGTGTTGTGATTGAAAACCACAACAATGTCTGACAATAGCTGTTCAAGAAAACCCTCTTCTGTTTGTTTCTAGCTGAGGGTGAGGGAGCATCCAGTTCACGGCCCCTATGTTGCAGATCTCTCTGCGTGAGTATTTCTCAAAGTTCTTTTGCTGTTTTACTGTTGAATGGAGGTCAAAAGTACATTTATGTGGTGCCTTGCAGAATTGTTCACTTTCTTGTATTTTCTTGTATTTCCAGGAACATTGTGAGCTCTTACGGTGATATTCAGGTAAGTTGAAACTACTGTGAAGATATGTCTTGACCTGTTTTGATCTTTCACCTTAGGCTGATACGTTTATCGTCTTTGAATGAGTAAGCACTTGGGGGTTCAGTGTCAGACACCACAATGGAATACAGAAATAAAGGTTTTGCTGAATATCAATGTCATGAAAGTGCAGTGTGGTCCAGTCACTGAATAGCCAAGTATTTCATATATTTCCAGAGTGCGGTGGTGAGAACAATACTATGAAAATCCCCTGGAGATTTCCCATTGAGAGGATAAGTGATCATTTTTCTGCTGTTCTTTAGGGTTGGCTGAAGCTGGGCAACAAGCAGAGAGCCACTGCAGCAACAGGAATGAACGACAAGAGCTCCAGGTCTCACTCTGTCTTCACCTTGGTTATGACCCAGACTCAGGTATGGCACTTAACTTTCCCACAAACAACAACAGTCTCATCCGTCAGAGAAAAATGTAGCCAAGTCAACTCTTCAGGTCATGATGTGTGAGAGCAGGTCTCTAAATGGTTTTCTTGTGTGTGCTTGTGCTTAGACTGAATTTGTCGAGGGTGAAGAACACGACCACAGTATTACCAGCAGGATCAACCTGGTGGACCTGGCAGGCAGTGAGCGCTGTAACTCTGCCCAGACAAGCGGAGATAGACTCAGAGTGAGACAAACACACACTATTCTCGATTATTGCTATGGCATCAGTTTTAATCTTATTCAAATCAGTAATTGAAGATCTGTATGTCTTGTCCAATCCTAAGATTATTATCCTTTAACATTTCAGCAAAATGAATTTGTTCTTGAGTTTTGAGTTCATCTCTGTATAATCTATGATCTTTTGTTTGTTTATTCCTGCTTCCAAAAGGTACGCAAGATCGGACCTACTGTTTTGTTCTGGGGGCTTACAAAATTTAAATCTAAATCTGTTTTCTTGTTATTCGATCCTGCACTTTCACAAAGCCCTACTTGCTTTTTTAAAACAAAAAAAATGCAATTTTGATGTGTTTCTAAAGGAAGGTGCAAGCATCAACAAATCCTTGCTTACCCTGGGAAAGGTCATCTCTGCCCTGTCCGAACAAGCACTGAGCAGAAAGAAGGTCTTCACACCGTACAGAGAATCTGTCCTGACATGGTGAGACATCAGAGCGTTTGTACACTGGATCTGATGTAGAATCTAGTGCTTATACTATGTGATGTTTGCACATGTAAAACAGATGTGTAGGAACTCGATGTGTTATAGGGGATTATAGATTAGAACTGAAAGACCTTCCATAACCCGAGGGAATTTTCTGGTCAAATGAATGTTCCTCACCAGCGCTCTTGTTCTCCCCTGCAGGTTGTTGAAAGAGAGCCTGGGTGGTAATTCTAAAACAGCCATGATTGCCACTGTGAGCCCAGCAGGCAGTAATGTGGAGGAAAGCCTCAGCACTCTGCGCTACGCTCAGCAGGCCCGCACCATTATCAACGTGGCGAAAATCAACGAGGACACTAGTGCCAAGCTGATCAGAGGTCAGACACCCAATGCATTAACATCTGATTATTTCTTTGAGCTATTTTAGATCATTACAGCTGAAAAAGTCTCTTTTATTTTTCTCTTCATTCTGTCTATTTGTTTAAGCTTAAATGGCATTGATGTAAACTTGACTGTTAGTAGCAGTTTTGGGGGTTCAGAAGTGTACGCAATTTGACTATACTTGTGATTCATATATAAGGCTTTATATAATGCTTTATTCAAGAAAGTTGCAAGTTACAAGGTAGTTGAGATCAAAGCTTTTTCTTGACTGTAAAAAAACAACAAAAGGAGACAAAAATCAGAGAAACAAAACACCAAGACACCAAAATCATCACACTGATATAAAAGCTGGTTGATGATTCAACTGAATATAAATGAAGCTATCATCCCAGCCTCTCAGGTGTATAGTCACTGTGAACTGAAACAAATTAATGCATACTCAGAACTAGATGTTGGCTGTTATTACTCTGTATCTGTTGTATGTCTCTCCATTAGCATCGTCTTCATCTCCCTCTTTCTGTTCGTCTCACTCGCTGTCCTTTTTTCACTGCCCGTCTTTTATTCAAGTCTTGCTCTTGATCTCTTTTGCACTCCGTCTCATCCACATATCCTCCTGTCTGCCCATCTATCCATCACCAGAATATTCACCACCCAGTTCAATTAAGGCCAGGCCCTAACCTTGCCTCCAGGCCATATTTATGCACTGTCAGCTGCACATGGCGGCTAACTGTCATGCAAGTATTATTTTTCACGAGATGATTGTGCTGCTGTTTGATGTTTTTAGCAGTAAGGGGAGCTCTTGCAGTGGATTTCTCACACATCACCTGTCAGTGGTTTATGCTCACAGTTAACTTGACTGAAACATTACGAGTCAAGTCAATGTTTAGAGTAAATTATCTTCAAAAAGGACTCAAAGGCAGGTTTCTAAACATTATTCAAGCTGCTGTTAAAGAAATCTCTACATCCCTCTCTTAGCTTTCATACCCACGTGTTTTCTTTCAAGTGTATTTTGCTCCCCAAGACTATATTTTTAAGCCTAAACACCCCTTTGAAAAACTTGATGTGTTTACAGAGTTGAAGGCTGAGGTGGAGAAGCTGAAAGCGGCCCAGATGAGCTCCCAGGGCGTTGAACCAGAGAGGGTTAGGCTGTTTGAGCAGGAGATAGCTGCCCTGAGGAACAGACTCTGCCAGCAAGAGAGGGAGATGGTCGAGGCCAACCGGTCAGTGTTTGAGCGATTTTGTTATCAAGTTTATCATTTTATTTATGTGATGCAACAGACGAGAGATCATTTCAGTTTTCTCTTTTTTTTATGGTTTAAGTGAAATTTGTAGCGGACACCAATGATTTAAATCCATGTTGTAAAGCTATTTGTCATATTAAATGTTTAAACACTGCGTATGTCAAAAGAGAGAAACCCAAAAATAAAGATTTTGAAAAAGGTTATCATTTTGTTCTCAATCTCACCCAGACAACTTTTTGTTCATAAGAAATAACTCACAGAGTCACAGCTAATTTTATATTAAGAGTTAAAACTTTTCGTCATCCTTTTTTTCTGGCAGAGCATGGAGAGAGAAGCTTGAACAGGCTGAAATCCGCAAACGAGAGGAGACCAAAGAGTTGCAAGTGTGTTGTCAAAGCTTTATACAATTTCCATCCTGTATTTTGTATTCCCCACACCAAAGCTCTTCTTCATTGTGTCCAACAAACCAACTGACCCTTAAAATCAACACAAGAACTCTGAATCAAATATATTTTTGCCCTAACGCTGACAGCAAATGTGTAAAAGAAACTTCCTTTGTGAGTTTTAGAAAGCAGGTGTGTCATTCAAAGTGGACAATCGTCTCCCTAACCTGGTGAACCTGAACGAGGATCCTCAGCTGTCTGAGATGCTTCTCTACATGATCAAAGAGGGTCGCACCACGGTGGGCAAACTCAAGTCCGAGTCCAGCCATGACATCCAGCTGACGGGAGCCCTTATCGCTGATCAACATTGGTAAACAAACAAAACACTAGAGGGTTTTGAAACTATAACATTATCAGTATATTCATGTGTTAATCATATTCCTTCATGATCACTATCAGGTGACTGAGTTTTAATTGACATACTGTATGCAACTAATTATCAGAGGAGTGTAATGATAGACACATCATTTTCTAACCATCTATAATCTAACCTTTTTGCGACAGCCCACATTCAGTGTGATAAAATATTGATATTTTGCATTTCTGTCTTTTTGTATTTTAGTATTATAAACAACATCCAGGGTACTGTCAGCATCACTCCCATGAAAGATGCCAAAACCTTTGTTAATGGAAACCTTGTCTCTGAATCTGCTGTTCTACACCATGTAAGTAGACTGAAGAGGGCCTTTCATGAATGAAGTTTAACTCTAAAGTGTGGCATAACTACAATTCCTTAGATTATTTGATTTAATAGTTTCTAGACTGAGGAGTCTTTTGAAATAGTATTTTTTTATCCTGTGTAAGTATTACTTGATGTTTATGATTTTCACCTGATAAAACCATAAACACAACCAACCCAATTCTTCAGTTTTGACAGTGGATGTAACTCAGCCCGATTCTGTGGTTATGTGTTGTTTTCAAGGGTGACAGGGTTATTCTTGGTGGCGACCACTACTTCCGATTCAACCACCCAGCAGAGGTGCAGTCCGGGAAACGGGTGTCATGCTGGACAGGTGCAGGCGATGGCCACAAAGACTTTGAATTTGCTAAAAATGAGCTGCTCGCTGCTCAAAGAGCTCAGTGAGTACCAAGAAAAGTAGCATTCATATGTCCTGGTTTTCATGGCATGACCTAGGATAAAAAAACAGCTCATCTCTGTGTTTCGTAGGCTGGAGGCAGAAATTGAAGAAGCCCATTTGAAAGCAAAGGAGGAGATGATGCAGGGAATCCAGATGGCGAAGGAAGTGGCTCAGAAGGAGCTCCTTGACCAGAAAACACAGTATGAAGACAAAATCCGAGCCCTGGAAAGAGAACTGGTGTGCCAAGATTTTGTTGTTTTATTCATATTGTAGTGAACATATGTGTAATTTTGCACACTTTTACTCAGTGTTTGGTATAACTTTATTAGGATGGGGAGAATGAACGGAAACGTCGGCAGGATTTGGACCAGCAGAGGGTGGCCAACCAAATGGCAGAGCTGAAGATGGCGAAGCTGGAGCTGGAGCAGGAGGTGGACACCCAAAAGAAACGCCTCCGCTTACACATGGAAGCTCAGGTCAGGGCTCAGAGCATTACTTGGAAATGTTAAATTAGCATCCCATTTTTAATCAGATTAACTAGTATTCCCCTGGATATGATGTACAGTAAGACCACTACTGTCAGGGGGTTCAGAGTAGGGGTATATACAGGCTCAGTATTCAAAAGGCTAGACCGATGATGTTTTCAGAAGACCTCATTTCATTCAGCCTTTGGCATTTTTCTCTCTTGATCTCTGGATCTGAGGCTCCTGGAAATCTAGATTATTCCTCTAACTTTAAATTACATCACCTCCTCCATTTGCTCGCTCTCACGGTTTCTGATTATCCAAAATGAGCTTGTGAAGCTTTGGGAAATATGCTGATGCTGGTTTTTATGTCTAACTGATGGGCCATTTGGGATATGCTGTGAGTTGTGGTGAAGCTCACTTCAGCATAATGTTTTGGCCTGGTGGGTTTTAATACTGTGTACATTACTATGATTCACTCCAGGCAATGGAAGAACACCGTGTGCGTCAGGCGAGGATTGTTGAGGCCCTGGAGGCGGAGAAGAGGAAGATCAGCAAAGAGCTCGAGGAGATGCAGAAGAGGAGAGCTTTAAGGGAAAATAACACTCCCAGAAATGGTGAGGAGCTTGGTGAAGTGACTCTTGAGAACATACTGAAGTGAGGACAGCTAATGATAATTCACACTGTGAAAGTGGATTTCCAGATGGGTGTGGTTTACACTTTTCTGCCAGAAATGTTAGAGAGTGTGTGCCAGGACTTCTTATAAACACTGAGCTCAATGTTAGTTTAAAAGGAGCAGAGGAGAGGCCAGAGAAACCTCAGATATCCAAAAATAGTTATTGTTACGGATCTATTAGATATTGTTTTTAATGGCAGTATCTTGAATGGGACCAGACCTCCTGAATGCTTTGGTAATTTTACTTTTCCCTGCTCTGAATAAACATGTCCTTAAGGTACCCAGCCTGCCCATGACACCCATGAAATCAGGCATCCTGTAACCTGGTTAGCAGCATATCTGCAGTGCCAGAATTAGCAGTGTGACATAACATGCATGTGTGTGACCAAGAAAAAGAAAATAAAGAACTTCTAATGCAGAAAGCTGTTTCATAATCGCACTGACACTATGCTAGTATTTGAAAGATGTCTCCTACAAATGAAGGTTACAGTTTTTATAATGACTTATTAAAATTAAATCAGTTCACACAGGTCTGTTTTTTTTCCTTAAATCACTAACAAATCGAGCTGGAACCACGCAGAGCTGATGGCTTAGCAAAGACTGTTTCATTCTGTATTTCAGTGTCTCCTCAGTGGGATACCATGAAGTTGTCTCTGATGATTGAAGAAGCCAACAAGATTAGTGCCAAACTGAAGAAAAACACCGTCTTCAGCAGGTAAGAAAAGACAACAAGGGGGCGATATTTTTCATGTGATCTTATTTTTTAATACTTGAATTTATGAAGAATTAATAGACCTGTTAGGATTTCAATCTAATTTCATAATGCAGGTACCATCCTCACCTAGAGTGACTCTAAATCATATGACTTTTCTCTGTCATAGGCATGAAAGCTCTGACAACGGAAACCTGGAGAATGGCGGACTGCTGCAGGTGCGGGTTCAAAACACAAAGCTGGGGATCTCGACTTTCTGGAGCCTGGACAAGTTCCAAAACAACATTGCCGCCATGAGGGAATTTGAGCAGGTATGTCCCAAAACAGTACCATCAATTACTGTAAATTAATTAAAGCATGTTTTAATACAGACACAAAATAATGCAGGGATCAAAATGACTATAAGAAAACTGTTAAACATTACATCTTACTTTTCTCCCACTTGGCATGTCAGTCAACACACAGAGGAGACAATTCTTATAGTTTTAGTCGTGCTTAAAGCTGCAGTTAGTGCAGTCAGACTGTCAGTGCAGCACTGTCCAGGGTGTTTCCAGATCTTGTTGCCAGTTTTCTGAGGTCATCTTGAGCTTCATCTGATCCTTATGTAAAACAGGGAGAGCAGAGGACTGATGTCTGCTTCAGGATTTTCGATTTGATGATATTGATGGATATTGTGTGGAGAAAAACAACTATGAGTAAAATCCATACATATATGTATTCCCATATTGTGGACTGTTTATGACACATAGATTCATGACCAAACTGATAAACTAACAACAAAGGACGAAATAATGCTTTAAAATATGTAAGAAGCTCACATGTGTATTAAATATGATCAGTGCTCAGTCTAATATGCTTATGTATGATGTGTGATGAGTGAGGCCCATTCAACGAGCCAGCACGTCTGTTTCTCATCCTGCATATTCAGATTCTGACATCATCTCAAGTGCAATAGCCAATTTCCCAGCCATCTGACCTTATTTACAACCCAGAATGGGTTGTTTTATGCCTGACAGAGGGGCGCTGCCTCACTTTGCCGTGCTTTTCTCATTAAGTTGAGTAAATAAGACTGGGCATGTCAGCAGTAGTTTACTCTCCGCAGGGGGATCCCACCTCTAAAGATGACGATGTGTTTTATGACCCTGATGATGAGTGGGAGCAAGATATATCAGCCTCCTCTGCTTCCACCTCCTCCTTCTCCCGCCGAAGGTAATTATCTACGTCTTCTTCTCTTCTCCTATCCATCAGCCCCTATTTCTAGTGCCTGACATTCACGAGAGGTTTCAGGGACTTAGTTGGTATTCTTTTCCAATTACTTCAAATAACTCGACAGGCTAGTGTTCAAAAACCCCCCACGGAGTGTACTCAGTGTGTTTTAAACTCTCCGTTCTCATGCTGAACTGAACTTGCAGCCTTTTGCTCTCTTTCAAAGTGAACAATGTCTCAGGCAATGGGATGTACAGTAAATGGAAAGTTGAAAGGTATATGCACGGAACAGGGAAAGTCAACAGTTCGGAAGATTTTCGTTATTTTCACAAAGCTCTCCTAGTTTCCACCAATGTGATTTACAACCTGGCGCATATTTCTGACATTCAACACATCCTACTTTCTCCCATGAAAAGCTGCTGCCCACAGAATATTTCCCTTTTATTCCTTTTCCTCTGTTTATTAATTTTATTTCCATGAATGCAAGGCCGCCGAGTTCAGAAAATGAAAGGGCACTAAAGGTGTCTGTGTTTTTCACTCTGCAAGCCGCAACCCAAACACACATGCACGCACAAACACAGCCACTGTGTCACATGCAGAACCCCCCCCCCCATTTTCCCCTCACATTATTGCTATTCTTGTCAAGCGTGTTTATAGTGCTCCTCGCTGCCTGAACAACCAACAGACCTGGCCAAATGAAACATGGCGGACTCTGTGGTTCTTTCATCCCTTCTCTTTCTGACTCCATTAAAGCCAGGTCCAGGCCTTGCAGTCAAATTTAAAGTTCTTTATTGATCCCCCTCCTCCTCCTCCAGGTTGTTCATAATAGAAATCTGCTGAACTCAGTTTACACTTAAACATAGAAGTGAATTATGCATCTTTGCAAAATAAAACTAAGTCCATCTATAAATGTGTCCCACTTGAAATAAGACCATTTAACTATGCACAGAAATAGTTTAGGGGTGCTGCCACCATACATTTGGTTTCAACTCATCAAAAATAGATACAGGAATTCCCACACGTGAAATATATAACAGGTAGTGCACAGAATAATAGGTTTCAGTGGTTCTTCAAAAAAATCACAGAAACTTGGAAAAAATCTTGTTCATAACAGAACTATTTTTTTTGTGCCTGATGTTGTGTATGCCTCAGCATCAACGTCTGCACTACTAACATGTCAGATAATATTACAAAAGTCAAACACTGCTGCTTAGGACCTTTGCCACAAGCCAATCTTTAATTTTCATAATCCAACTTAGACAAAAATTCAAGAAAAACTGTGTTAAAAGAAATCTAACATGTCTGACATCAGGAGCCGCAGCTTGTTGAAGAGCAGGAGAATCTCCGGGCGTTTGTACGAGATTCGGGTCCATCCCATCCAGAGCCTCCACAACAGCTCCACACAGTCTGCTGGTAAGGCAATGAATTTTTTGGTCACTGCTTGATAATTGATACCATACTTCAAAGAATTCCATATTTTTAATTAAGTTCTGCTTTGAAATTGGCTTCAATAATTGGGAGATTGATGAGACACTCAGTGGTGAGGTTTTTTTTTTTTGTGGCCAAAACTCTGCAGCTCTTTGAGGTTACTGCTCTTCTACTATCCAGCTTTTGTAAACTGAAACACTGCAGAGGAACCTGCTTTTAATTTTTGGTTTGTGAAGGGGAAACTATTTCTATCTGCACACAAAAAAAGGTTTAAAAAATGTTCCACCTTCAAATCTTGAGCATTTAGATTTTTATTGTTTAAGAATCATGTGATCCCTACAGCTCTCTTAAAACCCTTTCTGCCTCTGCCTCAGGTTTGATGGGTGCAGTAAAACCGCCTTCAAGCCATTCAAGCAGCACAGACTCCTCCATACCTGGCATCTGTAAGGAACTTATCGGCCAGTCATTGGCCTGTCTTCGTAGTTGTGGTGGAACAGAGGAGAGCATGGCGGACAAGTTGGCCTCTGATCTTCACTTGATATGTACGGCAATCCAGACCATATCTGACCTGTACAACAGCCTGGATGATGAGAGTCAGGAGAACGGTGAGAGTCAAACTAGAAATCAGTGAGAAAGCTCATGCAAATAAGAGGAACAAGTGAATTGGTTTAATTTTGATTTATGATCATTTGTTCAGTCTAGTCTGATAGATACAGATAGTTATGAAAAAACAGGTTTTTACAAACATAGAAGAGTGTAAATTTTGAATACTCTAAAGGCTCATGAAGACGTTCCTTCCTCTTTAGTTTATTGCACAGATTAGAATAACTGGTTTTACAGCTTTCTTTCTCCTACAGTGTTCATGTGTAACTTGGAGGCCCAGACTCAGCTGGTCAAGGCCACCACGGCTACAGAGACTGCAGTGTTTGTAACCATGCAGTGGTTGACCAGCATTAAACCCTCCTCTGGTCTTCTCTACACCATCGCTGAAGAACTCAAGAGCCAAGTTAAGAAGATGGGGGGGTTCATTCAGCTGCTCATTCAGGTAAACACAGACATGCAAGCATGAAAACTCATGTAATGACATTTCACTTCATTTTTTAAATTTCATAGGAGTTAGCTGAAAAGAGTAAAAAAGAATCTGACCTGCAAAATGATTTCATGTTGGTGTGGTTTCTGCTGGGATGTCTGATCAAAATGCACAGCATTAATTGACGTGTCTTAGCTCTGAGCTGTTTGAACTCTGTCTATGGAAATGACCAAGCAGAGGGAATTCTCAGCCTTGAGCCCCAAACAGAACATGAATATATGGAAAATAAATCTAAATTCCTTACCAGCCTCAGCACCTAAACACACCATTTTCCACTCCCACTCCACTTTTCACACCTTTCCAGTGCATTTTAATTTATTTACTAACCCTTCAGCCTATCTTGACCGTTTTGTTGGCGTGCTTGCATTGATTTACTGTTAAATCAATTTTAAATCAACCTGTTTGTTTGTGCTGACTTGATGCTCACAGAAAATGAAAATTTTCTCCCCATCTAGGGCTGTGAATCTGAGATCACATCGATGGTGACAGAAGCACAAAAGAAGAGCAGTCAGTGTTTGGAAGCAGCATTGCTTGTGCTGGGCCACCTGGCGGCAATGACAGGCATGCCGCTGAATGCTGCAGAGTGGGCCGCCCAAGCCACAGGCAAGGTAACACCACCATTAATACAGCAGCAGCTACTGTCTCTGTCAAAGCCCAGGGGTCTGCTTTAATCAAGCCCCCACTCCACAATAGTAGTGAATTGAATATTAGCTGTGTGGATCTCGGAGCAAGAAACATATTATGGAGTGGTGAATTGCTCATTTGATTTAGGATGCAGCATACTGATGAGCAAGAGAGGTGATATCACATAACGCGGCAGATATGGTGGCCAGTTAGATACTATAAATCAGCAGAAAAACATTCAAGATATTTTGCAACCATGTTGTAGTTATGTGGCTTGATGATCAAATACAACTGACATGCTTCATTTTCCAAATATCTGAAAATATTGAGGAGTTTATGTTTGGATTTACTCTGTTTATAACCTGGAGATGCTTTTTTTCTTTCATGACCTCTGTTGGCTCAAATTGGTTCAAGATGTTGTGGCATCATCTAGCTTTTGTATTGAGAGAAATATCAAAATAAAACTTAGTGTGTGATTCTTTCTCTACAGCAATCCATTGTCATGTGTCTGCTGAAGGGGACTAATAAGGGTGTGTGCTCTCTCTTGGAGGAGAGCCTCATTATCACCAGAGAAATGCTGAGAGAGGCTCAGGTGGCTTACCCCAGGAACCAAGTAAGAGCTCTCATCATCTATATTGCGATTATCATGTCCCATGTTAAAATAAACTGATGCTTTTAGTTCAGTTTACTTTGTTTAAATGTATTTAAAGTATTATCATAATGCGTCTCTTCATACAGGTCCTTCAGAGCCTAAAATCAAAGACACTTGATTTTGCTCGTGCTCTGCAGAACTACATGTATTGCCATATTAAGGTGAGTTTGAGCAGCACAGCCATCTACTTATAAGTTTGTTATAATAATGCACAAGATATTAGCACATATACCACAAACTGTGTAATTTATTCACGTTTTATTCTGTTATATTGCCCCATGGGTTTATGAAATGTGTATTATAGGTTTGCTGAAGAAAGAATCGTTAAATCTGTCATGCCAGAGAAATACCCCCTCCACTAGACACACGTGATGATCTACTTTTCTATGCATTCAGCTGTAAAACAACACTTTGACACGATTCATATGGTGCTGTATTTTATTCTATGGTATACCACAACCCTCAGTTGATCTCCTATGGAACATGTAAAACATAGTTTTGTGATGATGTGGTATTTAAGTGTCTTTTAGTAATGTCTCCTATCTATTTCTTTTTTTTTTAAAAACTTTATTTTTGTGTTTTTTTTATAACAAACTCAAAGAACATACAAACATGGTCATCGCATGATAGACAGAATGTCTTCCAGCATATAATATTCAACTCAAACTACATTCAAAATAAAATACAACATAAATAAGGTACAATAAAAAGATTAAAAAAAAAGGGGTTACAATAAGGTATGCATATCAACATTTCTTTTAGTCTCCTTTTCCAAGTCAAATTATGTCCCTTGCCCTCTGAAGTCTCCTGATAGATATTCTGGGGTTGGTTTCTCTGGAACAAGGACATCACTTCGGGTTGCAGTATGATTTCCAGTTTTTCCAGTATTTTTCCTACTTTCCAGTTGCATATCTAAGAGAGAATGTCAGTTGTTCCATTTCATGCATTTCCTTAATTATTTCCTTCCATTCGGTGACTGTTGAAGATTCCTTGTTCAACCATTTTCTAGTAATTGCCTTTTTACTACCAGCTAGTAGTATTTGTAGTAGGTATCTGTCTTGTATCTTGAGTCCAGTTGGCAGATTTCCCAAAAATATAACACTAAATGAAAAGTTGAGCTCAGAACTGACTATAGATCTAAATGATCTAGTTCTAGATCTAGTTATAACATCCAACCAATAAGAGGAAATAATAGGACAATCCCAAAATATATGGAAATGACCTGCAGACATATGACCACACATTCTCCAGCATTGACCATACTTATGATCATTCTTTTGTATTTGTTTGATTTTGGGTGTGATAAAATACCTTACTATGTTTTTCCAAGTGAATTCTCTCCACCGGTAGGTCTCCTGTCTATTTCAAGTCTTTTTGAGTTTTGATTATCAATTTCAGGGAAAAAAATTAATAAGGTTGATTGTAAATGTAGTTCATTTAAAAAAGAATAAGCTATTTGCAGCTTTGCCAAAAACTGCTGGTATTTGTCATGGTAATCCTTGTTTGAAAGACAAAATACATGCTCATCAAAGCTTCTCTGGATACGTGAAGGTTAAAAAGAAATCTTCCATCTTGACACAGGCTTAAATGTTTCAGATTAATACCCACACCCAGAGCAGCCCTGTAAAAGATGCCACTCAGCCTTTATTGCTCGTGTTAAGCTCAATGCTGTGTAGGCTTATCTCTCTGCAGTCGTCCCTTGACGATCGTTCAGGCAATGAATGTGTTGAATGAAGTGGCATCAGTCACAGCTAACGGGCTTGTTTGCCGTTATCTTAGCCACACAAACTAGCAGTTTTTTGTTGAAGCCAATCATTGACACATATTGGTCCTTGGGCATTTTGCTGCCCACAGTGTTATTGTAGTCAAATAAACCTGAGTTATTGCCTGAGGCAGCTACTTTCACGTTAGCACGGACCGCACATTTGCATGATCTTTGATGTAAATGCATCTGTTAATGTGTTCTGTCCTGAACAGCGCTGTCATTTATTAATGTAAAAATGTTGAACTATTTTAGTTTACAGAATTTTTTTTTTGAAATGTTTGTTTTAATGGGAAATCTGCACAGTTGAGGGGTGATGGAAATTACATGACAACCTAAATGGAAATGAATTGTTGGTGTAATAGAAAACAGACAATGCTTGTTTGAACATGATGATCAGTAAAGCTCACAGTTTTTTTTTGCTTTTTCTAAATAAGTTAAACAGTGAAAACAGCTTTTGATCAGAATGTTGGAGTAATTGACACAAATTCCCGCTACAGCGTCGAAGCCTGGGAAGGGGGCCATTAGGTTTATGTCATAGAAAAGGCCACATCACCATGGAAGCCACATTCATCCAATGACATCATTTGCAACGTGTGTTTGTGTGTGTGTGTGTTTGTGTCCTTGAGTGTTTGCTTTTATGCATCTGTCTGACTTTTGAAATGGACTACATGATAGTTGGAACTAAAAACGAAAGATCTCTGGGGAAAGTATCAAGACCAGCTGGGAAACTGTAGCTGGGGAGTATTAGGACGATTTGTTGGGTAACATTCAGCTGACTTGCCACATAAGTGCTTCTTAGGAGTGCGTCGCAGTGCATTTTAATATCATTTTATATGGTCCAATGGTAGTCTCTTGTATGTATAATACTTTGTTTTACAGAGCATATGTGTTTGTGTTGGTTGTTACATTCACAGCACTTTATTTTGTCTTGCATTCATTTTTCTGGGTGTGTACATGTTTTCAATCAGGAAAGGCAGACTGTCCCAGAGGGAGAGGAGGGGGAGGAGGAGGAGGAGGAGGCCCCAGCCTCCCATTTGCAGAGACTGACGATGACAGCGGCCAAGCTGTTCCAGCTGAACCAGACCATCAGACAGCTGCATTCCTTAGTGTCTACAGCACTACAAGGTATAGCTTCGGGTACATCAACAGCTGGGATGTTTAAGTTAAAATTTGTATCCGATGTCAATACAACAACTGTGTCTAAAGAGCCCAAGCAAATTGTTGTTTGATGTTTCCTTTCATCAGCAGTTTTTTCCAAAGTCCAGAGTTTCATTACATTTGTTCTACAGCTGCTTTGCTTGTTTCTAAGTTAGTCAGAGCTTATTCATTTTTGTCGAATGGTGCAGAACTGTAGTTTTTTGTGTCTTGCTGCATATTTTTGGTGTATTATTCCTCCATAACACTTGAGATGTTTTACTGAAAATACTCTAAAATTGACCATAGAGTTTCAATGATCAATAAGCAGACAATTTGGATTAAAACGCCCTCAGCTAAACCAGATTGTCACTATTTCTGTCACCCTCTCCAGGAAAGGATCGAGACTCTGATCTCAGCAGCAGCCGCGAGTTGATCTCTTCCTCTGCCAAGGCTGTTGATGAGCTGGTTACTGATCTGTCCAGGGAGGGAGCTCTGCTTTTAGCCTTACAACTTCCATGCACTGAGAGTGTCATGGTTTCACAAGAAGAACTCCACTCAGCCTTGCAGTGTCTGTGCTCCCCTTGGGACCAACATGGGGCAGGAGAGGCCAGAAACGCCTCCATTTCTGACAGAAGCCAAGAAGATGAAATATTGTCTGAAAGTAGTGCTATTATCCACAGTTCTGTTAAAAATCGAGTCGTAAGTAAGGTAGTGTACTCTTTCCCTCCAGGGGTATCATTCAAAGGCAGTTCTCAGTGGGTGTAAATGTAATTCTTAATAATGTGCTTATGTTGTGCACAGCTTACTGTAAACACTTAACTGCTGATATCAAAAAGTTTAAGTAACACTCCTGGTAATAACACACTGGGTGTATAGCAGACACCACAGAGACTTACTGAGTTCTAGCTTAATAAGGAATCAGTAACTTTTGCAACAAACGCATCTTTCTGAATGTAGAATGATAGTGAATTCAAGTAATTAAAAGCAATGTTGTAAAAATGTCTAGACTAATGATTGGCTTAGAGTCAAAAAGGTATTTTGGATACAGTAATGATACCAGAATGTGTAAAAAAGTAATTCTTGTTACGTGTGTCACAAGGTTTTCATACAAAGCAGCTCAGGTGTAGTTTTTTCCAAAAGAAGAAAAGGTACAGATTTCCTTCAATTCTGAACTTAAATGATTTGGTTTTTCATGTGTAAAGGCATTTTTGTTCTCATATTTGCGAAAAAGTTTTGCTTTTTTATGTTGTATGCGCCTACTGTTACAATTTGCACTCAGGAGAAACATGTACACAGCATTTCTTCCTAATACATGCACTCAAACAAATCGGTGTTAATTGTTTTTCAAGTCTTTTTGTTTCCCTTGCTGAAAAAAGTCACTGTAATATAGCAGATATTATCCCTGCAATAATTAATGTATCTTGCTTACCGATGCGAAATTTGTAAAACCATGGCCTACTGGTGAAGACTGAACTTTGTCCAGTGGCAGAGGATGCAAGCTGGCTCTGAAATACAACGCCCTGTAAGTAAACGTGCACACAAGTTAAAAATGATCATTTCAGGTGCTCCATAGAATATTCGGTAACCCTTTCGTTTACGGTACACTTATTACCAGGTAATTAACAGGTAATTACCAAGTAACAACATGAGATTATCTGGTAATTACATGGTAACTACTAAGTCATTACTGTCTATTTTTTCTTTTTTCTGTACAGCTCCATTTTCAAAAGCTATTTGGGGTTCTTATTTTCTATGATTGACACTTGATACAGCCTATGGGCGTGCGAAGATAGTGTAGTGATTCGCTGTTTGAGCCGAGCATTATCACAACAACTCACCCGCCGAATGCCTACAATGCTACTGCCCAAGTGGTGGTTCCAGGACGCGGAGAAAATCCTGGAAATACCAGAGCAATCGGCTTCAAATTTGTATGATGATGGAGGGTTACCTACCTGGTAGCTAGACAGTATTGACTTGGTAGTTATCATGTAATTACCAGATAATTAAATGTTGTTACTAGGTACTTACCTGTTAATTACCTGGTAGTAAGTGTACCGTAAAAGAAAGGGTTACAGAATATTTTTCATTATGAGAGGAAATACTTTATAAATCAGCCCTAGGAGTTGCATGCTACTTTTCCCCAATACCATTCACCCAAGAAATTCCCCTCAGGTAAGATATTATCTATATCTGTGTTATGTATGTGTTAAAACTAATGTATTTTGGTTTTGAGTTGGTTAAAGTTTAGTTACACCTGTGAATGTTCCACTTCAGTAAATTTAGGCAATAGCTGCCTCAAACAGTCTTGAAACCTCTGCTGATCGATTTATTATATATCCAGTAATTTGTTCTCATGGTATTATTGATTTATTATGCGACCCCATAGCTTATCTAAGAATCCTGGGGTACGACCAAAGGGCCCTAGATATCTTGAACCCTTTTTCTGTGTCTGACCCTCCTCTGCTCGCTGCAGGTTACACCCACTCCTTCCTCAAGCCTCTGCATCCTCCCCTCGTGCTGTTAGGAGCCAGCGAGGATCCTGCTACTTTCGTGGGGAGGTGATAGAGCACAAGTTAAAAGAAAAAAAGACTTTAAATAAGCAGCTTTTTGAGTAAAAGAAATACAAACATCGCATTGAGAAGTGGTTGAATGCCTCGTTCACAGATACGACGCTATTGGAATGAGAAAACGCGCAAAAAAGACTTCAACGAGACGAAAAATTAAGGTAAAATTTATGAAAAGGATTCGATTTGTGTCCTATATTTTGCCAACATGAGAAAACTGAGTGATGAAAAGATTTAATTGTAGGCTAATCATTGTATTTTCCCCCCAGGATGCACTGGTTATTGTTCCAAAATTTAAGTCTTCTTGTAAGTACTTACTCTTTATGTTTACCTTTTATTACTAATGGAATAGTTTAAAAACGACATTTTTCTTGAACAAGGCAAGGATTTAAGATTTTTATATCTCTTCATTGCAAAAGCTTCTACTTTTCCTGACTCTAACGCTACCTCTGTGCGAAACTGCTCAATATGCAATAAGACTTTGTTGACTCGTTCCCTCAAAATGCCAGGATGATTATGTAAAGGGAAAGACATAGAGACACTTATGACCAAGTATTGCCTATGCAGTTCTTTAAGTCTTTTCTTATTTTATTATCTTAAGTGTAAATATGTCTTTTGTCATAAAGTATGATAACTGAAGCCCACTATATATTTTTTATTTTAATTTTTTGATTTGACTTCACAGATTGGCATGCCTGTTGAGATGATTGCTAATTTAAATACTGACTCCTGATTGGTCTGAAAGTTTATTGGTGTGGTGACGCAAACGACCTTTGGTTTAAAGATTAATCCGCTGAGCGTTGGATCTAGCTTTTTTTTTAATGCCTCCTCTACGTTGAGATAAATTATTTTCGAAATGATAAACTACACTCAAAACGTGTCATTAAATTAAATCCTATTTTTGTTATGATCTGAGATAGGGGCGTGGAAATACTTGGTGAGGTGTCAACTAAAATCTTAGCGGAGGAATAAGATGTTCTTTGCCTCTATCTAAATAATCCCTGTTGAATGTTGAGACACCTGTTGATTATGGCTTCATCTTCTAATAAAGAGCTTTGTATTTGTATACTTGTAACATTACAATCTGTGAGCTAATTCCTCATTTTTGTTTCAGGTTTGTTTTCACAACTACATATCAGGTAAGTTGCATTTCTTTTTCTCCAAGTTCATTAAAATTGTAGATAGGGCAGCTAGACCAAGTACAGAAGCCAGCCTTGTGACAATGACCTAGCCAGAAATGTGACCATAATCTTGAGGTTGCATCTTATGGTATGTGGCATTCAGCAGAACAGAATGGGTAGACTCATAGATATTGCAAATTAATAATAATAATAATGCATCAGATTTTTTTAAAGTGCTTAACAGAGACCCTCAAAGCGCTTTACATTGAATACGTCATTTGTTCGCACACACAGTCACACTTTGGTGGTGGTAAACAACTTTATTAATCACAGCTGCCCTGGGGGGCAGACTGACGGAAACATGGCTGCCAGTTTGCACCTACCACCACAAAACAGTCACATTCATATACCAGTGGAGGACACACACTGGGACCAAGGTGGGTTAAGTGTTTTTCCCAAGGACACAACAAACAGACTAGGGATAGGGGGGAATCGAACCGCCAACCCTGTAGTTCGGCTCTTCCTCCTGAACTAGAACCGCCCCAAATTATTCCCATTTCAACACACAATCAGGAACTGGCATAAATATGATTTAGCAGCCAGCTTCAACTTAGGTACAGATGTTAATGACATATAAATAAAGCTCAGCTGAGACAAAATAGGGTCCAAAATGAGCCAACCCTGGCTATTAAGAAATAAAGAGACAAGAATAAACCTAAAAAAATATTTTTTAAGTTGTTATTTCCTTTCACTTGCCAGTAGTGGAACAAAAAACACAGGACTGTACACCAGTTTTGCTGTAAATGAGCATGAGGTCTGAATGGGAGAATTTCCATTTCTTTGTTTCTCAACCTTTTTTCGGTGGGTACATGGGAAGGTAAAGGATTTTAATAATTTTTCTGTGGGCCTCTGTGCTTTTCTGAAAGTAAACAAGTTGATATATTGATTTAAGCAATGCAACTAAATACAATGGCATCAGCCTTCAATGGTAAAGTTTTAACTCGTGTAAGTAGTACTACACAACCTCAGTATTCTCACTTATAAATCCACTCCAGGGGTGAAACAATGTAACAGACAATACTGGGACCTGGGCTTGAACCCCGGACCTTCCAATGGAGAGATGACCAGCTCTACCACTGAGCTACATCTGCTCATTAATATAAACGTGTCAACTTTCCAGCAGATTGAGGGTCTTGAAGTGATCTGTTAATGACACGTTTTTAGATGAATTCTCGCTGGAGGATTCTCAGTTTTCCAATCCTGTGTACCAACTTAGTTTTGAATAGAATTTCCATAGAGATTTAACTCAACTATATGAGACTCAAATTTCAACTGTACATCGCTTGCATGTTGTCGGTAAGGAAAAAAAAATCAGAAGAGTAACATTATCATTGGGCTGAATGAAACCATGAAAAGCTTTTCTCTAAAGAATACTAGCCTTATTTGTAAGGAGGAACATTTGACTTATGATGTGAAATTATCTGAATAGGTGAAAATTATCCTTGTAGTACCAAAGTCAAAGCAAAGTTGGATGGTTTATGATAAATTTATGTCCAAATATGTTTCCTCTGTTTACTCCGGTTCTCTTTTTTTGAATAGCCTTTACAGTGGACACCAGAACCCAGACATATGATGAGTCCTACTATGAGTATGTACCGGATCGCCTGCAATGGGACAGAGCATGGGAAGTGTGTAAACAACGCTCTGGGACCTTAGCCACTGTCTCCAACCCGACAGAGAACAGCGAGCTCACCAACTTCTTAACATCACTGCACATTTCTCAGTCAGTGTGGATTGCCAGGAAAGTTATGACACATCTGACAAGTAGGTTGAGTCAGCCATTTGTGACACATTGTACTAACATATTAGCACCCTGTCTAAATAACAAGGTCTTTCTTCCTGGACACATTTCTGCATACTTACTGACTAAAAAAATGGAACAGAATACAAAATTGGACTTAGGATACTGCCTTGTAGAACTTTTAGCACAATTAACTAATGTTTCCTTTGCGTTAGTATCTACTAACAAAGTAGAAAATTTACCATTTCCAAGAGCTTTGCCAGTATTTTGCCTCCATAACAATGCTTCTCTCTTCTCTCTTTGTGGGATGAAACCAAAGGTTCCTCGGAGACCCCGATTCTGGAGTTCAGAGGGCGCTCAGAAACCAAGCATGCCCGTCTACGGCATAAGTTTTCCTCCATGGATTCTGTGACTGTTTGCACCCGGCTCCGCTTCGATCCAAATTGCTTTGGAATTTCCACCATCTTCTCTTATTCTATACAGTCCTACATTAATGAGTTCCAGCTCCGGGCAAACCTGATTAAGGGTAAGCCTGTTCAGCTGGCTCTGCTGGTACATGGTGTCCATGGACGTTATCAAGAAGCCTTTGACCATGATGACTCCTGGCACTCGGTATGCGTTTCCTGGAGCCAGAATGGTGGACGCTGGGCAATGTTTACTCATGGCTATGCAGTTGCTAGGGGTCGTGGCCTCAACAGTTCTGACAGCATTGGCAGTGATGGACTTTTTATCATCGGGCAGGAGCAGGACACCTTTGGGGGCTCATTTAAGAAGGATGAGTCATTCTCAGGAAGCATCACAGAGCTGCACATATGGGATCGGGTACTGAACAGCAGTGAAATCTACACCATGGAAAAGGAGTGCTCACCCGTTCCCTCTGGGCTGGTGTTCAAGTGGAGTGGAGCAGGCATGGAAATAGAGCCCTCCCTCACTGTGCGGTGGAGGAACAGCCCTTGTCAAGGTACAATAGTTAGGATGCAGTGTGCACACAGAGGAAGAAGCTCAAGGCTTAGCAAAATCCTAGTCTTTCTTACAAGGTACAGGGAAGAACAGAGATTGAAACCCCCCGCAAAAGATCAAAAGTGACTCAAATATGTTAGGTGGTCCTAATAAAGCTTTCTTTAAAATGCTGTTTACAGTTTTGCTACATGGGTTCCAAAGCTGGGTGGGGTTGCTATGCAGAATAACAATCACATGGAGACCATTTAAAAAGTCATTTTGAACTACTCAGTTTTCAGTAACATGCCAAGATCTGAGCTGGCCCGATGTTAACTCCACCCATCTGGCTTTCCTGGAAGGGTAAAATGAATGGTTTGAATAATAGGCAGGTACAACTGGACCGAAATCTGCTCTTTCTCTATTTCGTCAACTTTCTCCAAAACCAAGTTGATTCAATCTTAATTTTTCATCTGGATATTTTACTTGTGTATTTTGCGGTTTCTGTCCAGGACATCGATACACAACTGAATAGAAAGAGGACATTAGGTAGATAACGTGATGTAACAGAGTTCGGACATTACTGTACATGCAAGCAAAAGCTGGTATAGGAATCAGTTGACGGTATTTGTCCAGATCCCTTCAGTGATGAAACATTGGACACACAAAAAGCACCATTATGAATTAGTAAAATGCTACAGTAAAGTTGCACATGTGCACACTTGCTCTTAATCTCGCAGCCAAGCACAAATAGAAGTTTAATGAGACTGGAAGAATTGAAAGTCTCTGTATCGGTAACTCTCGCTCAAAAACAAACAGGGAGATGATGACCAAGTTGTTATTGGCAGAAAGTACAGTTTCTAATGATTCTTGTAAATGTTTTGTGACTCACGTCAGCCTGGATCCCACCCTTCAAAACAAACTTCTCCTGTACTTACATCATGCTCCCCAGTGAGCAATGAGAGCCCAAAAACAGACTCCCCCTCTTACAGCTCAACATGTAAAAGCATAGAGAGCTTTTGCTTCTGTGATTTACAGCTATAGTGTGGGATTGTATTTCCTTAGCTTTAGAGATAAACGAACGCACGGCGAGTAACATATGAGAATTGTTACTTGTGACTGAAGTGGTTTCAAGATTAATCCTTGGATTATTAAGTTATGTTACTTTCAGAACCTGTTGTAGTTTCCTTTCTCTGTTTTCAGACCAGCTCAGAAAATAATCTGTCTGTCACTGTCACTACTCCTTCAAGTAAATGGCAATAAACTAGATCACTAAAACAAATACTTAAGTCTTCTGTTCAGGATCTGTCTCTGCTGTCTCTGATCTGTTCTCAAAAAAATCTTTACCTTTACATACAACCACACCAAGGTTTCAAGACAAGCACTTGACCTTGTAATTGTGAATTAGACCTTTTTATAGTTGTGACCATGATTAATTTACAGTTTTATTAGAGCATATTTACGTTTACTTAACCCTGTCCTCAGTCAATTTGCTGCACACATTACTAATAAAAAATATAAAAATAACAGAATGCAGCTGCCGGTTTAGAATGACCTTAAAATGTTTTTGAAAGCGTTTACATTATGATTATTTTTGCCACAGTAATTAAACATGACATTCAGTCTTGTTATAGCTTTCATTTTGGAGGATTTACACCATGTTTATTAACATTTTCTTTCATTCACTATTTCTTTAACTAGGAAACATCACTATTATAGCGACTTCGCTTGTGGATTCACTCCAGGATGGAAATTCTTTGCTGAATACAACATTCTCCATTAAGTTCATTCAGAGCTCTCAGTCTGATGAGGATTGTGGTATCTTTAACCCAGCTTTGGGGAACTTGGAACTTGCTAAGTGTGACTCAGAAAGAGGGGCTGTCTGCCAGTTCAAAAAAGGTACCAATTATTTTAATAATAATTACTGAGAATGTTTTTTCCTTATTATTTTAATGCAATGTGAGTATTTGGTCTTATCATGTGCATATTAAAAAGCCTGAGCGGTGCCATGCAGTCAAAACTATATGGCCCAGTAATAAATACTACTACTTATTAAACCTTTTATACTAAATATACCAAAAAGCATTGAATCTGGAGAAATGTAATGTGCCATAACATGTACCCTTGCTCCAGTAGATTTGTATAAATTGTTTTTCTGTTTTCCCTGCTGTTTGCAGAAGTCCTGGATATTTTCACTTTACCGAGGACAAAATTCTTCAGCAGACTGAGCATAATTCCTCTGACCAAACTTGTGAGTGTGACGTCAAAGCCAAATGTGGTACACCATCAGTCTATTGATACACTGCCATAAGTGAACGGCAGCTTAGCTCACTAGTGCACACTAACACACTCAACTTAAAAGCATGACTGATTATTTGTTTGTGGAGCCTTGTTCAGGCTGTGTAGTTTTTAAAATGATTACCATAATAAGAACCAAACTTTTATGTCTTTTCAGTCTCTTGAGATAATTTTAAGAAACCTATAGAATTTTTTGTGTAACTGTCTTAATACAACATTGCATTAAAACTACCTTTTCCAGGTGAGCATGAAAACTTTATCTCTCTTTTTTTTCAGGCAATTGAGGAGCTGAGCGCCAACTCATCCAGTGAGAGAGATCTGCTTCAGCTTGAGCAGTTAACACAAGCTGTTTTGCAAATATTGGAGGCTGATGGACCAAACCTTCTTACATCCAGTGATGTCCTTTACCTCACCCAGATGATTGAGATGGACCTGACCGCACTGGCTAGCTCTCCCTCTGCAGATGGCACAGCTGAGGTCATGGTGTCCATAGCTACAAACTATGTAAAGGCAGCAAGCGTGATGCTTGAGCCCCACATGGCTACTCAGTGGATGGGTCTGGCAGAGGATGGGGTGAGGGTGCTTCTGCTGCTTGTACCAAAAATGATTTTGGATGTGATAGTAACAACCAATAGTTACCTTTAATCTCTGCAAAAAGCCTTTCCTCAATTATTTAGGTTATTTGAGGGATGAAGAAACTTTTTGCCCCCAGAAAATTCCTCTTTTTTCCTGCTATGAATCTCAGTCTTGATTTGTTGCTCTTGTACAGGTCAGTGTGGGGCCATTCACCATTGTCAAGAGCATAGATAGTCTGACTGAAGCGCTTGCAGACATGTTATCGGCTGAGGAAAGAGGCTTCACTCTTTCTACCAAGAACATAGGTAATAAAAACTTTGGTACAGAACTTTAATTCACAGTACTGTCAGATACATGTCACTTGAACATTAAAGGCCAGCTTTCTGATGAAATGCTCTAACATCTTACAAAGATATTGTTTTCAAATCTTTTTTTGTTCAGTATCCTTGAGTTTTGCTTATCCAGAGTAGAATTGTCGACCAATTTGTTGTTTCTAAGTCCTCTGTTGTCTCTCTTGTCAGATGTGTTCATGAAGTGGCAGAGGCTGTCGGAACACAGCTGTAATCAAGTCTTTAAGCCTTCTGCTATCGGCTCCCATGTCAGCAGTAGTGGTCAGGATGAGTTGCTTATCCCTGACACTGAGCTCCAAAGGATTCACACACTGGGTAGGAAATACACTCATGTGAACGCACTTAGGGTTAATATAAGAATTCAAAAATTCAAGGTGTAAAAATTATAGCCTACAGAAGTCCAGCATGTACTGTAAACCAGTCTTATTTTAGTGATTTGGATTTTCTGAAATGCTGCTAGTTAAATATTTGTTCATTTGTGTCCAATAAATTAAGGGATCAGTTACTACACCATCTCTGTTTCATAGCAGCTCTGATTTGGTGTTAATACTGTGGGGAAGATATTCCAGCTGTTCTGTATTGCCGTTAATTAGATTGTTCGAGGCACTCAACAGATCAAAGTGTTACTGTTACTGATTGGCTAAAGACTAACATAATGCCTATTACTTTAGATGCTTTAAACTGTTTACAATATGTCCTTGTTGTTTAGTAAGGTTTTGAATCCAGTTGCTTAAAACACCTCACATTTTGCCTTGGTGAATCTACATCCTCTCAATTTCCAACCCCATTACACATGCAGTGACACAAGTAGGCTGGGTTGCTACGATAAGGAGGCACTGCTATGATTGGCTGCTTGAGTATAGTCTGAGGGAGGAGGGTGCAAGCCTGTGCAGATGAATGGAAAGATGTAGTAGACTCTGCCTGTTGAGACCAGCAGGAAACTGATGATCTGAGCGATATTATATGTGAACATTTATTGATTGTGCTTTCCTGACATCAACCTTTGATGGACAGAAACAGATGAACACTACAGCCTGTAAATTGCTGGCTTTATTAGCTGTAAAATTTTAGTCGTAAAACCCCTCTACTTATTGGAAATGTAGCTGAAATTTGCCATATTGTTGCAATGTTTTGACCTATATAAATACCAAGACAGGTCGAAACTTTGCAACAAATGTCTTTGCAAATAAAATGTCTTTTAACTGAACAACGTCTTTGTACAAGTGAGCTTTGTGAATGAATGTTAGACATGGTAGAAGTATAACACTGCCAACCTAAAGGGATCATCTGAAGAAATATGGTAGATGTTTCTCAACTAAATATATTTTGTTTTCAAAGGATTAAAGTGAATCTTTTTTTCTCTGTCTCCTTCAGGATACGAGGAGGTGATGTTTATTCATACCCACTACAGTCATCTGAGTGAGATCGTGTCTGGAGCACAGGAGTCTCCACTGAGTTACCAAGAGAAAGACAAGAGGTTGGCTTTGGTTTGTCAATATTCTTCTTGCAGAGCTGTACTTTAAATGTTCATGACTGAATGTTAGTCACCTCCCTGAAACAAATAAGTCAAGTAATAGTTTCATATCATTTCCCTTACTTGACTTCAGTGATTTTCTATTTTGAAATCTTAGCAGCTCTTGAAATCATGTATTACAAATATTCAGTCTGCCAAACAAACAAGTTTCATTACTGCATTAAAACATACTTCCTAGGAGATCATTGAGAAGGTGTACCATTACGATTTTGCTGAATTTGTGAGCTTCAGGTGGTTTACAGATGTAGACGGTAACTTTCGTCTGCCTTCTCAGCGTTCTGCCAGGTCAGCTGACTTCAGCCGTCATATCAGCCACTGTTCGCGACACCTCAAAAGGCCAATCCATCCCTGTTGCTGTTGAGTACACATTGTCTTCATCACATGTGGTATGGTTCATTATTCAGATTTATAATTTATATTAGGTTATATAAAGCTAATTATTGTCGACAGCTTTACCCCAATGTTACAAAAGCTTGAAACAAATGGTTATTATATTAAAGCAACTTTTCTTTGGGGGATAGTAGTTAAGCCATAGTTTTTTTCTCTTGTGTAAACTCACCAACTGCACAATATTACAATAATGTTATAAAACTTACCCAAGCAGATAGCATGTGTCTTTTGCCAAAAGTGCTCCTGCTTTGCTTGAAGCTCAGATAATATGTCAAAAAGGAAAAAGACAGAGACGGGGAAACAAAGAGTGAATTTGTTTTTCGGTTTTTAGGTGGAGTATTCCCAGCGTGTTTCACCAGTTTGTGCCTTTTGGAATTTCAGCCTCATGTAAGCTTGACCATCAACACAGTCACATTAAAAGTCTTATAAGTTCTGTTTTTGTAGTTGGGATTTATGCCGTTTTATAAATGATGATGAGATATGTGCTAATAATGTGCTGGTAGAGCCTTTTTAAACCTACTCAGCTGTTTCAGTTCTATGTATCTTGTTGAAACAAAGGATGATAAATGTGAGAATGATGAGATATACTCACAGAATGACAGACATAAAACCTGTCTCTACATTATTTGCAATTCCTCATGTTCAATACTAAATGTTTATTTGTTGTGCTGTACAGGCATAATTACACCAACAGCTGGTCCAGTGATGGTTGCAGAGTGACTTATGCCGGTTCAGGTGTCACTTCCTGCCTCTGTAATCACACCACCAACTTTGCAGTGCTGATGAATTACCTGGAGTCAAAGGTAAGAGGAAAATGTGTTCTGATGCAGAGAAGTCCACTTAAAATGGGGGGTGGTGTGGTGGACTCTTAGAACTTTTCTATATGTTTGTAATGGTAATTTGACAAATTACAAAAAAAAAAGAAAAAAAGACTGATTATGCACAGTGCATCTAAAACTACTTGTTGCTGATTTGAACCCAAATTCAGCTTCTTGTCCTCTAAAATTTTGACGGGCTTAGTTGTCTACTCTCAAAACCAGGGTCATTGCCAGACTTTCAAAACTTTTGGGCGAGGCATTTAGAAACTTTTTGTTTTTTTATAGTGCAAAAAGAGTTTAAAAACAGATAATAAAGCACTAATATCAAACCCTTTTGACTGTAAGATTTTAACATCACAATGCAGGAATTATTGACTAAGTCTTTTAGCTGGTATAAGATTAACTAAACTCATGTTATCTTAAAAGCAGACACCCTCTGTGTCTCCCTCTGTCATTAAAGTCCTTTCTCTGTCTTCCAGTGGAGTCCTGAGGAAGAACTCATCTTGACAAAGCTGACATTTATTGGTTGTGGTGCGTCTCTATGTGCGCTTGTGGTGACCTTGATGCTGTTCACCGTTCTGGAGTAAGTAGCTGATTTTCTTGTCCTGCTCGCCCACAATGCCAGCATTGCTGTCTTATCTCTGGCTATATTTAACAAATGCAAGTAAATCACTGTACCTAACGTAAAGCTACACAGAGGTAATGCATTCATGGTGACCTAAGAGTTGGATTTGAATTTATAATAAGAATTTAGAGGACAATCTGTCTGTGAAAAGAATATAAAAGAACGTCAGTACTTTAATAGAAAAAAGAAGAAAACAGACAAAATTATCAATAAGTTGTTGCTGCCAATCATAGAGTGAATATACTTGTTTGTATGGATTACCAGGTAAACCTTTTGTTAAGAACAAAGTCAATTTAAACAGCAGTATGTCAAATTAATTTGCAGGTATTTGCCTTTTTCACTTGGATGATGTCTTCAATCATGTAATAAATTCATGAAGTACATAAAGTCACCAATTCACCCACAGCTCTGGTCATAAAATTGCATGTAAAACTCAGTCAAATAGACAAAGTAGAAGGAAAAAAAACAACGTATGAGCATTTGTGAGCTTAGTGCTTTCAGTATTGATTAGTGCTAATCCAGTAATTACTGTAGTCTAAATGAGAGTCAACTCTGAAGGTTTATGGCTGCTGTTAATTAACATAAGGGTCACTGTGGGATCACAATAAGCTGGAGGGGAGCTGTCCTGACTATTTATGACTGTCCTGAAATCAGAGTGAGCAGCCATGCATTTCACACACACATGCCACTCTATGATGTACATGCACTGGGTTATTGAAGTGCATGCACACACACACAGTAAGAGGTACGTGTGTCTTGAGCTGCATGTGTAATCAAACTATGAAATAATGGTGGTCACAAGCCTGTAAGCTCATAACAAATTAAATTTGAATAAGGTAAAGTCATCTTAAGGTAATTTAGCGTCTGTAGTCCATTAGTAATCACATGTACCAAATTAGCCTTAAATGGTACCAGAGAGAGGGAGGAGCAGAGAGAGCGTGACAAATAACCTGAAAGAGTTAAGATATACGTACAAGTTTAGAGGTGCATGTTACATTTTAATTCTTCAGATAAATTTACAGGGAAGAACGTCTAACATACCCTGAAAAAACAGACAAACTGCACACGTAAGAGTTTTCACATTCCCTCCTCTGAGGCAGCTTTTGCAGCATCTTTTATATACCGTTTTTGCAGTTGGTTGGAAACCACTGAAGTTTTTCAAGTCACTCTGGCTCTGCTTATCAATTCACCCTCTTGTTGATTCTTGATTCCTATTTTGTTCTTCCTAGAGAGTGAGATATTACATATTTTAAAAGCAATGATTGGCTTGCTTTTGCTGTTGGGACATCTAGGCTCTTGTGCTGTTAAATTGGATAGGGCAAAACACTTTCACCTCCAATCTGTCACTCTAGTGACTTTCTCCTTGTTTATCTCGGCCTTCATCACTAGAATAAGAAGAGTTTCGACCCTGTAGTGCAGAAACTCCTTCTCTCTGATCCCAAACAAGAATATACCTAAAATGTTTGTACACATTATCCATTTACCTGAGTATAAATGCTAACACGAGCTCAAGTGTGTTTTGCACTTGAGTGTGACAAGGTATTGCTACAACTGCCGCTCACAGAGGGTGGTGAACAGAAGACCACAGTATATCTAATATGGTGTATTCTCTTCAATTTCATGCTCTGTGAAGTTATTGTTTAATCATATTGGAGGTGTTTCCCTCATGAAATACTATTGCCACATGTGTTACACTTTGCGTAGTCATTTTTTTCAAGGGACGCTTGGCAAAACTTCTGACCACTTGCTGCAGTTCGCCATGCTTTATTTCCCACATTTTTAACGTACAGCTTCGCATAACGTTTAGTCATCACAGCAGGCCCTGGCAGAGATCCAGCTGTTTTTTTGGCATGCAAAATTCTTGTTAATGATTGATCAAGCAACATTTGAGTCGATGTTAACAAGCCTCATCGAACCTTTTAATCCCCAAAATTTAGAACTGGTTTAAGGTTGGAACTGGTTCTTGATATGCTAACCTTTCTGAGGTGGCTGCCTCTCACTTTTGTTAAGCAGGAAAAAACCCTGATGTTACAGGACAGCACAAACTCATCTCCGTTTTACTGTGTTGTTGTGCTGACACATTTAACGGTATCTTGCTCCAGATAAGACTTACCATGACACTTGAAGTTATCCCCTTCTCTCTCTACAGTATTCCAAAATCTGACAGGACATCCATCCATAAAAACCTGTTCATCGCCCTGATCTGTGCCCAGGTGATTCTTCTGTGCAGTGGCTCAGCTATCCACAACAAGGTAGTAATCTGATTTTATTTTATTTTATGTTTTATTATAAAATAAACTGAAATAAGGTTTGAAACAGTCAGTCACGTCTATTCTACCTTTCTGTACTTCTAAAAATCAATCCATAGCACATTAATGGCCACTAATGTCTTATCAATCAATCAGTTAGACCTCATGATTCAGTCTTCCAGGGCTCATCCAGTAGCCTGTAGTTGTTCTGACCCCTGATCTTTTGACCCTGGGTCATGTCGAGGTTAGTTTTACCCTTAGAGACAGGCGAAGTGCAGGGAATTCATCTGGTTTTATTTGTGTACCAACAGACTGACTTTCTGGCTGAAGGAAGAATTTGGAAATTTATTCCAAATTCTACATTTCTATTGAAGACGTACTTGATCAGCTTGACTTTCTTTTTGTAACCATAAGCATTTTTGTGCCTTTAAAAGTTGGGTTGATTTGTCAGAGGAACAATTTGTCACAACAAAATGAACTCTAGCTAGTTTTTATATATCCAAAGAACTGGAAAATCTACAAATCCTTCCACAAGCATGCCTCATCAAAAATGATAATACTTAGTGTCTCAGTAATGATACAGCAGCTCTTCATGCTTTTAGCTCTTAACATGTATCCGTCTGCACGTCTGTGTTGGTGTGTTTATAGGTGGCATGCACACTTGTGGCAGCGCTGCTCCATCTCTTCTTCATGGCAGCGTTCAGCTGGATGCTGGTGGAGGGTCTGCTGCTCTGGAGCAAGGTGGTTGCAGTCAACCTTAATGAGGACAGACACATGAAGTATTACTATCTCATCGGCTGGGGTATGATAGGCTTAAGAGAACCTAACCCTTTTTCTTTTACCTGAAATTTTCCTTTTTTTGTAAATGATATTGAATTTTTGTAAATAAAGCAGTTGTAGGATGCATAAAATAAAACTTTAAAATTATCCAAATGTCAGTTTTGCCATTTTCTTTTACATTTTTCTTAATCCTTTTTTGATCAATTGTGTCTTCTTGTTTTTACTTCAATCATGTATCCTCCACCGTTTTTGTTCCCCCCTTCCTCCTCCTCCAGGTCTGCCGGTGCTGATCGTCACCATTACACTAGCATCAGCCTCGGGCAAATACTCAGCTGATGGCTACTGTTGGCTAAGTGTCCAGAACGGCATAATTTGGGGCTTCGCTGGCCCAGTCATCTTTATCATCATGGTCAGACATTTGAACTATATCTTGTCATATAGTCCACTCACACCTAGATAAGATACACAATACAAATTCATTCTGCCTTATTTAATAACAGCAAAAGTTCAGCAAGTGTACATTAAAAAAAAAGAAAAAACAATTTTACCCCTCGCACAGTGCCGTACAAGTCATGTCTTGTGTTTGCTCTGACATGTATTTTTTTTTTTATAAGTGTTATAGATGTTCACATGTATTTGATCCATTTAGCTCTTTTAATTGTACTTTATCTTCTTTTCAAGGTTAATCTCATGGTTCTGACCAGGGTAGTGGTCATCACTATCTCCACAGCCAAGAGAAGGTCCATTATGTTGGCCATGGGCACGAGTCCTGTGGAACAAGCCTATGAACAAATGAGGTAAACACCACAAGGAGGCGCCATTTGTCCTCTTTTTAAGTGAATCAGCTGAACCAGAGACCTTGAAGTAGACAGGCTCTTGTCTGTGATTGTGATTTAAAAAGTATCTGGAAGATTTAATATTAGATTTGTCAATTCAAAACAAAAGCCCAATTAATTAAAAAAGAGTGCAATATCAATGCATAGCATGGAAACTTTTTAGAAATAAAATCAGAGATATTTAGATGACTCAGTGAGCAAAAGATACAGAGTTATTCAGAGGTAAGTATTTCAGATGCGTGGGGACACAAAGTACCAATGTGAAACGGCATAAATTCATTGAATTTATTCAAATTAATTTTCTCTGGGCCATATCCTCAAATTTTTTTTTAACTGTGTTTAATCAAACAAAAGCAGTCGTAGTTATTTGAATAATTATTATTAAGATATATCCTTCACCAACCTGAAAAAGTTCTTGTTTTTTTGCTGGTCAAGAGAAGTTTCAGCAGACTTAGACAAAAAATAAAGTTAACCATTCGTAGTTCTTTTAGAAAAGATAAGACAAACACTCTCTTTGCTACCACCTGTCATATAGTCATCCGATTGACCTTTTGTAAAATTACTCATAAAAACGTAACATTTCTAGTTTTATTGTCATATAACTGTTGGCTTATTTTTACACTGATAGTGTTTATTTCTTTACAGTGGACACAGTGAGACAGTGTCACAGCTGTCTTTTCCCTCATTTTTCTTCATTTTGAGTTGGGTGGTAGCTCTTTAGGGTGTTTTTGATCCACTAGATTCCCCAAGCAGGCATGTGTAAGATCTTATATGTAAATATCATGTTAAAGTAGATATTTTTTTCACTTCTTTAGGCTGCCAGGACTCATAGTAGGTGCTTTATGAAGGTTTTCAAAGAAGGCCTTGAACCATTTGGCACCCCTGGGTGGCAGCCATTGCGGAAACTCAAACACATTCCTCCGCTAAATAAACTAGGGCTCGCAGCCCACCATGTCACACACGCACAAACACACACACATACAGCTGGTGCGGTTTGGCAGCCACCTGAGCGGGAAGATAATTCCACTCTAAACAGAATTAAGGCAGATTTAAGGTGGGAAGTTGTCACTCCATGAGCCTGTCCAGCTGCACAGTGTTGTATATGGAAAAAGTAGCCCGCCAGATTTGGTCAGTTTTCTCCAAATGAGCTGAAACATTGAGAAAACTGGAAAAAATTAACTTGCACTGAGGACAGTCAGGAAGGAAAAACATTTTTTAACAATTTAATTTGAAATTGTGGACCAAGTTGACCTCAGTAACAGAGTCAACCAGTCTTTGTGTAGTATGAATGTTCTTAGTTCTTATAAGAAATGCCCCAATCCGATATCAGCATTGGTCCGATACTGGCCAAAATTATTGGTTTGGTTAAAAAACTAAGTTTAAACTGTCTAAGCAGATCTTTAAGCCTCAACTAATTGGTGCAGCAAGTAGAGGCTGGCTCTTCATGGTGGAGGTAGGCTGCTGCAGCACGTCATTGTAAAAAGTAGCTTAAGTATTAGACTGGTCAGCAGTGCTGCCATAATTTAAGATGAAGGGAATTATTTTCAGTTTAAAGAGGGAGCTAATTAAACAGAGGCTGCAGTTTGAAGATGTTTTATGCTTGTTAAGACAACCCTGGAAACAACTAGTAATGGTCATGCTTTGACCGGTAACGTGGTTTAGCTAACACTTATCAGTAGATGGAAGAGATGAGACAGCTTTGAGCTTCACCAGTGATATCACAAGCTCTCATTTTTACTTGCATTGTACTCTCGGAAAAAAGGTCATTGATTTGATACTGATATTAAACCAGACCAGTGTGAGTGTAGGCTAATATGTAAGTCCAGATCATATTTTTTTCATATATCTATGTGTGTATGTTTATGTGTGTTTGTGTGTGTTTAAACACAGGGCTGCAGTAAAAGCAGTGTTGGTGTTGCTTCCTATCCTGGGCTTGACGTGGCTGTGTGGTGTCTTGGTGCCTTTTTCCATCGTGATGGCCTACATCTTTGTTCTCCTCAACTCTCTGCAGGTACATACACACAGGAAAAAATGAGCATCGTTTTGTTTTTTATTTTAATCTGGAAACACTTCTACATAAAAAAACCAATATCGACAATGTCCTGTGCCCTTCAGGGTCACTGAAAGATTTGATACTGAAACTGAGGGAAATGGTAAATAACTGTACAACCAAAAGAAACAGCCACCAATCAATTCAAGTAAAGTTAAAAAAGAAGAGTAAGATTCAATGATTTAACGGCTCAAAACTTGTGAGCAACTTAGAAAAATCTTTCATGGCTCAAAGACTTGAAAGAATTTTTTTTCCTTCAATGAGAAACAGAAAGGTTTTCCATTATACATTTTAATTCTGCCTTTCTCTCGTGGTTAGGGTACACAGACTGTCAAGGTTTTTATTTGTCAGTGACAAGGCTGAGGCAGAGAGGGGAAAAAAGGGCCTTGGTCTGGCTTGTGTTAAGCAGGTGCTTCATTTTAACAAGGAAAGTCGATTTGTATTGTTTGTTTGATTATTCCTGCTTTTTGTATTTAGGGGTCAGCATTATTGTTGTTTTTGTGGCTTGTCAGTGTTGATTTTAGACTCTTTGTGCTGAAATTTAGTGGATTGTTTTGTCACAAGTAGTTTACCCAAGGGCATAGCTTCTTTTGAAAATGGCCACAACTTTATGAAATATCGTGTTTTACAGAAAAAAAAAAATCAGTAATTCCTATTCATCCTTTATTGCTGCTGCACTGCAGTAATGAAGGTGGAATAATGTAATTCTCCGACTACAGCAGTTGGTCCCATTACCCCCAGCATGTCCAGATCTGCTGCTGTGATTTGTAGTTGTCTTTTAATCTGCTGTATCTTTAATTGAGCTGTATATTTAACGAGAAAATCAATAGAGGTTTTAGCCGCAGTCTGATCATTAAGCAAGGCCTCTCAGTCGCCATAAATAGTTTCTATTTCCCTCCTCATTTCTAATTATATTTTTTCCTTGTCTGCAGTAATTACTGCAATAGGTTTTTCTGAGGTCTTGTATGAGTTTACGGCTTCACATGTAAACACATGTAGGCATGTTTTCAGCTTCAAGCATCAGTGTGTCTCTTACTCTCTTTTCTTTAAGCTGTCTGTCAGCAACTTTGCTATTTTTTCTATCTACCTTCATCTTTTATCTGTATTATTTGTTTGACCTTATTGGCTCAATTGTAATGAAGAAAATATGCTGCTAATAGTGAGTCAATATACATTTTGTGCTTAAGCCCTAAGCATGATGAACTGACAACTCCCCATAGTCATCAGCTGTATATGTTCATTGTAAAACATGGAAGAGACAACAGGTGTTTGGCCAGATCACTGAAAAACTTAATGACACATTGATTTATTATGCGTCTAATGCGTTTGCTGTATCACACATTGTAGATTAAAGTACAATTATCAAATGCTTTCAAGTGTAGCATCCTTCAAGGATCTGGCTCTTAAACGTCTCTACTCCACACTTCATTATTGTTCCAGTTTTGCTTTGTGCTATCTCTTTTGTGAGCAACTCCAATGTCCTTGCACCTCTTATTGTATTTTATAGTTGTTCATATTCTACACAGAGAAAGACTATCTCAGTGTGTGTCCCAAACAAATGAGATAACACAGGCCATTTATCCTACATTTTGTGCTTATGCCGGCTCACATGTGTTGCTGGGGTTCCTGAGGAATTGACCAGCAGCTCTGGTATAATAGATCTATTTAGTGTGTCTTTAATAAGCATAAACAGGTCAGGACACAAGAGGAACCCTGCCAGGCTCAAAGCTGCTCCGATGACACACTCTGTTAACCCCACTGCTCTCTGGTGTGCATGGTTGTAGTGACACTTAAAGTGGGCATCTTTTGGGGAATTTTGGCGTGAAGACCTTATTGCTGTAATGCTATTTTGGTTTTAAGTTATTTACTAGTAGTTATAATAGTCTGTGTTTAACCAAAGAGTTCCCTTTGGATGTGATTCTTGTGAAGTTTTTGTCGGTGGTCTCCTGTGACTGGACCGCATTTGTACAAGACCTTTTTCTTTTTCTTTCTTTCTTTTTTTTTTCCTCTTTGAGAATTCTAGATAAAATGTGGAAATTAAGTTAGAGGTGTCAAGAAAACATTTACATATCACATAAGGACAAAAACAATAAGGGTCTTAAACTTTCTTGTTTTTTTACTGAAGCAAATGATTCAACAGCATTTACATGTTAAACATTTTAGATGTGCTGTTGAATTTTGCCTCTCATTTTTCTTTTGTATTTGTAAAAGTCTTGAGCTTTGGTGACCTTGGCGGTAATAAAGTCTGTTTTTTAGTCATGTTAACACCATGTCAGTGACAGGTCTTGTGGTTTGTCAGTCTTGATTTCTGCTAAATGCATTGTCACAACGTATTTGTTGATGAGCAAAGCCTCTCATCACCAATGGTCCTTTTGGTTTTTCTTATAGCACCATGTTAAGGTCGACTTTTGTTGATTGGATTGAAAGATACTGATTATTCATTTTGATTGACCGCTCTGAGCATGTGTTGATATTCCAGGGCAGACTGATTATCAGCCTAGGCAGAGTATCGGGACCGATACTCTGTATTTGTGCAGTTATCTGTATCAGTGTTTTACTTTACTGATTGAAGGTTAAATGAATGAATTAAAAAGCATTCTTTCCTCTGGGTCTGTCTTCAATATCCAGCCCATAAAACTATCTGATCCGCCAGATGTCACACAAGTATGTACTTTAAAGAGTAACTAGTTTTCTGTTCGCTCCTGTTCATGATGTTTAAAATTTCAGTTTTGATTGAACATTTGCTAAAAGCATTCAATCAAAGTTTTTCAAGAGGAGTTTGTAGTATTCCAAATTCTAAACTGTATCCTAAAAATTCAACTTATCCACTCAACATCAATATATTTACACTTCAGCATGTTAAAAAAACAACCAGCTTGAGCATTTAAAAGAAAGTAAATACTCGGGAGCCAACCCTCACAATAATAGAGCACTGTCGTTCTGTAGACAACAGCCCTCTTCCTTCTCAATCCAATCGATCTCTTTGTATCAAGCACAGCTGTACATAGTCACACCATAATAGCTGCTCATAAAGATGATAAAAGGTGTGAAACTTAAACAATATTGAATACAACCTGACCCGGTAGGCGGGACATTAAAAACGGGGGGGAAAAAACAACATAAAAACTCTCAAGTTTTTTTTAGGAAATCGTTTTTTATTTGCAGCTGTTGTATTGTCGATGGAGCTGGCAAAAGCAACATAAAGCTTAAGCGGCAAGCCTTTACTGTTAAATCAATAAAACAGATAATGTTGACAAGCCTTTTTCATTGCACTCCCTTGCGCACCCCCCTGCTCCTCATCTTTCCCCTGCATCCTAACAACACTGCCCTGAAGTGTCTCCGCTGCTGCTTTAATTTCTTTCAATAGACTCCTGAACAGGCTATTTAAAGCATACATTCTGTACGCCTGGCATATTTGCCTGTGTGCTGCACTGGCCTCAGCAACCAGGGCTAATGACTTATTTCTTATTAATTGATGGCTAATGATGTGAAGTTTGGCTGTAATTAGTATCCAGGGCTATAGCATCACAGTTAAGTAGAAGTTGCTGTAGTTTTTTTTGGTTTTGTCAAACAATGAGTTTAGAGTGGATATGAGTTGAATCAAACTTCGTACTCTTAGCCTGTAGTTTTTATGAACACCTCAACCATAAATACAGGTACGCCTCATCTGCTTCCTTATCAAGCTAGAGATAAATAGCATAGAGTGTGTGTGTGTGCATGTGTGTCTGTCTCTGTGTGTGTGGAAGGAGCAGGGATGAGGAGCTCTTTGCTTAGCCCATAAATCGCTCCACCCTTTGTCATCCAATCTCTGGGCAATGTCATTCAAAACCTTCTCACTATCCATTACCTGAGTATAATAGGCTCCTGGCCATGCAGTGTCCATCTTATTATTAGCCCATAACTTCAAACTATCAATAACTTTGAGCTTCTGAGGGAGGCCAGGAGAGAGAAAGGAGCAAGAGGGGAGTAGGAAAATGAAAGGAGAAAGAGAGTTGGAAAGAAAATATTAGGGTAATGATTATCTACTGCAAGTTGTTGAGAGTCCCTGTGGTTTGTTTTGGTAGCTTTGCAAGCAGGAGATTTGTCAAGAATGTTTCCTTTTCAACTCTGTGATGTCTGTTTGCTGCCTGTGGAGGGCAACCCTGTGCTTTTTCATTAAAGTGTGAGAATATGGAGAAATCAATGAGAGAATTTATCCAAGCCATTTCATTCATATCACATTAAGGTCTTTTAACCGCGGAAACTGATGACGACAATGGTTTTGATTTTCTTATGAAATGAACAGACTGGCACCTAGTAATGAGATTTTTACAGGCATTCAGGAAAGCTTTAGAAGTGCAGTTTTTCATTTTATTCATTTGAATATAGTGAATGAAGAATATTGCTATTATATATTAGTTCATTTATTTATCATTTCAAAAGAACAAAGATACTGTGTTGACCTAACATCGCTTTCTAAGCTTGAAATGGTTACACATTTTTAATAAGCACATTATGAAAACAGCTCTCTTTTTAGTTTCTGCAGCACAGTTTTAGAAATTATATGTAAACTCTGATCAAACAAAAGGAGTGAACTAACAGACTGGTACATTTTATACCGTTAAAGCCGTGTTTGACATCCTCTACAAAGAACAATTGAGAGGAGTCGATGTGAGGTTTTTTTGAAATTAATATTTCATGTTTTAAAATGAAAGCACCGACTCCTGACTTTATTAACTCGCATTCACACACGTGCCTGGCTAGTGGAGCATGACATCAGGGTGTATCTAAGATATGGATATGATCAATAGAGAAATAGTGTCCTTATTGATTTCGGCCTGTGGGAGATTTATTGTGTGAGTCTGAGAATCTGAAGCGATTGTTTGAGAGTGGGTGTATTTAATTTCGGTCTGCTCTGTAGTAGAGTTGACAAAAAGTTTTAATTGTACTTTGCGCTAAAAGAGTCTGTGTTTATGTTTCTAGATTGGCTTCATGCACAAAGAAAAGCATTGATGCTATTATAAGGGGCTAAGCTCAGACAGTTGTACTGCGAGGAGTTTTCTGAATTGTTATCAGTTTGTTACCGTCTCTAACTGCTGAATTAATCAGAGACAAAACTTTAAGTTAAGTCAGGCAACCATTCAATAGTATTATTGATTCAACTGGTCTTAAAGTTAATGATTTGGAATACATTGATATTAAAACTTTTAATTAGTACAAAGGGTTTTGTTGAGTTAGGTAGTTATTCTGTTTTAGTAGGTAGTTACTCTGTTCAAAGAATTTAAGTCTTGATGTTTTTTTTTTGCTTGTGGTGATTTTGCTTTTCTGTGGCTCATATAAAAGAAAATTGAGCAATAGATTTGTTAAGCATAAAACAGCTAACTTACAAGTATCTCCCCTCCACAAACCAAAAATCAATCCCACCCTTGAAAGTATGAACATCGCTTTGGATAACAGCGATGTCTGCGAAATGACATTTTAATTTGTAATTTGTAAAAGATGCTTGTAGGTTAAAAATCTAATCTCATGGGTATATTTCTATTCCATGCCTCACAGAAATCATCAAGTTTAGTTGCACGAATTGAAAACTCTAACTCTGCCTTTTTCCCCCCTGCATATGTGAATAAAATTTATGTAACATATGTAAAAATCAAAGCGTCCTGGAATCAATTAATGCCGAAAAAAAGGTTTTACTTTGACTCGTGGAGAAAAAAAAATATATGTATATATAATTTGTATGTTTGTGTCTCTGTTTTTAAACAATCATGATTCAACATTTTTAGTTCCTCTGTTACTTTGTTTTTGTAAACAACACAACGCCAACAAAACATCCCTGAATGAGGCCTGATGATTTTGATGTGAGCTCTTATTTAGGTATTTAAGCCTTAACAGGTGGTAGGCAGGAGTGAAAACTTTCTTATGTACTGTAAGTGGGAGAAAGTGTGCCCTTAATATTACCTTGAGTCAACCGTCAGTTTTAAGGCCTGTGTAAAAGCTGTAGTAAAGCCCTCTCTGTAGTTGCTGTTGAACTGGAAAACAGATTAAATCACACCTAAGTGGATCCATATTGGGGTCTCTGCTTTGCCTAACACTGTCACTTATTAATCAGATATATCGGTGAAGTTGGTGTGCCTTCAAAAGCTGGTGCCTTAAAAATATTGCCCCAACAAATCATAATTCCAACCTTTACTTTCAATTTAACCCCATAGGGTACAACAAAGAATCAGAGAGCACTGTCAAATTGGACAGGTAGGAATATACTGCAAAAAAAAAAATAGACAAGCGAAAACAAAATGAATCAATCAGTAAATATTTTGGCCGACTTGTTCCAAGCAAAGTTCTCCCAGGGATGACAGCAATGCTATCTTGTTGCTTTTTGTGCCATTCCCTTGAGTGTTTCAAATGTGTGTGCTCCTATTATTTTAACCACTTGTAACAATAACCCATGACCCACAGGAAGTTAAAAGTTATTTTTATTTCTCATTTGGCAGAAGAAACTATAAGAGTAGAGGTTGGGTTCAGGTTGTCGGTCATCTTCAGTCCATTCATCTGGACCCCAAAACCAGTCCATTTAAAGCGAGTTTTTCCCTTTTTTTCTTCCCTTTTCTGTTTCTACTTTTCTCCCACTTCAGATATCTGTGGCTGAGATGGATGCTTATCACAGAATTACAAAATGACAAGAATAGTTTCATAAATTAGCTGTGGTGGATAATTTTTTTCCAATATTAAGCAGGTTTTATTTAAAACTTTTTGTTGAAAGGTGATGATGTTACAGAGCAAAGTGAATAGCACAAACATTAAACAAAGGTGTGCAAACAGTTATGTAAACAAATCTCTTGTTTATTTTAATTTCTACCCATTGGAATCTAATAAGAAACTTTAAAAAATTAGATTTTAGTGCAAACTGAATCTAGATATTCCAACACTGTAAAAGATATGTCAAGATTAAATTGATGTGAAACTACCCTTAGATTTTTTTCAATGATGATTTGGATATTTCTGCGTCTGCATATTATATCAAGTAAATTACAGTTAGGGATGAGGACATTTACCGCACAAAGAGTAAATGTTTCTTTTTTATTGCGTTGCTTAGTCACTACAGGGGTATGACCTTTGTCGTTACCCAGTTAACATCACCTCCTCACACTCTGTGTAGTCACACACGCACATACAGGGTCACATGTAGCAGTATATACACATACTAAACCTCACGTTGTTCACGAGGGAGATGATTTTCCATCTGGATCGTTTGATACAGTAGAAACTAATTACCCTTGATATGCTTTTTCAGATCGGCTATGTCTCACACCACACAGTGTTCAAAGTATAAAAGACATCCCTTAAAGTCAAGTGCAGTTTAGTGGGTGTAGTGTGAGAATAAGAAGAATGATTTGGAGAAATAAATATCACACAATATGATATATATCTTCAGCTTTGCTTTGTTTTAAGAATTAATGTTTAAAATGTGAATTCTGATCTCAAACTAATCAACAGGACTAGGACTAGTAAGAAAAATCAATCTTTTACAGACAAACTGAGGTTAGTGGAAGGAATTTGTCCTTTGCTTGTGCACTAAATTTTAAACAAATAAGTGATAACTTTTGAGTATATATATATATATTTTTTTTGTAAATTGAAAATATTTAGCACTTGAACTAAATGTATTTACAATTAATCTATTTTACTCCCTTATAGTAGCCTTTGGTCCCAAAACAAACATTTAAAATACTCAATTTAATAAGATTATTACAAACGATATAAAAAAACAAACAAAATAGTCAGGTATTGGTTTGACTGTGTGAGTGCGTTAGCTCAAGGAACAGAAAAAAAAACTGTACAAGAGTAATGAAAACTTAAAAGTCAATGTAGTCATAGGTAAAATCATAGAGATTTATTTATAAATCCATATTTAAATTAGTGTCTTGGATAATTAGGAGTTGGGGTTGAAAAACAAACAAATAAATGCACGCCTGATTGTTTGCCTTCCCATTGCCTGAGAAAATAACTTTCTCTTTGAAAAGGAGTCCAGTGTTTGCGTTGCATCCTCAATTATCAGCAGCTGCATTAAAACAGTATTCAAACAGGATACCAAGGTCAGCACTGACTCCCACCACGCTTCCCTGAGATGGCACATATAATGAGGATGTAGCACAGCTTTTTAAAGTCGTGTATTTATAGTGTGTTTTGTCTCAACTTGTACTTATCTTTCCCTTTTTTCTTTTCATCTATTTTCATATAATAATTGTTTTTTACTCTACTAAAAAACAGCTTTAGTATTAGCGATCTGTTGCACATTTCATAATACCGTATATTCACCTACTTGAAGTGAGGATTTCTTACAGACAGGCTTAATTCAAGATATTAACATCAAGGTTTTTTGCATGGAAAAGCGCTCGTAAAAATGGTCAACTAAGTACCCTTGAAATTAACTGAGAGGAAATGGTGAAAGAGCTGTCAAATAATCTGCCTATATTCTTCACCGTAAATGTTACGTCTGGGAGAAAAAAAAGGTAAATAGAGGCAATAATGTGCAAAAAAAAAAACCATCTGTAATTCAGACGAGGAAGGATTCTGTTTTTGGGAAGGAGGAGGGTGGAAACACTATAGGAGAGATCACTTCTTTAAAACTAGCCTGGGAAAATAAAGCGGTGAGAATAATAGGCTTCCTGTCAAAAGAGGCGAGAGAATTCCTGTCATTGCTCACAGCGGCACCCCTAAGACCTTTCCTTGTGTTAAACCTGCAGGCATTTATTTGCTTTAGAATTACCTGCCAGCTCAATTTAGTAATGGCCTGTGTCATAAGAAAGCAAACCCTTCCCTTTGCCCCTGCCCTTCCATACCTGTATGTCTACACCAGTGTGTGTCTGTGTGTGTGTGTGTGACAAAGGGAAGCAGAGAACTTTCTTTCATTTACTTACTGATCGCCCTCTTTTATTTTCATCTCTACTTTGAAGCTCTCAGTGGTATGTGCCGGGTGTAAAGGTTTGTGTGCATATCTGCTGAATAAGCAAATCAATAAGAACTTTTTAACAATCAGCTGGTTAAAAAACTTGATGACCTCATCCCTCCATGTCCCCTCCACTTCCCCTCATCATCCGACCCACACAGCTGACAGCCTCAGGGAACAACCCCGACACACAAAATTACCCATATTGAAACAATGACCATCCTATTTATAAGTTCACCGCCCTGCCTTTGTATCAGCTGACAACACTTCACTTGTACACATACACACTGATGGCTAATGGTGACTGGATAGGGGAAGGTCCTGGTTTCTCTTACCCTGTTGCCATTTTGCAGCAGATCTGTGGATTTGCCCGGCTTTTGATGTATACTTTGTGGATAATTAGTGAGAACAGGGTCACCACGGGGCAAGAAAGCAAAACCCCGTTGTTCTTGTAGTGGGTGGGTGGCTGGGAAGGAGGTTAGACTGGGTCGTAAGGATGTGTGAGGGTGTTGGGGTCGAGGTTAGAAGGCTGCCAGTTTCTTTTTGCTGCACTGTGGTTGAATAAATAAACCCCGGTGTCTCTCTCTTCTGTGCTTTTTTTAAGAGTATGAAAAATGTGTTTTGCTTTATCTCATCAAGCAAGATGATAAATAGTTCATGCTTAATCCAACCAGACCCACTTGAATGAGCCCAAATAAGTTGCAAGTAACTCCATTTAACCCTTAGAACTTCCAGCTTTATTTAGCTATTTTTGGTCCGCCTGTTTTTTTTTTTTTTTTTTTTTTGTAAAATCTATGTAGCAACTCTGTCCTTTTAAGCACAGCATATATATACACACCTTTTTACTTAGGACAACCTCAGCTGTCAGTTTATGGGTGCAAAAATTATGTAAAATGAATGAGACAGTAGATTCAGAACCATCAAAAGTGGAAATTGATACCAACAGTACTTTGCTCAAAAAACACATAAATCTAGAGTGACAAAGCCTCTTCTCACCTGCACATCATACTGTTAAGTCTTGGCTATCAGTAGAAGAAATTTTGGGATTGGAACAAACACACAACAGAAACTATTTACATATTTACAATAATTCTTCCAGGTGTTTTTGTTATTTACAGTTGTTTATGCCACTCCTTAAAGCAGTTCCTGTCTGGGATGAGACAGAGGGTCACATCATACTGCTCATAATCTCATCTTTGCTTGTTTCCAAGCATTGAGGACCGTTATTTCTTATTTTGCAGACAAGCAGGGAACCTTCTTGTCTCTTATTGATCTTTGGTTGCCTCTTATTGGACACTCCTGTCAAGGGTACAATAGAGGAAGAAAATGAGACCATGTAATTGGTCGAAAGTTTGACAGAAAAAGATGTCCGCATCACAGCTTGTCAAACCCGGAAGACATTAGCGGCATTTAGTGATAGTGATCTTTTTTTATCACAACAGTATGATAAATAATCATGCTTTCACCAGTATATCACTGCAGATTTACCATCAAACGTCTTTGATCAAACACCTATTTTTGTGGCTGGATTGTAAACCTTGTGGGGTAAGCTTTTGAACACTTTTTATCCCATAGAGAAACACTGTATAGTGCCCAAGAAACTGTAAACAACATTAATGGTGTCACGTGGGATTGCTGACGATCCAGTGGAGTTCTAGGTGTTAAATATGACAGAGGCCCCTTTAAAACTCTTAATACAATTAGTACAACTACCTGTTAACATGAACAGGTCATCAACAGACCATTAAGCACAATGCAAATCCAACACAAAGGTGATTTATGGGCAGTGTGTGGCGTCTGGAGTGCAGGGTGGCTACTTGTGTACGTTCTACCATTCCAGCATTGTGTGAAAGTAAACACGAAAGTGTTGATGGGAGCTGGGGAACAACAGCACAGGCAGCAGGACACTGATTGGGATGTTGATGTTCATCATCTCCACTGGCCTTTTGCCCTTCCTGCTGTGGCCCCCAGCTTGTCCCCGACAGATACCCCGGGTCATTTCCTATGCGTGTCAACGCACAGATATACACTCTCCTCAGCGAGTGTTTACAGCCACATGCTGATTTCTATTAATCTGCTTCTTGTCGGAACAGGGTGGAGAGGCAACCCTGGTGGGTTTGTGTTGAATTGGGAGGCCACTGAAGGTGGGTGAAACATTCACACACACAACCTGAAAGCCCTGTCTGACAGATTGCACCAGGCCTGGACTTCTTTTTACACTGAGCAGATGTGGTCTCCCACTTGTTTTCCTTAGTAATTATCCCTCATTAAGTGAAAGCATGTGCCAATCAAACAGCTTGAGAGCGAGAGCGGGGCCTGAGCCAGGGCAGAGAGAAAGAGGGAGAGAAGCAAGCAGAGAGACCTATAGCCTCATCTCCACTGTTTTTTCTTGCACAGTGTCATTTCAGAGTCATTACTAGATTAAAGGCAAGCTCTGCCGCGCTGTGAGAGAGCTGCAGCAGCTGCAGCACTGGCATTATTATGGCTCATTTGACTTTCTAGTGGTTACAAATTTGATGATTATCACATTTAACACTTGCCATGTTCAATTAGAGCTTAATGCAATGAAGAGCTTTCAATCTTAAAAGGAGTTTCTCTGTCATTTGCTTCATTGGTGTCTAGGGATTATTTCTTTGAAAATTGAGCCCTCTTTTTTTTTTAATATTTGAAGCTCAGCAGTATGTGGTCTCTCTCTGGACATATAATGAAAGGACTTGCTGTAAGGTAAAAAATAAATTATTTTTGCTTGTCTAGATTAAAAAAAATAGTCCATCTACTCCAAAAAAAACTAAAAAGAAACCTCTAACTCTAACAGGTTTTAATCAGTCAGTTCATGTGTTTTATCAATTTCTTTTTGTTCACATTGATGCTCAGCTATAAAAGAAAAATTGTAACCAACCACTCTATTGCTAACGCACACAGGCTTAGTCATTAATGATTGACTGAACATGAAGAAAGAGTCAAACATTTCCCATACCAGAGAGAGACAGATGCTTCAGTGTGTCAGCTCGATATTTAAGTAAAATATCGAGCTGACACACTGAAGCATCTGTGTCTTGAATTGATGGTTAGATGTTTAATGTAAAAAAAAAAGAAAGAAAGAAGAGAGAGAGAAAAAAAAAGATGATTAGGAAACATGAATAATTGTTTAACTTGCTTTGGGGCCTTTGTGCTCTTACATGGTCAAATAAAACCCTTCTGCAACTTGAAGTACACCTCAACGTGCCTCATAGAAATATTTGTTCTTAGGAGCACTTACAGTATGTGACCTGACCAGAAATACACATTTTTATTTCATTTAAAGATAAATGGAAAAATGTGCTTTTTCTCAGAATCCTCTTGCCCTGTAATGTTTTTCAGACAGTGACAAAAAAAGCGATTCTAACAAGAGTAGGTGGCTGAAACAAAAGAGAGAAGTCTCCTCCAAAAAAAAAAAAAAAAAAAGATGAAAAAACCAAAAAGGAAGATATATGAAGTCTTCATGTCGATGAACTACCATTCATTTTCACTTTGAAGTCCTGCGAACCGTAGTGAAGTGTGATTGCATGTGACAGTTGCCGAGTCTGCCGGTTTATCATGATGGATACACCCTGCCATTGTGGTGGTGGTGCTGTAGCACACACATACGCACCTTTGCTCGCTCATGTACTCTCACACATACACAGATTGGTGGATATGGAGACATGGAAGAAGTGGGTTCGTGTAGAAACAAGAGGTAGAACATAGAAACAGAAGAAACAGATCATACATTTACAAAGGAAGGGGAATTCAGAACCTTTTTCATGTGATGTGGTTTCAGAGCTATTGAGCATTCATAGTGTAGTAATAGTTTCCCTTGATTTTTGAAAATTTTAATAGTTTATCTGTAAAATAAGTTGAACACAAGTATAGTTTTATATTTGAAACCTGTTTAAACGGATGCCATTTAAAAGTTAGATCCACGCTGTGTAGACCTATTTTGGCATTTTTAAGTTTAGGGGTATAGTTCGATTTTTTTACAGCTATTCTTTAAGGGACAAACTGGCAGGTTCATGTATTGAATGAAAACATCGATCCAAAGCTTATAATTAGACACAGTTGCATAATTATATTTTATGAATCTGTCTCTGCTGACTTACATTCCTTTGTACGTACAAGGTAAAAGATACAGCATAGATACAGACAATTTAAACTGTGAAAAAAAGTCAGATTTTCTACACTCTCTTTCTGTCCCTCCGTCACTCACGCCTTCATGGGCATACGATCCACACACTCTCCTACACACTTCTTGATTTTGACACATGCCATTAACCCCAGCTCGGCTCACCTCACTGGGAAACAGGAGAGCAAAGGCATCACATAATGGTACCTGAAGCAATCTTTTCCCTGTTTTGTACCCAAAAGCAACTTGTTCAGACTTTGCATATTGCTTCCATTTGTCATTGTTAGTCAAGGGCACTGCAACACAGCCCTGTCAGCGGTGCAGTTTTACGTGTTCTGGCTAACAGTGTTTGCACAAGATGTGTGCTTATGTGTGTGTGTGTGTGTGTGTGCATGAATCTGTCAGTTGATTTTAAATTTGTACCCATGCTTACAAATGTATGCAAATGAATAAGTGGACATATTGCACACGAGATGTAGAAAAAGACCAAGGATAAAGCTCAAAATGTTCCCCAAGTAAGGAGTGCGCTCTTACCTTTGGAAAAACCTATTTGAAGGTTTTTCTCTCCATAAAAAAACACTTTGAAAGAAAAAAAAAGGTAAGCAGAAGCTCTGTTGCTATAAAGGGAGAACAAGGGCAGACATCTTACCCTAGACCACAGAAACTTTACTTCGCTTCTGCAGAACTATACCTTTGGCTGGGTTGCAAACAGCTGAACAAAAAAAAAAGTTTACAAAAGGGAAGGCAGTGAGGCCATCTACTTTCAATAGTTATTTTGAGTAAAGAGTGGACTCAGTATTGAAGCCCCTTACAGACTACTTTTTCCCTCTTTAGTCCCAAATATTTACTGTACAGCAATTACCAATTGAGTTTGTTCCTCCCCATGTGACTTTTCCTTTCTTATACTGTCTTATTGTTACATTAATCAATGCTATTCTACCCGTTTAACCTTGAAGATGATTAAGTGCAAAGGAATGCAAGCTATCAGGTGAAGTGTATGTATAACTGCATGTCTGCAAGTTTGAACTTTGTGCATGCAAATGGGAGTGTGTGATACACTCTTATGTGTGTTTTTATTCTCTAAAATGCATTTCAGCATTAGTTAATTCTTGTGTTTAAAAAATGAGAGGTAGGTGTATCTAATTGGAAGTTTTCATCAATGAAATATATAATCATATACATGTACTATACTGCATTTCTACATATTTTTGGATCCATTTCCATGTGCATTCACACTACATATAGAACGCATGTGTACCAAACTTCATGCACTGAGTAACAGAGCATGCATATGTGCATGTGTGTCCATTTACAGTTCTCATAAACCAAACCAAGTCCCCAGCTGCTATTTCTCTGGATTTTCACTCTTCCATATTCCCCCCCTCTCTGTCAGAGGAAAAGTATGCAATTAGAAAACACCCTGCAAGATTGACAGCAAGATCACATACAATTTGACAAGGGGGCGCCACAGAAAGGCCCGTTGGATACCTAAGTATTTTTAATTAAACAGCTCTCTGCTCTGGCGGCGTGCTTTTCCTCACCAGTTCAAAGACGCCTGCTTTGACCCATGTGTTAAATGTTTGTATCAGTTTTCCACGGCTATGTTTTGCTTGGCGTCTCAGACACGCAACCCTAAATTGTCTTATTTAAAAGCTAGTTTGTTTACAGTTCACTCTATTTCTCGTGCTCTCTTTTCCGCCCCCTGTACCACATGTGTGGAGTGTGATCAGGTTCAGGGTGTAGTTTCCCACTCCCAGCAGGCCCACATTTTGTAAATGGAGTTAATTTTCAAGACGAAAAAAAAAAAAAGATGTGTTTTGGCGAATGGAAAGACCCGCTGCACAAGTCCATCACCCTTTCACCTTGCTGCCATTCTGGTTTATTTAAACGTTAAAACAAGTAAAATAGAGTGCTCATCTGTTACATGGGAGCTTCATCAATAACATTTGTCCGTCTGATGTAAAATCAATACGACACACACTGACACAATGCCAGAGCAATGGCAAATGTGTCGTCATTTGTCATCGACTGGCAATAGAGATATGTCAGAATTGATTTTAGCCCCCCCTCCCCCCTTCTCTCCCTTGCCTTGCTTCTCCTCTTCACTCTTTCGCAGTAGCAGTAATAAAAGAAAAGAAATGAATGGTATTTTTGACTGAGACATGGTCAGCCTTGCCAAAGCCAATTAATATTGGAGCAATGGGCTGTAATGATTTGTTGTGATTTCACAGAAAAATTCCCTGCCAGAGATGTAAAGAAGGGCGATGGACGGTTGGGCGGGTCTATTCTCTGGTGGGAAATGTTTTGTTTTGGCTTCAATCATTACAGATGTTTTAACAGACTTACAAACTCAGGTTTTTTTGCACTTCTGGGTTGGCTGTCAGAGTGGTTTGTGAACTACCATGTGTTTAAAAAAAAAAAACTCTAACCTTGAATTGAGACACTTTATAGATCTTTAAATCATGTTCAAAGTTGACAGAATTACCTCTTGTGTGTGCTTGTTTTGGATGGCTGAGGTTGGGTTGTTATCTTCAACCTGTATAGTGATGTTTCATTCAGTTCAAAAATGTGTTTGTGTGTATGTTTGTGTATATTTGAGCTTTTTTTTAAATGACTCAGGTTCTGAAATTACAAAATAGCCTAGAGGCAAATTATTCGCCTCAAGCCTTAGTTTAAATCCAGATATGATACAGTTCACTGTTTGCACACTTTGCACGGAATAGCCACCAAAAATCTGTCGGACAAAAGCTCTGAATAGCCTTATATGCCAAATAACTTATATTCACTTGCAAAAAAACACAGAAAAATGCTAAGCCAATACATTACATTAAGTTTTTAAAGGTTAGTTTTTTTCCAATCATGCACTGAGAGACAGCAGGTCAGTGCCATCCTGCTACATTGAGACAAAAAGGTAAAAAGAGACTCCTGATGATCAATTATAGGTGTTTCCAAAGATGCAGGGCGATTCAGCTATCTCATCATTCAACTGTATATATATATATTTTTTGTTGTTATGATGCTCATGTTTTACCATAGATACCCCTAGATAAGTCAGCAAAAGCAACATAGTCCTTCTCGTCATTCAGTGGGATGTAAAATTCCATCATACTCATCCTGATTAAATTGTGGGAGACAGTAATGACACTCAGTGCTGTGAATTCTCTTGCCTATGTTACATTTCATTTGGTTGTTAACCTTTCTCCCTCCAGTGCGTGAGTCAGTTTTTTCAATGTCTCTCTGGGACAAGAGTTCAAGTTTGGCCACAATTTCTCTCATCCTTAATAAAAAAACAGCAGGGAGACCTGGCGGCCTGTTGGCACTCAGGTCTCAGAGTTATCCTCATGGGCGCGCCTAGACTTTTTGAACTGGGTGGCACAAATGAGACACTGACATAGGCAGGGGTGGCCGGGATTTGTGTGCACACACCGGTTTTTAGCATTTACACTCTCTGTCTTCACCATCTGCTTAAGCAACTATCATTGAAGTGTTTTTGAGATATTTCAGCCCTGTATATAGCTTTAGTTAAATAATATATTACAAATCAATATGTGTATCAGCAAGTCAAATGAACTTGAAGTATAATTATTTAGTAATAAGACAAGATACGATGATCATTTATTCATTCACCAACAGAAAAATTGCATCATTACTGCAGTAAATTTAATAACAAAAAACTGCTGAGCCTGCAAATTATCTCATTGGATTACATGATCTTGATTAATTGAGAGAAAATACATAATTTTATGTGTTGATATCTGTCTCCTTTTAATATCAGGTAAAATTTAGATCAGCTGTACAAAAGAGAGGATGCCATTTTTAAATTTTTAAGCAGCTGTCAGATTGAGCAGAGATATCGGTGTGGGTCACATACAGCTGTTTGTGTACAGATAGCTCCCATGCTGCTTTGTACTTTCTTGAATGCAGTTACAGCACAGTCTGATGTGGCTCCACAGTATAAGTGTGTGTGTGTGCTCCATTCTGTGTCCGTTGTGTATGTTTGTGTGTCAGATTTGCCATCGCGGTTTGTTGCCACTGGGTTGTGTGTACCCAAGTTGCACCGCTGGTAGCAAGCAACATCTGTTTCGGGGTTGTTGTTCCTCTTGGCTGCTTTTCAATTGGATTTCCTCAAGCAGGGCCAAAAGCTGTCACCTCTGCCAGGCTCTGTTAGCAATCACCGCCGGCCCCTATATTAAGTAGGTGGTTCAGGGCTAAGCTAATAACTCTCCCTCCTCTCCTGAGCCATCATACACCAGAACTGGTGTTACTGCTGGCCTCAGTGTGTGCCTGTTTGTATGTGTGAGTGTGTGTACTCTCAGGTTTTCTCTGTAGCTATGCAGCCTGTAGGGGCAGGCTGGCTAGGGGGTCCCTTGCTCAATGTGACAGCCCATTTGACTGGATGCGTGTGCGGGAAATACATGTGGAGAGTCCTAATAGCTCTTCTCAAAGAATGACTGATCAGCTTTCCCTATTAAAGTGCAACAGGATGGAAACAGGAAGGAATCTTTGACCCTAAACCCACCATCACACAAAGATTACGTTCTGTAATACGTCATCGTAAAGAGAACTGAAGACAGATTTTGACGATACCAGACAAAAACTTAAGGCCTGTGTGTTTTTTGAAAGACTGCAAAAAAAGTTGTACTCTGTGCCCAACCCATTTCAGTTATATTCAAAGTGAATGGAGTAAAATCTGTTGCCCTGTATAGAAAGTTCCTCTGAATTCTCCTGTGTTAGGTGGGTGTTTTTTTTTTCTCTCACTATAAACATCATAGTGCCTTATGTTGTGCTTGAGTTCAGCAAATCTTAGCTGGGTGTCACAGAGCTTTTATCGAGTGGTGTTTACCTCATCAAACTGACAGGGTGGCTGGCAGCCCGCCCTACCTGTCTGTCTGCTTTCAGGTCTCACTGCCAGCTTCTCCAGCCAGCTGGAGCAGCTACACCGAGCTGGATTTGAACTGAGGACCTGCAAAGTATCAACTCCCTGTTTCACAGCTTTGACAGACACTTTGATTTGACATGCCATGAGCAGTTAAAGTGAAAGTTATGTATACATGTTAATTAAACTGTTTATCCGTGGAGGGGTCAGAGACATTAGCAAGCCCCAGTGTAGAAGTGTGAATTTCTTTTCTTTTTCCCCCCATCACAGCGTTTTAACCTCTTCTGTCTCTCATTTCCGTAATGATTACCAGGTGCAAGGGCAGAATTTTTCCTCCCTTTTTTTGCCAAGAGGGGATGCAGATAGGTCTATTTGTGAAAAGTGTCTCTGTGTGTTTGAATTTAGGCTGGAGTATTTGACGTCTGGTCCAGCTCGTTCAAATAGCTCTAATTTTTGCTTTTGGTCGAGACAAAATGGATGTGGAGGTTGTGGTCTTTAGCAGATTTGCCAGTCTGATTGAAAGACGTCTTTTGTGATAAACTCTATTCGGAAAGTGCAAATTATTTTTGATGTTTTAATCATTTTAGGGTTTGGTGCAACTTTAGTAAAAGTGTATTCAGCAAGAACTCCATGAATGGTGCCATGCAAATGCAGGACACTGTTTGATTCATCCTTTTACTTTGAGTGCTTGAACCACAGTAGACATCTTATACATCTAATTTCCTGTCAATGTGTATATGCAAAGGCTGAAGTTATTCCCTCTGGTCAAGTGTCTGTTTCTAAATGTTTCAGCCCATTAACTGAAACCGTGTTTAGACGTGCATTACTGCAAAACTATGTTGTATCACAGACCAAATCATTCTGATGATATAATTTAACCACGCACACAGAGTCTTGTGGCTGTAAGGACACAGAGAGAAAGCTTTGATTTTTTTAGCACCAAGGCTACATTACCCCACAGACTATCCAGTGACACATGTTTCATATTGAACCCTTTTTTTGGGTAATAGCAAACAGACATGATATTTAAAATGATACGATAAGGTTGGATGAAATAAACTACAAGATATAGTTTTTAAAAAAAAATCATTGATAGTTTTACATTGACAAATAAATCAGCCAATGGGACACACAGTCATTTTTGCTAGTAATGAGACTCTTGTGGTGATAATCTAGAGATGGGTGAGTAATCCAAGATCAATCAAAAATTACAACATAATCTTGCATATGTGGATTATCACAGGTACTGTGCTGTCCCCTAAAAACAACCTCAGTGTGTATAAAACCACCTGAATCTGCCTTGTCAAGTCTGGGACATGTGAGCAACATGTTGGACAACTGGAACACTGAACAAACTGAACGACTTAAGCATTTACTTTATTGCCTTTTATGTTTATTTTACTGCTCTGAAGATTAATCCCTGAGTTATATTTTATCTTTTTTTTTTTGCTTTAGCTAGAATTCTGTTGAAGAAACAACTTTAAATAAACAGCTTTTTTCAAATTAGTGCTAGATGTCTAAGTTATCTAACCATAATTGACTGGTTTTAAAGAACAATGGAGAATCAACCCAATGTGGTCATTGATAAGATTATTAAAGCAATGCTTAACACTATTAGTGCAAGTAAGTAAGTCATAAGTCATATTACACAGAGTCTTTAGAATAAATGCTAGTTCATTATTGATGTGGTCATAAATACCACATGAATGAGTCATACATGATGTGGTATAGACTTATTGGGTCTGCAATAAAGTTTATAATAATAATAATAATAATACATTAACTCATTATTATGGGAGTATTAACAAAACAATAATAAATGTTACACATGAATACAACAACTTTAAATTTTTATAAATTCATAGAAAACATGTTTTATAACAGGGATGATAAAATTTTCTTTTTTTTATTATGACATGTTTAAAAAATTGTTCATGAAAGTTTAAAAACATCCTTAATATTAATGAGAAATAGAAATGTGTCACTTCGCACCCAAGATATGAAAACCAATCGCTTTACATTGTTTGGTCAACTGCTTCTTACACACTTAAATATGATATTGTGTATGAAAGGTCACAGGCTTCACCCTAGCAGGTCGTAGTATAACCAGCAAAGTATCTTAAATCTGTGGAAAGTACTCTTCATCTTAACAGTACCATCTCTCCTGCTCATTCACTCGTCTCAATATGTAAAAACCCACTCATTGGTTCTGCCTCCTTGCAGCTGAACAAGATCTGTTCGTCTTAATGGGCAGGTTACAAGAACCTTTCAAAGGAGAACCATTAAGATCTTCAATCAATCCTATAATTTCACACACAATGATGCTATTCAGTTGCCAGGCTTATACCAACACTGGAGTAAAGCTTTCATGACAAGTGTTTAATGCACCGAGTTGAAGCTTTTATCGAGTATTAGTCACAAGGACATATGAGGTAGACTAGGTACATTTCCACATGGTGGGGTTTAAACATCACAATCAGCCTGAAGTAAAATGCACCCAAGTTAAAAACCACAACATCCTGCTTTAAATGAATTACCTCAAAGTTTTTAAAGTGAATAGATCCCTACTTTTATTTTATCCTTTAGGTTTTCACAGACAGAGCTCTCAGTATACGAAGATAACAAGTACCACCCTTGTTGAAATAAACAAATGCTATTTTCTGTATTGCAGCATCTCTCTGGAGTGATCATGTTTTTGGTCAAACACACTGTTTGTTGGCTTTAACTTTTTAAACATACAATTGTTCCCTAATTAGCTGGATGCTAATTAATTTATGCTCCCCTGTTTGATGTACAGTAAAGCAATACTTTGAAAGCAACTGCGTTTATTCCGTGCATAAATTTGTCGAATTTGCCGCTGAGTTCAAAAGAAACAGGACTGGATTTAGAAAAGCACACATGCATTTAAATAATGCGCCCCATTTTTTGTCTCTGTTTGTTTTTAGTGGGAATATTAATGAATTAACATTTTAAACAATCTATCATTATTGTTGTGCTGCCACTTATTTTTAACTTAATCATATTTTAATTGATCATTTTTCTCAACAGTATGTTTGCCCCACTTTGTTCCCTACACAACAAAAGATTAATTACAAATAAGATGAATGATCAAAAACATGATAATCAAATTGCAACAGTAAGTAGGAAATTGCAATTCTAATGTAATACAACTGGGTATGTGTTGTAAATTAACCTCCCACTGTCTTATTGTATGTGAGTGTTTGGATACATACTTGCTCATGAGTGTTTGTGAAAACAGCATACATTTTCTTACACAAAAGTTTGGGTTGTTTTATACTCGAACATTAACTGATTTTAATAAGTAAGTGATATATTACTTGCTCCATTGTTGGGTTGGGTTTACTAGAAGTTTAATCCCAGGACAAGAGCTGCAAGGAATTATATATGTTTTAAGGTTTTGTACTAGTTTTTTTAATCATATTGAACCTGCTGAAAGTATTAAACAGCATAGAAGTTTTTGACAACGCTGATATTTTGGTCTTGTATCTGTAAATTTAGTTAACTTCATCAACAGACATGAGCACATCACTCCTGACCTTAGCTCCCGTCATTGGCTTCCCGTCTCTTAAAGGATTGATTTTAAACTTAAAATGTTTGTTGTTAAAGCTCTCAACAGCCTCGCCCCCATCTATTTAACTGAGCTTTTAACCGTTCGGGAGCCGAGAAGAGCTCTGAGGTCGTCAAGCCAACTTCTGCTGGAAGTGCCCAGATCGAAACACAAACACTGGGGTGACCGAGCCTTATCAAGTGTTGGTCACAGGCTCTGGAATAAGCTCTCCACCAAAATGAGACTTATTTCCAACCAGGGCCTTTTTAAATCTCGATTGAAAATGTATTTATTTATGCTGGCTTTTAATACCCTGTATTGTGGTTACACTTTATTTTATTGAATTGTATCTTATTCTATTTTTATTGCTTTTATTGTTTTTATTTATTCATTTTTACCATGTATTGTAAAGCACTTTGGTTCACCAAAAGGGTTGTTGTAAACGACTGTATGAATAAAAAACATTTTCTTTTACATTTACAATATCGATGAAAAATGGTGAAAATCTACAGAGTCATATTGTTATGAATAGTGGCATGCTTTTTTAAATTTTTGTTAAGATCAACAACACTTTAAAAAACGTCCAATAAGAAGTGAAATAAAACAGCTGGTGTCAGTCCTCGGCTTGACATCCCCTGTTATGCCTCTTGTCTTGAGCCTGTCAGAGTGCAGCTGAATTGTCATTTTAAACAGGATGGATGTACAAAGGTGTCACCTGACAGCCCGACAGGGCAATCCAGTCCCTGGAGGACAGGAGAGCGGCTAGCAGGAGGTGAATGGGCAGTAGTATGGACTTGAGGTTGTCGTTGTTGGCGTGTCACTCTGAATGGGTCCCCAAATCATGTTGTCAATGGTGATGCATCGAGACCTCCCGCTGGCCAAAATTGGATGCTCCAAACTGGACTTGATTGATGCATTGACCGGAGTGCGTCTGCCAAGATGTGTCCTTACCATCTTAAAGATGAAACAACATAAACACATTCTAAGAACAGGAAAGGAAATGATGTACTTATAAAAGTTTTTCATGTGTGACAGACCCACATTGAAATACTGTTGACTTATCAAAGAATCTATCCCACCCAACAACCTTGAGAGATATAGGATTTTACCTGCCATTTAATTTTTCTTGGTACATCCCTTTTTGTAGAGCGGTTCAATTGGTGCTCAGAGAATGTTTCTGTTTCTTTTGAGGCAACAGTATTCGTTATGGCCTGAAGGCGAATGCACAGCTTGTACATTCAGCAGATACACAATGGATTGGAATGAAAAATATCTGTTTTTCTGTGACCAAAAGTGCAGCCTTTATGCTTCCAAGGGCATGGCATTCTTGCGCCCTGGGTACTAGCCGTGGAGTTTTGTGAACATGAAATATCTTCTTTTATGTGTCATTTTTTTCATTATGCTCCCTCTGTCTCTCTCTTTCTCCGCTTTCCTCGAATGGTTTCCTTGATAGTCTCGTCTGGCCTGAGTTGCTCTCTTTATGTGCGTGTGTGTCTTTTAATATGATTCTGTGGTCATATTGTCCTCTTGTACAATTTATGTCTTTGTGTTTTTGTTGCTTATGTTTTTGAATGATTTTTTTTTTGTGTCTGTGTATACGTGCGTGGGCCTGATCTTGTGCTAAATGTGTGTTTGTTGATGTTCCGTCATATACAGTATACGTGTGTTTTTTGTGTCTAACAACACAGACTGAGCACAGGCACTTGAGATTTTCTGTTTCGACAAAGCTGTGTGGAACCTTGGATTTGAGCCTTTGATGGCTTAGTGGGGGCTGGAATGAGGAGCTTGAGTATTGTAGTAGAAACAAATGCAAGCTGAGCCTCAGTGAGGTGGCCCAGTTTGGAGAAGTTGTACTCTTTTAAGTCCTCTTCGTCTACCCACACGTCTATCTCCGATCTTTTTTAACTCTGTTTGGCTGGGATAGATGGATTAAAAATCACCCCGAATCAGTTTGTATCAGTCTGCTTATTACGTACTGTAACAGTGGTTAAGAGAGAAAACAACTGTAACAACTTTGTCCTCCTCTTTCTCTTACCCTCTCTTTCTCTCTCTCTTTCTTTGTCTGTGTTTGCAGGGCTTGTTCATCTTCCTGATATATGGGGTGTACAACACAGAGGTAAGTCTGCATTGTGTCTCAAGGCTGTCGGAGTGAATGAGAGAAATGACAAGTTTCTGATGGGCTCCCTGCTTGAAAGCTGTGTGGGTGAATGGGTGTGTATGTGTGCGATCGTGCATCTGTGGATGGGTGGAGGGATGAGTACGAGGGGAGGGGACATCGTTTCCACGCAAGCGTCCCACTGCCCTTCATGCTTGGACTAACTTATATGCATCCGAGTCCGACCATTAAACACTGACACGCCGCCGTTCTCAGCCACTCATTCCTCACCCACATTGGCTAATATTTCACTGCCTCTTTAAGTTTTTAAACTCACGGCCCTCCATTTAGCATCCTGACAAAGCCACCGACCAGGGCTTCAAGGGGCCCCGAGCGGTTACCATAGTAGGATGTGAAAAGAAAAACAGTATGCAACCAACAATATGCAATGAAGGAGTCAGGATATCATATTGAGATGCTGCTTTATCACCATTTACATATGCTGTGGCTTTTTGGAGACAGAGACAGGGAGATACGCTTTAATGCATGAGACTCAGGTTATGAAAATCACTCTGTAGATAGGACCTGAGAATAGGTAACAATTGGTTTCACTTTCAAAATACACCTTTTTATGAAAGGAGGTGTATTTTGAAAGCTCGGATATGTCACTTCATGTTTATCACAATGATACAGGTAATGTTTGAAAAAGTATGCATTATCCCTTTGAGAGTGTCTTTAAGTCTGTATTTTCCTATGAATGCATTGAATAGATAAGTTAGATAAAAAAAAAGATAAAGGTTTGCGATAAATGCAAACATAACTTTACACTCACTTTTTCATTTGCCTCGAGTAGCTCGGACCAAATGTACAAGGCCATCCACCGTCAATACAGGCACCTTTTTTAAAGAGCTGAACACAATTGATAATTGTTATACAACTCTCCACAGGCAATGGTCAGTGTGACATTCTCTTTTCTACTATTAATCTTTTGTTTGAGATACTTTCTCAACACCATCTAACACCAGGACTTCTCTCGTAATACATTTGCATTTTCTGGCCATTTCCATCTCTCCCTTTTCTTTCTTTATCCACCTCTACTCCAGAGTATGAAGAGCTGTCCCTGAGTCATAGGCGACGCACCAACAATTCAGAGCCAAAGATGGCTGACCCTTCACTCCGTATAATAAATCAACACTGTATTCTTGCTTAAGTGGCTTTTTTAGTGCCTGGGAATTCATTTTCTTACGCTCAAGGTGTCCTTGACCCTGGGGTCTTCACAATTTTTGAGCACCTCATGTACATGTTCAGGTTTTCAAAAGGACCACACTTCTTTGTTAACAACAAGAAAAAAATCTGTTATCTCGCTACTATTCACATCTACACATCTTTAAGTCTTCATCATAACCCATCACCTCTTTCGGGGTCCTTTTGTTTTTTTGTCACCCCGCTTATTTTAATATTCTTAAGATCTTGAACTTTTATTACACCTTACACCGACCTTAAATCGCTTCAGGTTTCACCCGATAAAAATGAATTTTCTCAACAATCACAAAGATGGTGAACATGATTCGAAGCTGATTTTGTTTGTTTGTTTCCTGTAATCAGTAGGACATGCAGAGTTCTATGTAAAAGATCTGGTTTTACTCATTGAAATCAACCAGAATTAATGGCTTGGGATGCTAAGTGCTCCTTTGGTTACATTATCAGACACATAAACCTGTTTTAAGACACAAAGTCTACAGAGTGAGGGGAAAAAAAAAACTTTTCTAAGTTGTAGTAAGTCATTAACCTGGTGAGGTAAATTGGTTTTCAGCCATCTGAAGAAGACATTTTTCTTTGATATGCTAAAGACAGGTTGAGTTATTCAGTTCCTCAAAGCTGGAGAAATCCTCCATTCATGAGGCTGTTATCCAAGCCCAGTAATAACAAATATGGAATGGTAGACAGACTTTGTCTGCTGCTATTACACTAAAACGATGTGTTTTAATTGCTAATTACCTGACAATAGCTTTCCATTATTCATTGCAATTAGCTTTTCCTTGGTGGTCACCTTGTAATCCCACGCTTTGATGACCTTTTATTTCCATCAGCTCCAAGGATGTCGGCAGGTGTTGTCGGGTGCGCTGCTTTCATATGGTAATTGTTTAGTGCCCATTTACATGGGAAACCACGCTTTGCATCATTGCGAAACCTTGAGTGTGCGCAAAACCCCTTAAACACATAACGATCATCTAAAACAATGCCCTTCCCCTCATTGTCAAATGATTAATTAAGTTGTGTCATGTAATTGCCTCAGCACGCCGGCTGCTTTTGATATCAATGAAATCCCTTGGACTTCCTTCCTCTATTAAATTGTGTTGAGACTGTGTCTCTCCAACATCTACGTTATGCTTCGGGCCTCCTCATCAGACATGATACGAGTGTTTGGGAAACATAATGCTGGGGCCGTTGATTCTGCCTTGTCACAAGGCCCTGGCTCTCTTCATTATGTGGCCCTTTAACGTCACTATGTATGCAAAACATCCTCTGTATACACACTGTCTCTGAGACTGTGTGTGTGTTCAGCGTAGTGTCATAATTTATAACACGCTGCGACTTAATGAAGCCATAAGCCATAATGCATATTCACTAACGTGGTGGGCTGGGCTGGGACGGGCCGTATGATGAGTGCCCAGCCGCTACAAATTTACAGAGAGGACTGACAATGTGTGTGGCCGTATGCGCATAAACACACACACACATATACAGGCACAGACGCACACATGCATACAGACAGAGGACTGCCATGGAAGACTTGAGCGTATTTCAGAGAACCCTCCGATAAATCCCTGCTGTATTTGATTTTTTACATTTGAATTTAAAACATATAATACTCATTTTTTTCTGATATCAAATGATAATGAGCTTTTATAACAAATTAAGATGTGATTATTACTTTAAGATTTTCCTTTATAAGAAAATAGTAGGGATCATCATGAGCCGACAATTTATTTTTACTTTGTTTTCCTTTAAAATCAGTCTGTCTCTCTTTTATTTCTAATTTCATTGTCTTAGATCATGTGATGCAATTTACACAATGTTGACATGAAAAGTTTAATATTAATCTATCAAAATCAATCAAATATACCTTATCAAAAAACAGTTTGAATAAAAAAAGCAATAAAGAAATGTAATTTTTATTGTAAGTAAAAAATCTACAAGTTACAATGGAAGCTCTGTCAAATTGGTCTCTTTTAAGGTGTTAATATATTTTGCTGTATTCCAAATAGTCATTTGTTATAAAATAAAAATCTCTTGGGAATCTTAATAAATAAGCATTGTAAAATTGGGTGTTAACTGCTCTCCCTAAAATCTATGAAACGCTTGTCTGGTGTTGTGTGAGTTAAATGACAGCGTGTAGTACACTGTTTCATCCGGAGTGTAAAAATGTAATCTGTTCTGCTAGGGCGGTCCCTTCTCCTCCAATAGCTCCATTTGTTGGTCCCGGCGCTCTGTGCTGACAAATGATAGCTAGAAGTCGTCTCCTTAGTTTGCCAGCTCTATGTGTCACTTTCAAGTCCCATTAGCCACTGGGACATACAGGAACACTCTCAGAGAAGTGCACACACACACATACACGCACCAACAAACCTCTCCTATGCTTCCAATGGCTGCAAACTGCTGCTTCGATTTTTTCTGTTCTTTCTTTTCTCTTTTTTTCTTTGTTCATTTTAGACTTTCTGTATTTGCAGGACTTTGCAGCTCCATTTTTTTTTCTTCATAAAGTTTTTTTTTTATTCGTTCCATGAAGTGATTCATTTCAGCTCAGTGTTGGATACATTTGTCACTTTCTTTCTCATTCTCTTTCTCTCTCTTTCAGGTTCGGAGCACGGTCAACAGGATCAAGGAGAGGAGAAAAGCGCTTAATTTTTCAGTATGTAGTTCTTTTTCTGTGAATAAGTTTATGCCTCTGAAACAGACTGGTGTAGCAGACTCAATTTTTCTCACAGCTTTTTGCTTTATAAAAAAACTACTTCAGTATTGAAAAACTGGCCACAAAGCAACATTGTGCATCTGCTAGCCTCCCACTTGTCGACAGTCCATGTTAGATGCCCTTATACATCAAACATAGACCCTCCATAATAGCCTCCCTCCCACCCTCACTCTTCCCATCGCAGCACCTTCATCCCAGCAATGTCAAGCTTCGTGGTGGGTTACAAGTTTCTAATCCAGGACAAGCAGTCCCCTGACATTAAAGTGTCAGGCCAGTATTTATACCTTGTTGGAGGATGCTGTTTGGCTGAGGTGGAGGGGATGCTGTATGTGTGTATGTGTGTGTCTCTGTGTGTGTGTCTGTGTGTGTGTGTGTGTGTGAGCTGGTCTAAGCAAAGCACTTTTAAAGTACTTAATAGTCTCCAGCACACACAAACCCACTCTGATCACACACACAGACAATTATGGACTCCAGCACCTTGTCAAACACCCGGTCTCGTCATTTCACATTACTTCGCTCCACACAGACATTCACACACATGCAAAATGCATCTTGTCCGTTATGACTGATCACATAAACTCCATACCGCTTTGCCCAGTAACTCTTTGTCCTGCCCCTCCCACTGCACCCTGACCTACACATAAACACCCCAGTATTCCTCACTCACTTTGGGTCATCGGAGGGGGAATGACACCATTTCTGGCAGCAGATTGATTCTTAAAATATCAGCGCTCCTACTTCTTTTTGACCCCCACCGAGGAGGTGGACACTGTTGGAACGGGAAGAAATGAAATAAATAAATAGAAAAAATTTAATGTGTCTGTGTGTAGGCTGCTTGGGGTAAAGGGGGACCCTGGGGCCCCCTGCCACCAGGTGCAGTCTGATATATTGGCTGCTCATGTTATCAGTGAGGCCCCCCATCTACCGTCATTTTTACTGCTTCCTCTCCCCTCTGTTGGTGGCAATTTTCCAATCTTGCCGGGTTCCGCTACCAGAATGCGTTTTTTAGCCATTGCTGCCGGCTGACGGTTTTTAGCTAATGCTATTTTGTGCCATAAATCCTGTTTGAAATACTGTATCTACCTGTCCTTTGGCTAGATAGGAGACATTTGGCTCTAGATGACCGCACATGCCCCTATATATCCCCATGTTGTAAAACATAGGATTGGGTAGCATGCCTCGCCAGCTGAGGGATAAAGAGGCTTTGGCTGTGTTACTGCATATGGGGTCATTTGAAGACGAATGACACTTGTCGGAGATGGAGGGGTTTATGTGTTATGTTCTTTGCAACCATTGAAGGGTTAACCCAATGGGATAATTCTCCTGCAACTCTGATATAAGCCTTTACAGTGGGCTTTTAATTTAGATTTTTTTTAAAACTTTTACTTCTTTGGAAGTAACATCATAATTTTACTGCACCAAGTCTTGCTAAGGTCAAAGACACCATACAAGTATACACCATTATAGATGTTTCAGCATGTCTAGGGTTGTTAAGATTATTAGGGACGGCAAGCTCTAGGCTGAAATATCAGAAACAAGCATCCAAATGTCTGAAGAGCACACATTGTTTGGTTTTATAAAAGATAATATAATTAAATATCAAAATTATGATGGAGTATTAGGGCCACATTAAGAAAAAAAAGACTGGGATTAAAGTCATTAAATTAGAATAAAGAATAAATTTATTATAAAGTAATTTTCTTACGAGATTAAACTACTAAAATTATAACTCACGAGGGTAAAGTCTAAATAAAGTCCTTATATTCTAACCCATTGTTTAAAATGACATTAAAATGTAGTAGTACAAGTTGATTACGGCTTTATTCTCATAAGTAATAATTTTACGACGACTTTATTCCTGTAAGTAATTATATTGTTGCAAATTATTTTCTCGTAAGTAATTGCATTATTACGACGTAATTCTCATAAGTAATTACTTCATTACGACTTTATTCTCGTAAGTAATGATTTTACTATGACTTTATTCTCGTAATTACTTTATTATTAGTAATTATTTTGTTATGACTTATTTCTTGTAAGAAATGATTTTAGTATGACTTCACTCTCGTTAGTAATGACTTATTCTCATAAATTAATGACTTTAATCTTGAAGTCAAATTTTTTTCTCAATGTGGCCCTAATACTCTGTCGTACAAAATCATTTACATAGTGTGATCAGTTAAATTTAATGTTAACTACATGTAGCTATGTTTACAGAGACATGGCTCTCCTCTGACATCTTATATCAATCTCACCTAATCTTATCTCACACTCTCCCCTTCTGTATCCCACTCCTCTGTCAACCTCTTTAGCCCTCTTCCTTGTAGTTGCCCTCAACTAGAGTGTGGGTTGCACAGTGCCTGTCTAGCCCTGGGGGACGCGGTCTTCTACACTCGCACACACATACACACGCTTTGACCAGTGTAGCCTGTCTGTTTGATACCGAGTACTGCCTGACCCACCCTGACCTCCCTCTTGTACACACACAGCCAGATTGCTTTGTGAAATAAAGCTGTCACTTGCGGGACCCAAATAAAAAACACCCCCCTCCCCCCACTGCTCCATGTCCCTGACACCACTGAAATATAGACATAAATTGGAAGCAGATTAGTTTTTTTGATCTTAATTCAAGTTTTGACAACAAAGAGGAATAAAATATTTCTTGAGAATCCGTTTTTAAAAGCTAAAGAGAAAGAAACAAACCCGAATTTGACTTTCTTGTATGAAAAACTTAATTGATTTTTATTCTTATGTGTATGTATATTTTAGTAACACTAACAACTATGGAAAAATAGTATGTGATTGCTTTTGCTCAATTAAATATTTAGAAATTAAAAGAACCAAGAAGCCATATTTCCATTTCTGAGACACATGTTGAGCATGATTTACAGAAAGTTGACATGGGGGAGTGGATGTATTTTTCTTTTTGAGTGTGTGCGCTATGTGGACTGAAGCTGGACATCAACAATACCCTCAAGCAGCAAAAAAAGAATACCCAGTGTTTTCCCTGTGAAGTTTTTCTGATTGTAAGATGTGCAAAAAGAAATATAAGTTGCCCTTGAGCCTTTTTAAACCCCACCGGTGTATTTGAGACCGGTGCAGACAAAGAGATGTTCTGTTTGACTTAATTTGAGGCCTTGTTTGTTTGGGTGACTTATTCATGGGTGGTCCATTTGCTAAGTTCAGTCAGCTTAGCTTAACTTTTAGACTCAACAGCTCAGGAGGTTTTTAATATTTCCAGCTTGGATTGTGCTCGGATTCATTCCCCCTTGTTACCCCAAATCCTGCACTCTTATGGCATGGACTTAATACTCAAAGTGATGCTGCATTAAGGGCATGTTACCTTTCTTTATGGTCTTGTGTCTCCAACCCTTGAGGCTGCTCTAAACAGAATTAAAGCCAGTTGGGAAACTGAATTATATACAAACTTTCCAGATGATTTCTGAGAGCAGTGTGACTAAATTGATTGTCCAGCTGTGCTCGGCTTTCACCTGTACAATTCAGAGTATTTTGTAGATGTCTCTATACCAAGGACAAACTCTCCAGAATTCACCTAGATCAAACAGATGAGGGATGTAGTAGATGCTCTCAGGCACCATGCAGCTTGACCTACATGTTTTGGTCATGCGCCAAACCTTCGAGTTTCTGGCAATCTTTCTGTAAAGCAGTCTTGGACATTGAAGGTTTTCGTATTCAGCCACCCCCACACATAGCTTTTTTTCAGGAGACCTCTGGATTATCTTGGTACTACAGCTGTGCAAGATAATATTATCACTCCCACCTGTTTGATTGCTTGCAGAAGAATTCTCTCATGGAAATCCGCTCAGTCGCCCTCATTTAAAGTGTAACTTAATGTCATTTTATGCCTTTTAAAGTTTGAGAAATTAGTTCACTCTTTGAGGCTCATCAGATAGGATTTCCCCCCACTAACTTGCACCAACAACCACAGTAAGTATGCAAATGGATAAGCAGAAGAAATTGAACTGTGGCTGTCTTCCTGCAAATGGTTTTAGATCATACAGCCCCTGAAGCTGAGTAGTAACACCCTCCTCATTTCTCACAGAACTGTGCCAGTTCCAGACCATCCAGCTCAGTTACCAGCTCTCGGCCTGTCAGTTTCCCACTAGGAACCAGCCCAAGTCAGGAGGAGGAGACCACCCCAACAGACACAAACAGCTCCAACCAAGGCTCAGGGAGGGAGGAGGAGAAGACCAGAGGTGAGTTTACAGACTCATATCACACAGCCATTGGTTCTTGATGCAATCCATATTTTACTCATAAAACCCCAGTCATAATTTAGGGTTCCCCCAGCTAGCTGAATAATAGACTTCTTTGACCACTAGTTGGGGCTGTAGGCAACAGTCAACTTGGTTGCTGACAAAATAGCAGATACTGTAGGGGCGGGGGCTAACTTGCCTAACTTGTTGGGTTGAAAGCTTTAACTAAACAGGATTCGCATTTATTTCTGTGGAAGTCAGAAATGTCAGGTTGTTCCTGAGAAAGTACAACCAATGCATTTCACTGGAACCAGGGAGGCCACCCATCCAGTGGTGTTTTTTTAATTAGCATGACGAAATACTGTCTTATTCATTGGTGAATGAAATATGTGTGATGTGAGCCTGATGCTTTCAATGTACCATTTATCTTAAGGTTGGCACCACCTGTATTCTTCTTACTGACAATTTAAACTTTAGATAAGTCGTAACAGTTTCTGAAGGATGACATTACTGATGTATGGTTAGTAGCTCAAATGCTGCTTAAAAAAAAGCTGTCTGCAGCAGGACCCACTCTCTCCTTTTCTGTCATTCTGATGTTTACTGTCACCATCTGTGTATTACCATAAGTAAGGGTGCTAAGAAACCAAACCGAGTGGCTTCTTCTGCTCAGGCATCTCACAACAAACACAAAACAAACAACGCTGTCCATGGTGCTGGACCAGAAGTTCCTGTTTTGCATCAGTCTCATTAAAGCAGATTGGAGTTGTTGCATCTTAGGACAGTCCTCACAAATGCATAGGTCACCAGGTTTGCTTGGTTTAGGCTGAGGGGGCAAAGGTTGTGTCTGGTGCCAAGGCATTTTCCCCCATGTTTCTGTAACTGCCAGCAAGGCCTGTTAGGGGTGCTGAGGAGCTGTAGCAGGTGCACTGTTGTTGTTTTAACATGTTGTTGTCTTTGTTTTGACCAAGCAGGCAGGATTGTTGCCATTTTTTAATTCTAACCACTCATTAACCATTTGGAAATACTCAATGAAAACAGTGGCTGCATGAATCTGATTAGTCTAGTGCAGCAAAAGGTCACAGCAGGGACAGACACAGAGTTGTGCCAACTTGTTGAAATGTAATTAACAAATACCTACAACACTAAGTATCCATGCTATTGTATATCTAAAACAACAAAACAAACAAAAAAGTAGACAGTTTTTTTTAGCTCCTCATAAAAGACTCAGGGGAGGCTTTAAAGAAAGCTCATGTCTTTTCAGCAGAACCTTCACCCCTGTTATTCAAACCATGCTTATGTCTCTGCCACATTTTTGACTATGCCTTTTTTTTATATTTTATTTTTTTTATTTGTATGTGGAAGAAATTCACATAATTGGCATAAACTTTTTATTTGCTCTTAGTTGCTGGTCTTAAGGCAAACATAGTTCAAACTAATGCAATATAATGCGCTAGTTCTGCATTGAATTGTGCAATGATTTATGTTCTAGTGTTTCCTTTCATAAAAACTCTTTTTTATGTATTGAATTAGTAGAATAGTAGTTTAAAGGCTCTAGTTAATTTGTGTTGCCATGTGAGCAGTATCATGTTACATACTACATAAATACTTGGTCTTCCTTCATTGTTAAAGGTGGGTGGTCAGTTTAGTTAAAGCACTGTAGATTTAAAATGATCATGAATTGAGATCAAGTTTAAGCTCTGTCTGTATTTCCCCCACTGTTTCCCCACTCGCATATCTGCAAGGCATTACTGCAAGGCCCTGTGAAACAGAGCAACGGCTGGCTTATTGAGTGAAATCAGACATCAGAAATCTCCCGTTAAACTTCAACACTAACCAGACACTCTGGCTTCAATCTAGCCACATGACCCACGCTGCACTCAGCAGAGTTAAGAGTCATTTGGTTGTGGAAAAGATTTCAGAGACCAATTTCAAAGCAGAGAAGGAAAGACGAAGAAGAGGTCACTCACGGGTTTTGTTCTGTAACTCAAAACTGGTATTTGTGCCAAGCTTGTCCTGTTCCTTTGATTGATGCAACATTTACCTTACAGAGCTAAAAAAGTTATCTAAATGATATTGATAAATGATAAAAGGGAGCAAAAAATGTCCAAAGGGCAAAGAGTGTGCCTATCTAAGTTTGAGAAAAAATCAGCGGACCTGTATTATGGTTTTATAGTTTAACCAATGTTCTCTCTATTAATAAAGGAGAGCTAGTAAACCTACACTGCAGCCAATCAGTATGCTTTGAATCTTTTAGCTTTACAGGTACAGCATTAAATTTCAACACACACTCTCTGGTGTGTATTAGTAATGATAGGGAGCTTTGAATTCACTACAACTTAGGTCACCTAACTAAGCAAACTATGACCTAACACTGCATGAGAGGTGAGCTTACATTTTTTGTGATGAAACATGCCAGGGAAGCTTTATAAGTAAGTAATTGATAACTTTTTTGGGGATAAGTGAGAAGTCTGGTTGTTTGATTAAGTCTTTAAAAACAAATTGGGGCCTTTCATCGCTCTTTTGGGTTGTTTGGGTTGGGACAAGCATTTATATCAAATTTTCTCTATCTGAGAAGTAGACCTGTTTTAATTTTAGTACCAAGTGAAGGCCTGATTCACACAAGGATTGCACAGCTTGTGCAAATGAGCCAGTAAAGACGGTCAAATTCATTGAGCATGCACTAAAGGTTAAATAGGAGCATAGTGTTCCTGTGTGCCAGTGATGTGTGCATTATTAAAATGAGCTATTTTGTAGTCATTTACAGCAAAGTATGCTTCTTTCCATACAAGACAGCCTCATGCTAAATAAAAAAATAAAAAACATATTCACAAACATCAGACCTTGTAGCCATATACAGTTAGTGAAATTTCTTCTGTCTGCTCAAAGTTGTATTTGCGCTGAAGTCAGCTTGCCCTTTAAAGTAAGTTGGATGAAAACTGTCAAGTTTGTGTCACCTCTGTAATGAACTGACTCCACAATAATATAGTGAGAACTGTCCCTTTTCATCCAGCTCATCTAACAAGTTGATTTATCTGTCTACTACTATAAAAAGCAAAACTGGAGCAAACTGCAGAACTTTGAGGTCATTTTGCCCCGGGACATTATGTGTCTAGTTTGATTTTTGTATTAGACCTTCAAACAAAGGAGATAAAAGTTCTCACAGTTATTAATCGGAAACCAGCCTTTACTCACCAGTATCCCAGTCATAATAAAGGGCCAGGCTACAAATTTACTCCCGGCCTTTATTTTGAGACTTAAAGTCATTCATTTCATAAATTTCATAACTCTTTAAAGCACTTGTATGGTGACTTAATTTCACCTATCGAAATTATCCTGAGAGCCACCAAGGTGTACGATAGCAAGATTTACAGTTCCTTAGCCTACTTATTTCCCAGCATAAATGAAACAGTCCGTCAAAGTCACATTTTTTTGTTTGTTCTTACTTACTTGTTGAAGCAACCGAGTGCAAATAAAAGACAAAGGCAGAATCAGACAATGACAGTGACGTTGATGTTGATGGTCAAAAACCTTGGTACCAGGACAATTACAAATGATAAAAGGTTTTCAAGACAAACCCTAAAAACATACAACAAGTGGCTCAAACCACTTGAATACAGTAATATAAATATTTTTGTTGTTCCTCTGTTTTTTTGTTGAAATTGAATTTCTACTTTAATGATACACTGTATATGCCAGGACCTAACCTCAATTTAACCCTACACAAATGGTACAGTAATGTCTCACCATAAAACACAAACAATGAAAAAACAGATGGGCCCCATTTTGGGAACAATAACCACAGCATCTCTTCAGTGATCTTCCTAGCTTGAATATACAAGGTCAACCTGTTCTTGGTAGGGATGAGAGTGTTCTGCTTTTGATACCTTTATGCCTTTTCCATCTCTGTTTATTCAAGTTGTTTGGCACAAATGTCCAAAGCAGGCAGCGGGTTATGTCGAGAGTACATGGTAAAAAATGTGAACAAAGTAGAGCACATATTTGCTGTGAACACAAGAGAAGGACAAGTGCATAATGAAGGAATTAAAGAGGAATAGGGGGTGAAGTGTGGGTGGATTTGAATTGAAAGGGGAAGGGTTGTGTGGGTGTTTGTGTATGTGCATGAGTGTTGTATTCCTGATGAGATGGCCCCATACAATGGCTGAGTTGAAGGTTGCGAGCCCTTTTAAGCGGGCATAATATGCTGGGTCACCAGTGTTACCTCGCGTCATCGTCTTGCTTTGTTAAAGCTCCCTTCTCAACAAGCACAAACAGCCAAGCAGTTGTCTTTTTTTTTTTCATGCTTCGTGTTTTGATTTCAAAAGGTCGCTGAGCTTTCATTTGAGGTCCCTTCTGCTCTAAACTCTTTTTGACTAGACACACAAGGTCCTTTTTTGTTCTAATGCAATTTGATGTGTCATAATGTTTCGTATCTAATTTGTGTAAGTATTTATTGGCAATGGTAAAGACTTTATTTTGGGATTTCCTTTTGATACCTTTGTGTTTCTAAATTAAAGAGTCGCTGTCATGTCGGATTTATAGGATCTGATTTAGATGTAGGCACTTTGAATGTTCGTAAAATAAACTTACAGGCTGATAAGTTAGACTGGCAGTCAGTCCGACATTTTAAAAATAATAAAAGATATAATATTACGTGGCATCATGAAGTTTCCACAAGTACATTGTAGCAAACCTTATTCCTGGTGTCATTACCAGTTTATACTTCTAACTTGTAGAAACCATGTGCTTGCATATTGCTGACATCTGACACTCCTTCTGTTCTTCCTCTTCTGCAAACATGTGTTTCTCAAAACCCTCACAATTAGGGGCCTTGCAGATAAAGTGGCGTGGCGGTCTGTTGCATGCATCTTCTGTAGATTACAGCCAGATTCTGCGCTGACACCAACACGGGGTTCATTCCCTGTAAACTATCCACACACCATCACTTGTCATGCATACTTAGCTCCATTCATTGACATACAACAGGATCCCCCCCCTCCAAAGGGAATATTCCCATGGGTAATGACAGCATATTTGCAGCAATTTCACCTGAGTGCTCGCCGTTAAATCTGTATTTGCAAGTCTCTGTCTGTAGACAATGAGCTATGAGTAGGTTTGAATGTTCAGTAAATTACCCTAACATCATTAAAGTGACATTTTTTTGGGATAAATAATAGGACTTTTCCGAAGATGTAAACAGTAAAACTTGTATACGGTGACTAAATTGGTTGTATGATTAGTGATTACCTAATTTCCGCGCTAATTTCTAACATCGTGTAGCACTATCCTTTGAATTCAGTGGAAATTGAAGTCATATTGATAATTACTACAGCAGAATCACAGGGTTTGTGTCTGTGTGACAGAGAGGTATCTGGCATCTGTGCAGCAGCATGTGTTCAGTGTCTCTCTGATGCGAAGTGATGTGTGCTAATTCTACATCTGCTCAAACCAAACAGGGCTCAAAAGTTCAGCCAAGTCCCAAAAAAAAAGATATTTCCCCCGAACTTATCTCCCTCTGCCCCCTCACCGTTCAAAAATAAACCTGAGACAGTTTCCCCCGCATCCTCTGTGCGTGTAGAAGTAATTGACAAATAAGTGGATATGACTCTGGTGCTCTTTGTGTTTTACTGTGGATTTAGATTTGGTTGGTTGGCTTGACTGTTTAGAGAATATCATGGCCATGAAATAGGCTCCTGTCATGTGGGCTGAAGCTTTTGAGGGCTTGATTGTAGCTTCACTGTGTAAATATCCAAACAAATAGGCTATGGTCAAAATACGCTGTCGGTTCGCCATGTATTTACATTCCTCTTTCTCTCCCACTCAGTTTCTCTCACTCTCTCTGCCCTTTTGGATCTGATTTGTTATTTTGTATTTACTTTCTGTCTTTCCTGTCTTTTTTGTTTCTGTAGCTCCCTCCTTTTTTCTGACATGCACTCCATCTATGCCCATCTTCCTCTTAGATTGTGATTGATTTTTGTAACTTTTAAAGTTCAGTGTAATGCCAAAAACTAACAACAGACTGTTATGGGATGAATTAAGATTTAAATGACCAGTTACAGCATTTTCCCGCTGTTCCTCTGTGTAGTGTGAAAAATCTCAAAAACATTCCCTGATCATTTAAAACACTCAAAGTGAGTACATTGTCTGCACTTGTACTACATTCTGGCATTTCATATTCATCACACCCAATGAAACAAATCCAAAGATGAAAAATTGACTCCATTTGGTCGTTCTTAAGTGGCTTTAAACGCAACTGTTTATGCATATTCGCCCAGCCGCTGCAAAGCGTACCAGGCTCCAAAGATTTGTTTTCTGCAGCTGTTCTGCATAACAACGCCACGCTATCACGCACAGGAGAAAGTCTGGTGAAGGGAATCTATTCATAATTCAAAGAAACAACAAGGCACAAGCTGTGGCATTGTCAGATATAACAAATTGAGGAGGAAAAGAGTTGAATTTGTATCTGCTTACTGAGGTTGACTGCATTATATATACTGCAGGTGCCGCTGAGTGCGTGGTAATAGGATATATGATGGATGGCTAAGCTGCAGAGGTTCCCATTCTTCTGGGTTATTCATCTATTTATCCACTTATTTATTTATTCCTTCACCTAGAGAGACCCTCACAAACTCAGGATTTGCTTAAGGTGCAATCGAAAGTGTTGGCCAGTATGGAAATAGGGCTGATGTCTCCGTGGTCTGGGAGCTCTCTGCTGAGCATGTGTCAGGTGCAACCATGTCCGGTCTGATGTTCCCCAGTGATGCTGGCCTGCATTTTTGTTGAATACTGATGGCTCCTCTTGTAGCTAAACCCTGAGAAAAAAACCATTACAATTTCTCCATGAGCTACTTCTTCAAAATCAAACTAAAACTGCAGAAAATGTTTCGAAAAATGTATGCAAATTTGTCCAGAAACGTTTTAACATGTGAGGGCCTAGCCGAGGGTTTTCTTCTCTACCAGCTCATTATACTGCCAAATAAATAAGTAACCTGCAGTTTGTTCATGCAAAATGTGTTTACAAAGCAGCATTTTTTTTTTAAAGTTTAATTTAGGAATATTAGTTTGTTTCAATTATAGCTGTCAAACACCAAACGTGATACCACATCTACTCGGACTCACTCCTGTGACACAGAGGTAGCATCATCCCACCTTTGATCACAAACAACCCTCAGCCAGATGCTTTCCATGTTTAACCCTGCCATTACTCCTTCATCAAGGGTGTAAGTCAAAGACCTGCGTGTATCCTGGGCTAGGTCACCTCCCCTGGGCCAAATTGTCTGACAGTTAATCGCCCCCCACCCCCCATGTGATCGTCCCTCTCTCTCTAACTGGCCCCTACGCTCTATTCACTCTACCAGAGTAAGGAGGCACCAGAAAATAGTTCTGTAGAAAAATGTGTCAGCCCAAATCAATAGTTTTCATGTCCTGGGTGTGTTCATTGTGTGTTTTCATACACACACACATCACATCCCTCTTTTCCTGCAGTAGTCCTAACACAGCCCAAAAGAATTCACTGCTGCTACTACCTTCAAGCAGCTGCCAACAGCAGCTCTAAACCAATATCAGCACCCCCACACCCCTCCAGAACATTTTCCACCGTCCTCATTTCAACAGCCCATGGCAACGACATAGCCGGCAGCTTACGACAAAGCAAAGTGGGGAAGAGGAAGGGGGTAAGGGGGGAGTCAGGCCGTAGATCAGGGCAGGGAGGATGGCGGCGCAACCAGGAGGTGACAGGGGAATAACATCCCTTTCTCCTCAATCGACAGGGACCATAACTCCTGCCTCTCCAGGGACAGATTGAGAAAGGCAATAGCCCAAGGGGCTGTGAAGCACGGATGCTTAGGAGAATTGAAAGTTAAAAGAAAAACGCAGTTTGCCAATCCACTGCCACAGATTCAGGCGACAGCACTACTCTGGGGCACTGGATTTTTCTTTTTTGTAATCTTGTATTTTCAGTTTTATTTTTTCAAGACAGCAGTAGAAAAGCCTGAGTGGCAAAGTGACCATGTGGTATTTTAAACAATAAATCTCCTATAGTAGCTGATCCTACATTACCCATTTTGGGTGAGTTGTTATGCACTTAACTCTTAGATTTGGTGCATTTTTGTGCACATCTTTTTCCCTCAGTTATCTTATTTATTTATTTATTTTGCATGCACCAAGTCTATTCCATGGATAGTAGTCATATTCAACTTGTGCATTACCATTTTTAAAAGTCAGCCAGCAAATGTATCATTTTAAAAATCAGACAAATCATCTGGAGCCTCACACACTGCTGCTGCCTTTGCTGATATGTAACTGACTGAAGCACATTGGTTAGGCCTTTTCCTTTTTTTAAAAACAGCAGAAAGCCAACAACAACTCAGTCTAATGTGAGTGTTGCAGTGTTGATCTTTAAGGAGATCGTCTTCAGGAAAAGTTGGTCTTTAAAAGACCAAGTGTAAATATGCTGAATAGTCCATTAAAACATTTACTTTTTTCAAGACAGCTCTATGACAGATTCAGAAACACTTGGCTTTAGGGAAAGGGGAGCAGCAGGTGACTTATTTTGTTTATGTTACTCTTCGTAGACCTTCTTATTTAAACCTTATTTTCTTTAATAAGAAAATGTGAGTATTTGTTTTGCCATATAACCACAAATGTTGAGACTAATATGTTTTATTTAAAGGGGAGAGGAGGAAAATGTGAAGATAGTTGATTATTGCTGTTTGTGTTTTACTACTAAGATGAGTGTGAGGATAAGTGCATTAAACTCAACACATTTGGTCTGGTGAATGTTAATAGTTAAATAAAAGCACAGCATTGACAATCAAACCATTTGATTGTGATTAACAGAGTTAGCTGTGTCAGCAGATGTTTGTTTCCCTCTCAATCATTTCCCTCTCTCTCTGTTTTTCCACTTTTACTGTTTTTCTCTCTGTTCATAATCTGCCTTTCATTGCATCAGTTTCTTCCTCCTTCTTCTCTCGCTTGTTTAACTACATTTCTACACTCGCCCTCCTCTCTTATCCATCTTCCTCTCTTTATCCATGCTCTATATCATTCCTTTTACTCATCCACAGCCAAATTCTCCTGTTTGGAGCGGGGCGGTAGGAAAGAGAGCAGTTGGGCTGCAGCTTTTATGGCCTGATCAATTTTACAGTGGCTTATTGAATAGCTTTTAATGCTCTTCTTTATTTTCAGTTGTAACCCACAGAGTGTCTGCCGCTCCAGGGCGGATGTGATGGCTCGCTGGAGAGAGAGAGAGAGAGAGAGAGTGAGAGAGAGACAATAAATTTTAATACATCGTCTCTGGAAAATTACACATGTTTAATCATTGATTTTTATTGGCTCATCACGATAACATTATCCCAGTGGGTGAGGCTCATAAAAGAAAAGAGGATGAATTAGTTATGGCATTTGGAAGCAGAAGGTTGAAAACTGAAACGATGACATAACCAAATTTCTTTGTCTATTAAACAGCGTATCGATCGGCTCTGTAACTGTAACCCACATGGATAGTTTGATAGAGTGACCGCTTAAAGAAGTAGAAACTTCCTCAGATACTTTTCTCTTTCTGCTTATGTTTCTGTTTTTATTGGAATTAAAGTTGGGTTAGTAGGGGTGTAAAGATCTAGTTAAGGATCTGAATCGGAGACCCATCTTTTTGTTGAAGAACCAAGAACATCAAGTTAGCTGAGGTGGTTAGCCAGTTAGTGTTAGCTTGTTTAGAAGGTGAAGATAATGTCTGCAAAGCAATTCACAGTCAACCAAGAAACCAAGATATGTAGATTATCCAAATGTGGACTTGCTTACCTGTGGACTGATCCTTCAACAGGAGAAGGGCAGTGCACTCTGATGTATTTTCTTTCCACGTGGTAGCTTGAGAGTGAGGCGAAAGGAAGAGCAAGGATTTCCTTTCTGGATTCTTTTTCCTTCAAATTTATCCAGCTAAGCTTTATCAATCAATTTACAATGACTTGATCTTTGATTAGCAAACAGTATTTCGATTAGCAACAATCAGAAGAGCCCACGTTTACCTTAAAGTTTACTTTACTCTTCAGCGTCACCTCGAGAAGCGTACGGTTAGAAAGGTGAAATTTGAATGTGCCCCAAGATTTATCGACTGCATATAAAAAAATATCAGGATCATTAAGTCCAAGTCTACTGCCATCAAGCTGATGAAAGCTGGTAAACACACACCTCATAATACTTCATGTGTGCACAAGTGGGGTGTGTGTGTGTGTGTGTGTCTCTGTGTGTATAAGGGATGTGATAAGATAGATTGACTTCTAATATAAATGGTAGAGGTGTCTACTGACATCCGTGTAGAAGTGCCCTTTGTGTCCCAGCCTGGTAACCTCTTTCTGTCCGTGTGAGAAGAGGGCAAGCATCCAGTCTTAGTATATCTTGACATGCTATATGTTTTTATTGGTGTTCCTGCGATTTTGCATGTTGTCAAACTCTATTTTGAAGCTTGTTTGTGTAAGAGATTGAGTATGTGTTACTTAAAGAAGCAAACCACCAGACTTGTGTACATGTCTGTTCAAACCTTTTTTTTTTCCCCTTTTATACACATAATGCATTAAACACACGCAAACATACTCTGGGGCAGGTTAGCCCTCCTCGACACCAGCACCTGCTCTGCTGAAGGTGAAAGAAGTGCTCACTTGAGCTCATTGAAAAGTAGATGTGACAGTAAATTTTTCAGGCCCTTGTGAGATGGGAGATCTTGTTATAGCAGTCAGGATGGGGGTCAGGGCAGTGGCTGCTTGATGATTGAGGAAAAGAGAAGTAAATTCATTCTGCTTCGGGCACTTTGTCAAGTGCCAGTAGCTTACTGTTGAGACCCACTCACCCATCACCGTGTTACGGCCCCAGAGGTCACCTCCACCACCATAAATCTGCCTCGCCTGCTAAACCTACTGCCTTCCCCCGACTGAGCACGAGCCGGGAGAGAGGCTGCAGCTGCTTCTGCTGCACCTCATAGTCACTCAAATGAAAAAAGGCAGAGGGGGGAATATAGATTCTCCTTTTGATGCTGCTGATGTTGTAAGAGCAGGACACTTGGTGTGCAGTGCTACAGGGGGGATGTGTAGGTTTGGAGTGATGGTTGTGTTGTGGGTGAGTGTGTGGAAAAGGATCAATGCATTGCATGTATATTTCTGCGGAGGGCAGAGAGGTGTAGTAGAGGTCGGGTTATTAAAGGACTTTTTTTTGCAGCTTTTTGGTGCAAATCCAAGAGGGTGTGCTGTTTATTTATGGTACTTTGAAAAGATAATGTTTTGAAACAGAAATTTATAAAGAGAAAAATGATTTAGGGGTAGAAGACCAGTGCAAGACATGGGTTGTATTGCATACTGCTATTCATAAAAGGGAAATAACTAAAAGAAGTGATTATGTAATAATTGAATTCATGCATCGTGTGCCTCTTCTAGTCACATCATGTTCATCTGCCTCAACAAGCTACAAGAGAGTGCAGAGTAAAAAAGAGAGTTTCTGTAGAAGATGAAAGCTGGCTAGAGAGAGTAGAGATTGATGAAAAGGATGTCAATAAACAAAATGGAGAAGAAGATAAGATAAGAGGCCAGAGGAAGTTTGTCCTCTACCAGACAGTAACAAAGTACAGGCAGAGCTGTTGAAAATGTGTTCATCGCTGTCAGACACACAGGACAGCAGGCCTTAGTAGAACCACATCCTTTAGACTACTGATTTCATTTTGGGCTGAAGACCACCATGACTAGTTTATGTGAGGCCATTTTTTTTCTGATGAGGTGTCAGGTCAGTGGTGAGGAGATGATGTCTGCTACTTTACTTTGTGTTACTTTATCACTTAAAGCATATTTTCAAGACTCTTCAAGGAATTTCAGATAACATCCAGAGATGTTTGGAGACATTAATGTTTAATTTTTACCATTTGAGTATTGAAGAGGGTCACTTTTCATGTTTATCTTCGCAGTCGTTAAGGCAATCTTCTTTTATTATCATTTTACTTTTTTTTTTAATCCTCTCTGCTATTACTAGCTGTATTTACCAATGCCCTCAATGTCTGTTTTATTTATGTTTTCCTTCCCTTTCTTTCTTTCTTTCTTTTCCATACAAGCTATTTATTGCATTGTATGTATTTTGTTGCCTTTATCTGTCTTTGCTTCTTTAACCTCTTTTTCCTCATCAATGTTTTTACCTCTTTAATTGTTTTTTTTATCTCTTATTTCTTGCTTTTATCTAATTTCTTGCTTTAAATTCTTTGTTGCATAAAGTTTCTTACATATTTGATGCTCTTAGTCTCAGTGAACATTGAGTTGTGATTTTTTTTGTGATAACTTGTCAAGGTTAGGTATTTTATTGTTTAGTTCTCGTGTCATTTGGGTTGTTCTGTTCTCTTGTGCGCTTTTGTGTTTGGTTTCTTGTTTTGGTCTTGAGTCTTATTCTTCATTTCAAAGCACTTTGAAGTCCTGTTTTTAAAGCTGGCATACAAATTAAGTAATTATTATCATTACTATGAAGGTTCACAGAGAGTATCCCGCTTTTTAGAGTTTAGGGAGAACTTCAGTCTCTTTGCTTGGCCTCCTCTTCCTCCATGGAGTTACTCCACAGCAGACGCCACCCCTACAATACCAAAAGGGGATCCTGTTCTGTCTTTCTAAATTGATAATTGGCGTATCTTGGAATTATCGATATCGTTTACCATGTGCTAACATTTTTCTAAGATGGTGGTTGAGGTCTGAAGTCAGAAGAAGGAAAACTGATCTGGATCTGGTATGATTGTCTGTGTATTTAGATATGTGTGTGTCTCATAAATGTGTTGTTTTTGTACACATGGGAGCCCACGTGTGTACAGATTGTGAGTGATACACTTCTTTCTGATGTGTGTCACAGTGCACCATAATTACGTCTCCCCTCACTGTGCGTGCATACGTGTTTCATGGAGCTCATGCATGTGTGTGTGTGCACAAACCCTTCGTGCTTGTTGTGTATGAGTACCAGGCTGCTTTCAATATAGCCTCTTATTAGGTGGTGATTATCCTGCCTGTATCTGGCTTCTTTCAGCGTTTGACTGGAAGTTGGAGAGGCCAGGGGCACCATGGGAAGAAAGGAGTGAAAACTTCCTGAACGTAGCTTCACCCCACACCCCTTAACATCAGTACCCTGTACCTTTTGAAGCCTTATATCCACCCTGGTTTTAAAAATGCATAGAAATTTCTGAATTGGTAAAGGAAATGGGTGGTGCTCAAAGGAATCGTAAAAAGGTCTTTTTGATAGAATTGGACAGAAGCACTCACTGTATCATATGTCTGTCCTGATTTAACCCTGGAATTCAGGACAACACTTTTCAACAACTATTATTCATTTTTAACTGTTTTGTCATATATCTTGCTATTTTTTTTAATTTTCAGACCAGTCGCTTTATCCTAAAACAGAGTAATTTTGATAACAGTATGAGAATAACTTTTAAAAATCCTAGGGTTTTATTAAAATAATAACATTTGTCAATCGCAGTATATTTGGAAGATGCAGAAATCTTGTCTGTATTCAAGTACCAAAACCAGGCCACAGCTCCCCTCTTGAAATAAATCTAAAGTATTTGACTATAAAACTTATCCAGCCTAGCCATCAAATACAAAGTTATAAAGCACTGTCAGGTATGTGCCTGAATTTAGTAATCTGCAGCTTTTCCATTTAGCTGACATTTTTTTAATAATTCACCACCCTTTCTTGTCAATTTAGAGTCACAGAGACCAACACTGTGATTTTTAAAAAGAATTCCAAGAAGCAGAAAAGAAACAGAAAATATAACAAGACAAGACAGATGAAAAAGAAGAAGACCAGGAGAAAACAGTGGGTCAAAATCCCGAGGGCCTGGCTTGGGACTTTGTAAAAGCCCATACATCAGCTGTCACCCGATGTGCTTCCAAAGAGCCACAACAGAGAAACACAATAGACTGGACAGATGGTCCCAAACAAACTGCAGAGGGTTTGATGCTATTAAAAGCTGTTTACCTCATGCCAGACACCAGCAAGTGTAGTGGAAGCATTGTGTGATTTTTTTTCAGAATGACTGATTGTGTGTTTATGTGTGCTTAACTACAAGCTTCTGGTGTTTCAATAAAACCCTCCGGTGTGTGTTTTGCCAGCCAATAACCCTTCTTTGCCTTAGTAAGATGTGTACGAGCGTGTGTGTGTGTGTGTGTGTGTGTGTTTGTGATGTCTCATAATTAAGATACAATCAAAGGCAACACGTGATGGTGAAATACAAACAGTGTGATGATTGATTTGTTCTCAGCAGATGCAAGCCAACCCTGTAGGCTGTGACAAACTTTTGGCTGATGACCAATAACTGGACAAATTTAAAACAGACCCCCCCACCCACCCACACGCCTCCACCGCTCCCTCCCGCTGAACCTCTCCCCTTCATCTGCTCTCCTTAAGAGCATCTCTGACACCTCAGAATGATGAACTCCTTCAATGCGCTGACCTTTCTCCTCCGGACTAGTCACCCGCCCTCCTGCCCTCGCTCATGTAGATGAGACAGAGACAGATGAAGATATTTTGCAATGTGTGTGCATGTGCGAGTGTCAGTGGGGGTGGTGGGCGGGGGTGTCATGCAGTGACACAGTGAAATTAGTTTTGGTGGTGGTGGATGGCAGGCGACCCACCTTCAGATCAGCAGTCACCCAGAGAGATTAATCCAGACGCAGGAGGCCTGTTTGAGAGCAGACATGACAGGCTCTTAGCGAGATCAGAGAGACAGGCAGGTAGACAGACAGATGGGGCGGATGGGTTCATGACAGTGATATACATACTGAGATTGTGTCCATATATCTGAGTATGTAACTTTCAGGTTTAACATACAGATTATTGGACTGCTTGGAACATGAATAATGTAGAGACCAAATTTTTGTTGCCGTAAAAGGAAAAAGAAAAAAAAAATGAAAAGGCTCAGAACAGCTTTTGAACTTCATTGACCTGTTTATGTAGGTCAGGTATTAACTAAGTGGACATTTTATATGGTTGTAAAATTGATACAATAGAACAAAATCTCATGAAATGGGACATTATAAACCTGCACCAAACATACAGTATTAGTACACACATCAGGTTTAGTCATGGCCAAGAAAATACCATTAGACAAAGCATGTACATGGGGGTTTAGCAGTTTAAGTGCAGAGGGAATAGTTTGCTGCATGTTTTCCCCACCCTCTCCTCCCCACATTTACTGACTCATGTCAGCTGTTATGTCCAGTAAAGGCAACTTGCTCCCTAAATAGCATAAAAATGCATGCATCCACAATATCAGTTAAATGTGCATGCTTTTGATTGTTTGATTATCATGTAACAGTTATCATAATGACTCCAGCTAACTCTACTTACTAGCTAACAAATCAGCTGACATTATAATTAATTGGCTATTTTTCACTTGAATACCTGCTTCTTGTGGGATACTCCTGTAAAGTGAGAAACTCTCATATTAACTTGATTTACCAGTTCAGTTTCAAAGGTCACTTGATCACTGTATTTCAGCTCATTTGAGTTGTTGATGCACATGTAAAAATGTGTCTAACTCAGCTGGTCCAACATGCATCACAATTTTGTTTCGTGTTTATAAATGTTAAAAACTTCTATAGTCTATGTGAATAAATTTTCATGAATCAGCTTCATATGAGGAACTACTTTGCTGTAATTGTGCCTCATGGTTGTATGCTTAAGGCAAGGTGTTACCTAGTCAGAAGTTTTCTGTGTGTGTAGACTGTGATATAGAACTAATATATATGGTGATATTTTGAAGTTTAGATTTTTTAAAATTTATTTTGGGATGTGTCGCCAGTAAACAGAGTCAGAAATACTTCATTGAACCCAGCAGAAAATGAGCAAACCCTCGCAGAACCTGCTCAGTCATTTCATAACAATCCAGATATGAGAATCCCCTTTAATGCCTAAAAAGGAGAACAAATGTCTGAAGTTGATGAATATGGTATCATTAGTTACGCTTGTCTTGCCTCCTTCATTTTCAGGTCTAATTGGCTCCTATTTATAATCCTTCACCTTTGGGCCATCCTTTGTAATACTGTCTTGTTTCCGTCTGTAATTGGTTCAGATCAGTGAATCTTACAGGTCACAGAGAGGGGAGAAGTCCTTGGATGATTTTTTTATTTGGACACTGAAATACATTTTGTTTTGTAGGTGAATGAAACTGTCTGCTCTGCTATTCAGAGTAACTTCCACCTGTTTGGTTCTGAGTATTCAGGAAAAAAAACATGAAACTTTTTGTAAAAAGCATCAAAGACAAACTAAATAAACTCTACACTTTACAAGAATGATAACACAGAAAAGGGAACCGTTTTCCTCCCATCTTTTGAGAAGCATCTGTTAAAGTGTGTGTTCAATTCCTTGGTAGTAATTCTGAAATTACCAAAAATTATTGGTACTTCATTTTGGTAACCAGGGATCTTAACACAGTGCATGTTTTTGTGTAAATTGTCAGACTTTTGATTTTTCTTTGTCTTGGAAATGTAAACTGAACAAATCAATTCTATACTTTTTAGTTGCAACACAACATTCAGGCAGTCCTGCTCATGAGCTTGCTTCACGTGTCCTTGTGTGTGTGTGTGTGTTTGCATGCATGTGTGTATTCAGTCGCTTTAAAGTGGAGCTGAACACTGCTGGCAGACCCAACTATGTGCGTGTATGTGCGTCTGTCTGCAGGTCAGCTGTCCATTCCTTCAGTTCCAGAGAGACTGGAAAACCCCATGAGCCAGACCCCTGAAGGCACTCATCTGCATAGAAAGGTAACAGGCTCCCAACACACACACACACACACACACACACACTCAGCAGGGTGTATCAGTCACAGTAGTGGGATTTTGAGCATTGGGTAACAGGTCAGTTCAAGGGGTCAACAGCGGCATTTCACCTTTGACCTCAGGACAAAAACAGACTGAAGTCAGGGGCTGAGGGACTACTGTGCTGGGTTAACATCTTCAACAGCGGCAGGCCTTTAGTTGTGTTCGTTTTAATAATCCCTGACCTAAGAACAGATACTTGTTATTCTCCACTATAAATGATGTAATGCAGATAAATACATACACCTTTGTAGTACATATATACAGTATACTACAGAATAAGTATTATTGAGATATTAAGTCCTCAAAAGGAAAATCAAAAACATAGAATCACACTTCTCCTTTAAACACTGCCACATTTCCTCCTTTGAAAACAAGATCCAAAATCTTTTGCATGGATGTGTTATCAAACTCTTACAACAGAAATTCACAACTATAAGTTTATCTAATTATCTTCATTAAATTTAATCACTTTAAGTTCTTTTAAACTGTTGATGTGAAAACAGAAGGATTTGACTTATTAAAAGTAAGTTTTTAGATATCACAATATAAAACTATCAACAAAAGGTCATTTGAAAAAAGGGTACATTTATTTGAATCATTAATATTCAACAAACTGATCTGCTACACAAAATCGAACCTTTTGAGAGCACAAATCCCTCTCTCTTTTTACCTTTTCCTTATCTCCTTTTCACACACACACACACACACACACACACACACACACACACACACACACACACACACACACACACACACACACACACACACACACACACTCTCTCTCTCTCTCTCATATGCTCACCAGTGCTCCACCGCCTCGCTGAAAAGAAATAAACACAGACTCTGATGACTGGACACACTCTCTGCATATTATCAGCCCCCTGGTGGCCAACTTTAGAACTACATCACACATCTTAACTTTAAGAAGCAAGTTTTTTTAAGCTTAAGACAGATTTTCATTTCATCTATCTCAAAAAATAGACGTGTAAATATCTGATATTCACAGTCAATCAGCAAACAATGAAGAATTTCTGCATCTGTTTTATGAATAGGGATATCTCTGTAATGCTCCCTCAAATGTTTTGATGTGCAATTCATTCTGACATGTATATTGTTGGAGGGGATACAAAATCTGTTATAATTGCAAGTGCTTAAATTTTTGAGCATTCAAAACATATAAAAAGGGGATTTGAGAATAGTGAACTTACATTTTCTCTGTTCTAAAGAAAGGAAATCAAAGCTCACAAACATGAATGAAACAAGTTCAGATATGTAAAATGAAAAACATCAATGCTTGGAGTAAATGAACAGTACTTGTCATGTGCGCCTCCACTTACTTGTTACCACTGGAAAACTGACAGCTTTGCAACCTTATGGAGACAAAAATCAAAATGTCGCCTTATGAAGAACAAATACAAACCTTAAAAACACTCTGAATTTCTCAGCGTTGAACTCTCTCCTCATCTGCATCTGTCACCCTTGCTGAACTGCTACCATATAACAACATCCAACTGTCCTACCTCGATGTGATCGAAGCTGACTTTGCTCTCCACCCAGCTTTGTTTTTCTTTGCAGCTGTTGGGTGGTCCATGTCTATTGCTCTGTCTCTCTTTTTCCCCGTCTTTTCCCTGTCTCCCTTTCTTTCCCCATCTTTCCCTCTCTCTTTCTTTCCCCGTCTCTCCCCTCCCTCCATTATTTCTCTCCCTCTTTCTCTTTGTCAAGTTCACAGCGTCTGTTTCTCTTTTAGTGCTACAGGACCCAGGTATGAAATTCAATACCACAGTATACACAATTAAGTTCACACCAGAGGTTATTGGGTGGAAGTGTGGTCCCATTTAGAAAAAATGTGCAAGTCAGTCAAAGGATAGGAGGGTGTGAGTGTTTATGTGTGGTAGGTTAGTTGGTCAAGGTTATCTGAATTATATGAGGTGGAGGTGTTGTGTGTTCTCGGGACGGTGCTGCTCTGGTTTTTAACACAGGCCAGAGTGGAAGACTCTGTACTGGCATGCTGTGCCATCGGGGGTTTCGCTGAAACAGGTTGTGTTATTCATTCTCAACCAATCATAAATCTTAAACTGATGTTTGCTTTCACCTGACGAATCAAATCTGCTCTGGAAACATTGATTTTTTTCATCTGTTACAATTATTTAAGTCCCATTCTCATATTCAGTCAATTTAAAAACGGCATTTTCAATCAAAATTGAAGTTTTGAGTAAATCCTCAGGCCCTTATTATCTGTTACCTTTCAAAACAATATTCCTGCTTTTGCCCTTCTGAACTCACCCCAGCTGACCCCCCTAACCCCCCCAGCCTGTTGAGTGTTTCAGAGTTGGATCAGTTAGCCATAGCTCCCTCTGTGAAACATTCACACGCGATGGGAGCCTCATGACAGGCCAGCTGGATCCTTTAGTCTGCCCCCCCCAAACACACTCACAGACACAAAACCTCCATGGAGTCCCTACTGGCCAGCCAGCCTGTCACTCATACAATGGGAGGGTTATGAACATGTGCCTGTATCTGAATGTGTGTGTGTTGTTGGGCTTCCTGTTTTGGCTGTGTACTTCAGTCCTTCCTGGCAGGGGGGACTGCTTTTGTCATTTCTGTCTGCTCTGATACTAGCAAGACAAATTAAACATACACTGAACTGATGTGCGGATGATGCAACTGATATCTGATACCTTTTAACCGTTTTTCATGTCAAAACTTGTCATCTTATTGTATTTTATCCAATTTAGAAATTTGATCACCATTTAGGATTTAAAAGCTGTCCATAGCGATCCAAATGTCATCTTAATGAGAGAGCAACCATTCAAAAACAGTCTGAGGCAACATCTTTAGTGTTTACAGACCTGATTGAAGTTACCCCATACCAATCTATAATAAACAAACTATAGCCAAGCAGGTTTCCATCATATCACAACTAATCATGTCAAAATAGCCAGTTGGAAATGATGTATTTTTCCCCCTTTATACCCATTTCATTGTTGTGAGTTGTAGGGAGAAAAACTGTTGTTGACATATGTAGCTTGTAGAAATGGTTGAAAAAGAGAATCCTCAGTAACTTAAAGGGATATTCCAGTGTAAAATAAAGTTAGGGTCAAACACACCCTAACACTGAGTTAGACACCCATAAATGTTCTTCCTTGAGCTGCGTCACCCCGCTGCGGTCCGTAATGGACTGGTCCGAGGTCTCGCTACAAACAAGCAGCTGCTGGAAGAGAGTAGGTGAGTTGTGTTTAGTCTCTTTGCTAAAGAAATTAGGCAAAGTTAAAAAGATGTTTGGTGGCTAATGCTGTGGCTGGGACCCTATATGTACTGTTGATGGAGTTAGGTGCTGTTGGTTGAGCGCGTGGCTCTCTGTAGTGCTATCATGCGGTCGTTACTAAAGTTGGTATAACTAGAGAAGCAAGCGGTCGGCAACATTCATCTCTTGACAGGTTGTCTAACTTGGTGTGATGGTGTGTTTGACCCTAAATTAATTTTACGCCGGAATATCCCTTTAATTAGACTTTTGTGCCCTTTATTTCTGTCTGTTCGTCTCCCCCCGCACTCAAGCACATACATAAAATACATCCACCCGATCACTCAGAAGTCAGTATGTCTTCTAGTCTTGCGAGGGAGCACCAGTCATGTTCCATTAATCCTGAGCAACCAGTGGTGATTGATCAATTAGCCCTGCTTAAAGCCAGGGCTCGGGCTGATCAATAGCACTGATCACCAGCCAAAGGTTTTTCATTAAGACCTGCTGCTCTGCATGAGTAGACTCCATTAGCATAGACCAAATGGGCTGTGAGGAATGCAAATGCCCCCAGTGAAAATACACATTCACATAAATTTGTCTAGTGGTCATTGTTTTTTTTATCATTTACAAAATCTTTGGTGTCAAACAAGTTTATGCTTTAGTTTGAATCAAAGTTGTTTAATGAAAATATTTTTTTTTATGAAGATTATCAGTGGATTATGTTTCTTAGACCTGGATTATATTGCAGCATCATCACATTAACAATCTCACTTGCCACTGTTACAACACTGTACTTAAAACATGGAGAACAAGATGGCAGAACATACAGAAAACATATAGCTCATTTTTAGAAATTTAACTTTTTCTGTAAGGGAATCGTGCTAAACTCTATTCAACATTGTTGTTTTTTTTTTCGCTAAACTTCTGTATGCAGCAAAAGCTACATCTTTTTCTTAGTCTGTAATGTGGCCTTATGTAATAAAAAGCTTGTGTTGTGCTTTTCCCTGATACTCGCATGTTCGTTAAAGGGTGATCATGGTAAGAATTGCCGGAAGCATCATCCCAAAATATCAGCGTTTGAGTAGTTTTGCTACAATAGTCTTAAAGGTATGATAATGGACATGTTGGGTAACTTTTCCCTCTCAACCAACTCCCTGTCAACTTTTTTTGTTTCTTACCTGAACAACAGCGGATGTTGTTGCACCACATTGATATTTTTGATCCACAACCCCATTGGACCCTCGGGATCATTCGTAACTTAAAATACGAAAACAACCTGCCGGCCATCACTGACAGACTCACCTTTCTCACCCTTTCCTAACCCTCAGTGGGACCAGAAGCTATTGTTTGACTTAAACAATCCTCATTGAATTAAAAACTGGCCACATGCTTTGTTCGGTGAGACCGATGCGTACTGCTGTCATGGGTCCTGTCGTTAATGTGCCATCACTGTACCTCACATCCTCCACAGACACAGGGAGTGCTGAGCTTACTTCCTCCATCTGTAGATGTATGTGTGCACGAATACGCCTCCGTGTGTGCATGAGAGACACTCATGCTGTACCGTGTGTGTTTGTAGATGATATGAATGAGTAAGAGCAGAGGTTGGAGGGTGGGTCATTTTGTCTGTGTTTGTGTGTCATTGTCCTGTGTGTGTGTGTGTGTTGGATGTGAGTAAACTTTAAATCAGTCAATGTGGTAGACTCCTGGTGACGTATCTATGTATACCCAAACAAAATGTCATTTCTCTACAGACACAGACCGTTGAAATCTATATCTCATTTTTATAATATGTTGAACATAAACAATATGCACCAAATTTTGATTTTCATTTCCTTGCAGACAAAAGTTTTACGTATCAAAACACTTTGCATTTTCGTATTTTGTCAAGGATCCAGTTCTGCGTATTTGAAACCTGAAAACCTCCAACATTTGGCCTTCCTATTACTTCTATTGAATCTCATGAGTCCAATGACATTATACCTCGCATCGGGCCACATGTAGATTAAATCACTAGCGCACACACATATCCATTATCTAAGAATGTGTCTGAGTAAAAGTTATTTCCCTGCTGACAGGTATTACACCACATCAAGAAAAATGTTGGTATTCAGTTGCTCATGAGGATAATTGAAAACGTGAAGTGGCCTTAAGTCTGGCTGAGTACCTACACCTGTCTTCAGGTTGAAAAAGGTCCATCAACTTTCAGCTAAAAAGGAAGTTAAAAAGGAAAAACCTGATCCACTTCAAGATTTACTGCAACAAATACAACACTACCTTTGTCCAATCTATAATGCTCAATTTAGTTTTTCTTTCTGCGGTTTAATTTTAATAGCACTGACAGTGGGTTCAGTTTTATATTTATTTATCAAACCCTGGAACAAAAGGGAAATCTCAGCAGAAACGAGGCTCAGATTATGGCGAAGTTTTGGATTAAAGAGAGACTCTTCAAATTGTGATGCCCACGGTAAAACAAATGTTCACGTGTCACAGTGTGTATTTAGCTCAAAGGAAGGGAGTTGGTTGCAGAGATACTGAGGCAGACAGGAAGAGATCATCCCAGTGTAACCAAGCCTGAGGTTGAACCCACTGCCTCCTCACCCCATACATAGTACACTTGGAGATTATAGTCTGGACTCTCTGTTTCTCTCGCTCTCTCTCTTTCCGTCCGTAACTCACACTCTCTTGTACACACTCAATTTAAAATGGATCCAGAGGCCAACTCATACATGGTTACACACTACAATAATATATCTCCTTCCTCCTGTCCTTTTATGTCTTTAACATCATTTATGTCATCAACATCATTTCACCTCATAGATAGATAGATAGATAGATAGATAGATAGATAGATAGATCCACTAAACCTACCTGCCTACATCTACAAACATGGCTACTTGCGCTTTAATTTAACATTTGCACCCGTGTCTGGAGATTTTTGCATTGACTGCATGGCGAATGATATTTCCAGCAGTCAAAGATGGGTGGATGGGGGTTGTTGAGATGGATGAATGGATGGACGGTTGACACCCCTATCCATCCCCGCTGGGGAAAGGAAGTCCCTATCAGAACACAACAGGAAAGAGACGGAGCAAAAACAAGGGCTTGTCTTTTTGGACATTAAATCACTTCCTGTAGGTCTTTGGGCTGCTTCCCCCACCATCCTCCACCTCCACCTCTCCGTCTAGTTCAACCACCCTTTTAACAGGAAAAGAAATTGATCAATTCTCTTTATCTGCGTGCGTAAAAAGTGCTCTGGTTCCTGTGGGTCTGTCTGTGAAAAGTCCAGTAACTCATCAATAACTCATAAAAGAGGCCTGAGACCCTGTGTAACGTAACAGTGCTTTAACCTTTTAACAATTCAAAATAATCTTTGCTTTAAAAGGAGAATCTGTCACCTCATGCCCAAAACATTCATAAGTAACGCCATAGAGCTTGCCTGTTTGATTTACAGGTGTGACTTGCAGATGTGATGAGTACCATAGGATGCAAGTGCCATATAAATTCCAACCGCCTGACAAATCACAAGCTGGCTGCTGGACCTGGTGCTTTGATCCTCCTCCAAGAACACAAACAAAGAGACAAAAAGGTTTATCATGGTGGGTGCAGGAAAGGACCCTTTTATTGGTGACAGGAAAAGACAATGACCACACTTTTCACCGAGAACACAATCAACAGCCTCACTCCATCTGGCTTGTCATTTTTTTAGATTTTTTGTGATACTGAACGGCTGACTGCAGACACCAGGAAGAATTGATCAAATCTCAAACTTATACAGAAAATGCAGCTTTTTGCACAGTGTTGCCCTCATCCAGGGCACAGCTGTAAAAAATATGACTTCCTTCCTGTAGACTATTTCCTGTTTATGTCCGAATTCAGGTCAGTCAAGGGGGACTGTGGCTCCCCCTCATCTACAGCCATCCTTACCCAGAAGTGACCCCAGTATGATAAAGCAGAATGCAGTGTTATCGCATTTAACAAAATAACACTTTCTATACTCTCATTCTATTATCTTTCTCATCCCCTCTTAAAAAGTTAAAGCTAAAGAACATTATTGAACTTAATGAACCTTCTACAACATACCAAAATCTGCAAACACTCTCTTTTACCCATAATACACAAAAGCAGAAGTGACATTATTTGCGTTTTTCTGCTCCCGCAAGACCTAAAAGTTCCCCCCAGAACATGTCTCAGTTGCACACACATGGATCTTCCTGGCCTGTTTGTTTCATTTTCTGCTGATTTGCCTAAAACTGGCAGCGGCTGCTCCACTGAATGTTTAATTTAAGAGCTCATGTTCCCCTCTGTATGATCTGTGGTGGTGTTGTGAGCATGGGCTGGCTTTAGGAGGGAGGGGGTCTGATGGGTGTGGGAGACCCCCAGGTCTCCGGGCTCAGTCATTAAGATGGCTCCTTGGCTTGGAGATGAGAAAGCATGCTCGGCACTCTGGGTTCATTGAAGATGCTCCCCTGCCTGCTTGGAGCATCCATTATTTATGAGTTTTTACAAATTTCAACTGACATTTTTATCAGTTATGTATGACTGTTTCTGATTTGGCAGTACTAGGTGTGTCTGTCCTCTTTACAACAAGATAAAAATGCTGGTCTAAATCCACAGCTTGGTAGAAAGAAGAAAAGTGTTGTGGCAGGTTGTGGTTTACTGTCCCATGTGAACTTCATTTTGGCTTTTTTTGGGGGGACTGGTTCAGTGTCAAAGAGACTACTCTAAACGAGACATATTGTAGTCATTTGGGCTATGTGAAAATAACATTTGGTTTGTCGTTCATCTAGCAAAATCCAAGAGTGTGCAGAGATAAGGGCTCCTCTTACATACGTTAGTCGAACCATAAAATGTTGTAATCAAAACCCTCATACCTCCTCGGATCCTTTGCATTTGATTGGATGTTAAGCAATACTCCCCCTTGATGATGATGCTCAGGCCCAAAAGTTTTCTCAAAAAGGAGAAGGGTCAAAAGTTTACGAGAACAACAAGCAAGGCGACGACAGAGTAGATATTAACTTCATATCTCTCAAGTATGAGGCAAAAGTTGTAGGAATGAAAAGATTTACTTCTGCTTGCATCGTTTGATCTCAATACTTACCGTATTTTTCGCACTATAAGGCACACCTGATTATAAGGTGCACCATCAATGAACGCGTCTATTCACATCTATTTTCCTCCATAAGGTGCACCGGATTATAAAGCGCATTAAGCCAAACAAAATAGTCAGATAAGTCAAACTTTATTTAACTCGTTCAATAATTCTGCGAGGCTACGGTAGCTGCAGTGCTCTGACAAGCCAAAAGGATTTTAAGTGCACTTTATAGTGCGAACAATATGGTATGTTTTTTTTAAGTTATAAATAATTTTTAAAAGGTCTAATATGTCACCAACACAAGCAAGCTACAAAAAGACTTTACACTTTTTTTCAGAGAGAAAAATGCAGAATCTGTCGATCATTGTTGTTGGCAAAATCCCCAAATATACTAAGATTGTTTTTTTTGTCAATATCACACACTACTGCTGCGTTATTGATCAGTTTCACCCATGAGCATTTTTGATAATTTGAGAAGAGAGTTTCTTTTATACAAAGCAGCTGCTTCAAAAATCACATATTTTGTGAATGATGCGCAGCTCCACAGCTCCGAAGTTCTCTCTCATGTTGGATTTCTTCATATGAAATTTAGACTGTGCAGGAGTCTAGATACTCTCAGCAGATCAGCTGTGCTCTTTTTAAAGTGGATTAAGGAAAAGAAAAATTCATGATTAAGGTAGAACGCTACAATGACTGCTATTACAGTGACAAATTGATGAGTGTGTGTGTGCATGCATGTGTGTGTGTGTGCGTGCGTGTGTGTGTATGATCAGCCCGTATCTGTTATAGGACGCCTACCGTCTTCTCACCACCCTGACCTCGTTTGTCTGCGGCTCAGCCAGTATTGATCCGAGCACTGCCCTGTGCTTCAGTGCTCAGCCTCCGGCCTCAGACTGCCTCACCTCACCTTACATCACTCACTTAACATTAGGCTCTGAGCTTGACATGCACAGTGGAGTTGTGGTACAGTCCCTGAGAGAGAGCTTGTCAAATGTCAGTTAATACAAGCTCTGCAAGCGCAACGCCCACTTGTTGTCAATCTTGCAGTCTAACAATATTCTGCCACTTAATGCACATCTTTGTTTTTGAAGTTATTTGATCATTCTCATCAGTAGTACATTAATAACTGCAGAAATTTTAATTTTTCACCATGCAAGAATCAGGCCCGTTGATTCCAGTGATTGAAATGCAGCCTTTTTCCTGTCGCGTTTAACCGCTCGCCTCTGTACAGCAGACCCACCACTCCAAACACGTGTCAGACATTCCTCTGGGTCCACACTCTGTGTTTTTCATAGCTGTTTCTGGGTCTATGATGTTCATTTGTAAGTGCCTTTATAACGCCGCTCCTAGCTAAAGCCCCTCAAGTGTCCTCAGTAGCATACAGAAACTGTTGCTGTCCCAGTGGAGGAGCAGCAGACTAAATAATCAGTTTCCCATCACAGTGACAATCTGTGAGCAGCTGTTTGTATCTGAAGGCCTGCCAGCGATTGTCCATGGCTCTATGAAACAGAAAAAGAAAGAAAGGGAGCGCGGAGAGGAGGAGAGATTAAAGGAAAGTTTCTCTCTGCCTGTTTTTGTCCTCCTCGGGGTTTTGATATTGATCTCACCAACAGACAGCAGATGTAAGTGAAGAGCCACGTGTATAAATAGTTTCGTCCACCTGTGGATACGGGCGTGTGTACATTTAAACTCACAAATACTGAAGCGGACTCTTTTGTTTTTGTTGTTGGAATGGATGCAGAAAAGTCAAGGATGTATAGTATTTGATAATTTTATTCATTTGCGTTTATTTTTTCCTATATTTGTGTAGCACTTTGCACTAAGAAACAAAAATAGCTTTTTTGCTTGTAAACAAACACTGATGTTAAGAGGAGTAAAGACGGTCCAATGACAGCTCTTACATTAAAGGGAGCCTGAAAAAAATATGCTTTCAAATACCTTACATCACCTCCCGAGGCAATCGGTTAACATTGCACAGGGCCTTGAATGAAAAGCATTCAGTTTTAATAAAAGTAATACTGGCCAAACCATTTGCAGCTTTTGTTTGACGCTGAGCACGTCTCACATCAAAAACATTTGTTTGCTTTCTTAAAATATTGTTGTTTTTTTTTATACCATATCTCTGGATTTGAGGGTATATTGTACATTACCATGTGAAGTTCTGCCCACGTCTTGAGCCTGCAAATTTAAAGAAAAAAAAAATGTGGTGGATATATGTGACGGGATCAGAGGCAGCCCTGGTGTGCACCTTGTTACCTCAGACACCCAAAACTTAAAAAGTAAGATTGTATTGACTTGGTGTCATACAAAGTTTGTGACACAAATATTGATTGAAAAAGTAAATATTTTTGAATACCCTAAACCCTATTGTCGGCTATTAATGAGAGGGTTGATACCTAATTCAGGTATAGACTGAGAAAGAGTCTGAATTCAGTAGAATATCATAACAAAGATGTTTTGTTTATTGGCACTCAAAGATACACAGTTTTAATCGCACTTCTCACAATAACCTTTTCTCTTGAGTGATAAACAGTCTGATATTGTTACTGATAATTGTTTTAATAGCAAAGACTGTATACCTTTTTATTTTATTTTATTGTTTTATATTTTATGAAGAAGCAGAACTGTATTGTTAACTTAAGATTCATCTTAATGAAAATCATTTTGAAAATAATTTCTCATCTTATAAGTTCTTCTGGCACCTTAATCAATCTGTAAATGTTGAACTACAACTTCTGTATGTCATAACGGCACCGCGTGGTTCACACATTTACATGCCACAATAATCCGTCATTAACATAAACAAACAAAAGCTCATTTAACGCAGCTAAACTCTAAATTTCCCGTCATCGTTTTGCTCCATTTTAGCAGCTTGAAGGTTTTCTTTTATAATTGTTGACGATCCCAAAATATGTTTTGAGGTCAGTCCAAAACCATAATTATTTCTTTGGATTCAATCATAGTAAAACATTCTCCAGACCCCCTTTTGCAGCTGATGAACTGTTGTGACACTCGGGTTGTCGTGTTTGTGCAGACGACACAGACCTCTTTCTTTCTCTTTATGACACTGTTGAAGTAAAGGTCAAGATTCCACATGCAGTCAAGCGCTCACCTTCGCCTCTTGGCTGAGGTCTGGCAAGATTAAGCCTTTGTGTCTTGCCATTTCTCTATGTGCCAGGTTCATCTTTCTCACAATAGAGCCAGGCAAACACAGGGAGGAAAAGTGTGTGCCTCAAAGAGTGTTTGTGTGTGTGTTTGTGAGTGTGTGTTTTTAAAAGACATTGGTGCAACCGTTTTAACAGGGCGACTCTGTTTGAATTAGATGTTCTAACCCCCCGCTTGCTAAATGGATTTCTGAAGTGGCTGTAGTTGGAGGCTTTCAATCGGATGCAACCTTGAGTCCTTTTTTATGTGAGCTCTGTAGGATTTAAGTGCCGGTATAACATGAGCACGACTGAATGCATGCTCCTCATTTTTTGAAATTGAAAAATCTCCAAAGGCTCTCCCTATTGTGCAGGCAATTAATGGAATGCTGGCAGCGAGGTTCAGGTGCTTAAAAGTTGTATTTTTTCTCTCTCTCTCGCTCTCTTTTTAATGACTAATAAAGGATAATCATCGTGGAAAAAAAAACATCATAATGCTGTAGGCTTCCTCTTTATGCACAATGATGTATAATGCATGCTTTGAAATGAAACGGCAGCGGCCTTCGAACCATTCCATCTCCAAACCTTAGTGTATTTGTTTTGCATGCCATAGTGAGGCTTTTGCATAACAATAGTGAGTGTTCCCATTAACAATGCTTGCCTATTAATTTGATCTTTACATTTTTAAAGTTTGTCCATCAGGCCGTCAAAAAATGGATCTCCTAGTTGTGGTTTGGTATAAGTGATTAGAAAGTTGGCTAATTGCCCCTCTGAAGAGTTTTGCTGTTTTTTTTCCCCCTCTCTTTCTTGTTCTTCACCTGTCAGCCTCTAACAGTCCTATCTCTCAAAAACAGCAGCCTGTTGCACCAGCTCTGTATGGGTTGTTTCTAAGAGTTTAAAGACTAAACTAATAAGTAAATACTGACATCTAAACTAACCAAAACATTGTCGCAGAAACGACGTCCAGCCGCTTGGTGAAAGGGTTTTCAAAGATATTTGAAATATGACAAAGCATTGTGAGAAGTTGTTAATTAGTTTACACAGTAAATTATACAGCAGTGACAGGAAGTGGTAAAAATGCCAATTACACTATCTGTTCATGTTTTCCCTTATAGAAAATGTACAGATCAGAACTGTCATACCATTCATGTAAGAATCAGAATCAGAATGCCTTTTATTGTCATTATACGCAGTACAATGAGATTAAAGCCACCCATATCAGTGCAAAACATTTGAAAAAAGATAGATAAAAAATATAGAAAATATGAAACGAGAGTAATATGAAGTATATACAATGTAAACATATGGACCTGAGATTCGTATCAAGAAGAACAAGTTGACAACATGCAAACAGAAGGTAAAATCCCCCCTGCTTTTCCTCAAACTTCAGATTATTGATGCACCATGGCAGCTAGTATTTTACAGAAGTCTTTTTGAGCTGATGTCGCCCCTAAAATAAGTTTCACTTCTACATAATGTGGAAAACTGTCTTCAGCTTCTCAGAGAAATCACACAGTGACCTAAAAAAACAAGGGATTAAGAGAGTGCTTGGAGTCCTTCCCATCTTCATAGTGCACATAATCCTTAAATGAAGAAAAGAACATTTAAAAGTTTTAATTGTTCTTTGAAAATCAAAGTATATAAAATGAATAAGTTCAGACTCTCTCCTGAATTAAAATTACATATAAACCAGCTTGTGATATTAACTCACACTGACATTAACTCTCCTCTTTAACTGAGTAATCTGTGTTTTTGTTGTGAACAACTGCCAAAAACTAATCATCTGCAGTTTCAGTAAATAAATTAGGATTATCAATGAGGCCGAGTGGCATATATGGAGTCTTTTTCCATTAGAGGGAACGTTTAATGAAGACTAAGTTGCTCTGACTAACTATACTATGTGTAAGATAAGGAGCTTAAATTTAGTACAATATAAAATCATACGATCACCTATTATGTGACGGGTTTTCTTCACTAATTGATCTGCCAAAGTTTTGTCACCATGTGGCGCTGGACTAGTTCTACTTAGGCCTCTTGGGGTCCCTCTTGAAACCGGACTGAATCCTGAACCGGCTTATTTCAGTTGCACCTTTTCTTGCAATCTTGGAACACTTCCAACAGCTTCTGTTTTTTCTTCTGCCCTCAACCTCTTTCTCTTTGACTGCGCTTTGACGATGCAGGGAAACATACAAGCGCTTCTTGGTAAACACGAGTGATGTGGTTCCAGAGTTTAAAAGCTTCACATAACACTGGCAGACACAACTTGGGGCTGTTTGTGTGATGGAAAGGAAAACTTGTTTAGAAACTGACAGCACTGTATCTGTGTGTGTGTGTCTGAGAAAGAGAAAAAACTGTGTATGTGAGTGAGAGAGAGAAAACTGTGTGTGTGTGTGTGTGTGTGTGTGTTATGTTGCTTTTGGCAAGTTATTCATTTGTGCTTTTTTTCCTCTTTTTTCTTGCCCTCTGTGTGGTTATCTTTTGAGTTGGTCGGTTTTGAGCTGATGTCCACCTTCGGGGATGCGCATAGCATGCATTTCTGAGTATTTTCACCTGAGGCTGCACTTGTTAGAGTCTGTGGATAAATGTATATACATTATTTATACAAATTCAGGGCGAGTGAAAGCAGGTTTAACACATTTACAGACAGGAGGCCAGGCACTGCAAGCAAAGCTCCAAGAGAGGATTGCAACGCTGTGCGCCGGGGATCGAGCTAGCCTCTCACACAACTGTGACCAGCATCCTTAATGCTGCACAAGAACAGTGCAAACATTATCATCAACACCTCAGCAATCAAACAACATTATTTGCTTCAGTAGAGGCGGGGGCGAGGAAAAGATTGACAGGAGACTTTTTTTTTTTTTTAAATTAATTCTAAGGGATACGATCGCTTTAAGTGCTAAAATTTAGTTTGGCAATATGTAATCCTTCTGAATTATAGAGACAAGTTCAGCAGTTTTTCGTCCGGTTGCTGCTCTCATATTGACTTTGGCAGTGACGTACAATTCTAATTTTATTAACCTAACAACTTTCAGTCACCGATGTAGCTCAAGAATTTGCGTGATTGTTGAAAACAGTGAGAAGCAGAAAGAAGTGTTGAAGGAAAATCCTGTGTTCGCTTGTAACTAGAGGTGAACTGATTTATCTGAAAGACTAAATCAATTTCCAAAAACATTAATTATTAAGTAATAGTACTGGTCACACAATCTCTCAGAATGAGTCCAAACTTAAAACTTTAAGTATTGGTCCAAAATTAAAAGTTAGAAAATGCACTTAAAGTCGTAGGTTCAGACTGACTTCACCTGTAGGGCAATAAAAAAGACAAGCCACATAAATATTTGTTTGATTCCACCTATCGCTCATGAAACTGCGCGAGGAAAACGAAGGTCAATAGTTCGTTAACACGCACTGCCAAAATCACTTTGTAAACGCATATGTGCTTTACAGTAGATAATGGATATTTAGTGTGTATTAACACCACTAATCATCCGCTGAAGGTTGATGGAGGAAGGAGATCAAAAGTTGACACAATGAAGGGAGCTGCTCTTTGAATTTTAATTGCTTTTGATAGAAAACACATTTCAATTATAGGCTCAGATACCTTAAACCGGGTTAATTCAGTCACTTAGGGTTTATTTGAAACAGTTTATACAATTTATTTTGCTTTTTGATAAATTCACCGTTTATAAAGACTTGTTGCAATTACTGTAACTAAAGCATTTTTATAGCAGGGCTGAAACAAAAGCTGAACTTTCACATGAAAACTGTATGCAGACTTCAGAGCACAAAGTAGAGAGGTCATTGTCAGTTAAGTAAATTAGTTCTTAGTGTCTCAAAACACTCATTAGGAAGATAAGCTATTACTGAGTCGGAAAGGAAAACAAATAAGAAAAGATAAAAACACAAGCCTGTGTTTGAGGGTGTTTATTGGCCATTCAGCCAGTAACACATTACACTTTTCTCTTCATGGCTTCATACTCGTCACTTACCCCGTCCTCTTCTCTCCTCTTCTCTTCTCCAGGAGCCACCCCCCTCAGAGGTGGATGCCTTGCCAGCAGGTTGTAGCCTTCATGTTCCCATGGAGCTGGAGTTCGCAGCTTCCTGTTTCCCCCGCAGCCCCACACCCCAGAAAAGCTACGGCCTCGTCTACGTCGGCTGACCTGGCCGCTGACGGTGATTTTTTAGTTTGGAATCACTTTTTAATCACAGTTGGTGAAATGGCGTCTTTTTTTTTTTTTATTATGCAGCATCTTTCTCCTGAACTTTAAATTTCCTGTCACCTTTCATCACTGGAGAGACACGGGGGACACTTGGTGGTGGAGACCTTGGTGGTGGACTTTCTTCTTTTCACACTTATTGATGACTTAGTAGGATGTGCTATAAGCTATAAACCTCAAATTTTAACCTAAAGTCGTATTTTTCACTCAAAGTCTGTTGTTCTTGATTTTAAATATTTGAATGTTTTTCACTTTGTATTCCTCACTCATGTTTCACTCGCTGTATATTTGCTTGTGAAGATGTTACTGTGTAATGTCCAGTGAAATGTGCAGCAATTTCTCTGACTGTCACATGGACGGAGTGTAGGGGCTTGCATGTGGACGGTAAGTGTGGGATACGTATCATGTAACTGTGATGTCTGATGTGTTGATTCGGGTCAACTCTTATCTTATCTTTCTATCTCCTGCTGATACCGTCATACTATTAAATAAAGGCCAGAATGGCATAAAAAAAACTTAGCAGGACGGTATGAAACAGCATGTTATCTTACACCTTGACTGTGTTTGTGATCAGCTGTTGTTCGATCATAGACAAAACAAAGTTAATGAGTAAAACTATGAAGCAATTGTCTAAACAATGTACAAGAAAAAACACTGACTGTAGTCGTGTTGAGGACGTACGGTACCTGTAAACAATAAAAACGAAATTCTTGAATATCTACTTCAAGTTACCACTGAAAAAAACAGGTCACAGCAAATATCGATCAGATTTAAGAAATGGAGTAGAACTTCTATGTACAAAAAATGTAAATGTAAACATAAAAAGCTTTTCTCTCTTGACTTATATTCCACCAAATCTGCAAATCAGTGTAGATTATTTTTATGTATTTTAACTGGAACATCGAATAACTCATCATTTTATCAAGAAAGTAAGAAACACATGTAATTGAACCGGACAGTACGGGTGTGCGTAGGAAGCAAGAATCTGATATTATAAGCATCATAATCATTTATTGAAATATGAAGAAAAATTTCAGTCAGCCTCAGAGAGACACGCTGTGACAAGGGTGATGACGGGGGGAAGAGTGGAAGTCAGCAGGAGGGGCAAAAGACATGTACAAGCAGCAGAGAAATAGTATTTGGATGCATTGTGGGACCAGGTATGCATGAGCATGTGGATGAAAAAAGTTAGTCGTTTGGTAAGCCTTCAAAACATTTATCCTGCATACAAATTCGTTTTGGAAGGTACTCTTGGATACAGATTGTAGCTTAAGCCACAGCTGAAATGACAAAACACTGTTTCTTTTACCTAAAAGCTCTGAGAAGAAAAAGCATCTTTTCCGTCAAACTTTAAGTAAAAAAAAAAAACTGGACCTCTGCTGTAACCACATAAATGTGCATGTGGTGTAGAGTTCATCTTCATGTTCCAGGAAGTTCAAAGCAGCTGCAGAACTTAAACACAGACTCGATGAAGTGGGTGATGAGAGATTGTCTGTTCAATAGACACAGTAAGAAAATGTAAGAAAATGGAGCCTGGGACCAGGGACAGCTTGATGTCTCAGGATTTCAGTGAATTTTCTGTACATTAAACCCACATTAAGGGACTTTTCATCGTTTTATGACTCAATCAAGAACATATTGATAGGTAAACAAACAAAAACAGCTTGCGACAGGCAAGTGTTTGGACATATTGAAAGAGCAGTAACAACCACAGAACATGTGAAAAACTCCACATGGAAATAAGTTAGGAAGTCATGTTTTAAGAGGACAAAAAAAGAGAAAAAAAGAAACGCTAAGTTTTGTTCATGTTGGACACAATACCAGAGGTCACAGCTCAGAGGGGAAAGATGCAGTCTTTGGTAAAAGAGCAAACTGGACAGAAAAATGATGCAAGTTTAACGTCAATAAAGGGAACCAATGGGGCAGAAAGATCTTTCATACCTACTCACTTAAATACAACTCCATTTACAGACTTGCATTAACATCTAAAAGACAAAACAAATTGGTTTAATTATTTTTTTTCCTCTGAAAGCCCATATTTTTTTTGCTCCAGACCTGCATTGATAAACCAAAACAAAACAAGAACATGCTACAGTAGACAAATTTATTCTTGCATGGACACCTCACGTCATGTAACACATAGATGGAAACCCAGAGACTCAATAAATTATCTTCATTATTAAGCGTAACCAGTGACACACTGTACATCAAATAGGTAAAAGCACTGTAAAATAAAAAGTAAAAAGACTACAAAAAATTGAAAAGTCAAACGGAACTCCTATACAGAAATGTTTAAGAAACAAATGTTTGAATGCCAGCAGACACAGATAGAAATTAATATTTAAGTGTGATTCCTTATTGATTTTAGTGTCTCACGACATAATTTAAGTACTGCTCAAAACAATAGAAAATAAAACACTGTACACACTCCAAAAAAGCAAACCAGAGGGATCTTTTTTTTTTTTTCCATTTCATTTGGTTGATTTCATTTTTTAGGAAATCATTGCTTTGCAATTTTTGCTTTATCACAGTTCTCTCCCATGACCACATGAATGTAAACACCAGTTGAATTACTCTTTTTTAAAATTTTACAACATTAATACTTTATATATATATTTGTACATATTTCCATTCACATCTGCACGGTTAGCTAGCATGGTAATGAAATAAGGCAAGACTCACATAACTGTGACATCACAAATCTTTTTTTTTTTCTCTTATAATACTGATTATTTAGGTTTTTGTAATTTACTTCTTCTGTTCTGCAGCAGGCTTTGGTCTTTCCGGACAAAGGCAGGGTCGGTCCTTCACCATCTCCAGAATCACGCTTTGTTTCTTTGTTCCAGTTGTGATGAAGTAATAAAAACAGATGGTGTTTCTTGTTTGCTTTGCAGGGAAAAATGGGCTATAAATACAACTGTTTTTGCTGACATTATTAATTGAATTTATTTAACACTGGTCTTTCTGAGGTACATAGTTTAAGATGATTCAGGGGGTTGGAATAAGAAAGGGAAACCACAAGGTGACCATGAGGAGCTAACGACTTCCATTACAAGAGAAAAAAGCATCGTATTTTCTTCTTATTGGCCTGTTTATTATTTTGTTCATTAAAGAAAGTTCCTTTTTTAGACCTTTTTTTAATCTCCAGTTCTCCGTTTTTCAGTCAGGTTAAGCTGCCAGGGTAGGCATCTTACGTGAGTTCGAGAAAAACAGACGTGACGGTAGGTAAAAGTCTGTGGCCCGGTTGAATGCTTGTCCTTTTGTCTTTACAGTACCAATAATAACTGAGAGCTGGTTTCAGTGAGAGAGCACACCAAAGGAGCGTCAACCAGAATAAGCCGCGGCTGTAATGGCAAAGCTGTTTGAAAGATGTGCGCTGTTACTCACCTTCCTTTCTCAGCACAAAAAGCTTCCCAGTGTCACCAGCATTAAAACACTCAAGGGTTGTTAATTCTTTACGTTGCAGCCTGCCAGGCTTGATAGTCTGTGCAAGTGCCGACAATTACTTCCCATCTGGTAGTGTCAAATGCAGTTTATTTCAAGTGTTTTTTTTTTGTTTTTTTTTCTTCCTTTTAGTAAATTGTCTGTGTGGTTTAGGAGAAGAAGCTGCTCCTCTGCAGAAGTTTCTTTTTACCATAAAGGGATTGATGTGTTGTTTGTGTGTGCACATTACACAGTCAAGTCTTAAGGTTCGAAAGGTTCAGTGTGGTGAAAACATCGGAGTTTGTGTGCCACAGCAAAACTCTCAGAATGTCTGCACAGCTGCGTTGTGGGTAACGTAGTCTGCCTCCTAAGCTCTTTTGGCGTGTAGCATTTCAATGAGCAGGTTGTTGCAGGGCACATCCCCATTCAGGTGTTTGTAGTAAAGGTATTCTTCGGCCTGCAGGCTGATGGCTCGGATCTCTGGCAGTCGGAGGAGCAGCTGGCCGAACTTGTCCGTCTGTTGCGGGTAGTTGCACATGACGTAGTCTAGCAGCGCCGCGTTGACCTGCTCCTGGACGCTCTCTACCAGGTGGAAGTTTTCCAGGTTCTTCACATCTACAGACGGAGGCACATCAGAAAGGTCAGACGAGATGACACTTTGACAATCTCAACACAGAATCAAATACAGAACTGACACAAAGACTGAATCCTCACACATCTAATTTAGTTTCAAAAGGCTTTGTCCACATTAGAAGAAAATGATGTATCAATGTATCAATGATGATTTGATTCCAAACTACACTTTTCAAATACGTGTATGGTGTTCACAGAAATGTTAAATCTACAAAAAAGTGCATTGTTCTGAACATTTTTTGTCTTTATTTTGTCATATAAGCGGCTTACAGCTGCATTTATGCTTTACAACAAATTCAGATTTCATTAGACTTAGATTCAGGACGCTCTGTTCTTTTAAATTCAGAGACAAATGACAGAATGCCACAATCCGTTTAAAAGACAAAATTACTTGAAAATATGTGTCTCCATAATCCAGGGCAGTTCCACAACATGAGATCTATAGTTGTAGCACATTTTTTTAAACTTTCGACTTAAGAGTACTCCAAAATAGACCGCATGACGAAACACCCCCCTCATCTCTCTTCCACTGGATCGTCTCCTGAGACTGCGATGTAGAGGGAATCAGGTAAAGGCAAAAAAGGTTCTCCTCCTGAGAGATTCATTCCCCATGAGTCCATGAATTATGTAGGGCAGAGTTAAAGTCATATCAGCACCGGTGCTGCTCCTTAACCTGATGCCTTTACCATTTTTTAACATCACAACAAACAAGAGGTAGTTCTTTTGGTGTAAATCATAGTCTTACAAAGCAGTGAAAATTAGCAATCACTTTCACAGCAGCGAGAGAAAGTCTTTTTTCTTCTGTTAATTACTGCGCAAAATATGTTTTGCATCTTTCTAAAATCCTACCTTTACGCGCAGCTATAAGCACTTTTCCTTGACAATAATAAGCTCACTGGGGAGTCGAGCAGATTGTTGCAAGACAAGATAAAAATGTGCTAAATGGATAATGGTGGACAGGAGCGCTGTGTGTACTTGTCATGATTATGAAGCGCAGGGCTACAGAATATTTAATCAGAAAGCAGCTCTGTGTGTGTGTGTGTGTGTGTGTGTGTATGTGTGTGTCTGTGTGATCTTTTATTAATCTGTTTGACCCCAGGTCGAGTGTGCTCACAGCAGGCTAATGTGGAATGACAGAGTCCCTCTGTCTAGTTGACACCTCCGGACCAACACACACACACACACACACACACACACACACACACACACACACACACACACACGCTAAGATACACTACCTTTCACACTAAATCCACCTCTCTCTCAGAGACATACACACATACTGAGACTAATCCATGGAAATACACATGATATTTCTTTCTCTCACTGTATTCCCTTCCCACAAATACTCACACACAAACACACACACATACACACACACACACATCATCCACCCACCCAGAGCATTAGGGGGGAGGGAGGGGGAGATAAATCAGCGGCTAATGAGGTCTAGAGAATGAGAAGCAGGTCCTTCAAGGCACTTCCATCCATGATGCACTCTACCATGCTATTGCAATCTGTATGCGTGTGTATGTGTGTGCGCTCTTGTGTTGCCTGCGTATAAACTAGTGTGCGTAGCGTGTGCATGCTCACCCTGACCCCTGGGTGACACAGCGTGGGGCTAAATAAGGCCAAGAGAAGGGCAGGAAAAGGGGGAGAGGGTGTGGCCTGTGACAAAGGAGGTCCCAAACAAACATGACATGTGCTTTTTCCTGCTGCCACTCAGCTGTCTGACCCCCCACCCCCCCACCGTCAGCCTCCTGAACTGCCTTTTACACCACCAACATGGACATTAATGTAGCCTTACATAAGCTAACCAAGCAGAGTGTGGGCTTTAGGCTTTAAACACACAGACATCCTACGCAGGTCAACAAGAAAAATAATATGCTTGTTTTTTTATCTGCACAGGCATCCAAATCTTCTTTCTATATCAGATACTTTTTGATTTGCAATGTTAATTTTTGCTTATTCAGTAAACAGGTAAACTTAGTTAAAGAATGATATTTATCGCATAATTTGTGCCTGTATATCTGCTTTTTTAGACTTAAGTAGAAATTTTAAGCAAAAAAAATGCACTCAAATTATTTTATACAAATCTTATTTTAAGGTACATAACATTAAAGTTCAAAAATCTGCTTATCTCCTTTATAATAAATAATATTACATTTTAAGTTCAGACGTGTTTTCTGCAGTAGAGACAGGTTATAACAACAAAACCTACCACTGCTTAATAATTCAGACATATCAGAGCCTCTTCTGAGTTTGATTTGTTTAATTTTGGACCAACATGACAAGGTGATCCCATATCACAGCAAAAACATGTGAGGTGTTGCCATGGTTTCCCCGAAACATGATCTCGTGTTTGCGTGTCTGCATGAGTGTGTACGTACATGGAGGGGAGTCTGATGGGTGTATGTGCGAATGTTAAGGGGGGGGATCTACAGAGAATTAGTACCCAATGTCTATGTCAAGCTAATTAGGGGAAAGTGAAGCAAAAAGACAGCATTTTAATTGCTAATTATTACCAGAGCCCCTTCTGAAAAAATAATGAATGAAGGCTTACAAAAACGAAGTATTTTTTTTAAGACGCAAAAATGACAATACTTGGCTGTACACCCCTGTTTGGGAAAAATCAAGCAGAACCAGGCACAAACCAATCTGGTTGATGGAAAATGTCTCTCAATTCTGCTGTTAATCAAATCAGACAAGGAAATTGGCTCCAATTTACTGATCATTAAAACGCATGAGAGGGAAGATGAAGGAGTCAGAAAAGGTTGGGGGGAAACACAAAAACAGAAAATCAACAACTGATCAATGACTCCCGGCCCAGACATTGTCAAGTCCGAGCATTAAATGTGCTAAGCGCTCTCTGCTCTTCCTCCAATGCCCCCCTTCCTCTCTTTCTCTCTCCATCTCATTGTTCAGTCACTGTGGGACTAATTATCAACTTTTTTTTCACATAAAACAGCCACAGTTTGTTGCAGCGCCGCGTCTGAATACTCAAATGGAAACCCCCAGGTCCCGCAGAATACATTGTTTCATTTGACGGGCGATCACGCTGAAGCCAGTGAACTAATGCAAAAGCACACACACACAAGCGCACACTCAAATACACACTCGCTCTAACTTGAACAGAGCCCCTGAAATCACTGCTGTGCTTTTTAATTAGACTAGATTTTCTCTGTGCTATGAGTGTGTGTGTGTGTGTGTGTGTGTGTCAGCATGTGCTTTTCTTTGCTCTTTTACTGCCCCTTACAATCAACCTGCTCTGGGGACTGACACTCACACACAGCATTTAGACACATTCACTTGTAGAAATACTCGCTCCTATTACTACAATCTGCTCTTAACAATGCCTTACAGAGTGGACACAGTGATGTGTTAAAAAAAAAAAAAAAATCTCTGATAAGATAAATAAAAAAATATCACTTGGTGTCAAAGTTCACTGTTCTCTGCACAAGCAAACAGGCATAAGTGGCTCATGGCTGTAAAAGCCAGAGGCGGAATTATACTGCACTGCACAGCTAGACCTTAGTTATTTATTACCATAAAGTTTTAAAAACACAATTATCCAGACTGAAAATGAAACCAGTTTAATTAAAAGTCACGTGTAAATTTTGTCAGTTGAACAATCGGAAAGAGTTTTATTCAGTCACTTTGAACAACTTTTTATCAGTTTTGAAGAAGAGAAAGGATGTGGTTACGTTAACCTTAAAAATCACCTGAAATTTCACTTAAAATTCCAGACAAACTGCAAAACCCCCCTCCCTCACACACCCACCCACACACACAAACCTTAATATTCCATCACGATGCTCTGACACAAAGCCACTACCTACTCACACTCTCTTTTTTATTCAAGACTGGTACCGCGTATGGAGGCCACAGTTAAACATGGTAAAGTAAGTCCATGTTCTCTCCTATTACACTGTTATTGCTTCAATCAATAAAATCCCTCTCAGTCACATGCTGCCAGTTCATACTGCCTCACAGACAACATGTGTTTCCTGCCAGGTCCAAAAACAACACATAAAACTCTTGGACCATAAACGGTTATTGAGTCAAGTGCTGTCAGTAAACTTGGCCAATTAAACGTGAGTGGGAGAGAAACCGGTCACTTCCTGCATAGGCGGGAATTAAGCACCCCGGTTCTCCAATAGGGACTTTCACAGGCTTTTATATGAGCCTGTCAAAGCTGAGACACCGTTTTACTACGGCAGCGGTGCTTCAAAGAGCAAGTAGTTGAACCCATGTTCAGGCCAGTCCTCTTTATGGCACCCTACTGGATTGTTATCAGTTAAACACTATACCCTGCTACTTTATTCATTATAAATCTGCCTCGCAGCAGGGCTCCAATCAGAGACGGGGGTGGTGACAGAAGAGAACCTAATAACCTTTGACTATGGGAAGGTTTAAGGGGACTGAGTCCTACTATAAACAACATGTAGAGCTACGTGTTCACTGGGAGAATGTGTGTTTGTGTATATGGGTGTCAAAAAACAGGGCTATCAAAGCAAATAAGGTTCACAGGGTAAGGGTCAATGGCCACATGGTCAACGGTATCACCAGAGTAGGCTACAATCTGATATATGTTGCAATGGTCTGATATAGAAGTTGGGTCTTGTGTTAGAGAAAAAAGTATCCACAGTAACCACGATTTAGTCTGTATGTTTCCTTCTTCAGGAGCCTCTACTTCCACGTTAGAGTATGATCTGTCTGTGCTTGCCAACATACAAGTTTCCCTCCTCCCTGGAGCTCGCAGCTTCCTTGTTTTCCTCCAAGTCCCAGTTGGGGATTTCCATTTTCTGGGATAGTATGCCTTCTTGTAGGGGTTAGCTCAGGAAAAAAATTGGGGGGGTGGGGGACTGTAGATGCACACTCCCTAACACATAACGGGGCTTCTTTGGGATTTGATCCACCAAAAGGCTAACAGGATAACTAGCATCAACAAGGCTTAGTTGTCGTTAGTTCTATCAGCGCTGTTTTGATCTCATGTTATAACAACTTTGACTATAGAGAGCTGCTTCATACGGTGAAACATGAACATTTGGAGTTTAGACTGAGGACTGTTCAAGATCAGACTCCAACAAGTCCACAGGGATACATGATACCTGTTTGCAGAAAGATGAAAAAGTCTGGTGCAGACTTATTTTCTTGACAGGGATAACGTGGGGGTTAGAGGTTTCAGATGCCGTCAACCATGGACCAAACACTTTTGATGAAGAATACTGCTGCCCTTAGGCAATGCAGTAGGGTTAGACTAGGGTTAAAACTGGAAACACTACTTTCATAGTCTAAGTCATTCTGTTTTTTTGATGAAGGAAATCTTTTTAAATATTATCGGAAACTGTCTTAAATCTGCATACCTTGCTTGCTTGGTTATGGCTTGTCCACAAAAAAAATCATATCTCCATGTTATAGACACCAGTTTGTCTGAGCCCTAAGACCTCAATTATAACCAAGTGAACACTGACCCTTCATCTTGAAAAGTGACCCTTTATCCGACCAGCATACCGTAACACAGTGTTTCTACATGCCCTCAAGCTAACTAAGAGCCCAATGTCCAGGGGCCAAATAACCTCTTCTCTAACAATGCATAATATTAACTGTCCCATGACCCCTTGCTCTGGAAATAAGCCACCAATGGGACTGTCTTTTGTCAGTGTATCGGAGAAAAGCATAATCCTCAATTTCATCACCGCTGTTTAGCCCCTCAGGGGACCGAACGCCACGCAGCTGTAAAAGAGAATTAAGCAGGTATGGTCTAGTTAGGGATATACTGAGTCAAATCTAAACCTCTGCTGACAACATTGCTATTGTTGTTAAGCTAAACAGGTAGCGGCCAGTTCAGTTCTGTCGCCCAAGGATGGGTTGAAGGGCTAAGCGGGGCGATGGAGGGAGGTTGACAGATATTGAGAGGAAGGGAAAAGTGCCTTAGGTCCGATAAAATAAACACGAGAACAGACGCTTTGAGCTGGAAAAAGACAAGCCCGGCTCATTGTCTATGCTGGCTGGAAGGTGCAGGGGATTTGTCCTTTGGAGTAAGAGAAACAAATTTACATCCCGGATCAGCTGGTCTCAACTGGATGTGTTATTATGGACTTTGAGGGCTTTAACAGATGGGCACAGACAAAGGAGAATAATAACAGAAGGAATATGTATAAGAAATATGTATAAGAGATATATGTATATATATTTTTTTTTTAATGTAAGTTGTGGTAATTATTGGCTGTCTCATTTATTAAAAGAAATAAATCCGGCACTGACTAGTCTGTTGAGACTATTTTATTTTGAAATAATGTTTTTTTCTACATATCTTAATTCCTTTTGCTTTCATTCTTTGGATAATAAGTATATTGTAGGATATTTAAAGATATGAACTTCAGCTCTGAGGACTTTGGATTGGCCAAATGATTAATTAGTCGACTCCAACAATCAAAAAGCCATTATGGGTCAAGATAACCAAGCAAGTGGGCAGTGTCTATGGCAAAAAAACAAACAAATAACCAAAAGTCAAACCAATATTACTTTTCAACTAATAAGTCATTTCAAATAGTTGAATTTCTATTTAATTCTTGGCTGAAAATATGTTTATCCGCTGGCTCCATTTGCGGCTGTTCACTTCTGACAAGCTGTGTACTCATTTTAACAGGGCAAAAAAAAAAAAAAATCACATTGTCTCAGCATTATGAAAATCCAGTTGCCAGAGGGATGCTGAGAGACTTGAATCAGCAATGAACCTGGTGCTTAGCCCTATGTGGTCTCCCTCGTCCCCCCCCCCCCTTCTCCAGGTCTTATTGCCCCCTTTCTTGAATACCCCTGGAGGCAAAACCAAGTGCCTTTCAATGAGTTGACCTCGAATGGCACAGTGCACCCACAGGTCCCTGCTCTCTCACCTTCCTTATGTTGTCTGGATCATATGGACACAAAACCATCACCTATACACTCCACTCACACATACAGCTTCAAGTCGGATCGCTATTCACCGTTTTACTTGATTGACAGGGAGAAATTAAATAAATGATTACGATCCAAAAAAGTTTATTCAGTATTGAAATGGAAATAAATTTTGGGTAACACTTTATTTGACGCCTATCTGTATAACGTATTATAAATATATGTGTATAATGCGTTATAACCACGTTGTTGCACTGTATAACTATAGTTATAAACACTCACAAATGATCATAATGCTCTATAGCAATTATCATAACACATTATAAAGAATTTTATCATGACTTACAAGGTCAGGTATTATAATGTGTTATAACTGTGAACATCAGTTGCATTGCATTATTTATGTAGGCATTGTCAGTGAGTTGTTAACAGTTATAACACATTATAATACCTGACCTTGTAAGTCATGATAAAATGCTTTATAATGTGTTATGATTATTGCTATAGAGCATTATGATAATTTATGAGTGTTTATAACTATAGTTATACAGTGTAACAACATGATTATAACGCATTATACATATATTTATAATGCGTTATACAGATAAGCGTCAAATCAAGTGTTACCAAATTATCTAATGAATTTACTCTGTATTGTTTTATTTGAGAGGCGGTGCTTAAAACTTCACCTCTCACTTCATTTGAACCTGCAGCAGCAGCAGAAGTAGACACAGCCTATAATATGCAAGTGTGTGTCGTTGCTGTATCAAGGCGTTCGTGTGAACCTTGTTTATATTCAGTGCACTTTTGCACCCCGTGGCTAATTACACACAGGGTTTGTTTGGTGGTGGAGAGAGGCTGTTAGGAGTGGAGGGGCATGTCAACCTTTCTTGTTTATGATGAAGTGACAGAAAATCATTGGGGGGTCAAGTACCCCCCTCCAACCCTCTGCTGCCCCAAAAACTCCTGCAGCAGTACAGAAGGTGCCTGGTGTGGGAAGCCTCCCCTTTAATGAGACCATTAAAGGGCCTGTCTCCCCGTCAATAGATTTCTCTCATTCTTTCTCTGACAAATTTGAATTAATAATTCAGTGCCAAGCGCCTGGGGATGTATATTTTCAGCATGAAGGACAGTTAATCCATAGCGTCATTTCCCCCCCACTCTCCCTTTCGCACTCCTTCTCTCTCTTCTGCAGTCTCTCGTTTTACATTTACCCCACTCTCCCTCCTACTTTTCCCCGTACATATTTGATGATGGAAGCCAGCAGGTAGAGTATGGACGAAAGAAAGACTGCACAGCATGTTTTCCACTTCTCTTCTAACTTCTTTGTTCTCTGTGGGATTTTTCATCCCCTGTCATGTGACAAGCAGAGTTTACTTAAGTGCAAATTGGGCTTAAATTTATTCAAAAGTATTGGATGGCAGCGGCTGTTCTCTTCTCTCTCTCTGGGCTAATGTAAGGAGACATGTTTGCACACAGCCTCTCAAAGCTGGACTCGATTTAGTGAAGTGGAGTTAAACTGCGTGTCTACTGCGCCGAATGTTTGGACTTAAAAATGCACAATACATGGAAATTAGAGGAAATAAGCAATTTTGACGGAAAGCCACAACAACACTTACTTTATACAAAAGATACTGTGGAGTGTGTTTGTCTGTGGTCCGGGGTGTCTGTCTGTGTTTAGTAACCACTTTGGTCAGGGAGTTGTGCCAGTTTTCTTGGAAGAATTTGGGGGGACACAATGGGACTGTTTCAATATGTGCACAGCTGGCATGATTTCAAACGGTGAAAGTTTAGCTTCACAACCTTCATGCCTTAATAACACAGGAGTACTAGCGTAATCAAAGTTAAACCAACAATAAATACTTCAAGAAACAATAATCTGAATGTAAATCTAATGTATGTACAAAAGGACATGTGTGAGTTGTTTGGAGGCTTTATTTTAAGGTTGTGGCGTTTGTCATCACGGAGCACTGCAGGAATTTGAGGGCTTACATTGTAATGTATACAGTGTGGATAACAGTGGCAGGTGGCACCAGAGTACAGCGTAATGCTTAAAAGGCAGCTAGCACAGGCCATGACGAATATCTGGCAGTGGTGTGGAGTAAACCTTTTCTTGACACATTTTTGTCTTATGATAAATATCCGTGTGAAGATAAGGCTTTCATTGTTCTACCATGATCAACCCTATTTCTTTCCACGGATGAGCGTGTGTAAGACAGTGGAATTACATGGCTTTGTTTCTTAAAATACCAAGAAAGAAGTAACAAGAAAAGAAGTTGTAGAGGTTCAGAGGTTGGGGTCACCGAGTGGTTAGTGGTTGGGGGGCTACAGACACAGAGAGAGAGAGAGAGAGAGAAAGGGGGAGGGAGAACAAGACAGAGACAGCCAGAGCACCTGTTGGATCATCTGCGCTTTAAAACGTTTAATCACTGTCTCTGGTTACACATACACACACACGCCATAGCTCACAAACACACCACCTTAAAGCTCTGCTGTTCTCTGCCCTGCCAGAAGTATCTTGTAACCACATTGTCCAAAGACACACACACACGCACACACACGTACACTCACACAGAAGCTTAAAGAGCAAAGGGAAGAGGGTGTATAATCTTATAGCAGCCACCTGACTACCATATAGATTACCACCACCATAGTTTAAGCACATGCCTCTGCACTGTACACATTCACACAGGAACACAATGGCTGACGATCCGCATACCGCACAGTCCTCTGATGCCAGCGGGCTCCATTTGTTTGTTAGGCGACAGGCAAATGTGGGGGATTATTTTTACTTCTACTCTAACTGTCAGCGTTTTCCACGTGTAGGCCTGAACGTATTCAAGGGTGAACTCAGTCACAAATCAGTGTTTCATTCTAAAAAACGAAACATTTTTCAACTCTAGAAAAAAAGGAAGTCATAATTGCAGTATGGGGTCAAAAGTATCGCTCAGTGTGTCATCTCTGTTATCTTCCCCCTCACTGTTAAATCTCTGAGTTCATCCCACGCCTTCATCTTTTACATCGTGTTTTGCTTAAGTAATGATTGTCCAACGAGTAATGCTAATGACACATCATGAGCTTTAGCGGCCATAAACGTCTCGTCATAAAGATGTCGTTGCTGCAGGAACAGCAGCAGCAGCACTAACACTAGTAGTTACTACTGAGGCATTGATTGAAAGAGTGAAGGGCTGTCATTTACGTTTACAGCTTCACAAATGATTGATGAGGCGGATGTGTAAAACCGGGGGGTCCATGCGATTGCATTTGTATTTCTAAACCTCTGACCTATGATACACTTGAAGAATGAGGAGTCGCGTCTCTATATCCTCTGTTTCATACGTTCGTCAATACTTGGTACAATGTGAGCATATCAGTAAGAACTTCTCAGAGTGCACTGGACGAAGAACCGTAATCACAGGTTGAGAGGCGATTAGATCATGACTGCACGCCACATTTAGTTATCATCTAGCAGCTCTGACCGCTATCTCCCTTATCCAAACACTGATTTAAAGCCTGTTAAGTCAGAGAAGGAGTAACTACTTTACACGTAAAAAGTCCTAAATAACAATTATTTAGCTGTATGAAATCACAGCCAGAGTAAAGATGATCTCCAGCCAACAAATGACTCAAATGAAAAGAGGGATTTTCAACCGCACCTCAAATGTATGCACAATTTCTTCTCCGAGTCTGTTTTCCTCGACTAATGTGAGCCGGCTCTCCACAGGGCCCAGGGTAGCCCAGGCCTGTCCTCCCTAACCCAAACACACATCCCTCAGCCTCTAATTGGAAAGGAGTAGCAACCTAGTTCGTACAGCGCTGGGACCTGAGCTGCGGCCACTGAGAATGCATTAGCATTAGCATTGCGGCGGACTGACCTGTACATAATGATAACCTCAAGCTCTGGCCATTGGGAGCAGCACACACATACGCACACAGAAATGCACGCCTGTGCACCCTCTCTGCCCTCATCTTTCCCTGAACGCACAGTCACGTAAACAAGCGAGTGTAATGCAGCCCCAGCAGTGCGCTGCTGGAAGATTGGGGGAGGAGAAGGGGGAGAAAAAAATCAGTTGCCGCCGTCCGGGTGAAAAGTGTGTGTAACGAACTTCAGGTCCATTGATCGGGACTGAGAGTACAGGACCGGGGGCTGTTTGTCCCAGAAGGACTGCTGTACTGCTGCTCAGTAGCCCCTCATAAATGTTTGAGAAGCCTGAGCTGCTCTGGATCAACGCTACCGGAGTTACAGCACATACACATCCAGGTTGATGCTGATGATGGATGGATGCTTGTCGGGTGGTGATAGTTGTAGGGATCGATTATTTTTCAAACTTGATGACATTTAGGTGTTCAGTTGCGTACGTGTGTGTTGTTTTTTTTCTTTTTGTTTGTTTTTTCGAGGTGGTTGTGGACATCAAGAAGTGCTTAAAAGACAGATGTTTGCCAATCTGTGGGAAATGAGCAGTTTTGGGCGCTCCTCTTCCTTCCTCAAATTCTAGTTTAAGGATTAGAGCAGATATTTGTAAACACGTGCTGATTTCTTAGGTGAGCTCTACCCTTCGTTGCTCTACCCTGAAGCTCTCAGGCCCTCGACTGGCCCCTGGAAGCCCCTATATGCTGTGCACATGATTGATATCACTGCAGATATCACTTAGAAAACACCTGATGTACCGGGCGGACCATCCGTGCCTCCTTTTGACTGCTAAGTACCAGCTGGCGGGAGGTCCTGTGTGTTATGCAGTCGGTAATAAAAGTTGAACATTGATTTTCTGTAGCAGCTTGTAACTGTTAATGTTGAGACATCAATAGCCAAAGCAAAGCGCTGGTGCCTTAATAGGAGACCGAGAATGTGGAGGGCGCGAGCAGAGGCTGACTCTAAATCACAGAATCTATCCCTGCCGATCGATAGGACAGTAACTGCAAGTGTCCCTCTGCTTTCCTAATGTTTTATAATAAACTGACAGCCTGTAATAAGGCCAAAGGAGAGGGAGAATGAGAGGGAGGAGGGGAGAGATGGAGGGCAACAGTTTCTCCATAGCTTGCCCGTCTTAAATCACCCCACATGGGAGTGCAGGAGAAGAGCAAAGAAGGAGGTAGAAGGAAGGAAAAGGTTTTTTTTTTTCTTCAGCAGAAAAAAAACTTTTACAGGGGCATTTGTCCGGTTGTACTCTCTGCTCCAGTAGTTAGTAAGTGTGCTGATGGAGGATGGAGGGAGTTAAGAGGATTTGTCTTATATTGCTTTGGCTGGGCAGTGATTTTAAGTGAATATTAAATCCTACTGCCACGGTGGAGATGTCACCAAATTCAGTCATGAGAACAGGACTGGACTGAAGGGAATGGATGGGGAAAAAAATCTAAAAGACCACGAGGAAATTTGCAATTGTGTTGATCCCACATTGTTGAATTCATGCTATGTTGTGAAATATTTTAGGGATATGGTTAGAATGAGATTGAATTACTACATGTGAGTAAGAGGTATTATGGGATTTGTGTCAATAACATCAAAATATCCGATGAAACTTGTAGGCGTGAGCCCAAAGACTCAACCAACTTTCCTTTTTTATTGGTCAAACACTGTCTTTGTTATATTTTCTTAAACATATTTTATCCCCATAATTATGTTGACTAGGATTCCATCTAAAGGACTTTAGACTTCCAATCTAATGTCTTGAAATGATATGGCTTTTTTGTCTTATCGCGTATTTATCAAGAATCTAATATCAGGGGTTTGTAAACGCACTAATCCCCATTTAAACAAACCTCACCTACAGTGTCGCTTTACACTCTGATAGTTGTCCTTGTTGGAAACCAGATAAAGACCAGTGTCAACATAATCACCTCTTAAATCCCCGTAAGAATGTGATAAGATCTTAAAACAGGAGAAAAGACGGCAAGCCTGAGCTGTAAATTGGAGAGATACTTTGGAGATTATCTGAGAAATGTTGAAATCCATCAGGAAACTGGAACATATCTCAGGCAAGATGTAAGGCTGAGGCTAAATGGAGAGGTCGGGTCAAGGGTGAGGGCCAGTAATCCTCAATAATTCCACCACCATCACAACTCACCGCAAACTCTGCTTAATGACAACAGCCTGCAGTACTGCCAGGTAATAGTGGCGGGCTGGAAACCCGAGGCTTTTATTGCTTGATAAAGTCTGAAAGCCTTTTAGGCAGCCTCATTACATGGAATTCCCTACAAAGTGGCGGCCGGCATCGGGAGCTGACTGCACGCCACGTTAGATTTCTTAGGCTAAAATTGACAGAAAATAGGCGACAGTATTAGGTTCATTGCTTTAGGGCACACTCCCACCTACTCCTGATAAGATGAAAGAAAATAAAAGAAAAGTCAGCACACTCAAGCGTGATTAGCTGGGTTAGGGGACAGAAGTTTGAGCAAATTTTTTGTTTGTTTCCTCCGTCACAAAGATGCCTGATGGAAGCTGATGGTGGTAAAAAGATTTGTTTGAAATATGAGGGGCCAATACTTCCCAATCAACACGTGTTTGTCGAGCGTTTCAACAAGTTTCATGATGAAAAAGCACTGAATGCTGCTGCTGTGCACGGACTGCACTTCACTAACCTTACATATATTGTCTGCGCCCCGGTGCAATCACGACTACTGTATTTTCAATTGTAGCTGCCATTGCACCAATCCAGTCACTGAGAGTGTGATTTGCCTGGCACGTAATGAAAGTCAGGAAAAGGGGGCTGCAGGTCCAAATGCACAAACACAAACACAATGAAAGCTGTGTGTGTTTCTTGCCATATTTCATCAACATGGAGCAAACTGTATCTTTGTGTTTTCTCAAGAACTTCTTACTGTAAGAAGTTACTCAGGAGTTTAAGCTTTGCACAGGCTAAGTGTCTGCAAACCACGTCTACTTTTAGTCCTCTCTAGTCTTTGTTTACATCTGTATCTTCTTACTAGCCATGCTTACATGTGCAAAATTTCTCTGATTAAAAATTTGTGAAGAAAAAGTGAAGATCGAGTCAGGCAAGAGAGTCACGATCGGAATAAGTGTTTACATCGACACGTTTCGGAATAACGATTGGCATAAACTACCCCTCTTGATTGGAATTCTTCTTTCCAAATGAGCCGAATTGGATCAGAATCTTCTGATTGACATTTCCACATGGCACAGTTTTATTCAGGCATTTATTTTGATTATTTGTGTATTTATGTAAATGCAGCTACTGTTTGTCACTTGTACTTTCACTGATAGGTTGTGTCTTTCATTTTAATGTTCTTCTTAAGTAACAGTGTCTAAATCATGAAAAAAAAACTTGTTTTCCTGGCTGATCCTCGTTTCCTTGTCCCTCGTAAAACAACAAAGAGGTGGTGATATTTCAATTTTAGTCCAGAGCAAAACATCCAACCCTACCTTTATACAGGTATTGATCAGGTCAAAGGTAGAGATGATGACTCCATTCTGTTGACTTACAGCACAACAGACAGACAGCAGCACAAAGGGGAAAAAAAAAACCTCTTTTATGTTGCTTTTAATTAAGCTGTAAACAGTTGTTCCGGTTTTATGCTTCCCTATTTGGTGCCCGCATGGGTCTCTATGGGTGTAAATATTGAACCGTCGCTGCCTCTTGATGTTAATCAATCCCTGACCGAATTCTAAATGATTCGGTTCGTTTCAGGAAATGAATATTTGCCGAGCTTTATGGGGTGCGAGGGGAGCTGGTGTGCATGAATTAGCCAGCTCCCTTGCTCACTAGCCAGGGATCAGGGCATTGATTCTGAGCAGCCTCGGCTGTTGCTTAATTAGGATGTACCTGTCTGGGAATTATTTGTTGTTGTTTTTTCTCTTATTGTGTGGAAATAAATATGATGGAGAAATAGACGGGGAGAGATTAAGGAAGAATGCTTGTCGTTTGTTGTCAAGGTTAATCACGTTTCTTGTGTTTGTGTTGTCAGCAGATTGATGTCTGACCTCGTGGCGCACAAAACAAGAAAATTCTGCCTTCATTTTGTAGCACACCGAACATGTCAATGAGAGACACAGACTTGTAGAGGTGGTGTGAGGGCAGAAAAAAAGGAAACTCATCAAATTATTCTCAGCCCTATGTAGGCTTTTTACTTTTTTATCATTTTAAGGAGCAAGTAAGGATGAAGGCTCACCACAAATTTAATGGGCTGCAGTTAAGACATTCACAGGAAGGTAAAAGGTTGAGGAGAAGTTAAAAGTCAAATGGCAGTCCGGAACGTGGAAAAAGACGAATGAGGAGCGATGGAGGTGGCTGTGAGGATGGAGTTGTGATAGATCGAGGCGTAGAAAGATAGATGCAGAAAAAAAAGAGAGACACGGGGCAGAGCAATGAGAGGAGAGACAATGCAGGGAGGCTGCGCAGACGGTGAGGGATGGAGGGCAGGTGGGAATGGATGGCTGGGTGTCTCTAAACTCCAACCTTAGAGCCTGACCAATCACTTGACAGACAGTTAAAGTGGTGCTGAGGCAGCTCTTGAATCACTACCTGTCTTGGTTTCTTATGAATGGACAGCACTTCTGATTCCTAATCACTAACCTGGAGTAAAAAAGTGCCGGCAGTAAACATTTCATCATGTTTTGAGTATGTGTTTCACTGACAAAATTGGCCTTTTTGTGAGATAAACATGGTGGTCTTACTTTTAAACAGCATATTATTTATAAAAGCCAGTTAGCTTTGAAAATATCAACACAGACTTTTTAATTTTTTTATTGCCAGAATTTTTTTTTTATCCTTGCACCAAATGATAAATTAATTAACTGGAAAAAAAATCATGATCAGGATTGAAAATTATCATCCCTCGCAGCTTTACTTAATACTAAAAAGATCTGGTTCCAATGAACTGATTTCAGGCTCTCGAAACTAAACAAAAATGAGTGAAATTATGTTTGAGTTTATTTTTTTAGCAGGTTTTGGACTAATGATGCAGTCGCTTACAACTCTACACTTTCATTCATTATGCGCTTTTGTTCAAAGTGACGTACACCAGAGAGTTAATACAAAACAGGCAAGGATCGAGATAACAGGGAATGACAGTGGTTAGTACCACAAACTGATTTGAGTCCAGTGCTGTGATTTTTATCCAAACCTTAATTCAAGTGACCATTTCCAGATTTGTAGTTAACCTCAATATCATGAATGCCATGCCCTTATCACCAACATCATCCCCAGCATTAATGTCATCAAGTAAGAGGCAATTCACAGAGATGCTGCATCTAAGACTTTCCATTTGAGAAATGGGACTCTAGAGATCAGATTTAAGTTATGATCCTTTAATCAAAATAAATGTAAAACATTTTTTTTCATCTGTTTCTACACGTCAAACAGCATTAGGGGAGCACTAAAACCCTGAAAACCGAGTTTACAAGTGCAAGTTTAAATCCTTCACATTTTTATTATCTTTGCTGCCTCTAAAGGCTTTAACATGAGAGCGTTATTTAGGTCTGTGTCCACAAATCTGCTCTCTCTGCTGGGAGCATTTACCATCCTGCGGAGCTCTGGCAGCTCCCCTGGTTTTCCTCTCGGCTGACGAGGACTGGCAGCGCCTGTCTCACCCAATTAGACTGGAGGGGGTCTGACCCCGCAGAGCTGGGTTAACTGATTGTTCGCTGAACACTCCCTGACCTCTGTCACTGCTTTGCCTGTAGAAACCTTGTGTATATGTTGTGGCATGCATCCCGCATACATATCTGAATAATGGAGAAGTTTTTTTTAACATTTGTCTTTCTTTTTCTTTCCTACCGCTGAAAATAAAGGTCGGTATGTAGGTTTTGAGCAGTATGGTATCACCAAAATCCCAAATTTTTGAACTCACAGTTTATCCCTTTTCACATCAAACCATTAAAAAAATGTTTTACAAAGCGTTTACAGTGCAGAGTAGTGCTAATTCATTTAAAAAAAACAAAAACAAAGTCTGCAGCCTGAATTTGAACTTGTGACCCATTCCTCACCTCTGGGTGCTCATGACACCTTGGTCATATGTAAAACAACCTGTCAGTCTTTCTATTAGGCTTTAAGGCCTTTTAAAGGAAATCAAAGACCCATTAACAGTGACCTGACGCCTTACGACAACTAGTAGTAATCCTTTACTGAACTCTGACCCAGGCAGCACACTCATCGCTCAGTCCGTCTCTCTTTCTCTCTCTCTCTCTCCTCTGTTTCGTGTGTCTCTTGCTCAAAACCCAACACACACAATCGTTGCTTGGAAGCCTTCTAAACACTTAAGAGATCAATGCTCTCAGGGTGATAATCTCCTCCTTAATAGAGGGTAAAAGCCTTTACTCAAGACAAGCAAAGAGTGACAGGGGACAAGGAGAGATAGAAAGACGGACAGAAAGGATTGATAAAAAAAATAAAAGAATTAAGAAGAAGAAGTAGGATGCCTAACCCTGAGAGGAAACATGCTCACCGATTAGGACAAGCATCCCTCCTAAGCTAGAGTGACATCTATATCTCTGTCTATATCGACAACTGGCTCAACTAAGAACCCTTCAGGCAGCGAGAAGGTGACTGATAGCCCATCCTTGGAATGAGAGAGGGTGACGGAGAGTCTTGTAGATAGAGCAGAAAACCAGCGACACAGACAGAACAAAAGGGGGAAAGACTAAAAAACATAAAACTACTGTCTTTAATCAGCCTTACATCAAATAAAACCAAGACTGTTTAAAAATCCCTGTTAAAATTAAAGAAAGTACTTTGAAATACGAAGATGAGAGTCCACCCTCCCACTGAGCAATAGACGACTATTAGACATCTATTTTTTTTTTAAGACCTAATTTTAACCGTCCAGATACTTTTTAGATGGAATTTAGACATTATTCCATAACTATTTATGACAAAAAGCAACTGTGAGTTGCATAACTGATCTTTAAGCATTTAACCACAATAAATATGATAGCCATTGAGCAATATACAGTGTAGTATAGATATAGCCCAGATTTAGACTTGGTCTAAACTTTGTCTAAATTTAGTCGAAAAACTTTCATTTTTAGACCTGTGGTAGCCTGATTTTAGACCAGTCGTCTAGGCGACATCTAGACGTCTATCAGATCTCTTTTAGACCAAAAATGATCAGTGGGTTAAGTGTCGTTTCTTAAAAATGTCCTCCTAGTAGATTTAAAATGAGTCATCTAGAAAACCGGTAATGAAAGACAAGGTACACAAAAGTCTGCTTTAAGCGGGAGTTGGGGTTAATGAAGAGGTAAGACAGGATTTTTTTATATAAAGCTAGGTCAGGATAGTTGTACCAATAAGATTTCACCCTCATAAAACCTGGTTACGGATGATGAGCAAGTTAGAAAACATGTGACACCATCCACGATGTTTCCCTGAAAACTTACCTGGTTGTTTTGACGCCTAAACACAAGGAAAGAGTAATGGGTTTACATCCAAAAGTCCCAAGAGACCCTTGATTACCAGCTACTGCTAACTTCAACCACAGAGCCCCACAAGTGCCAGTTCAGTAGGGTACTTATTTTAAAGCTCAGGGACATGCACTGAGCTGTATTTGACCAGCCGAAAGAAAAAGTGTCAAAATAAAAAATGAAGCGGTATTTAATTTTACGATTAAACCAGCAATGCCAAAGTAAACGGGACAACATTAGTACTGCAGAAACAGATGTCCGCACCTGTTTCATGATAAATACAGCCAATTTATCCAATCTGAGACTGAGAGTTAAGTAACTGGAATGAGAAATGATAGAAAGCTAATAAAACGGTAAAGTGTAATCTTTCACTTCAGCTGTTGGTGCAGAGCTACTTTCATGCCTCATTTCACTACAATCCTTGTTAATTAAAAGCAGCTGTAGATGTGTGTGTGTGTGTGCATGAACACACACACTCCTCATTTCCACACATTATGCACTTTCCCTCAGGTAAATGTATGTATAACACATACAGACACACATCTGTGTTCAGCTGAGTGTCATATTAATCAGATCAATCTCAACTCTCCTGGCTTTACATTACTCAACCTCCCCTCCTCTCCCCTCATTCTCACCCCCCCACCCCTCCACACACACACACACACACACACACACACACACCCAACACTGATCCCCCCATACGGCTCTACGGCGTCTGTGTCAGGTTTCTTTTGCGGGAGGCCCAGGCACGCCGGAGAACAGGCACTGCCGGGGGCGATACACATCCCTCAGGTGAGCCTTTCATTATGGATGATGTTTCTGCCAAATTATTTAGACCCTGAGCCCCAGCATCACCCCCACTCCATAAAAAAAGACCGCACAAACAAACACACATGCACAAACACACACATACACACCCCAAAACCCTTTTGCTCTTCCTCTCTCATTCTTCGCTGAACATTAATCCTGCCTGATCACCTCTGTGTGTGTGCATGCTTTGCCTAGCTATTCATTAGTCCCTCTTTCTTTGTTTAGAGGAGGTAAACAAGTGAGAGAGTGACCCTCGTGGATTTCAGATGGATGGAGGGAGAGGAAGGAGAGGATGAGGTAAATATTCATCATACTGTGTGTGTGTGTGTGTATGTGTGTGTGTGTGTGTGTGTGTGTGTGTGTGTGTGTGTGTATGTGTGTGTGTGTGCTGAGCTACTGTAACATCTTGGCTTCACTTCGTTGGATGTAATAGTTGATTCGGTCAAGTGTGTGTCTGTGCTTGTGTGTGTGTGTATTCCTCAGAGGCCATTTGTTGCCGACTTGTTAGGTAAGAGACAGAGATGACAGTCTCCTGGCAATGTCTGACCTCGGCTTGGAGAGCAGCTTTGGGGTTTGAATACACACACGCACACACACACACGCACAAACCCCACATATATCTACTCATCAGCTCTCCTCTTCTTTTCGTCCTTTATTTGGCTACTTTTCCATCAATCTCTCCTCTTTCCACAACCCCATGCTCACCTCTCAACTCCCTTCTCCTCAGTCCATCCCAAATGCTTCCCAATACTCGCCCCAATTTTTCACCACATATCTCCAACTCCTTGTTTGTTCCCTGACCCTTTTGCAGATAATCTCTTTCTCCTCCGTCCTTTTCCTCTCCAGTAAAGCACAGTTGGAGAGAGATAAAAAATCTTAACAAATCAATAAAAAAAAAGAAAATCTCAATCCCATACTCATCATACCCCTCACCTTAAAATACAAAGGTCCTTACACACGAGGAACAGCACAAATATATGACGCAAAATAGTATTTGGAGGGGAATTTTGACGCACCTGATTATACACATCAAGTGACACAACAGCAGACCGACTGTTTTTCAGTTCTGATTAGACACTAGTGTTGAGATGTCTGTCTGTCATGATAGCATGTACTGAGTCGGGGCCAGTACCAGATAAACACATTAAACTATAATCCATAAACGTAAGGTAACAACTGAGACCTAATGGTGCTGTGAAGCAACACGATTGAGTTTGAGACAGTGAAAATACATATAGTATGTTGTATCTGAACAGGTTAGCTTACCAGCTGAAGTTACTTAGCACAGATGAAAGTTAAAACAAAGACGTTTAGCAAACTGTAAAAGCACACAAACCATCGTCATATAAGAAATTCGACGCTGTGACTCTCCACAAGTTGTCCTTCAGGTTGTTATCTTTGTAATATTTGTTTTTTTTTTAATCAAAAAGCACTCTGTTCTCCGACACATAAACAATCAACCGGTCGGCCATGTTGGATATACTGGTGAATCTGACGTCACAACAACACGAAATCTGATTGGTCATCAGTGGACACCAGTATGTGAAACTTGAGAAAAATCGTCCGTGATACAAAAAAATAAATGCAGCAATATCGCAGGACGGGAAAACATCGCTGATGTGAACGCTTGTGTTGACAGGATACGAGTTCAGAAAAAAAATATTGACATCCGAAATAATCGCACGAAAAAGCGCTCCCAGTGTGTAAGGACCTTTACAGTGAAAAAAATTGAGTAATGTATCTCTCATCTTGGTAAGAGAAGAGGTGAGAAAGATTTTCCACTGCGCCTTCAAGTTCATGTATTAGATAGAAGAAAAAACGATTGCCTCACTGAAAGTCACAATAAAAAAAAGGGAAAGTATTGTCACATTTATTTTCATAATTTAGCATTTAGGGAAACCTTAAATCCACAGTTGTGTATAAAAACTTCCCTTTTGCCTTTTTCCTGTTGGAAAAGAGACATAAACCCCTTCCCTCCCCTCCTCACTTTCTCTTTTGTCCCTTCCTCTGCACTCACCTCCTGTATGCTTCCTTCCTTTTATCCTTTCCTTTCCCTCCCTCCTTTTGCTATAGATCTTTTACCACTGCCAGGGACCTGTTTTGGCCTACCTCCCGCCCTACCTTCTATATCCTTCCTTTGCAATCCTTCCTGCTTCTTTTAACTGTATTTCATCACTTTGAGCCTCTTCCTCTGTAGAGACTTGTTTTTGTGTAGGGACAATTTGTCGATGTCATTTTTTCCCTTCTGTATCTGTTTTGTAAACAGGCCATCAGGTCTTGGGAGACTTTCTAAGAACAAGTATTCTCTTTTTCTGTTATTGGTGCATCTTCTAAAATCCTCCCTCCTCTTGACTCATCTCTCTGCGGCGTTCTTTTAGACTTACCCAGGCTGAACAAGACCAAGAACTTGAGACAGACGAACTCCCGCTGGTCCAGCTGCAAGGACCGTAGTTTGACCACCAGCTCTTGGGCATGGCTCAACAGGTTATTGAGGGTGGCCCCCGCCTGTGACGCGATCACTGCGTAGTCCACCTGGAAAAAGCAGGGAGAGAGATGTACAGTGATTTTCAGCGCTTCTGTGTAGGCAGAAATATTCTCTTCAAGGTACCATGTGAAGTTTTTGACAACTGCTGTGGATAACATATGGAGTAGCATGTTGGAAATAAGGGCTAGACAGCTTGATAGACAGTTGACTATGTTGGGATGTAGTTACATGATAACATCCCCTTGGTTTTGCTGTTTTTAACTGTGAATATTTGTTAACTCTTCCAATTCAAGAGCTATTCGATTAAAAAAAAAAGCTCAAACCCCCTGTGGAGTAATGATTGACACCTACGACTACGATGGATTTCGTGATGCTACTCTGCCCTCAACATAGAGTTAAAAGCTTTGGTCTGTCTGTCAGGGTGTGAGGCACCAGTGGATGTGTGGAAAAAAAAGCAGCTTCAGGCTGGAGGGTTTTGCAGTTTAACTTTTTTTTTTTAGATGGCAACATGCTGGGGGCATACGGATATCGTACATGGGAATTCACCTCAGTCTGACTGGTCCGGCTGGATTTGACTTCTGACTTTGTTCTCCGTTATACAGCAAAAGAAAAACATGCTGAGACAGGCAAAAAATGAGATAGACTGATAGATTGATGCATAGATTTCCTATAAAACCATCTTTCTTGGGTGCAACCTATTTGTCCATGTACACACACACACACACTCCTTTTTCAGGTGCATTTCGTATCTGCAGCCGCAGCACATTTGTCTGGGAGGCAAGTCCTTACCTGCCACTCAAAGTAAGCAGGACCATATTAAATTTTTATATTTATTGACAATTCATTACCATAATTGACTGTGGTAGGGTTTCCAGGGGAAGGTAGATGTTGGTGTGCACAGTTCCTAAAGCTTAGAGAGGAGGCGGAGGGTCCCCTTGAGCCCCCATTTGCAATTAAAAGCACCCCCGGATTCAAAAATTATTTATTGTGTAAATAGAATAACTGGAGTTTGTTTTTCATCTTTCTGAGGGTGAGAAAGGGTTAAAAATACAATGCTGCTGTTTTTCCCTCCTCTTTTACTTTCACCTTCTCTCCTTTTTTTACCTTTTTCCTTTCCTACACTACTGTACTCTCTCCCATTTCCCCCTCAACTCCTTTGTCCCTCTCTCTTTTCTTCCTCCCACCTTCAAGACAGTAAAGAGTTATGACTCGGTGAGCAGCAGACACTGCCCCCCTTCCAAGGTGTCAATCAATTTACATAAAATCAACTGTGCATGAAATAACTTCATTGAAGGATTGGACTGTTGATGGTGATGCCTAGGGTTATTGCCTTCCAGCCTTAAGTAAAAGAGAGAAGAAAGAGATGCTATAATGTCACTATAGCAGACTTAGCACTAACCCTGGTGACCTGCGTATCAGTCAATCAATCAATACTACTTTATTATCCCTCCTGGAGAGACATGGGGAGTAAATATATGAATAAACCTTCAAATCTTAACCCATCATGAATAGGATGAACAATCTTAGCAGAACATTAAAGATGAATATAGAAGGTGGGATCAGTTTGATGCGTCGAGGCTTTGATGTGTGTGGAGGAAGGGGAAGGAAAATGTACCTTGTTTGAAAGCAAAGAAATCTGCAGCCTGTTTTTGCATTTCTCCGTCATTTGAATTTCATGTTCACCAGAAGCACTGTGCTATCAAAATATCAGGATTTGATACCTAAGACATGCTGCCAAGCTGTGAGACCTTGCTTAATCATTCAACAGTTCAGTCCAATCGTTGTCATTTCACGTTTGTTCGCATTTGTTAAAGCTACGCTGTGTGTTTGATCCTATGACAGTAAAGCGAACCAGCCTCTTGTCTAACATCCAAATCCAAAGAAATGAATGTATTCAGGTCCATTTCTAACAGCTGTTGGTGACAGATCAACACAACATGTCAGAATGAGACAGAGAGTAAGAAAAGAAATCTGAAATGAGCGAGCAAAGAATATAAAAGATGAGAAAGAAAAGCCAAACACACTATAACAATAAATCTGCCGGTACATGATTTTCTTTTGAAGGAGCAGAGCTTGACAAGCAGGAGCAAATAAAGAGCTTGATTTAAACAAAAAGAAATAGGGAGTCAAATCTTTAAGGACTGATTTGGTGCCGTTAAGTCTGACTGATTTATCACAATACCCTTGAGTAATTTGAATCCCCAAATATAACTTATAGATGCCTCTATTTGCTTTTACTGTTGAAGGTACCAGGCCATTATATGAAGCAGGCTTGTATTAAAGGCATGCCCTTACATAAAATTTTCTGTCTGAGAAGTATAATTGTTCATTTTCATAGAAACTCGAGCTAAAAAGACATTATCTTGTTCAGAAGGACGCTCCACAAACTGAGCAGACACGGTCTCTACATATATTTGAATTAAAATCAGGGTTAAATCTGTCTTGGGCTGTCTCTGGGTTAACCCGCCAGTACATATGGGATCTACCATTATCCTTTGCAAAGTTTTTTTTTTTTTAATCTTTTTTTGTCTTTTAACTCTACACGCTGATTTTTTTTTTTCAGCTAGGAGATAAGCTGGATATAAACTATGATATTTGTGTCACTTCTGTAATGAATCAACTCCACAATAAAATGGTTGAAACGAATCAGAGTGAGAGCGCTCTAAGCAGCAGAAGGTGAAGATGCTGACAGCTCATCTCAGTGAAATGCAAAACTGGAGTAAACTGTGATTGAGTTCATCCATTATTAGGCAATGTTACAATTGGAAAGTAGGTGTAGCTGTTGGTTGTTCTCCATGATAAAACTATGGAAACGCACAAAAATAATGTCTATCACATGATGCTGTATATGATTAGGTATGCAATATATGATACAATATACAATACGATACAATGCACAATGCAACAGGACATATGATACATGAAACGATACACAGTGCATTATGATAAAATACGATACGCGACACAATGCGCTATATAATGAGATACGCTCAATATGATTCATCATTAAAATTGTCCTGGACGCAAGTTTTTATACATTCCCCTGCTTCCACAGTAGCGTTGTTGAATAAACAGTTAACAAAAGTGTTATTTTTTGATATTAGTTTTTCTTTCTGCCAAGTGTCTGGACTTAAAAACCTCTAAATCTACTATATTTCCTCAATCGATAAGATAAATGTGTTTGAATGTATGCGTTGGAGTGAATTACAGACTAATGAGGCCAATATACAGAGCAGTATGTTTGCTCCAACAGTTATTATTATGTGATTGGTATTGTGTGTGTGTAGCATATGCTTAAGGTGATGCTGCTGCTGTGTTTTAAATATCCCTGGTGTGATCACTGTGCTGTCACCCCTGGCCAGGCAGAGAATAATAGGGAATAATGAACTGTTTCAGAGTCTCACATACACACATACGCACACACTCCAGCACACATTTCCCCACTGCCCCTCACCCTAACACCAGCTGTTCATTAACCAAAGTATGCAAACGAAACCGCCGTCCTGTGCCTCCCCTGATTATCAGCTCCTCCTCCTCCCTCCTCCTCCTCCTCACAGCTCTTTTCCTGTCAAAATGCCTCATCATTTCCTTCTTCTTCACTGTTTTTCTTTTCCGTTCTCTCATTCTTTTTTCCATCTTTTCCTTTCTTGTTTCCATCCTCTTTCTCTCATTTTTGCCATGTTTTGTTTCGAATCAGTTTCTAATTTTCACGCCTTGACCCACGTCTTCTTCACTTCTTCTCATTTGACTTCTGCTTCCATCAATTTCTCTCCCCTTTTCTCACGTTTTTATCCTTTTCTCTACCTTTCTGTTTGTTTGTATTAAGGTACTAGTTCTTAGTGTTCTGATTTGTTGTAAACTTTTAGGCAGCTTTGTCCTGACTTACCAAAGACTCCAGTAAAATCTAATACCTCACCTAGCAACATTTGTGAACTGTCCACCCTGTCACCTATCTGCTGACAAATGAAGCACAAACTAAAAATGCAAAATTGATCCCCCATGTTAGCATTAGTTTATATCTATAAGCATGATCTATTTTTAATGAGGCAGTGACTCCTTCGTGGCTGAGTGATCAATACGACTCTAAGGCAAATGTTGAGGAGGTGATGCAGACTCCCTAGAGGATGAAAATGCACGGACTGAGTAAGAAAAAGAAAAGTTATCTAACCTGCTGCCCTGTCACCAATAGGATGGAGCCCTCCTTGGCGTGCACCACCTGCCGGAAGACGTGGTCGAGGATGAGGAGTTCGCTCCAGCAGTTTTGCAGCAGCTTCATCTGATCGTCAACCTGGTAAGAAAAAACACTTCATGTCAACTACGTGGTTTTTAAGCAGTTTCTTTTACTTTCTTCAAACAGTAAGAGTCAGAGTCTGTTGCTCTTCATGGTAAACGTTTGTTGGGACAGAGAAGTTGCCAACTTTTGAGTGCCTCTGAGTTAAATGTGATAAAAGTGCAACAACAGATCTAGTCTATAAACAAACGTCTATCCAATGGACTTGATGATGGTGACGCACAAAGATAATCATAACAAAAAACAAATGTAGAATAATTTATATTTAAGTTTTCTTCAAATCGTGAACAATTCACTGATACACTGCAGAAAAAAAAATAAAAATAAAAATAGTAATAATAATAATAATAATAATAAATAATTAATTAATTTATTAAAATAATACAATTAAAAATAAAATTGTCTCATATCTAGAAAAAAAAATCTCATTCCAGGCTGCATTATCTTATCAGGTAAGTCTTGGTAAAAATCATATTCTAAGATATTAGAATCCAAAAATAAGACATGTAATGTTTGTCCTGAATAAAAAAAAATCATATTTGTCATCAAGTTAGCTTTCCCCCCTCATTAATGGGTCATTTTTCTTGATTCTAACATTTCAAAATCACATGTTTATCTTGACTTGTCAGGTGAATGTAGCTTATGTTACAGCCTTATTCAGAAACACTTGCCTGCGTGTTTTTTCTTCAGTGTTCACATGGAGTTAAACTTAGTTCCTGAGCACTAAAGTAAAGGCACCCTATCAGTTTTGGCTGGCAGCTGTTTGCGAGATAAGCTTACACGTAGGTCAATAAGTTGTTTTTCATCCTTACACAAAGCTCTAATGTTCCCTCTACACATTCTTAAGCTTTCTCATGTGAACCTCTCCACACTCAGTTAAACACTTTGCTACGTGCCTGATTTTACAAAGTTGCCGGGTGTATCTGTTTGCCTATTGCCAGCAGTCTGAGTGATTCCACAGATGATAATGATTAAGTAGCCTTTTTTCCCCCCTCCTCTCCTAAATGCCAGCCGCTGGCTCCCAGGGACCTGCCAGGTGAGCTTGGGAAGCCATTGCAGGTCAATCGCTGGTTCTTTACACCAAAACAACCCCCTCTATTGTAACTGTTAGTCTCTTCCCAGGCCTGGCTGTGTTAATCATTACTCCTCGTAGCCAGACTCAGACAAAAAAGGGCCACATTGAGAAGGGAGGAATGAGGAAAATGTATGAGAGGTTCTTTCTTTGTCCTCCGGTTCCCCCCTTTTTCTATCAACAAACATTGCGCTCTTTCATTGGGAATAATGTGCCGCTCTTGTGGTTGACGTGTTACTTTGTTGCTGAGAGTCTGTGAGAACTGACTGTGATGCTCATCACTTGTGTCACTTGTAGTGTGAAGAATGTGGGTCGATGCAGGTGCAGCGTGAAGTCAGTTTGAGAGGAGTTTCTCCTGACTTTTGTAATCTACCAGAGATTGAAATAACTGTAACTGCGGATGAGAACTCATCACCTTGTATGAGATGAAGCAGTTGTGACCTAATCTGTAATCCAGTGCTTGTTGGTTGTCTTTGTTATGTCTGGTGATTAGACTGGTGTGTCAAACACTGTCTGTTTAAGTTTGAGGCAGACATAACAAGAAGTGTGCCATAACACTGTCCAAGAGTAGTCATATCATACCAACACTGTTGTACAGCACTCAGACACCTGAGCTGCTGGTTACTGTCATGGCCTTACAGGATCTGTCAAAGGTAACTCATTAGGTGAGTGGATTATGTGAGAACCAAAACTATAGCACAGTCACAACAACCTGCTAAAATTGGCCTTTGACATGAAACGGGCATGAATATAATTTTTGAAAAAGAAAAATGTACTCATGCACAGTAAGACGAAATAGAAAGGAAGAACTCTGCACTTCAGATTATTCTATGACCATGATTACCATAACAACTGTAGCAATTGTACATAATTTGTTCTTGGAGTAAACAAATGTGCAAGTATCAAGACAATAAAGGAAATATCAGACAGATTACCAGCATGACTAGGAAATAGGGCAATATGGCCTCAACTCAATATCATGATATGTTGAGCAGTTCACCTCGATAACGATCAATGGACGACAACTACTCTGCAAGCTGTTTACCCCCTCTCATATTATATTGTCTACTCCAGCTGCCGCTCCAACTTTTGAACTGTCCTCCATCTCCTCACCTGTCTTTCCCTCTTCATTATGGACTGGATGGGGTGGAGTCACATTTCTGACTTGGACAGCGTCTTGAGGGACATGTGGCCATAGCCTACCTACACACATCCAAAACCAACTTTTATTTATTTATTCATTTGACACTGAATATACCAATATGGGCAAAATGATGTCGGTTATTGACGTAAATGTTGACATCAGTAAATTTTCAGTTTTCTGCCCAGCCCTATTAAGAAATGCATCCTGAAAATGGCAACGATTTTGGTTCACAGAGTAATCAGCCAAAAGATATTCCAAAAGTACCCAGTTTAGGAGCGCCTCACGTCTCCAATCACTCTTATCAGTCAAAGTCAGATGACAATAGAGAACAAAGTGTCTGTGACTCTTTTTTTTACATTTTGACAGTCTCATAGACTTCTCTGTCAGCCTCCTCCTCTTTCTTTTACATCTGTTTTTTTCAGTCCCACACCGAAGGCGTCTCACGCCAAAAATTCAAATGCCTTCATTAAAACCATCAGAGAGAAAGCTCTCTATACTGAGCCCCGATCCCCTTTTTCTGTGTTTCACCATCTACCCTGGAAGCACGTGTTTCACTGTGCATTAGTGTGTGTGGGGACGGATGGATGGGTACATGTAAGACCCAGGCTCATCAAAGGACCCCCTCGTGCATGTCAGCAGTGCTGGCAAGTGTTGGGGTCCTCATCAAAGGGCTGTCCTCCCTCTGCCTGCCCAGAAGCTCTTCTCTGACAAGAGGCCTGGGTCATCAAAGGGGGCGGCTCAGAAGGGGCGACGGCGGGTGATAGGTGCCAAGACATGGGAGAGGGGAACTGGTGACAGACAGACAGGCGTGAGGGCGGGCCAGGGGTTGGGGTTCAGTCCGCTGACCTTTTTAAGTGCCCGCGACACGAGCTGTTTCCCTGACAAGCTCTTCCTTTGCTGTGTCGAATGTGCACCACTCACAGCGCCTGATCTTACATGATCTGCTGCATGCTCTCACTGATAATATGAACTTTTCGACACGGAGTCAATGACAGCTTCTTTTTGTCACATGCAAGTCTTGATCGCTGATGTGAAAATGCAGCCACTACAGTCAGTAAAACGCTGGCTGATTGCCAGTGCCTGAAAAAAAAAATCTGTCTATCAGATTTATTCAAAGTGTGACAGTACAAAGTTCAAATGAGCAAGCCTTTGAACTCGCCCGGAGCCGCGGCACACCGAGTTTATTTAATCTTCAGTTCTTATCTTGCTAACACGGTCATGGAAAATGAAGATAACTCCCTCAGTTGCTGATTCGTAGTTCCCAGCAGTATGAAGTAAAAAGGAAACAATCCTGTCGTGTTTTTAATCCCGCCGCTTCTCACTTCCTTGTTATGATCTGTAATTTTCAGCACACTCACCATGCAGTACTATAAATCCTGGTATTAGATTACTAAATGATATTTCTTGTAAGACCATCAAAAGTTCAAATATGGAAAGTCAGGATGAATTAATTTGTTAGCTAATATGTTTTACATATTGAATGATCCAAGTTATAGAAAAGTTTGTTGAACTTTTACTCAGAGTTTTTCTGACAGTGTGATATGTATTACAGCACAATGGGGAAAAGACAAAATCAAAGACAAAGTTAAAACTTTTAGAAAGAAATTCGATTTGCTTCATAGAAAACGTAGAAAAATAACTTCAAGTGGACTACCTTGAAGGTGAAGAAGATGTTTCCTCACTTTTAAGGTAATAAAGGATTTTTGCTCAGATTTTAATTTCCAGGAGCAGCAGGCTCAAGGTTACTAAATCGCTGGATTATATTTTCAGATACAGAAGACAGACAAAAAAACTATTCTGCAGTTAAAGCCTTTTTATAACCTCCTATTGTTAGTCTTTGTATGCCTACTGTATTTTTTGCAAACCTGCAGATGAACACATATTTGGAGGTCTTACTTTTGTACTTAAAATTCTTACATATGACAAAACCTCACTCTCTCTCAGACAGTTTTTGGTGGAAGGTTGGTTGGCTGTGACCTTGGCGTGAAAATGACACATTATATTTTGGTTGAAGAGCATAATTATTTAGAGTCAAACTGTTACAGTTTAATAAAAATTCATTAAAGAATTTATAGGAACACAAGTGGAGGTGTTTTCCCTCTTTTTTTCTGCTGTATGTGGACATTCCCAAAGTCTCTGTCTGTCCTTGGGTGGAGCAAAACTCATAATAAGGATTTAGCTTTTGAGGTTAACACTGATGCAAAAACCAGCCTCCCCAGAAATCACTTCAAACTGGCCTAAAAATCCACATTTAAAGGCTACTTTTCAAGGTGTGATCTGTTTAATATTTCAATATCATCACCCATGTCAAGAAAAAACTACATGCAGGAACTTCTACTTGCAGCAGCCAGCAATGAAAAATACATATCCTCCAAGAAACCAATTTAACACCTTTATGATCGTTCAGGCGAGTGGGATCAATGCCAGGATCAATCGCTTAGCCCATAGCTTTTGTTCAAAACCACCGCCTAAGATTAATAGGATTTTCCAGAGAGAGAGGTAAAAAAAGAAAGCAAGCGTGGGTCAGAGAGGGAATGAAAGTGCCAGACAGGGAATGAGAGAATGAGAAAAGACTTGGGGGAAATTGAGAAAATAAAACATAGTGATTAAGAGCAGATATTCATTCTTCCATTTCTGGGCAAATGTAAATTAATTGGAAATCGAGCATTCAGATGCTCGCTGACAAAAGTAATGTTTATTCATAGCCCCCCGCTAAGAGTAGAGCAATTATCATGGTGTGTTGAGTCAAAACAGGCCAACATAGTCCAATCCTTACCCCCCTTTCCTGTGGCCGGGTTTTTGGTCGAGTGCCACGAGCATTGTTAAGCCTCGTACGTACGGCGGGCTTTAACGAGAGTACACAGCTGGATCTGATTTTAATAAGTAGTTCCATTTTTGATGTGGCCTAATGAACAGATTAATGGAATCTCCTTCTGTGGAGCCTTAATGAATGGAGAGAATCACACTATTTTTTAACACAAGTGGGAGAGGGAGGGGGCACATGCAAACGCACACACTCAGACGCCAACCGTGAGTTAATACGCCTCAAACAACTCGTATATAAACAATAGCTGTGCTTCCATCTTTCCGTCTCTCCATGCTGGACGAGAATCAATGCTGTCTCAGAGTACTACAGGTGAGGTTTGAAGCCGACATCAATGCCGGTGCGTCTCTAGCAGCCATCCTTTGGTGCAGTCCTGTCTTGGCATCTGTTCGCCTTGAGCCAAACAGGCCCCGTATTCACCTGGGAACAGGCATTAATTCACCTACAACAGCGCCTGTTGTTCTCAGAGTGTCGCGAACACTTAATTATGCCGTGCTGCTCCAGTTTAGTTTGGTGATTTAATTGAAAAGAGTCTCAGTGTGGGGTTTCATCAACAACAATAGGATTTAGTTCAGCTAATTGGTCATCAATGTATCTGAAATCATGGAGCGGTTGGTGTGGTCCTGTGTAAGCACACACAGTCCTGCTGACCTAAGATCAGATCTTACAACCAAACTGTTTGTTTCCCTTCAAATTTTCTCGACAAAGACAAAAGAGAGGAAACCACTGACTTTCTATCTTGTTTCAAATGAAGCCGAGTGCTTCTTAAATCCTACTGCAAATCCTTTTTGGCAGCAATAACTTTCAAAAGCCACAAATAGAGTTACACGCATCGGAAAAAAAACAACAGAGTGAGTGACAGAATCCCTGGGATGTCCCAGCTATGTGCCCTGATGGGTGGGGGAGAGGGTGACCATGTTCCAGTCTATGTCCTGCTCCTCTGGACACACAGCACAGAGTTTTATCCCACACCTCACTTCCCCCGAACTAGCTCTTGTTTATCATGGCAGAGAGTTCATTCAGGCCTCGATTTGAGTGCTGGCGGGATGATAAGAATGCTGGGAAAATGAGCAGGTGGCAGGTGGAGATGGTGGTCAAAGGGGAGGGGAGCCCAGAGGGGAATGATAATACTACAGATGATATACTCAGAAACTAGCTTCAGTGGAAATGATCATTTCTGCTCATAGAAAGTAAAAGATTAATTGCTAGAAAAATCTGTTGTTACCATGTTGATTATTTTCCATGTTGACTGAGCAGCAAGTGAAGAACAACTCTTTCCTTGCCATTCAGGAGGTTTCTACCCACTGACTTCATAGTATCCCCTGCTCTCTAAAAACTCCAAACACATTATACTAAAAAAAGAGCTGTCTTCTTAAGTTTTTGAAAGTCATTGTGGTCGGTATAATCTCTTAAATGTGTCCACATTGACAATAAGCCTACATAAACCCAGATGGTAAAAAAAAAAACAGTTGTAGAGAGATACCAACAATAAGTCAGCAGACTTAGCATCAGCTTTAAACTTCTCACAATGATTTGCACTGTGAATGTATGCAATCTATCATAACATGTGACGCTACACAGTGTATATATCATTGTGTGCGTGCTCATCAACATTTCATGTCACCAGCACCTGTTTGTTGGTCGCATGTATCTCTAATCCAGCGTATCAGGTAGTGCAGAATGCCTGTGGGTTTGACTCAGAGTGAGCACACAGAAACCTTAGACTGTTATTATGTCCCTAACCAGCCATACAGATGCCAAACACCATCTGTGAGTTCAGAAAGTACCAACATTGTTACAAGACGGCCTGGTGTCTACAGAAAAGTGTTGTCCCAGATGGCAGAAATCAAAAACTCGCTCCCTGCAATCCTTTGTCTGAACTGTCTCTCCACTGTAATCTTCAAGCTTACAATAACTTGGTGATCAACAACAGTAAGTTCAGATGCTCGAGGGAAAGTTTGCAGAACTTTATTTTGCAGCAGTGTTATTGGGGGAGAAAGCTAATGCAAAGCACACAACCGTTGGCTCCACAGATGACATTGTAGTGTGCAGTTGGCAGTGTTGCTAATGGGTGCCTGACAGAGTGTAATGGGCTGTAAAGACAAACAGATTCCTTTTGGTTTTAGAGACAAACTCAATAGTAGAGAGAAAAACAGAAAAAGACACTTTAAACTGGTGACTGTGTGGACTTGAAACCATCAGATAATACGTGCAGGAGGAAATGCACATCACATGACTTTTTCAGTGTCAAATCGGGGACACTTTGTCGATACGTAATGGAAATATCCTGTTTGATTTATCTCTTTATTTTACATTTTGGATCTGTAGTGTTTTATTTGACTGAAAAATGCCCCAAATAACATTTAAAACTGAACAGCGAGAAAATTCATAAATTATTTCCTCACTCTACTACAAGTGTATGAAAAGAAAGTCAGTGAGGCAGCTGCATGCCCTTGAACGAATTCATAGTTGATGGCTTTCATATAATTTTCTCACGAGGAATTAGTCTTTTTGGTACCACTAAATAAATGCTTTTATTAAAGCACAGGCACAAGATCCTATCTGACAAGAACTGTCTTCCATTTCTGACAGTTTTTGAAGGTAAAATCTTTCTATTTTTCTCTCTGTTTTGTCCAGAATCCTTGTTTTGCAGAGACCATCTGTTGAGCTGTTTTCATTGAGTCCATACAGATGAACTCCTTGTGTTAAACAGAAACTGTTTTGTGAATGACTGCAGTATGTGTGCTGTGATGCTGAATTCTGGTATTTGTCCATGTGTGCCAACATCTGATCGATCCCGCCGGCACTGAGATTGATCGGTTCCCACGGTGACTGCATTAACAGACTCTGGAGCTTGACCCTTGACCCTGAGAACATTTTGCTTTCGATTTGGCCGTGCCCCTCACCCCTTCTACATCTTCCTGTCCTCTTTCCCCGTCCACACATCCCGACATCCTTCCTTCTGCTAGACTCGAATTCTAGACTATACGTGTGCTCCCCTCCTGCCTTTTTACCCCCTCAGCATCCCTTTGTACCGAGCCTTGTCCAGACAGAGGAAATGAGATGTCAGTCTAATAAGGTCTTCCTGCTTTGCCTGGGCTGGACTTAAACACACCAGTGATAAAAGATACAGAAAATACAGCATCTGTCTGATGTTGCAAACCAATTGGGACAATATGCATGCTTAATTATTGTTAAACACATTCTCAGATGCAGAAGAATCTTGGATGGATTAGCACACTGTATAAAGATCAGCAAGAAGCATGGCACTACATTCATGAGGCAGGAAAAACAAAGTATCACTGTGAGTCCGTGTGTAGCAGCAGGAAGAACGTCTTGTTCTTCAAGGTCGCTGACGATGGCAACAAACCCTCTTCTTTTACTCCGTCTGATATTAGCGCAGGGATTTGAGGATAAACCAAGCGCACTCAAACTTCACTATTCTGTTTTTACTTGATGCATAAGCATTTGAAAGGAAGTGAAATCAATAAGACGAGAGAACGGACTGTGGTGAGGGGGCCAGACATGAATTTCAATGGATATATTTTCATGCATGCAATGTTTATTGTTGTTTGCTAAGGCTGGTCTGTTTACAAAATGTGAATTTCCAGGTAGAGTTTGCAACTTTTATTTCAATTACGTATTAATTTTTAACGAGATTCTGTTTTAAACACCAAGCTCTTCGGCTTCTTTTGAAACCATAGGTGAGAGACTACAAAATTAAATGAGGTTATGGGAAAAAAAAAGAAAGATAAGACTGCCTCATTTATGAAGAAAGTTAATCCATGAGTGCATGGCTTAAAGGAGAGCAGTTTCTTATTTTCTTTTTGAGAGCTTTTCAGTTCAGGATACCTTTAAAAGTGCACTACCTACCCCCCACCACACACACACAAACACACACACACTCACCTCCCATCTCTCTCACACACACACACATACATGAAATCTCAGGGCTTAGAGCTAAGAAGCTATCAACTAATTATCAAAAACACAAAGAGTTCCTAATCAATTATTCACATGAACATTAGACCGCTAATACAGATGCAGCCCAGGGAACAGCATCTCCCAAAAGTAACCCTTCCTCCTCCTCCTCCTCCTTCACTCCAACACACAAACACACACAAACACACACACACACAATGCAACTGTAGTAAGACCTGCACACCAGAAACAAACACAAATGCACATTTTACTCACACACACACACACATATGTAGCTTCTGGCCCGCTCCCTTCCCGCCACTCCACTCTCTGTGTAGCAGACTGAGAAAATGCACGCCATCCAAATCAGTAAAACGAGTTGTGCGAGTGGCCTGTCTGTGAGGTTCCTGGCTGGGAGGTACTGATCATAGAACTCCTATTGATCCATCCTCACCCCCTTCCCTCCCCTTCACCTCACAGACTCCCCCGAGCACACACAAACACACACACGCAGAGCTTAATCTACCCGGCAATTCCTCGGCATTAAGCCCCAGCCATTGAATTTTCATGCTGCGCAATCATTATTTGAGTTAATGCTGCAATTTATGACTGTGTGTTTGTGTGCGGAGTGTGAAGAGCAGGAGGAGAGGATGCAATATAAGGACAGGAGGAGATGAGCGTGTGCATGGAGGCTTGGTAAGGGCTGGTGAAAAGTTAGGCGGGGCATTGTGTTAACCAAATCATGACTGTAACATGCGGTTTATGTTTATGTGCGAGTGCGTTTAGTGCGGTTGGGTGTGTTTCTGTTTGACTTTCATGGGCAGACGGTCTGGTCATCTGTGCTTTTAAAGGAAGAGAAGATAAGAAAGAGAGGAAGCAAAGAAGACAAGAGTCTGAAGGCTTCCCTCTTTTGTATTATTCAGGACAGCAGACATTCCTCATTAGCTGTCTCAAACACACACGTGCACACACAGATGCACGTATATATATACCTTAACTAAGCTTGGATGACTGAAGCTGTTTTAAAATGCAGAGACTGATGCAGCGATGCTTTCTGTCTGAGAGAGCCAGGGAGACACAGATTCCCATTAGTGCCTGGGATGGGTGTTTTTTGACGGGGAGGGGGGGCTGGGCGTTTTTCAGAGCAGACAGCTGTGGATCCAAACATGGCACAGCTCCAGAGATCACAGGGATCACAGCCCTCGATGCACAAATTAAATATCTGAATTAACTAATTGAGCATTTCCGGAGCTCGTGTGATATGTTAAGAGTCAAAGTACAAGGAAGACGCCACATCAGAAAGCGCCGCGCTGCAGAACAGATGGAGCGCTACGTCTCCCTAAAGTGCATCCCTGGGCCTCGCCTGATAGAATCTGCCATGTATGCGTCTGTATTGGGGGGGTGAAGTCTCTCTGTGGCACTGCTGTGGCTGCATGAGGCCTGCTGGTGCTGGAAGTGCAGTTCAACATGTGGCTTATAAATTTCTGGCCTAAGGGAAGGTGAGATTGTGGCTTGACACCTGAAAACTTTGTCTTTTTTGGGTTTTGTTCCATGTCCCTGGTTCATTTCTAGAAGTTTAATGATGTTGTCAACACCTTTCCCAGCAAGTCTCCTTTCAGCATATTTGGTTTATTGCTCGTCATTGTTTCAGCTTGCTTGAAAAGCCTCTTTTTATCCCCTCTGAAAGGGCGCAATCCACCAAGAACGCAGCCTGTAATGCCTATTATTAGTGCCGTGCCTTTATTTCACATGTGTGGAATCATTTATCCGCGGCTCGTGCCAGGTTTGCAGTTATGGTGTATTGGGAGAAACCGAGACATAGATTGACAGATTGAGAGGTGAGGAAGAGGGAACAGTGTGAGGGTAATAAATATTTCTGGTGTGGTTGTAAAGACACGAGGAGAGTGAGGGAAAAATCAAAACCAGACTAGAATGCTTAAAACCAAGACAGGGAACAGGTGTCTTTGTCCTACTTTGCTAGTTGGGCTGACGCCATTTTCTCGGCTGGGTCGTTGTTTGGCGTGCGGCCCCATTGAAATTTCTCGCTCATCGTCACAACACAACCACTATGTCTAGTGTTACCACTGTGAACTGCACGCATCAGTCATCGCTGAGCAGATTCAATCGCCCGCCTTTCCAGCTGAATATAAATACCCCATCCACTCTTTAAGTGTAAAACTAGCCGGCGAGCTGTCGACTCAGCTCCGCCACTGTCTTATCTATTGTCTCCCGGACCTCCGACCCCCACCCTCCTGCTTCCCCGCTGCCCATCTAGAATAGACGAGCCGTAAATAAGCATCAGAAATAGACATTGGGGGACAACTGTTGACAAGCGGGTGACGAAAGCAGCAGACACGGGCACAACCTCCAGGCAGGGTGGATTACAGGCAGATAATTGAGGCCACGCAACACTGGAACATAAGAAGATGAGGGCACTTTGTTTTTTTATTGCCTAGTTGAAAGCCAGTTGTATTTCAGGGGACTGTTAAGGGAGTTTTTTTTTTCATGTGGAACCCTTTAGGAAAGACAAGACTCAAGCTTTGAACCCATGTGTATGAGCTACTCTTTTACACTGTTGTCCAGTGACACTTCAGTGACATTAGACTCCAAAACTGTTATCCTATTAGGGTTCATGAAGTGTCTACAACTCTAACAAGAAAGCTAAAACGTCAGATTATGTTAATGTGTTATAAATGGATATCACAGTCTACTTATAGTTTAAGTGCCTTTTTTAACCCTCCTCCTGTGTGAGTGTTTACTACCCACCCACTATGTTAAGGGTCGGTTTAGACCTGTGTCTTAAATCAGCTGTAAATTATGCTTAAAACTATTCTCTATCATCCAATTTGGTTCTCATCTCTAGGTTACCTTGTTAGGATTCATTATCCATGAAAATATTGTTCGTAATATTTTTGAAGTGAGCCTCTGGGTCTTTCTTTGTCAATATACCCCTCATACAGACATCTATACTGTATTGATCATTCATGTCTGGACAAGTCCAACGTTGTTTTTTGTGCAGGAAAAATCATGGAAAAATGAGAATTTCCTCAATCTTACATGATTGGAAAAGGATCTGACTATCAGTGTGGTGCCTGACAGTGCACTTGTGATTTCAGTTTTTGCTCGTATCATTAGATTGATCTAATTGAGTCAACAGCGACCCTAACATGACAAGTGCCATAATTTTAATAAGAGCATTTTATAATTTAGTCGATTTAATTTTGTTATTTTTATTTTGTTGAAATAAAGATTCCTGACAAAGTCAAAAAGTCTTGATGCATAGAAAACTAATTTAAGTGTTTCTTTTAAGCATTTAAAATCAAAAATGGGTTGGAAGGTTAAAGCCATTTTTTTCAGCCAGGGGGATCTATACTGCGTATTTTACGGCTATGCAATGCAGGCAAGTGTAAAAGAGGAAGATAAATTAGCTGACAGGTTTGCATATTTTTGTGTGGTGAGTTTAGTTTAGAGGTTGAGGGTCGGCGTAAGGCTGCAGCAGCCACACCTCGTCCCCTTTGACCTCCAGGAAACCTTATAGCCAGGAGCTATTTAGAAGCAAAATGCCAGCACTCCTGTCTGTACATTCACCACCCGTCTGACAACATAGTGGCACCCTCAGCCACCAACCCCCCAGCAGATAACAGAGGGATCACGTTTTAATTTGGCCTTTGTTGCAGCGAACTGCTACTGCTTTTTTGGCTTGCAGAGCTCCCACTTTAGAAAGGTTTCTGCGTAAACTGTGGATTTAACACGACTCATAACGTGGTTCAGCCCAGAGGAGGAGAAGTGAAAGTTTCTTTGTACTTTGCCGGAGTGTGTAAAGTGTTTGCACGCCGTTGAGTTGATTTGTTAGTGGCCAGGTCAGCTAAATCAAGTCCCCATATCCACTTTGTTTTCTTTATTTTCTCTGTCGCTCATTCCCACTTTTCTCTGTCTGTGCAGATTTGACTGACTCTTGCCAACTTGCGAAAACAACAACCATGTCATTCCGGGGCCACCGAGGCTAACAGCACAGTATAGTCACCTGCGTCAGCATCTTAACAAGCAGCATGACCTGCCAATAAAAAAGGCTTTTACCCTGATCATCCTCAAACAAGACTTAAACAAAACCTGCTCCTTCTCCTGCAGAATGCCCAAAGTGCTCACAAATGCGAATCACGCCGTGTTAACTTGCCTGAAAATGAAAAACTACAGCAGAGGTGGGGACAATTTTTTTGTTTATTTTTTCCCCTGCTATTTCATCAGCAGTGGTTTGAAGAGGCAGAGATAGAGGATGAAAAAAAAACATCTCTTCCACTAGAGTGCAGAAGCTTGGTTAATGCAACAAAGTCCCTCTGTCAACAGCTCCATGTCTTGTCAGTGTTCATAAACAAGTATACTGTGTTCGACCCATGTAGTGAGGGGAATTTTGGTGAAATGCTTAAGCAAGCCAAAGGAAAGCTCCTCCTACGAGCGGCTGAGGAAGCACAAGGAAGAGGAAACGTTATGGAGGACAGTTGAGTCCATCATTGCCCGCAGCTCTGTAAACTTGTACCTCATGACAGCCTTTCATCCCCATCAAAGCAACAAGTAGATGAGCAGACTTCTGCGCATGTTAAAACCTCCCAGCCCCCGTCGTCTCCTTATGGCCGCTGCTCCTCAGGGACAGGCGACCTTAAATCTTCTCTTTTAACAAGTTTCCTGTTCTTCCTTCCGGCCTCCTGCGGTCCCCTGGGTTTGGACCTACGGGACCAATCCAGTATTTGGAAAAACTGTGTCTTGAAGATCAGACTACAACCATTGGGGTACATAAGGAGGACAATGAGAGATTGGTTTCTACCTGCCACAAAAAGCTAAAGTTTTATAGATAATCTGGAAAATCTGTCAATTTTAGGAAACAAGTGTTTTATCTCGATATGGATTCTTGTCATGCTGCAGACGTGGATTACAAACTTTTTCAAATTCACGTATTCTCCTTTGACACATATGGTTTATTTATAGGTTATATTTGCAAGGGTAGAGCTTCATGGTTTTGGTATGTTGCTAAGGTACATTAAAAATCAAGAGGCCTAACCTGTAGCAGCCCGTACAGACAGCCTCTGTTAAATCCGATTTATGTTCATCTTGTGACTGACCGCATGCTGTGCCTTTAAAAAGGATCCAAAATAATCGACGTTTTCCATCCCGTATTGGTAGAATTGACAGAAGTAAAAAATCTGGAGAGCACTTTTACAGTATTTATGAAAAAAACGTGAGTGATGTCTTTCAAAGTGGTCAATAATTTATGAATGAAAAGAGGCCTTTGTGAACCCCCACCACACTTTCCTCCCAGTCAAGCCCCCCCCTCCCTCTGCAAAACTCCTGCTCCTTCCCAGGGCTACTGATCAAACAGATATTGTTACCACTAAAATAGCAACTTAAAAAAACACACAGGCGGCCATAAGACCTGCCTGCAGCCCGGGTGAAAGACTGACAGCAAGAGGGAGGGGCTGGGAAAGAGGAAAGAAAGGACAGAGACAGAAAAAAGGAGCCGAATCAGTAAAAAAAACGAAAGTCTCCAGACTAAACCAACAACACACTGCACATGAGTATCAGGACACATACCTTCCTTACACACACGTGTTAGGGAAACAATACTGTATATGTATTTGTGTGTGTGATGGGGGGGGGGTTGTCATCTATCACCGGACAAATGCCGGGCTGTTGGGGGGTGTTTGAGGAAGTAGGGGGTGAGGGTGGGTGGGGTTGTCGGCCAGAATGGTGCTGCTCCTCAAATGAAATAATATATCTTTGAAAGCCTACGCCCCGCGCTGGGCCCTGTGCCCATATATCAAGCCCAAGAGCGTCTGGTGGATCCGCTCCAGGCCCATTAACCTTCCACCTGTTCCCCCTTACACCCCCCCACCCCACCCCCCAACCTAGCAGACCTCTTTTCACCCCCTCCACACCCTCCCCTGTTGTCCTTCACTTTGCCCCCTCTATTCTTCCTCCTCCTCTTCTTGCCCTTGGTAGTTGCTCCTCACAGCTCTATGTTCATCCTCCCGTTTATCCTCATTGTTTCTCTTGATTGTTTTTAATCTCTTATGTCAGCTACATTATCTCTCCATCTACCTCTTACTTTGCCCCATCCTCTTTTTATCCCATGATCACTCTTGCTCTTTCAAACTATCCCTCTCTCCCTTTCTATACCTCAAAGTTCTAGTCTTATTTTAGCTCGCACTCTTTCCTCTCCTTCTGTAACTTATTTAATCCTCTTATTTCTCCTCTACCTTTTTTCTTTACCTTCTTTATCCTCAGCCAAAGTAAAGCAAGTCTGCTACAGTGTGTGTGTGTGTGTATATATCTGTGTGTATGTGTGTGTGTGTGTCAGTGTGTTTGGGGGGGCATCACAGCCCGCCGAATAATTCAAATGCAATGGACCAGGGACACGGTTACAAATCTCTGCCAACTGCATGCGGCCGCCAACCCCATCACGCTTGCAGTTTGTCAGGATTGGGGTGTCGGGAGGGGAGGTTGTTCTGGGGGGGAAAACCGTTGACCTCTATGACAAGACAGACATTGCAGCCCGAGGCTCTGATAATGTGTGTGTGGGTGTGTGTGTAATGGGGAAGCTGGTATAGATATCCCACTTCCCAGGGTTCACAGATCACGCCTAAAACGGTTTATTAATTTCCACTCAGTTATGGGGTGTGAAGAAAAAAAAAAAAGAAAAGGTGCTTCAGCGGTCAAAGCAGGGCAGGAGCACTGCACCCCTCCCTCTCATACACACACAAATATGCACTCACACACACACTCGCACATACGCTTGCATGCACCTTGAAATGAAACTGCTCATATAGGTCATGTAATGAACAAGGTGGTGTTTATGAGTGTCAACCTCCAGTCTGGACAGGGACAGGGGGTGGTGTGTATATAATTATATTAAAGTAAATTAATGCAGTTATTATGGAAGTTATGGGTTTAGATGAAGGGGTGAGCAAAGGAGCGTCAGAGGACCTTACATTATTCAATCAGGTAAATCTTTAACCTTCCTCCTGTGTTAGCTTTTACTACCCACCTACCATGTTATGGGTCTGTTTTGACCCGTGTCTTAAATCAGCTGTAAGTTATGCTAAAAACAATTCTCTATCATCCAATTTGGTTTTAATCTCTAGGTTACCTTGTTAGGCTTCATTATCCATGACAATATTGTTTGTAATATTTTTGAAGTGAGCCTCTGGGCCTTTCTTTGTCAGTACACCCCTCATCTAAAGACATCTACACTGAATAGATTTCACATGTTTGGACATGCCTGACGTTGTTTTTTGTGCAGGGAAAAAAACATGGCAAAATGAGAATTTCCTAAATCTCACATGATTGGAAGAAGATCTGACTATCAGTGTGTTTCCTGACAGTGCAATTATGATTTTAGTTTTTGCTCTAATTATTAGATATTGATCTAACCGGGTCAACAGCGACCCTAACACGACAAGTGCCACAATTTTAATAAAAGTATATTATAATTTAGTCAGTTTATTTATTTATTAGTATTATTTTGTTGTTGAAATAGAGGTTTCTGACAGAGTCAAAAAGTCTTGGTGCAAAAAAGCTAATTTAAGTCGTTCTTTAAGCATTTAAAATCAAAAACGGGTCGGTGCAGACCCTAACACAGGAGGAGGGTTAAAGTCTCAGACCCCCACCCCCACCCCCCCCCTTCCCCTGCACCACCTGAGGGAGGGATCTGTCAAACAGAGTGACTGAGGAGGGACACAAACAGGTAGAAAAAAATTATTCAAGGGCATGTATTTTGGGTTGTTGAGTAGGATACTTCTGATACTTGAGTAGGACTTAGCCAAGAAAGATACAGGTATAAGATTTTTCTTTTAGATTTTAAAAATGTACTTTTATTTATAGACTTCAAATTCATCTCCGTGTAACAAACCTCATCTTATCTATGTACAGACGGTGTTCATTTCTTCACCATCTGCACAATAAAACAATATCATGAAGAGTGGATGTTTCAGCTTATGGTCAATATCTAAGCCCTTAACCCCCCCAAAGGTGCTGCCGCTCGTCGTATTTCAGGGGTAAATCAACTTAACATGTGTAAGTTTAGTTCTGTGATATAAAGAATCATGTGTTAACACCAGTTATAATGAACCATTCTTCTACCCTGTCCTACACAGAAGATCTCACCCCTGTCCTGCCCTCTTACCCTTCCTGTCTCCTCTTTAATCTGTTCCTCCTCTCCTCAATTGCATCACCTCTTACAGTTTCTTCCTCTTTCCTATTTTCCCCTCTCAACTGCGTCCCTTTCCTCTGCTCTCTCCACATTCCTTACCCGCTCGTCTCCCCTCTCATCTCCCCTCTTTGTTTCACCTCTGTTTCTCCTCGCCTGTCCTTTCCTCTCCCCAGCCATCTGTTTATCCAATATGGCCGCCCGGTCTCAGCTGGGAGCTTTCCCAGGGAACAAGACTTCTAATACAGTTCCTCCTCAACTTAATGGCCCCCAGTTTCTGCTTTTGCCATTCCCTCTACATGCAGAGAGATGAAACTGAAAAAAAAAAAAATGAAAGAGACAGAGAAGCAAAGAAACCTGTCTGTGCCCCCCCAAAAAACCGTCCCAGGACGATTTAAATAAACAGAGAGGCCACATTTCAAAACGTCATGGCTATTTTCCTCTCTGCTATGCTTTTATCAGGTGGATGGACTAAATATATAGATTAAGTTACACTCCATTTTACTGAAGACGGCCTCTGAACTACATGTCAGCTTTAGCATAAAACTGAAATACTAATTTTCTAGTCCAGTGTCTCAAAATTTTTACTCGTTGCCATAAAAGTTTAGACTAGAAAGAAAAAACATGTGCCTAAAAAAACATGTTTTATACATGCACTCTTGCCACAAAAGCTGGTCTTGCAAAGATTGTGTGTTATGAAAGATTGGCACGAGTTTGAGGTCAGAAACTACTCGTATCCTCAAGGGTTCTTAATATTATATATCATTTAAAACAGTGATTTTAAAACCTCATTTAGGTCACATCTATGGTTGATGATATGTCTGTGTTCTACGTAAGCATTGCAAAGATTTTGGGACTCACTTTTAGCTGAATATAAGAAAAAATATTCAAAAATCAACCGGGTTCAATTTTTAAAATATTTTCCTTTTTAGAAAAAAGCTAAAAGTTCAAAAATACACCAGAAATGAAAAAAAAAAAAACAAAAACACCTATAGGTGATGTGTCTTAATTCCGTTTGAGCCCTAATAAACGTAACAACATCTACTCTATCTATATCTATTGGATCTATAAATACCAGAGAACTATATCTGAAGGTGTATCATTTCCTCTATTGTCAAACATTGCAGCATAACTTCAAACTCTTTCCAAGCGTGGTCATTTCCGTTGCTTCATCAGCCTCTGTTTGTTGTGTGTCGACAGGGCACACAAAGGTGCACGCTGTCCCACAACTGCAGACACACATCCTTTTATTAAAGGGTGAGGAGAGGAAGGAGGAGGGGAGGGGGGGAGTGCGAAGGGAGTACAACTAGGAAGGTAAGATATAAACATGTGAATCATCAATAGTCCCGATTGCCCCGCTAAATTCTCCCTCTCATTGTGTTTGCAGGGACTGGAACAATGGAGGAGAGGGTAGCACTGGGCAGGCTACAGTATGAGTCACCCGCACTCATGCACACAGGCAGGTAAACACACACATGCTCACGATGGCAGACTAACAGCTGTCCGCTCTCATATCGAGCACAAACAGGAACATTAGAAGTGGTGTTTTAAGAAGTCGGTATTTTCAGTTTTCACCAAGAAAATAAGACATATTTTAAAATCTCACATTTTAAACTCGAGCAGTATGGTTACTATTTAATTCAAAGGTCAAATTCTCTCTTATCTAAAATTAAGTTTTAGACTATCTTCATTTTACTCGTTTCTGCAGTCTCAGTCTGATGTGTTAATAAAGATCTCTTATTTTTTTTAAACATCCCAAAAAACAGTACGCCGCTTTTGTGCAGTTTGATGTCACAGGTTTGTATGGAAGCATAGGGGTCAGAGGCTGTTATAAAGTGTATAAATGTACGAATTTGTCCTTTAAAGCCTAAAGTTGCCTGGTGTTCGGGTGGCACCAGAGCTTACAGAGGGGTTCACTGCAGGACAGGCTAGCGTAGGAAGGGGAGGGGTAGTAGCCGTGTGCAGGCAAATGTCACTGAGAGACAAACACATGTGTCCCCTTCCGTTAGATCTCACTCAGATGCCGCCATAGGCTTGGAAACAGACTTACACACTAATAATAGAAGTTAAAGAAATACTCCTTTTTGATATTTTACTGAGGAAAAAATTACACCAAAGTCTAAAAACTGAGCAGTTAGAAAAATCTATAAATTCAACAAGAAAGATGTAAACTTCAAGATATTGAGACATCCATAAATGCAATGTCTACAGCCTGCCCAATTTTTATTAAAATCTGAAAATGATTTCACCTCAGCCCTGCCAGAATTCACAATTTCTTCCTGATTTCAAAACCAGTCCAGCAGACGTGACTTTTCTAATCGTCGTCGTGGAAAACCAATCAGAAATAGTGATAGGTGGGGGTAGTCAGTCCACCCCAACTTCTTGGATTCAAGGTGTTAGAAATAAACTCACGTCATGCCTCATTCCCAGAAAGGAGGGGGTGGCATATAGCGTTGGAGAAGAATGGGGGGAGCTCCTCAGAAGGTTCTCCTAATGGCTAAATATTTATGAGTCCCGTGACCGAGGCCAACTTATGGAAACTAAATCTTTAAACACTTTTTCTGGCAGACGCCTCACTCACACCCTCCCAGCTTGGCTCTATTACCAGAGAAATTCTTTTGTTCTTACAGAGCTAATAATAGCGAGAGAGAGGGGCTGTGCGTTATGTGTGAGCAGCGTCTGTGTCTTAATGTGGGAATGTCTGTGCGTGCGTGTCTGTGTCTCTGTGTGTGTGAGATGAAAGTGTATTTATAGCTTCCTACAGCGCCACACCACTCCTGTGACAAACTTTTTATTCAACTCTGCTTCCTGTCTCTCTTTATCCCAGGCTTGACCTCACATCTAGAAGTCAGATCTATATAAACAAGAGGGGTTAAAGGTTAGGCAAGTAAAAAAAAAAACCCAATATATTTCAAATTGCATCAGGGGTTATGAGTTAAAACAATAGGACTATTACTGTGCTATAAAACAATTTTATAACTTTTCAACATCTGTGGAAATTGAAAACCCCTGTCAGGCTTTTGAGCAGCACTTTAGTGTGCACGTGTAACATTGAAACACAGACAAAAGGAAGGAGATGAAGGGGATAGGGCAGATATTTAAGGTGGACTGCAATAAGTCAGGTAAAAGAAGATGCTCTGTTTGCTTTATTTTCTCTTTCATAAAGGACGTTTTAAATTTAAAAACAGATAGAAACTTTGTCATAGAATGAACAGCAGCTCAGAGTGTGGTTAGTTTCTGCCTGTTTCTGACCTCTTCCATTATTGTTCACAAAGTTAATATCAAGTACAGGCCTTTTTTGTATTTTTTTCTGGTTGTGATCAAGAAATGATATTGATGAGCATGTCAGTATTTCAAAAAAATGAAATTATTTTCAGTTGAGACTTCTGGTGCTGCCTACTTGCTGAGTTAGCCTATCATTGGATTGATGGTGGCTATAAGTCTATTTTAGTTAGTCTGCACATCTCCTTGTCTGTTTGACTCCAACTCTCAATCAATCAATCAATCAATCAAATTTTATTTAAATAGCGCCAATTCCCAACAGTCGTCATCCCAAGACGTTTTCCAAAGAAAAAGAGCAGGTCTAGACCAAGTCATTGTTTGATGAATTATCAAGACCCAACCTAAGATGGGATTTGGCCCATCTCATCTAACATGAGTAACAGTGACAAGGAAAAACTTCCTTTTAACAGGCAGAAACCTTGAGCAACTCTCTGTCTCTCCTTTTTTTCCAGTTCACCTGTCTATCCAGTTACAACAGATGGCCCAACAGAAAAAAATCAAGCCAAAGCAGAGGTACAGAAAACTGCAGTTCCTAAATTGTCCACTTGAGACAGACTCCAAAAACCAATGGCCATTAGGTTGATTTTTTCACAACAGTTAAACATGTTTACAGCCTGGTACAAAAATGGTGTTGGCTTTTGAGATGGGATGATTTTTTTGATAACTTGTTAATTTTGATAATATTAAGACAGAGAGCTATGCAGGTGGGCACATTTTGGCTTTATATCAGGCAGCTTATCTGTGGCTTCAGCTCCACCTTTTTTTTCCTGTTTCTGGATTATATGAATATTTTTTATGTCAGTATTTCTACCATCATTTGGCTTCACAACACCTCTTTAGAAACCAACGGAAACTACTTTATTTTTTTACACCGATTATGAGATGATCGTCAACCGCTGAGTTAGCTTTGTTTGAGGTTTCTGTCTGGTAATAAGAATTTTGTGCTCACATAGTGGATTAAATATATATGTATCTGTAACTAAAACAACAAAATATACCAAAACAACTCATTTGATTTAACAGTATACATTTAAATTGATTACTGTATTGATTCATCATCCTCCTGATCATCGTTGAGCCTTGCTCAGCAGTCTCCCCTGATAATTAGTAACAAGCAGGGACAGGGGATTGTAGATTATGTGGGAAAAACTGTCACAGCTAGCACATTATTTCTCAATCCCTCTTGTGCTTCAGGTGGCTCTTAAAAAAAAAGGCAAAAGAGGGGCTCAGTTCAATTATCTCCCTCACTTAGTGAAATACGCCCTCACCGCTCCTAAACCAATGGGCCGTGTGTATGTAACAGGGGCAGCCCTGTGCAAGAAGAGCTTTCTTTTGCATTGAGCTCAGGTCATTTTCTACCTTTGTAACATGCACGCTGTACAATTACTCTTAGGCTCCCTTACTATGGGTAGTCATTAGGCAAACATAATGACATTTCATTCAGGCGCAAATCAGCGAGTAATGAACACAAGTGGGTGAGATAATTGAATTAGAATGAGGGTGTAAAAAATAAAGAGGCTTCACTGTGGAGCAAAAATGATCATTCAAAGTTAATGGGCAAACCACACACAGTTATTAGCTGCAGCCACACCCAATGACAAGACTGAGGATGTGTATGTGCCTGTTTCCCACTGTGCACCCCAACTAAATGCAAATACAAATCTGTAAAATGTCAATAGTGGGGACACAGTGTGTGCTAAATGTCAACATGCGTTTTTCAAGGACTCTTGTCTGCGCTGTAATTGGCTCCATTTTTAATATTTCATTCATTTTATGTGTTATTTCCCTCCTTGAAAACACAATAATGTTAAATATTAGAGGGGATTTTTTACTAAAGCCTGTGCCTATGAATATGCAGCTGAGCCGTTGGCGATGAGGTGTTGAAACAAACAGACAAAAGGAGTCAGACAACAGGAGGAAAAACAGGTGAACCCACACTAATCAAACACCTTTCATGTTGCTCTGAACATTAACCTTCATTCAGCGGAAATAAAGCCGCGAGCATGCACACACATCGAGAAGGTTTCCCTTGGGCTCGGAGATGAATGTGTGGAAATTAACACATTTTTACACTGAGGCGTTTGTGGATAGTTGCTGGGGATCGGTCAGTTGGGATTTAGTGTGCTAAAATATCACAGAAGACATAGTGCTTACTTAGCTTAATTTGTTATTTCCTATGACCTGGTGTAATTAGAAAACCTCGTTTAGAGCGCTTTCAATAAGTATAAATGTCAAATAACTAAAAGTTTTCAGCTGTCTTAATATTATTGTAATTAAAAAGAAAACCAACCCAAAATGTTTCTCTATGTGTGATACGGTCCCTTCTCTGAATTTAGTTTGACCAGTATGCAAATGGCAAATGTCTCACATCATCACACAGTGTGTTCCCTCTTAGATCAGAGGAATATTTCAAGGGGAGATGGGCGGTATTCAGTTCACATAAAAGCCTCACACTAAGACCCTGTTAGTATGAAAAGTGCCTGAAGCTCATAGTCAAAGTTTTCACAACTCATAGCCAGAATGTGTCACACACAGGGTAAATACGGTCGCCTGCTGCATTTTGATCAGGCAGGGAGACAGACAGAGGTGGCAGCTAAGAGCAGACAGCCCTGTGTACTCTGTATTAATGTTGAGCCAGTGCATAAAAAGAGGAAGATTAAAGGCCTGTTGAAGATAAAGGGTTGAGCAGATGATGTTCATGAACTGTATAAAGTGCTGTCAATTATGGATGACAGCGTGGTGGAAGACTTGGCATTGAAACAAAATGCGGGATAATTTATTAAAGGCTTGTAGAGTAACTGCAAATAGAATTAAACTCATATAGTACTATGCTGTCATTACTGATAGGGTTGATTGGCAATACCGTGGCTGTGCAATTATGGGAATAACATTTTTCCTCCCTTTAAGCCAAAAAATACCCCAGGTTGATTTTAATTGGATAACCCAGGTTGACAAATACCAACACATCGTCACAGCCCTCTGGGGTCTCATTAAGATGCAAAGGCAGATTTTCTATGTCATATGAACACATGGTAGTGTCTATTTGCTTCTTGTCTATGTGTGGTTACTGTCGTACACTGTGTACACCTACATGGTAAAGGTTGGGGAAAACATCCTAAAGTGTTTTAGTTTTGGACAAGTTAATTAAAACCTAGTTTCCTTGGCAACTGCTCTGTGTTGTCCGGCCCATCCATCACCAAGAGTAGTTCCACCATGTTGTTGCTAATATTGTTGAATGAGACACCGCGGGCTGTGACAGATCGCTGATATTTGGTACAACAGAGACAAGACTGGTCTTGAACACTTACCTTGAGCTCGCGGAAGAAGATGCTGCTGCGTGCCCACTCCACGATGGAGAAGAGCGTCTGGTCCGCCATCTTGCACATGAGACCGAAAGTGTTGAGCTTCTCGTGTTTGCCCCGGCTGGCTTGCTCTTGCTGCAGGTAGGCCAGGATCTTGGCCTGAACCTGTGGCTCGTCTGGCTCACACTTAAGCAGCTCTACGATCAGATGAGGAAAGCTGGGCGGTGAGCCTGACTGGTAGGCGTCGACATAGGCGTAGCCCATGATGGACTCCGGCGAGCTGGTGTACGGGTCTGGGTACTCAGACTTGATGGTGCGAGTACTCTGGAAGTGTCCGTAGGCCGTCTGGTAGCCCTGCAGGCTGCCGGCATGTGGGGGCATCGCCATACTTACTGGCGAGGTGACAAAAGGGCTGCGATCGTAGTCTGTGGGGGGCAGGGCAGTGGCATGATGATGGTGATGGTGGTGGTGGTGGTGGTGACCGGTGTGGTGGCCAGTGTGGTGGCTCAGTGGGAGGCCCTTGGAGGCGGCCGAGTGGATGTTCTGGATTGCTGAGGAGATGGTGAGGTCAGTGGGAACAGCTTGCATCACCTGAGTCATGGCCTCGATCTTCAGGCCGTTGGCTCGGATCAGTGCTTTCTTCTGCTGCTTCAGGGCACGGTCACGTTTGTACATCGGGCCAAACTTGTTGCGCCCGCCACGCATGCGGTCTGCCCGCACAGCTGACAATAAAACAGAGGAACAAAAACATGGGAAATTTGTTAGCACTACAGATCTCTTTAATGTTGATGCTCAAGCATCAAACTGTTTTTGACTTTGTTTCAGTTTTGCTGACGATAGTAGTCAGTTTAGCTAGTCCTTAAAGCTCCTGTTGGGAGTTTTTTAACATTTACAAAAGAGATTTACAAAAGTACATAAAAAGAAAACATGACCATCAGCGACAAGATTGAGGACTTGATGTTGCATTTTTAAAGCCTGAAACCAGTGCAAGGGGGTAGGTGTCAACACAAGCCCTGAAGAAACAGCTCTGTTTCTACAATTTCTCTGTTGAATATTCACATAAAATGAAACATTTGGCTGTTAAAAGTCAGCCCCATCAGATATTTTTGCAGAAGACACTACTGAGACAAGATAGGCAACGACCGCTTTGACCACAGGGGGAGCCAAAACCTTCACAAAGTTTTTCACAGGAGATTTAACATGCATGCATCATGAAAAGTCTTGTCCTGCTTTATCTTAACTGTCATAAAAATAACTAATTCAGAAATAATCAGTTGGCTTGCTGGTGATCTTGTTTGCTTCTGTAGGTCATACGGAGGCATTAGTTTTTAATCATCTCTGTTTTATATCCAGATTAAGACCCATTTCTGTACGTTTAAATTTATTTATGTAAACAACACAGTTATGAATTTGCTTGAAGAGGAGAGGCTACTCACTTTGGTACGGATTAAATCCTTAGTATTTTAGAGGTTATTCAACATTAGTCCCTGTTCAAGCATTGTGTTTTGAAACTTGTATGTAGGGCAAAGGTATTCCTGTGGTGATTACACTTGACATTTACCTGTTGACTCCTAAACCCAGCAGGTCTAAAAGATAGTGTCGTTACTCATTGACCGGAGCCACAAACTTCTATGAACTGCTCCACTGCATGATTGTTATACAGCTGGTTATCTCCGTCTATCACTCAGGAAATACACGTTAGATATTACCGTAAACTCGGAGAAAACTTAATTCCCTCTCTAATTGAACTGATTCATTTTTATTAATGTTATTTGACTATGCAGTATCTAAAAGCTTCAAACGGTCACCGGCCATTAGCAAAAATGTTTTCTGCTGAAAAGGCTGACGATAAGCATTTTTTTTTTTTTTTTTTTTTCAGATTGACCAAACATAACCGCGACGCCCCCTGTCTCCCCCTTCTCTGCGCGGGATCCTGTGGTGAGGATCACAACGAGTCTGTGCCGAGGGTATTTCTAATGAATGAGCCAGGCACAAAGTGGAGGGCTATGAGGACCGTGTGTGATCTGGCCGGCTGCTGCCACGGGGAGGCTGCTCTGCTGTCTCCCAGTCGGGGGTAACTGGTGTTAATTATTCATACTTAATTACCTCTTACTCTGACTGCACTCACAAAGCCCACTGTGCGATGTGCTGGCGGACGTCTGGGAGACTACGTAATAGAAACTCATTCACTTTAACAATGAATGATATCATAGTCTTTTTATTTAATTCATTTGTCTTTATGTAAAAGTGACACATGTAAATGCACAAACATTCACCCTGATCACACACACACATACACTGACAGATTATCCAGTAAGTCAGCCTGGGTCCACTGCAGCTCGTGATGCTTTGACAGATGAGTGAAAGAACAGAGGAAGAAAATTGAAGGGGGTGTGTGTGGAGAAGGCAGGGTGGAGGGGGTCCCAGTTATGCCCACAGAAAATCCCACACTCGCACACTCAATGCTGCCTTGGGAGCAATTTTAATGACCTCCATCACAAAAATGTCTGTCACTGATCTGAGCGAGAGGAGCAGAGAGGAGAGACACGTATACACACGCACAAATACACATTGCGCAATCTGACTCACTTATAATTTAAATAAGTTAAACAACACAAGCATCGCACACAGGTGCGGATCACAAAAAGGAGAGATAACAGGACAGATGTCGCACCACTTTGGGGACCCCCTATTGCTTAATTGGTCATCTAATTTATACCAAGTGGTTTTACACACACTCATGCTCACACATTTATATCCCAACATGCTTGGGGTCAACTCCACAGCCTACTTAAGCGAGCTCAGGAAATATCATGACCACTGAAAAATTGATCAGACATCAAAGAAAGAAAAGAAGAAATCAGGAGCCGTCAAATATATCTATTATACATTATTGTAGAGCGACTTTAACTATTAATGATTTCTGCACAACAGCGTAATTAATGAGCTGAGAAACTAATAGTTAACCCTCCTGGGAAAACAAAATTAGGCTCCGACTGCCTTCTTGCCTGCCTCTTTAGACCCAGGGACCAAAACCACATCATGAAAATCAGGATGGGGGGGTGGGGGGGTCCCATCACTACTACTTCCACACACACACGCACACACACACACATTCTAATTAAACAAGGTGATTTGCATGCATGTAAAATACATTATTATTGAAGGGGGAGGGGCAGGGTGTGTGTGCATGTGTGTGTTTGGATGAGGTGGAGGGATGTTAGCGGGTGAGCAGCTGATGAGGTAAACTGTCAAAGTGATCATGTGATCCTGCAGCTTAACACCCCATAATTTTTTTTTTGTTAAATACACAAATTAAACACAATAAATTAACTCCTTTCAAGGCTTTAATTTATTAATACTTCCTAGCAGAAATATTTTTTAATGCTATAAAAACACAGCAGTCACTGAATTTCCAGTTATAAACGCGTGTAAAGTGTCTGTTAGAAACTTAGACTCCCTGGTGGGTCCGCCTGTAGTGCCAAGAGGGTGATGTGTTTAGTGTTTGTGGTTTGCGGCATCAGATGCATAAACTGAATAATTACACTGACATCGACAGCCATCACTGGTCTACAGGCAAACAAAAATGGCAGCCAAACACAGAAATGTGAGAATTATCCATCACAAATGGAGGGAAAAAAGTGCTCAGCTTGATTGGCAGTCGTTTTATGCCGCTAGAAACACGTATTAAATTTTAAAAAAACCTATAAAAATAAAAACTAAAAGGATACGAGACGGAAATTAATACACAAAAATGGAAAAACCAAGAGGAAGATAAATAGTTGGACTACATGGGAAGAACTTTTGTTGGTGTGAAAAGGATCTGAGCTGGGGGATATTGTGGGTTAGCACTGAGGCTTTGGGGCTAAAGCCAGGCTGAAAGGCTAAAAGGCTGACGTTGTCTTCCACTCTGAATTCCCCTGACTTTCTGTCTGAGAGCATGTCTACACAAAAAAACACACACAGGCACACACGCGCGTCCATAAATCCCCAAACTGACCCAACCTAAACCCTGTTCTTCTTTCCAAAAAGTATCCAGCACCCAGTGTACACAACATCTCAAACATACAAGCACACGCACATGCAGACAAGCATCTTAAACACACACACACAGTTTCTTAGCACATATACTCACTGACACTCACACACACACACACACAACCCCCTGCGCTTATACCCCTCTGATTTATGGTTGTTTAATATACAGGAATATTAAGCGTGCGTAGGTGAGGATCCCTGTCGCTCGCCGGCATATTAATGGGTCCCGCGGAGGCTTGCTGACACCCTGTTTGTCATGTCGGGGCCCCGGCCCCTGCTCCGGATGCGCCCTATCCCATGCACACACATGAATACCTATGATACCTATGCATAAGTAATGGGACAGCTCCCCGGCTTCTGCTGCAGGTACTGGGAGGCTGATGGAAGACAAATCAGGGAGAGAAAGATGGAGACAGGGAGGAAATAAAAAGTGGAGGGAGAGGGAGAGAGCTACAGAGAGGAATATAAAAAACAGACAGGTGGTGTCGCTAATTTGTACTAAATGGCTCAATGAAGGTTTTGTGGGCAGATTTGGAAATAAAAGAGCTAGTATAAATCAATATCTTGTCATGTCTCGAGAAGAATATACAAGTAAAAACTAGGGTAACAAAAGTGCGAAGATTACCATTTATATGATTTTCAGTTTCAGAAAATTGTGTCATTTTTCTGCTGGAGGAAAAATAGGAGCAATTCTTGCACTGGATTTTTTTAGTCTCCATTTTCATGACTCAAATAAACCCTTTATTTTTACAGATTAGTTTGAACAATGATGTAATTTCTGCTTCATTAAACGGCACACAGCGGGAACAGAGCGCGTTCAAATCCTGGTGTCAGAGGTACCTCTGTTTTGCTTTACTGTCTTTAACTTGATGCATAAGTGAGGGAAATATTAGGCAGCTCAGTGAAGCACATGATGCAGAGTAACTCTCAGGGAGCATAAAAAGAAAACCATACCAGAGGGAGCTGTTCGGATACGCCACGCTTCATCAGCTTTAGTGAATGATATGCTAATGGGTCAAGCCTGAATGGGACGAGGCCGGTATTATTTTTTCTCAATGAGTCAACACTGGCTGAGGAGCTGCAGAGCAAAACAAGACCAACCTACCTACCTTACTTCTAAAGACAAAATGTGGTTTTATAGAAGTTAGACATTTAAAAAAGGAGTTTTCTACTTTGAATAGTGTCATGATTATAAACTAGTTGTGGAAAAAAACTCTAAAATTCTTCTTTCTTTTCTCATCACCTTGAGATAATACGACTGAGGGTGAGAGTCACGTCACAGCACCATTCCACCTTATTTCACTGCCTCCTCTCCACTTTAAACACAAACTCCCTCTTCTTTACTGTGAGGCCGCCAGCGCAGCAAACTTCAAACTGTACATGTCAGCGTCCCATTGGCTGGCAGACTAATCAACAAACAGGAAGGACACTGAACAACACCAGACAGGCAAAAATAAACAGAACTCTTTGAATCAACTTTAAAGTCCCCTCCTCACATTTTTTTGCTCACATTTGGTTTCCACTCAATTTCCTGAATTCACATGTTGCTGCAAGCTGCTATGTAATGGAATGAAATGATTGCAATAACAAAGCACATGACCCCAAACCTCTGTTTCCTTTTTTCTGCTATTGTACACACTTTTTTTTTTTTCTAGATCAAACAGCAGCTTCTATCTCTCGCCTGTGGCCTTCTGACCACCTTTTTGGGCTCCTCATGAATAATATATGTGTTTACCAGGAAAGAGGAGTGTGTGTGTTGAGGGGTGTCAGCTTTTTTTGCACGGGACGTCTTTACCGGTCATGGCAGGAGTCGCCCACCGCAGCGTCTGGCCCCTGACAGAGTGCTGCAGGGCCCGTCGTGCCCCCGAGCTGAAAGCTACCGCCAGCAAAACAAATCAAACAGAGCCCCCCTCCCCACCCCTGTCAGCTGGAAAATGACAGGCCGGGACATTGTGCCCAGCGGCCATTCACAATTAACAGCAATTAATTACAGCCCACATGGCAGGTAGAGGGAGAAGAAGCCTCCGGAAAGATTTTAGTTAGGCTGTGTTTGCTCTACTGTTACCCTCCAAGGGTCTCTTTTCTTTTATACATTAACTTTTCTCAATTGTGTGTGTGTTTCAAGAGTCTGGGGATTCATAATTTAGATTAAATTACAAAAACTTTTAATAATTCTGTTTTGATGTAAAACTAAAACTGTTTGAATAACAAGTACTCTGAAAAAGACAGCACAAAGTACAACAATTTGAGGTTTTATTGCGGAGGATCACCATAACTGCCACATAATCATGACTATTACTGTTGTAGCTTTCAACCCCCTTTTTTCATGTAAAATTACCTTCAGGTTTCTTCATTCCAAAATTAGAGATTTCAGAATAAATGTCGCAACTCATGTGTAGAGATATAATTGATTTTAAATATTATTTTTGAGCAGTGGGAGAAGTTTTCTCGCCCCCGCCATGCTGTCACTTCTGGACAGCCGTGTTTGAACAAGCTCCTGAGCCACGTTCAAATCAAACAAAGAGGCCTCAAAACGGCCGGCCAAAAGTATCAGCATTACTATTCTCACCCCACCGCCAAGTTTAATATTTTATCTATTACCCTGTCTGGCAAGTTTAAGTGCAGAGCTGCTACCAGATCCCCCCCAACTCCCCTTGACCCCATCTCAAATGCTAATAATCAATGCTGGACCTTCACATTGAGGGAGAAATTAAAGGTTTTACCTCAAAATGTTCTGAGTATACATTTTCATGAAAGGATATTACTGAGATGTTCATTGTCAAATGTTAAAATAAATATAATCTATCCTTTCATACGGGCAATCATCATGTCAGGACAGGTATTAGGCTTTTTTAAAGGTAGACATGTCAATTTGAGAGGAAACTTTTTAGTTATGATAAGTATATTTTCACTTTGGTCTCCAAAATGTTAAATCCAACAATTAACCACGATCATACTTAGACAAAACGGACAAAGACTAGCTCTGTCTGTTCGCTGCTTTGGAAGAAGTTTTTAGAGCACCTCTGCTGACGTCGAGAAGCAGCCAGCCTCCTCTTTCAGCCGCTCTGTGTTGTCATGTTTCTTTACTTAACGACACACAGGTATGATAATCTGGAAGAATAAATGATGCAGCGCTCAGACTGTTATAACACAATCTGCTTCTCGACTCCAGCAGATGTGTACAGCAAGTTCTTGATCAAATTTAAGCTAGCAGTGTTAAATATTAAACCCCAGAATGGACAAAATCTGTGCTCAACTATTCATGAAGTAGTTCTGAAAAACAGCACTGCATGTACGCTGTAAAAAGATAATGTTCTCTTATAATCTTTTATAAAAAATCTGATTTCTAACAGCATGTGGTGAAAGTTAGCTGGGAGGTCTGGACACCCCAAACTACCCGCAGTTGTGGGATTAAACCAATAATTTATACTCAAGTACAGCACCTTGGTGCAGACATTTTTGGGATTTTCTGGGTATTCTTAATTTTGTACTTAATTCAGTTCAGTCTGTTACAATACGGGTTCGCTCTACCACAAATTCAACAACTTTCACAACAGCAGAAGTTACTTAACAGATAAAGGCTGAGCATAAAAAACAGAATCATCTACCAAGAGCAGTGTACACTCTCTAACTATATATAGAAATTAAAACCAGGTTCATAAAAGCAGCTTCAAAGTTGGTAAAATGTTACTAACTCATGTATGTATCAATCAAAATTCAAAGTAATCAATATATTTTTTATATCACATTCTGAAATAGATGCTTTTTCTAAAGAATAAGCTTTAAATGTTTCACCCCCCACTTATAAACATACAGATATAAGTTAGTACTAGTCCAACAGTCTTTAAAGTCCCTGCAGTCAGTATGTACTGTACACTGCACCTTTCGCCTTTTAGAAAAAAAATATAAAATTTTAATTATTTTACAATCCCCAAACTTTTTTTTAAGCCATGCACTTTCTACCAGCCCAGTTCTGATGAGCACTCCTGGTATATCTCATCATAACCTCATGCTTAATATGCACACACATAGGTACAAACACAAAACTCAAACCTGAGTCCTGCAGAGCTGAAAAAATGTGAGCATTGTGCCGTACCTTCTAGCTTCATGCCGACGGTGAGGCACTTCTGGAAGCGGCAGTACGGGCAGCGCTTCCTCTGGGTCTTGTCAATCTGGCAGCTCTGGTTCTCTATACATGTGTAGCGCTTGTTGTTCTGGACGGTGCGCTTGAAGAAGCCCTACAGAGAGAACCAATTAAGATGTCAACCCGCTTGACCCCTGCAATGCCACGGTAATTGGTCCATTCACACTCCCAGACAGATGGAGGGGACAGACTTAATGGATACAAACACATAAAAGCACGAACAGACAAAAGCAGAATTCAAAGAAGGACACAAACCTGTAAAAATGACAATTTTGTATAACCTCTGATTAAATTACAAAAAGAGTTATTAAAAAACGTACACTTTTCATCAGATTCACATTATTGTATCATATTTTTAGCAATAAAAAACATTCAGTCTGCATAATAAACGTCTCAATAAAGATCAAAGAAATCAAATATTTGTCTTGTAAAAATTACATTACTATTCTTAATATTTTCTGTTCCCATAAGGACTAAGGAATTTACCAGGAAAGCATCTTTTCAGCTCCTCACTTAATTATTGAAAAATATGAGCACAGGAGCCCAAAAGATCCAATAAATTATATCCATAATTCACAGTTCCGGGATTACAGAGATTCATACCTGCAACGTGGAATTAATGATAAGCAGCAGCAGGGAAAATCAAACCAGGGAGAGATAGTATTAACGTATTCTAGATCCATAACCTAGGAGGAGAATCCTTAAACCTGCTCTTTAAAGAAATAAAAATAAAAAAAGAACTTGCTGCTGTCAATATCTCACCAAACACAAATTTAATTGACAATCTGCATTGCCTGATATGTCCAAAAGAAAAAAAAATCCACCGCACTCGGTTTTGGATTATCGACTTCTCAGGGCTGAAAAATCCATGCTTCAGAAGGAACTTTCTCCCCAATTTTCCATTTAGTGCAGCGCATGTGGTAAAAATATCTGAACCAAACTGGTTTCGAGCGTGCTTTTAAGAACGCACAATATTACGTATGAGATTTAACTCGACGGTGTCTCACAGCAGAGCTTTAATTTGATGAGGACAAAGAAGTGTCACCTGTCAAAGGCGTCTTGTTTGTCATGAATGGATGTCAGTGTGCAAATTCAATCTTTTTCAATTAAAAGTCACAAAGCTAAAGATTCATACAGAAAGAGGGGCACTTTGAAATAAATTGTAAAATCGTCACAATAATCTGAAATATATAAAAAAAAGTCTACTTTGACTTTGTCATATTCGGTTAAAAAAAAACACGACACTCTCTGCACATAAGAGCAACAGGAAACTGATTTTATTTGTCACTCAAGGCCAGAGTCTGCTTCAGCTGTGCTAATATTATGTTTTTTTTTACTTCTGCATGTTTTAAATCCGTATTTTCAAATATGCACTTTGTCTCTGACCTTTGACCTTCTTACTTTATACCAGTATTACAGTATCATAAAGTTGTCTGCTCCTGTTGTTGCTCTATCTCTTCGACTGCGTGTGTGTGCAGCGAAGTCCATGACAACCCTTTTAGCTCGTTTTGTTTTTTTTAACAAGTATGATGTTCTCCTGCGTTTACTTTACGTAAACTAGCATGTAGTTTGAACTGTCCATGTGTGTGCGAGTAGAAGGGATGTGCATGCATGTTTAGACTGTGTCAGCATGTGGGTACAAAGAGTTGGGGTTGTATCGGGCAGTTAAACAATCTTTCTCATGAGATTCACTCTTTTGTGCTCTTTTCCTGTATGTGCATGTGTGTGCTTACGTGTGTGTGTGTGCATGTGTGTGAATGTTTGTTCCTAAGCCACAAAGCTTGCAAAACCAATCACAACGAAAAAGCAACTCTGATCACAAAAGATGGAGTATTTCAAAAATAAAATACCTCGTGTAAAGGAAATGTGATTATTTCCCGGCGGCGCAAAACTACCTTTTTTTTTTTTAGTTTTTTTTTTTTAAATCGTAATATCAAACAATAGAATAAAACAGAGATGCTATTTTCTCAGTTTTTCACAGCTGTGGCCATTAAGGTGGAGATAAATTGCACTCCCTGTCTGATAACGGATATTTAATGCTAATATCAGCCTGTAACGTCAACAAACTGATATATCAGTTCCGCCCTGACAATCCTACTTTCACTGAACAGATTGCATGCATTTTAGAGATAATCAATGATGAGCTCCAGGTGATCAATCAATATTATTCATGTTTCAACAAGGATATGCAGCGCCTCATAAAAGAGCTCTTCATCTACATCCTGCATGCACACTCACACACACATCAGAGCGTCTTCAGCTAAACTGGGGAGTGTGTTTGTGGTTTGGGCTCTGTGCTAAGGCTTGAAAACAGCAGAGACACTGCCACTGACGTCTCCCTTCAAGCAAGTGCTTTGCATCTCAAGGTCAATAATATGGGATCAAATCTATAACATCTGCTTTGAATAATGACCACATAGGCAAGAAATGTGCTCTGCTGCATCAATACTGCAAGCTGCAATTTTTACACTGAATAGTGTTAACACAGAGACATTTGTCTTTGCTTCATTTTGTGCTGACAGCTTTACTGGGCGAACAAAAAAACTCTGGTTGCGCCTGTTAGCTCGGCGTTGAGAACGGTGGAAACAGGCAGAAAGGGACAAACAGGCTGATGATGGAGCTCGAATTAAAAGCAGCAACTGTTTGCTTTGCTATGGCCTCATTATTAGCGTGTGTGAAATATTTCGCAGCCGTACAATGTTGCTGCTCTCTTAATGAGCATGTGATGATTTTTAAACAGTTGGGTGCAGGCTATAACAAACACAGGCAGGATTATTGTGTACTTTGTCACTACATTCCCCCTCTGTGTCTGGTATAGTGGTGAAAATTACAAAAACACTTAACGTGCTTTTTCAAGACTCTCTCAAACATCCTAGATCCCTCTGACACCCACAGGAAAAGATTTATAGAGCGACTGTCACAACAAGATTTGACCCACGGCCTCTCCACCTTAGATTTCCCTCAAACTTTGATGACAAGGAACTGAATCTTTGCAGATCTGTTGCATGTCAGTCTGAATAAGAATGACGGCTAAATGCACAGAATGCATATTTACAGAGGAGCATGGTTTGACTCATGAAAGTGTTGAATGTTTATATTGTAAGTTGCCCCATAAATGTGGCCTTATGTGCAAAATTCAAAGAAAATGAAACTCATGTAAAGATTTTTTGATAATTTTTTTAAAGGAGGTTTAAGGAGGGTTTATGAAAACTTTAAACACATCTGATGATAACACAATCAACCCATCTTAAACTACTTTACATTTAAGCCTGCCAGCCCACGATGCACTGCAGGACCTTCAAAATAAAAGCACCAATCAGGAAACTAAATGTGAAATATTCGTACAGGTTTGGAAGTTATTACAAGCCCGGAAAATGGCACACTTGTTGTATTTTTCAGTACAATGAGGGCACTAACCTTGCAGCTCTCGCAGGTCAGCAGTCCGTAGTGATAACCTGAAACCTTGTCTCCGCACACGGGACACATCTCGTCCAAGTCTTCGTCATATGAGTAGTCCATCATTTTTATCTGGGGTGCTGCGGAGGAGACACAGAGAGAGGAGTCTATTTCAGTGCTGTGAAATCTCTTTTTCCAAAAATCCCGCGTTCATCCATCAATGTGAACCACGGGGAAGCACGCACGCAACGTAACTGGACGAGATGTTTTTGTGTGAAGTTCTGTTGGACTTGTTGAGGTTTAATTTGTAGTCCATTTTTGGACTGAGTTGAAAGGAAGCGATCATTTATTTCTTCTTGTTGCCGCCTGCTCCTCTACACTCGCTGCAGACAGAAGCCAAAAAAGATTTTGAGAAGAAGAAGAAGAAAAAAAAAAAGACGAAGAAAAAAGTGCTTGAAAGTGAGCCTCATAAATATGCATGCATCTAAGTCGTGAATTCGCTGGGGGAAATGGAGAGATATTAGAGTTAAGGATTGGAGGAGAAAATGTTACCGCCCACAGACAAATGAAGACACACAGAGAAGCCCTTATCTCTGCAGGCGAGCAGAAAAAAAAAACATGCAAAGAGCTACTTGAACCAACAATATTTTTCCCTCTCGAAGAATAACTTAGGATGCTGCAGACCGGTTGATTTAGTTTCTTTTTATGTGTGTTTGCTTAAGAAAACGTCACAATTAAATGATTTTCTACCGGGGGAAAAATGGTCTAATACTGAACTCATGACAATATTTGACATCCTCTGTGTAAAAAAAACGCCATTAGTACTACAATTAAATAAAAACACCTGTCTCCATTTTTTTCTTTAAATTACGATGTTAGACCTTAAACACTAAAAGGACAAAAATACTATTGCGCTGACTTTTGTTGCAGCCTCCTTGCATTGATAAGAGTGTGAATGTGACAGCGCTAAGCAAACAGCCAGGCTGACATTTACAACACTTACAAAAGCATTTATGGTTCCAATCATAAAAAAGCAGCCAGGATCAAACAGGAAAAAGCTTCAGAGTATGTGGCTATAAAAGTGGAAATATTTTGTCAACGAGACGCCTTCGTGGGCCCTTTACGCACACACACACACACACACACACACACACACGCTTACTCACTCACACACATATTTCTGCCCCACTTCAGAAGCCACTCATGAGCTCACACAGACCTTTTAATTAGACATGAATTCTGGTTTGTTAGCGCGTCGCCCTGCTGGGAGCCGCGCTGCATATTCCAGCTGAAGCAACAAGTTCCACCGAGCAGTCCTCAATTTCCTTTTTTTCTGCACGTAAGCCCCCCAAAAGAGAGTTTTTTTTCAGGATTTGGTTTTATGAAGCTCAATAAACGTAGATATGGACATGTTTTAACAAAAGGGGGTCACTTATAAACCTTAATTTCGTTGCATTACGTAGAGAATGGCTCCCTCTTAAAGGAAATAAAGAAAAGAAATAAAAAATGTCATTTTTCTGAGATTTACTCGAGTTAAGTCTCATTCAAAGTTAGCCAATTTATGTGATGTTGTTCTGTTCTGTTCTGGTTTCTTAATTAGAGGTTCATTTTTTGACAAACATGAGTATTTCTGTAATGATTATTATTATTTTTTATTTCATTTAGATATGAGGAGAAACAGAGAGAAATCTGACCCTTCTGCATTCAAGTGTCTGAAGAGCGTGGAGGTTACATTACTTCCAGAGGTGACTACACACACACACACACACACACATCACTCTCACCTGCGGTCTCGTTATATTTCCTCTCAAAAAAGTACGAAAATGTGAATCCTAAAAAAAAAATCGCTATCGAGGCCGAGCTACCTTGTTTTAAGTCCTGCGTAAAAGTAGATAACGGGCTCAGTGCGCACGCAACCACTCCTTGTCTTGTGAGTAGAGTATGTTATCAGCGGCTCATAAAGCACGAGCGGGCTAATTGATTGTCCATGTATGTCGCGGTGAATTGCCAGGAGGGGAATGAGGGCAGACGAGACAGTCCCTCTTTCATTTGATGGCGATACTTAAAAGAAACACACCAACAGAATATATTTTAATACAGGCCGAAGAAAAGTGAAGATAAATGCCCAATCAGGGTTTTTTCCCTCTCAATCAATCTGCACATTTTTAGGCATCAACATTTAATTTTAAGATCCAAACCAAAATTTGCAGTGTGTTTGACATCCTCACTGAGATAAAAAATAAATAAACCAAAATGAATTTAAACTACATTACCCATATCAGCACCATAAAGGCACTTAGTGGATCCCCTTCAAACACACTTGCATTAATTATTTTGGGCTAGATTTTTAAAAAAAGTCAGCGTGTGGTTTTTCTGCTGCCTACATTTTGATTTATTTCGCGTTAAAAAAGAAGTAGGCCTACAAAAACTTGAAAAACCAAAGTGTAACAACTCTAGGTCAGTCAAATGACATGACTAAAATTAGATTCTGCACACATAAAGGTGCATAAACTCCAATTCAACTGCTCTTTGTAGAAGGACAATTTTACTGTCCAGCCTTTGCGTAAAAAGTTGTTGCACGAACTCCCTCGACTCTTTACGCATAACCTGCTCCTGCTCACACCTCCAGCATGAATGACAGCTGAGTAAAATAATTGTGTCTGATCACCGGCCAAACGTAAAAAAATGTGTCCTTGTTTGATCTGTTTCTATTGTGTCTCAGTTTTACACCATGTAATGAGAAGAGGAAATTACAGTAACATAAACCCAAAAGTGTGATTCATAAATTCTACCAACGACCTTCACCTGTCTTATATTTGGACCAGGTGATCACTCGGTAAAAGTCTACAAACAGTGAGGAGTAAATGGTTTGTGTCGTCCGAAGAAAATGCGTCCTATAATCGTGTTGTGAAGTTTTTGTGATATTAGCGTGCGCACCGAGAGAACCTGAAGTCCGAGAACGGTCCATATCTGCCAACGATCTGAACGTTTCTACAAAGTGAAAGCCCGTGAATCAGTTTCCTCCTTCCGTATTAAGAATAAAAGTGAACTGCAGCTCTTACCTTGCATATTCCTGGGCATGTGCCCTTGTTCCCCATACGATCGAGAGAGTCCCAGGGATTCAGTCTCGACTTTGGGCAGCATGTCAGCGCTGCCGGCCTGAGCTGGAGACTCCGCACCGCTCGGCGGGACACCTGGACGGGAGAGGCTGTCTGACGTTCCCACAGACGAGCCTCAAAATGCACCGAAAGTTTTTAGACTTCTTTATCTCTTACTTTGTCTCCCCTACTGTGTCTGTTTTCCAATTATCAGACCATGCTCTGGTCTGGTAGCCTAATTCTGGCCGTTTCCAAACGATCAGGCAGCATAGCCGATGCGTGTCTGCTCTGAGTAAACTTCACTTTAATTTCTCATTATTGCATTATCTCGGAATAAACACGCTGAACACGGTCGAGTGAGTCCTTCGATACTTTTCGGACAGTTACGCGCGGAGTTTGATAATCTGTCTCTCACTTTCACGAGAAGCTGCACTGTGTCCGGATATAACGACGGTGGCAAATTTCCCTTTAGCTTTTCCAAAAGTATTTTCAGCGCGTCACCCATTAAAGTCGAACTGTCAGTGTTACTTTAAGCCGTTAGCAGACGAGTAAGCGCCGCCGGGCCGCCCTCTCCTGTGCGTAAAGTCGGATTCGGTGTGTCGGTCGGACTGTCTGGAGATGTGGAGACCTCTCCTCCTCCTCCTCGCGGCTTTGTTTACTCCACTCTCTCCAATCCGGGGCGCATGCGGTCGTCTGACATCATCTCTCCCCGGTCCAATCAGGCGAGGAGACCGGCTAACATCGCCTCAAACTCTATGGTTCCATCTCTCCCCAAAATCTCAGCTGTTTAATCTCGTTAATGATGGACTTTAAAAAGCAGAGCGAGAACAAGGAAATCAAGCGAGGTGATGCAACTGAGTATGAGAGCAGACTCCCCACGAGCGCACGGGGCGCAAAGGCAGCGCGCGAGGTATGTAGATTGGAGCGCGTTAAAACAGGATCATGTTGCAGCACTTGTACAGATGCGCAACGAACTCTTTCAAAAGAGTAATTTTCCTATTTTTCTTTAGGGGATCATCCTCTTTTAGTCTGTTGATTATATTTTACAACAATATTTAAAATGGCCACAACTTATACTAAATACTCACTACCTCTACTGTCATCCACATATGATCCCCTGAAAGAAGGACGAGATCAAACAATACGATAAGAATTTCTCTTTCTTTCTTTCTTTCTTTCTTTCTTTCTTTCTTTCTTTCTTTCTTTCTTTCTTTCTTTCTTTCTTTCTTTCAAACACAGACGTGGAACATCATGGACTGATAAGATCCATACAAATGAAAAAAAGTGCAGGAAGCCTCTGCACTGGAGCTTTTTTTTTTCTCCAAATGTGAGCAGCTCCGGCCTGGGGCTTCACACGGCCTTTATTTTCGGATCAAACCAGCCCCCTTACGCAATAAATTATACCTTTGCTTCTGAATTATTATCAGTAATTGGCTGAGCAGGGATCAATTAGTGACCTGACGTCAAGCTCAGGCTATTTAACACACAAACATCATTATGCGTCAATGTCCCATTAAGAGCACCCCTTCACGCGTGCACACACACACTTGTTAAAGTGCGCATTAAAAAAATTGAGGCCTGTTGTGACTTTTACTTGGGGGAGTTAAAATGGGCAGTGTGAGGACACGGAAAAGTGACAGGGCAAGACCGCCAGACGCACTTGGTGGGTCGCAGGGGGCGCGCACCACGTACACGAAGGTGTGCGCAGACTGTCTCGTCTGAGTCTATCTGGTTAGAAAAAATACCCTCTTGATCCAACAGAGAATTACGCATTTAAAATCTTTCAAATGAACATCGAGTGTAATTTTTAGGGTTTAAATACACTAGATTATGATCCGTAATCTACTGGCCTGAGTGTTTCATACCCCAATATTTTTTCACCAACAAAATCTCTCTCTTTTCTGACGCATTACTTAAATTTCTAACATGATATTCAATAAATTCACTGTTAGCCGTTTCCGTTCAATTTGGCACTTTTTTAAAGAGAATGCTTGGTACGACTTCTCACCTGACTTGACCTGCGAGACCCTCTGTCCAACCTTACAGCAGTGCAAATACAGAAAAAAAGTCAAACAGACTTCGTATACACAAGGAATGAGACCAACCTGTTGAATAGAAATGTTTAAAATGTTGTACATATTTGCATGATTGATGAGAGCATAACGAATAAAACAGCTCAATAATCTATCAAAAATGACATTATTATAATTATCATAATCCACGATGAGACGGTTAAAAGTCCTATTATCACTTTCACACAAATATTCTTTTTCTAATCCGGCTGCTATTGGACTTGTTTCAACAAAATGCGATTTAAGGGAGTTTGAATATGGTTACAATACATTTGCTTTGCGATTTACGATCATCATCTACATGGCTATCTGGCATTAAAGGCATTATGCATACATGCAAAATCCTCACTTGCAAAACCAGTCCTCTGTGGAAGTAACACCTTTTCGCTCCCCCTCTAGAGGAAAAGTGCAACCCAACACAATCCCCCCAAAAAGTGAGTTCTCACAAGTGCAAATATAGTGAAACATTTCTGTCATGCCACATCTCTTTTCAAACTTTCCTCTCAAGTCTTTGGGGCATATAAGCAACTAGTAATGGAATTTATTTAATGATGGGGAGTTTAAGAAAAATATTTTAAGGAAATTGCTTTGAAACTTAAAAAAAATGGGACTCTTCTATTTGAGTATCTGTTGACTCTTTTATCCACACATACAGATTCCTCTCGTCATTTGCAGAGCAGCACATCAAACTCAGCGTTGACAGGCTGCAAGAGTTTCCACCAATCCGCACCTTTCTCATAATGTGGGGCTGTGATTGGTGTAGGTTTGGTTACTTGCAGGCGGAGTCTGAGGACGTGTAGGGAGGGGGGGTGGCTGGAGGATGGGGGTGGTAGTGGGGGGATTGCAGGTTAGGTTATAAAATGACACAGAGACTGATAAGGCCTTCTCTGGCGAGATAGCACTGCCCTGAATGATTAACCTGTATGAGAGAGAGAGAGAAAGGAGAGAGAAAGAGGAGAGAGAGTATGAAAGGTCAGTAAGTTTAAACACAAAACACCATAAAATAGTCAAAAATAGTCAGAAATGTAGAATAGGAGCAATTACCAGCAAAACAGTTGGTGGTGCAGACACATCAAAAGTCATTCAGACACTGAGACTCAAACTTTGGACTAATCCTCTGCCACCATTTGTCAAACAGCCACTGTACACACACACACACATGTGCATATACATAATATTTCTATGCTGGTTTGTTTGAGTACAAGTCCAAGCGTGTGTTTGTGTGTGCTGAGAGAGTGCGTGTGTATGTGTGTTTTTTTTGTGTGTGTTCATAAGTGAGTGTTTGTCTGTGTCTCACTGATCTGCTCTGATCAAATAACAATAGCCTTGAAAAAGTAAAACACACAACATCATTAAATTATAATCAACACACACTTGCTATTCATAACCAGGAAATAACCCCTCCACCCCCAACCACCACCACCACCACTACACACACACACACACACACACACACACACTTACCTTGTGTTTTCAGTATTGAAGACATAATGTAAACAGGCTTTTTGCTCTAAAAATAGAGCGGGACCCTGCGTACAGAGCAACCAGTCATAAAACAAAAGACGAAGGTGGAGGTGTGACACAAACAAAGTGTGACTGGTGTAAACAAAACACACAGCAAAAATGAAAGATAAGATCTGCTCCACTTACGATTGACTCTGTTCCTGTTTTAGTTTAAATTCCAAGAAGCAGATTTAGAGAGAAATAGTGGAGCGAAATGAAGGTCACTGTTCCTCATAGTAAATTAAAACAGGGTTGGTGTGAAAGACGTACTATTTGTAAACACAACACTGACAAAGTGATGCTTTTTTTTATTTATCTCATCACATTTACTCCAAGTAGGCTATTCTAACACAAGTGAGAAGTTAAGACACTGATGAATCACAGGTGGGAGATTGTTCTACTGTCTGTGCTCCTCTTTAAACGGATCTACAGACATGTCCTTACTCAGGAGCTGCATCCTTCAGCTCAACTTTTGGTTGACCCAGCAAAAGAAAACAAGGTGGAGGTGAGGTGAGACTTCAGCCTCTCCACTAGCAGTCTACAGTGTGGCTTCATGCGTGCTCTAGAGATGGATTTTTGAATAGAATTGGTTTGTGAATTGCGGTGATTTTGCAGCTAGCCTCGAGTGGACACTTAAGGAACTACAGTTGTTAGCACTTCGCACTGGCCTTACTTTTCAAGACCGGAGGTTGCTGCTTTGTCACAGTGATGGGTCAAACACTTAACACACTTAACACGTGAAACAGTAGTCATGTAAAGACCGAACTTTCTCATTTCAGTCCAGCTTCAGCGTTCAAAAAGGCCTGAGTCCTGACTCAAAATGGGGAGACAGTGCTAATCTCAGACATGGACTGTATATAGAATGGACGCCGTCTGCCTCCTTGCTGGGTGAAGCCACTCTGAGAACAGTACCCTCTGGTGACGGGCTGCAGTATAGGTCATAAATCCCGCCTCCGCCAGCAATCCCTATGGAGCTGAGGACAAACTTTAGAAATTTATTACACATAATATAATTTTTTTCTCCCCCCTGCTTGTGATGTTGACATGTAGTTACTGTAAGACTGGTTTGTGCTTAAGTCCTTTTTTTCTGTACAAATCCATTTTAAAAAGTTATTAGAGGGTTCATATTTCTATGATTGACACCTGACACAGCCTATAGGCGTACAAAGATTGCGTAGCTCACCTAAGGGATAGGCTGTTTGAGCCAAGTGTCATCACAGCGACTCTTGACGACTCTCCCAACGAATGCGCATAATGCCACTGCGCAAGTGGTGAAGTGCGTTCAACGCTACTGTGCAATGTTGGTTTCAGGAAATGGAGAAAAAATACAAAATTACAGAGAGATTTTCAGCTTCAAATTCGGAAAATGTTGTTTTTCTTGTCTGGATAACAAACTTTATCATCATTATTATGATTATTATTATTATTATTATTTATACAGGTGTATTGATGTATTTCTATAGTATTCTATTGTGCCTAAGGCTGACCGTTCCCTCTGGTCTCATGCTCTGAGGATGTGAGCAGTCACCAGGTTATTGGAGGAAACTGAGTCTGTCAACAGCAAGTGTTGACATTTGGGCTTAAGAGATAAACCCCACAAGGGATCAAACAAAAAGTGACCCTTTGACTGAAGAAGTGAGCGTGCGTGTGTCTGTGTGTGCATGCTTGTTTGCATCAAGATGTTAAAGTGATGCAAGTTTCCTGCCGACAGCTCAGAGAAGTGGGGCTCTGATATTGTCTGAGGGGTTTGTTTATCTCCAGGCCGAGAAAACATAAAAGTGAAGTGAACTCGATTACAGACGTGTACGCAATTTCATCATTTATACCCTCACAAAAATATAACCAGGTATGTCATCAATATATAAATAATAAAAATGTAGCTAGAGTATTTTCAGGCAAAGCCACAGCAGCTGTATCAGTGGTAAACGGAGCAGAGCTTTCATAGGCAGAAGATGAGAGGTTAATAAAAACACTACAGGCTATAGGTGACATAGCACAGGTCAAGGCTTGACACTTCCACATGTCTGATGAAATGTCAATCAAACCGGAGTGAGGGATGGTAAAAGGGACGGCGACAGAAGGGTATAAAAATACGGGAGAGTATCAGAGGGGATGGGGGGGCAGCCAAGCTAATGTTTCTGACAGAGGAAGAGGATAAAAGAAGAAGATCACAGAGCTAAATGTCCTGCTAACATCTCTGACAGGACCGG